CCCCCCCCCCATTTTCGTAGAGTCGCTCGCCTCCATACAGGAACTTCTCGGCAGCCACTCGCACCTGATCTCCTCCAGCGCATCCCACGTCATTCCCGCAGTATCGGTCCTGCTAGGCGACACGGATGCTGGCGTCCGTCGAGCATTGGCGAAGCTGCTCTTCTGGTATCTGCCCAGGCTACCGTCCGCAGTCCTCTCTCCTCATCTTTCCACCCTCATCCTCTACACCACTTCAGCGCTCAGCAACATCTATGCCCAGGTTCGCATCGATGCTTTGTCCACGCTCGATTTGCTGATTCGTATTGCACCCGCGCATGTATGCGCAGGTTGGCAAGACGCTCCTGCCATCCGGTCCCTCGCCTCGACATCCACCCTTACTTGCACTTCTCCTTTGCAAAGTGCAAGCACCAGCGCCGGAGCTAGAGTCGCGGATTGCTTTTGCACTCTTCTCGGCTTGCACTCCCATGCCAATGCCGCAGCAGCATCTACCCTTGCCCCACCAGCATCAATGAGCACAGCGCAGATCAGCACCATAGCCTCAGATCTGAGCTCATCTGCCAAGATTCGCCTATTCCAGACACTCTCAGCTTTCATTGTCGCCGCGGAAAGTGGAGAACGGCAGACGAATCACGTCGAGGCTGAGGCGCATGAGGAGTTCGGAGAGACCGAAGAAGATCTTGTTGCCTCTTTCTGGCCCATCGCGTCTTCATTCCGCACACCAGCTGCGTACCGCGCTTTTCTGCATTCTCTTGCGCTCCATTCGCCATCGAATGCAAAGCGTGATGACGCCGTCGTTGACTGGTCTCACAACGTAGCATCAGGCAGCTTCGGAAGCAGCGCCACGCAGAGCACACGGCTCACCGATCCGCTCACGACAGCGCCTTCGTCAGCGGCAGGTCATTGGAACTTGCAGGACCTTCAAGGAGGCATGCGAGACTGCATCGCTTCTGGCTCTGCGACCTTTCAGTGCCATGCCCTCGCCGCGTCAACGTCGACGATTGGCGATGCGCGCCAAGTGCTTTTCCAAGCTTTATCCCCGCTTCTCTTGTCTTCCTTCTTGGAAGCTGCTCCGGCCGCCTTCCCCGCCGCTCTACCTGACTCTTCTCCCGCGTCAAGAGCCGAGAATTTGGACTTGGTGCAAGGCGTGATTGATTTGACGCGTGCGCTCTGGCAAGGGAACGGGAACGCGCCTTCTAGAGAAGACGGCACACGATCCCAAGCGGCCCACACGCTTGGCGCTCTTCTTCAGAAATGGTCAAAGTGGTGGCCTTTTGCTGGCAGGCCAGCCGAGGGAGCCCAATCACCGTCAGACTCTACCATCGCTCGCTTGCAAGCTCTAGACACGGCGTTTGCGGAATTGTACGCTCTTTGGATGTTTGCGGGTGTCCGGCCTGACCAAGCGCAAAGGAAGACCAAGGCAAGAATGGTCAGATTGTCCGACGTGCAGGCGCACGTCGTCGAGGTCCTCTTGCGCGACGCACGTAGCAATGAAGGTTTCGATTGGGATGTGTTCCCGCAGGCACCAGGCACGAAGGCCAAAGAAGGAGCTTCACTTCAAACAGTCGTGCCTGCCTCTGCTGTAGAGGGCGCTAAAAGTCCACGGTCGCTCACAGCAGAAGAATACACGGCTCTCTTGCCCAGCATCTGGATGCTGCTAAATCGACGAAAAGACGTTGACGAGGGCGCTGCAAACTCAGAAATGGCTGCCATGGCTGCCTCGGACATGGACAACGGCGTGCGTGCTGTGTTCGTTGCGCTGCTTGAACACTGGTGCGCTGCAAAAGGGCCAGCGAAACGTGCCGCGACCAAGGCTATCTGCGCATTTGTTTTGGTGAGTCTGCATGCATCAGATGAGCCAGGGCTGCGCAAGATGCCCATTCGTCCAAAACCTTTCTCTCCTACTTCAAAGGTACACTCCTCCCCATCATCTGCTTGCATCTTCTCTCCATCGCTCAAATCCGGGAGGTACAGTGCGCCATTGCGCAATTGGCTCAGCATGCTTCCTCGCTACCTGTGGGAATTGAGCAACAAACATCCACCCACTTCTCTCAGCATCTTGACATTCATGCATGCCCTCGTCCTGCAAGCTCCTCCGTCATCCTCAAGCACCTCGTCCAGCTCTTCGCTAGGCTTCTTACATCCTCTCCTTGTTCCTTTTTTCCAGGTGAAAGCGGGAAGCAAGTTGATCAAGGGACCTTACTCCAGGTTGGATTCGAAGTGTCAAGCTAGAGCCAAAGGGCTGCTGTTTGCTCTTCAGCCCCTCGATCGAGGGCTTCGAGAAGCCGCGGAGAGCGTGGGCGCGGTTTAGCAAGTCGATTGACGAGCTGAACAGACTGCTCATGGCATGCGAAAGGCTCGGAATCGGCCATCACACTACCCTATGCAGGCTTTTGATCATGGCGTGCTCTGGCGACTGCACGTTCCTTGGCTCGGCATGTGCGCTCAGAGACCAATGTAACATACACCTCACAAGCATCATACAGACTCTAATCTAACATCCTGCCAGAAAGGCTTGCAATCTGATTTTTCCCTCCAAAAGCCCTACCAAATTCCGGGCATGAAGCCGAATCCGCAAAGCGCCCTCGGTCAGAGCTTGACATTCAGCGCTCGCTTCCCAAAAAAAGATGCAAGGTATATATTCTCCGAGATTGGTGAGGTGATCCGTGGCGCACGTCGAGGTGTTGCCCATCCACTTGCATGCCCAACGAAAGCTTCGGAGGATCTTTTGAAACATTGCCAAACGTGCGCAACGGCAGCTTCTGGGGATTTTTTTCTTTTTCTTCCTTTGCCGCGACCCGCTTCAAGTGAACCATCGTCGAGGTCTGAAGTTGAGAAGCTCCAAGAAGCTCTTTGCGATGTCTCCAATGGCGTACGTCGGTCTTGTAAGGACACCTTTGCCTACCACGACCACTCTCCACGCTTCCTTTCCATCGATCTTGACCGTGGCAATCACTTTCGGCGCGGCAGGATCCCTCGTGTCGACTTCGAACTGTGAAGGCATGCAAGGGGTGGATCTGCGTTAGTGCTGACGACACGGCTTCTTCAATGAAGCCCATGAACGTCTGCCATGCGCACCTCGGTCCACTTCACGTTCCCATCTGGCAGGTACTTGTACACCTTTTCCACACCAGTGGGGCCCAGACCGTGATCTTGTGAGAATGTTCTCACCGGCAAGTCTGCGACGAGACGCAGAATGTGATGGCCGTTTCACCATGCGTCAGCAGATGTGGACCACTTGAAACGCAGACTTTGCCTTTTGGAGCACGATCAGGTGAACTTGCACTTCAAGAAGCACGCGAAACATCCCCCCCTCGTGCCCAAGGCTGAATGAGATGCTGCCAGAGATGCCGCAATCGCGAGCACACTCACAAAACATCGAGAGCGGGCTGGTGCTGAATTCGGTCACAGGATAGTCGTCCTTGGGATAGGTCGCCGTCTTGAGCCCGACAGACGCGAATTCGTGCCTGTCACCGCTAATGACGATCACGTTCGGAACATACTGTTTGGAAGGGGGAAAAGGCGAGGTCGGCGTGTATTTGGAGAGGGGTTAAGGAGACGCATCCTACTACTCACCTGCAAAACTTCCAGCAGCTCTTCTCGCTCGGTCCGATAGGCGTTCCAAGAGTCTTCTTTGCCATCCCAGTCCAGCGCACCGCCCCAGAGCGTGTTGAAGGGTACAGATGAGATCACAAACTGTAAAGACACGCGGCCGTTCAGCATAAGCATAGCATAGTGAGCCTCACTACGGGTGCTTGTGCGCCTCGCGCACACACTCACCTTGAAGCTGCTCGTGGCGTTCACACTCTTGATCCAGTCCAGGAACACCTGCTTCTGCTTTGAGCCTAGCATAGTCTTGCTAGCGTCATCAGGCAGCTCGTGCGGAGTCCTGAATTTCCGAGTGTCCCAAACGAAGAACGCCGTGCTCCCGTACCTGAACTCGTAGTAATTCTCCTCTTCGGCCGCTGCCTTTGGGTTCGCACCACCGACGTACTCTCTCCAGGCTTTCTTCGCTGGCTCGAACGCTGGAGCCTCTGCCAAGACGTGCACATCAACCTCCTCGATGTTGTTTGTTGACTGCGCCGGCATAGCTTCGTCACCAGCATCGTGTCCCACAACAGACGGAATCTGAACATGATCCTGGACGATCTCTGCTCGCTCCGTATCGTAGCGCTTGCTGAACGTCTTGAGCAGCTGCAATCCTGACCAGTTGTTCTTGACCTCGTGATCGTCATAGATACCAATGACCGGGATGCGCTCATACACGCGCCGGAAGGATTCCGAGTCGTAGAGATTGCGGTACAGTTTTCTGTACGCGTCGAGAACGGGACCACCCCATCGAGGAACATCGGCGTAGATGAGATCGCTGCACATTCGTCGGATAGCACAACGGTTCAGTACTATTTGAGTGCACATGAAGAGCACGCGAAACTCACCCAAGTTGCAGCATGAACCTCACTCGCGGCCGATCAAGTCCATCGATGTTCGTCTTGGCGAAGAGGTCGAAGCCGGGAATCCTATTTCGCAAAGCGAATCCTCCTTGCTCACTGCCAATTCCGATGATCCTCAACGCCCATGACCAAGCCCAGAACTGCGTCGGGACCCAAGGAAAGTCTGGCTTGACGCAGGAAGATGACGCAAAGGAGAAGCTGCGGGGCAGGTCGTAGAGTGCACGTCAGAGCCAATTACATAAGCCACGAGTGAGCGTGCATCGCACGTGGCACATCAACCTCCAACGCAAGCTTCCAATCTCGCTTGAGCATCGCACCGCCGCACCGCTGGTTTGCGTGACGCATGACTTGTCGGTAGCCGTCCTGACTACTCACTGCTCTGGATCGTCCCAAGGCGCTGCATCACCCTCTCTCCACGGCGCCAACATGCTCCTCGCTTCCTCTCTTGCTCGTTTGGAGACGGGCACCCCCTTGCTAGCAGCCGAGCTCAAAAAGGGATCGTTACCGTTGGGCCATGTGATGAAGCTCCTGCTCATCTCTGGAAACGGCGCGAAGCTATTGTTGTGCGCCCAGATCAAGCGGTACTCGTACCGTGTGGATGGCAGTAAAGAGGAGAGCATCGCGGTATCTACCCAGTCCGTCTTTGGGGAGATGGATAGTAGCGGTCCTCTCTGCCATGCTTTGATCCCCGCATTTCGTCGCATCGCGCCCGTGTAGTCCTTGGAGTATTCAACCAGACTGGGCAGAGAGACGGATTCGCGATATACGACTCGCAGAGGAGTAGTCAGGCCGAGGGTATCCACGGGTTGGTGGTCGCCTTGCGTGCCACCCAGCCATGGAACAGTATCATCCAGTGTCGTCTTGATGCCGCTCAGCGGGTCTTCGTGTCCGAATGGGAAAGGGTATCTAAAGTGCAAAGTAGCGCTCGTCGAGTCGATCGCTCCAGTCCGGGCAAAATGCAAGTGATGCTCGAGGTGAGAGGGAAAGAGATAAGGCGAGTAGAAGGCGTCGACAAAGAAGAGGAAGAGTAGAGTGTGTGCACCCAGCGCAAGCGCGCTGCGAGCCCCTTGTTCATCCCGAGGGGAGCTGATGCCCAGCACCAAGGGTCTCCACAGCTGCCGAGCTGAGAAGGATGTATGCTTGACGCCATTCATCGAGCGACCATTTGGAGAGGTCGAGTACCTGCTCCAGCTGCGCCATGCTTGTAGCAGCCATAGCAGCACGTAGGCTCCGTACAGTATGGACACCGCAGGCGAGGCCATACCGGTAGGGATCCATCGCAAGAATATGAAGACGGCGAGGCGAAAGAGCACAGAGACGGAGAGTTGGAGCGTGGACAGTCTGGTGCGGCCATGGGGCGTCGCTTCTGCAGTCACAGTGCTGGATGCGAGAGTTGCCAGCGAGGATGCGGTGTGGGAGAGCGAGTTGGAAAGGGAGAGGGAAGTGGAGGGGGAGATGGAGGGTGAGGAGGAGGATGAAGACTTGCTGTGCCTTGGCTTGGGCTTGGCATCGGGCATCAAGCCCGAATCACTGCGCCTGACCATTCTGTTGAACAGAGGGGGGGGGAGGGGCGGTGATGCTGAAGACGGCGACCAAACACTTCAAAATGATGGTGTGAGCGAGCAGGAGAGACGGGTCGCGAATGACAGGAAGAATGCTCGATCGTGTGAGAGACGCGCATCGAAGCTCGAATCAAAAATCAGCATCATGCTGCAGAATCAAAAGAACATGCAAGATGAGGTATGATTAACAATTCTGATTATTCACACAGGGTCCAAGTATAGCGCACGCCCGCGCGCACGCGTCGGTCCTTGGCCCCGCACGTCCGTTCGAATCAATTTAGAAGACTCACCACGAGTCACGGCGGTAGGCCAAGCAGATTACAAATCACAAAATGTCTGATGAAGCTCGAGTTCGAGTTTGGAGTCGTGAGTGGTCATGTCAACGATAGCGAATCACGATCCCGAGACCCAAAGTCATGATCGCATGGTCCTCTGTCGTGGCTTCAACGCAACCTCGACTTTCAATTGAAGGAGAATCTTCATCATCCACCACACTCAAACACGGTCCGAATCGGATTTCCAAACCACGATCTGGCTGCGCAGTCAAGTGACGGCTTGCGTTCATGCAACGCGTTCCATCGAATCTGAAATGAGCAATCACTTCACCATCTTCATCATCGAGCTAGCCAGGCTGCCAGAGTATCGGCAAGAGAAAACGGGAAATGCTTCTGAAATGTACAATGTCCGCATCTGCAATGCTCCCCCCGTACATGCCACTCATTCTCCAAATTCCACCCCTTCGAGGGTCGTGATGTGATGCCGCATCTCCTCGCCATCAGTGGTCCTGAACGAACTTTGCAAACTTGTTGAGGCCCTTTGTCACGGCATCCTTTGCCTTGCTTTTGCCGTCCGGTGCGCCTCCACCGCCACCGCGTCCATCCGTGGGTGGCAAGCCTTGACCGGGATGAGCATCATCTTCCGCCTCTGCACCCAATCGCATCCTCTTGCCAATGTGTGGTCTGCCAGGTACTTTGGGACTTCCGTCATGGTCGAATTCTAGCCGGTGAATGCACATGTGTCGAGGACCTCCTTCGTGTATCAAGCTGTGGAAGGCGATGAACCAATGTCCCTCGACTCCTCGCACGATGCTCTGACCTCCAGGTCCTCGGATACCCCTCAGAGAGTCCGTGTAGAGCAGCGGCTCCTTGTGAGGCGTGTAAGGGCCGGTCACGCGCTTGGATGTCGCGTAGCCCGTAGCGTAGCCCGAGGTGGTAAAGGTGCCGCTGGAGTAGAAGAGAATGTAGGTTCGACTCGAAGGCTCGTACACGAGGTACGGAGCTTCAAGCAAGGAGTTTTGCCACGACTCTGTGGGTGCCAGTAGGGGCGAGCGATCTGCAGAGAAGGTCAGGCCATCCTCGGAAAGCGGCTGGATCCAGAGCTGAGCGAAGGGGGGGGGGAGGGGGGGTAGTGGTGAGGGTGAGGGTGCAGCGAAGCGCGTGATGGGTGAGCACTAGCATGCGGGCATACGGGGGAGGAGCGAAAGGGGGGGCACGACTCACTTGGCACTTTGAAGTGTACATCTTGTCCTCGTCGTTCTTGTAGATGAGGTAGCGTCTGCCTCCATCCTGCGCATCCTCAAAAGGCTGAGGGTCGATGCATCCTCCAGTGTCCCCTCTGCTGACGATGGGGCCGTGGCTGACAAAGTGAAAGGGACCGAGAGGACTTTGAGGGGAATAAGCCACGCCGATGCACTGCTTATCCGTCGAGCTGTCGTTGGCAGAAGTGTAGAGCAGGTAGCCAGGTCTACCGTTGGGCGCTTTGATCACTTCTGGTGCCCAAAAGAAGCCAGGCTTGCCCGTCCATGGTGGAAAGGGTCCAGGCAAGACGTCCTGCTTGTGCTCCTTCCAGCAGCAGAAATCTTCGCTGGTCCACGCTTGGATGTTCTTGCCGTTGCCATTCGTGGCGTACGCTATCCAGCGCTTGGAAGTGTCATCGTAAAACAGACCCGGGTCCGGAAAGTCGCATCCCACAACGGGGTTCTGGTAGCCTAGATGAGGATGGGGTGCCATGATTGGTAGAGGCTTGTGTGGTCACGCACGGGTCACACTACTCGTAGTCCTGCGTAACGCTGCAACTGCAGGGCTGTGGAGCGAGCTGGCTGGGGGAGTAGTAGTGACGAGTTGGAAGAGGGCGGGAGGCTTGCACAAAGCTGGGCTTCTTATACGGCACAGAAAGGCATCTGCTCGTGTACGTGTACGTGTACGTGTCTACAATCGCGAATCTGAGTCAAAGTTGTGAATGTGATGAGTAGAAGTGGATGCTGGGGCACCCCCGTGTCTCGCTCGCATGCAGCAGCTTGTTCACATCTCCGCCAGATGAGAGAGACGCAGGGAAGGTACGAAGGATATGCAGGTCTCTTCTCAGCATCCGCACCCGCATCCGCATCCTTTCGAAGGTCTTGCCTGCCTTGACGCTTGGCTTTTTTTTTGTTTTTGATATCGAACGTGCGTCATGGCACGTATGGCGGTGCTGCTGGGTGCACCTACAGTCACGAGTCACGAGTAGGTCGGGTCGTGCCTTGCGCGCACAAGCGCTGCAGCGCTGCCGTACATCGCAATACATCATACCTCATGACTCGCAACTCACGACTGTTGGCGGCCATCACAATCACGAACGGGCGAGTCAGATTGCGCTTCTCTATCGATCATCTCCGAGCAGACCTCGCAGACCTGGCAAGTTGGAGCAAGTCTCGATCGAGTTTTGAAACTGTCTCGTTCGGCTTGAGCTCGGCATGGCATGGCATGCCCTGCCCAGCATTTGTGATTCGAGTCTGATTGAGTCTGAGTCTGAGTCTGAGTGTTTGGCCGCGTGAATCGCCCGTCTGCAAGATTGCATCGCACAGTCAGAGAGTACCTAACGGTACGGTGATTGTGAGTGAGTGCTGTGATGCACACTCACTCACACTGCGCCGCACCGGCCGGGCGTCCGACCAAGACCCTGTCTGCATCCTTCGTCTGCATCGGCATTCACGTATGATTCAAGCGACAAAGTTAAGCGCTCCTCATCCTTGTCGTTCAACATCAGCAGCTAGAGTAGAGTAGCGAGCGTGTCATACCCATCATATTTCCCCCCCCCCAGCCGCGCGGGCTCTCCTCGTCTTTGACGATGGAGCGACCGCGCAGCATGGCCTTGCCCGTCAGTCCTTTGCACCAAGCGCTCCTTGCTGCTGATGATGCTTCGCATACCTTCGACATCACGTTGCCTCGCACGACATTTCGTTCGGCACGTATAGGCACGGCGTACCAGCGCGATGGTACGATCGAGTCTATGCACCAGCCTCATCAAGTCTTTGAGTGAATCGTGGGTATCGCTGATTATAATCACGACTGATGTGTGAGATGTGCAGCAGCTGTCAAAATTAGATGATCAAGAAAGAAGCCATGCAGTCAGCAGTGGAGGTTCACCACGGCAGGGCACTGCATGCACCCGCACCCGCACCCGCACCCGCACCGTAATGTAAGCGAAGCCACACCCGAGAACGCCGCGGTGATAACAATGCTGGTGCGTGCGCGAGTGCTGCATGCCGCATGGACAGCATGGACATGGACGTCAGCTAGGCAGAGTTGACCCAAGTCAATCAGTCACTCAGTGTAGAACACGTGAGCAACTGGTGACCAAACTCGACCGCTTGTACCAAAGGCGCGCAATTTTGACCGGATCTGCTGTCGTCCCATCTTGTCTCGACCCAGCACAGACTCGCCTCTATATAAAGTCAGAAGCATAAAGCCCTTCAGCTGGGTCAAACGAAGCCGACGGGGGCTAGGAACAGCGCGGCAAACGAGCGAACGCGCAGCTGTAAGGTCGAGCTAAGACCATCGCAGAGAGCAAGGCAAAGAGCTTGGAAGGGGACTGCTGAATGGATGGTCGAGGACTGCTAGAGGTGGATGGACAAAGCCACACCATGCTTGGCGGATTCGCCGCAAAGAGGGTCTCCAAACCTGCTGGTTGAGCTTGCTGAAGAGTCGCGTCACTACAGCTAGGTCGTTGTTTACGACTGTCGCCTTTGTGCATCGGCATCGTGCTGCGCATACCAACGCCAAGCAGTCATCTCATTTCTTGAAATCTGACTCGTGCACCAAACGCGCTCGAGCTTTCCATGCTGATCACCTTCAAGGGCGTAGCTTCTTGTTCTTCAGCTGTTGTGCCCCAATCTTCAAGATGCAGCGCTTGACCCTGTCCGACCCATCAGAGTCCCAGAACACGCTTTCACAAAAGGACCTCTGCGATGGTGTGCTAGCTCAAAGTGCCTCCCACGCGCTTTCCTTTCGTCTTCTAGACCTACCTTACGATCTGCAGATCCTCATCCTGCGCCAAGCTTTCTACGCTCGACAGTCGACCGGCAGTGCTTCATCGCCCAGCTGTGATGGGAGCGGGTTTGTCAGCTTGCTCTGTAGTTGCCGCGACATCAATGGCATACTCATTCCTTTGCTCTACAAGCACCTGGAAGTCTCTTCGATGGGTCAGCTCGCTTGTCTTGTAGAAAGATGCACCAACCTCGTCTGGAACCGGACTCACACCTCGCTAGACCGACATGGCGTGCGCATTCAGGCAGATCAGCTCGAGTCATGGCCTCATTATTATCGCTCCGGGCATTCGATCGATCACGAATCCGACTCTGACTCCTCAGACGACTCCTTGTACAACCAAAAGGCGACGCCAAGGTTCAGATCGGATCCACCCGCTTACCTGCGTCGGATCTCTCACCCAACAATCGCCAAGCACACAGTCAAGCTCAGGATCAACATTCCTGGCGTCCCTGGCGGCTCACTGGCATCAGGAGCTGATCCGACCAGCGATGAGGATGACTCCCCGCTGCTAGACCCTCGAGGATTGGATGACGAAATGGGTCGCAGAAGAGCTGAACAGCGTGCGTCCGAAGCAAGGGCAAAGACCGAGCGACGCATCGACCGCTTGAGATTAGCCGCGCTGCTGCTTTTGTGTGCACCACAGACGGAGGAGGTGGACGTGAGTGCAAGCATCGGCCCTGCTGGTCGTGTGAAATTCTAATGCGAGCTCAGCTCCTCCCATTTCCCCCCCAAAGTTCGAATTCTTCTCGCTTCACCACTCCGACCTCCTCCGAGCGCGCTTCGCCTTGTCAGAAACTCAGATTTTGGCCAAGGCGATCTCACGACTGCAGCGCCTGAAAAGGTTCCGCTGGGCACCACCCTCGGACCCATCCTTGGTCAAGGGCTTCAGCGTAGCAATCGTTCCTCTTGCAGTCGCAGCATTAGAGCGCGGCTTCAAGTGGGCTGTACACCGCCCAGACTATGCAGGAAGTCATCCTCTACAGGAGATTGATCTGAACAACGTCACTTTTGAAACTCGTGACTTCTCTGATGGAAAAAGTGATGCCTTCTTTCAAGCCTTCATGCCCCTCTACAAGCCATATCCTGAGGTGGATGAAGAAGGTTTCGTGCGACACGTTCCACTGCATGCCTACGCCCGTCTCGAAACCATACGAGTCAGTAGCGCGACCGGTTTTGAGAGCCAAAGGCTAATTTTGCACATGCTAAATCCACCACTACGAGAGGCGTGGGAGTTTTGGAGAGCGGCCATTCTGAATACTGCTTCTCGACGGCATCGCGATGGATATCCTCGGACGCGCTTAGAGCTATCAAACGTCTTTGAGAAGTCGACGATTTGGTCTGAGCACCTCGATGCAGCGGCCCTTCGCACGAGGATGGCGCAGCTGATCGAGCACGAAGCAAGGTACACACGTAATCGGCATCAATGCAGCAATCTGAATGACGCCGAGTACGAAGCTCTGAAGCGCAAGATGGACACCCTCTACGCCGATGCCATCGAAAACGTGATGAGCAGGATAAACATACGCAATCGCGATGGTGCGATAGCTGGCAAAGCGGCGGACGACAATCAGTGAAATGAGCTCCATCGATCGTGAACTTCAAGAAACTGCTCGCGCAGACTTGCAAAGTCCGAGCGAGCACATCGAAAGAGGAGGGGAGGGGGTCCCTTGATCGTCTTGAGCATCGTAGGCGATCGACCAAGGCCAAGGCACTCGGACTGCCGTTTGTCTGTGACGTTTCCCAATCTCATCCATCAGCAAGTTGTCGGGTCGATCCCCAGGCGGTTCTAGCTACGTCACCGAGTTCAAGGACACGCCCCCTTGTGAGCGAGCGGTCCTACGAAGAGCTCAAGCACACATGAAGAGACAAACCAAGAGTTGGCAAAACGTCAATCCGAACAGGATACGTCGGCGGCAATCACGAATGGCGCGTTCGATGCATAGCCCCCCCCCACCTCCCGACGTGCAGAGGCGATTGCACGACGATAGTCGGGGCTGCAGTAAGAGAGCTCGTAACGCACTCAGTGAGACGACATGTAGACGGTGCGAGAAGCTCGTTCGCGTCCGAAAAGAGACCCATCATGTGCTTGTAATGAATACAATTGCCATCGCGGGAGGGGGGGCGCACATCTGTCGTGCCAGAGATGTGGCAACAGACATGGCATTTTGCAGAGCTTGCTAGCTGATGCGAAGCCTCAAATCTAGCCGGTCGTGGTTGCAGCAGCAGTCCTAATTCCAGCGCCTCCCCAAGCCGGACCACCAGTCGAAGCTCCACCCGCTCTGGCGCCTCCCCTCTTCGCAGCGTGCCCTCCTCTGCCACCTCCAAACGCACCACCATATGCGCCCGGCCTTCGATCGCCCGTCTTGCTGCCTGTAGCTGTGGCTGCGGCAACCTGAGCAGCGGCATTGGCGTCGTCGGGAATGGGCAAAGGCTTGGACTTGATGTGGTGCAAAGTCTGATTCATCCGGATTCCTTGTCTCATGAACCACTCGCCAAATCTGCGACCAACACGGGATTCTGCGATGTGTACCATGTTCTGTGTGATCGACAGAGGCGCATCGCGGTGAGCCACCGCTGACCAAAAGAGCTCTCTCTAGCTGTCCGAAATGAGGAGATACAGCCGCACTCACGCCATCGATGACAAAGTCCAAATCGCTAGTGTTGACGACCTCACCCTCCAAAAGTCCACCCTCGGACCACTTCAAGCTCCTGCTAGAAGCCTTGGCGACCATGAGCTCCTCAATGAGCTCTTCCTCGTCCACCTCGAGAAAGTTCGCCAACTTGTCGGTGCCAAGACTGGTGTACAGGCGCAAGAAGGAGCGAATGTTGCCATTAGACAGCTGCGTCTTTACGTCTGCGAGGAAGACCTTGACTTGATGTTGAGCCGGGTCTGGCATCGGGGATTTTTGGTAGTCCGCTAGAGCATCTCCATCATGGTACGGTGGGGCATTGCTCGTGATGAACTTTGGGCACGCGTACAAGAAAAGCTCTTCAAATGCTGCCAGACCCTCCTCCCTGTCACATATTGTCGCGGCTCTGTCAGTAACGCGCGCACCAATCTTCTTAATGCGTGCTTCTGACTCACCCTCTGCTCATCTTGTTGAGCTGATCGCCGTACTTGTCGCGCAGGGCGGTCTGAATGTTCTCGTCCAGCCGCGTCGGGCAGAGTGCGCAAGCGATCGCCAAGAGCGCATACATCCTGTCTGCAGTCTTGTTGATCTGATCGTACTGATAGCTCCTTGTGTGGTATTGCCGGAGTCGCATGATGAAGACCAAGATGTGGGTAAAGGCCCGAATGGCATCCGGGTACCTGTGTTGCATAAGGTATGCAAATCCAACATAGTAGTACGCGGTGACGTGACATGCCGTCACCTTGTTCATGATGCTGCCTCCCTTTCGGTTGAGTTCCAGGTGGTCCAGCATCTTCAGAGCCAGCGTGTAGTCACCTAGCAGCACGTGGACGCGCAGTAGCCCTATGATGCTGAAATAGCCAAGCATCTTGTACAGAGGCTTGTTGCCAAATTCGCCTGCCGCCTCTTCGGGATCCTCACCAGCCTGCACAGCTTGTAATTGCTCGGTGATGCGGCTTTTCTGAATGAGGGAGTACAGCACGTTCAGCACGGAGTAACTGCTCCATACACCCCCGTCTTGCAGCAAAAGCAGCTCGTCCTCCGTCTTGTTGTTCACTCGATTCCTCCACTGCGAGTAGCTCTGAAACTGATAGATGAACTCGTCCACGATGTCCCACAGCCATTGAGCTGGCAGATCGAGGGGCACAGGACCTTCGGAGTCTGTGAACAGCGCGCGGGACGTCAATGTGAGTAAATTGACGTGGATGGTATTAGACTAAGCCGCTGTCACCACTCACTGAGAACGTAGTTGAAGAAATCGCAGTAATTGTCGTAGGAGTGAAAGCGATCTTCTCCATCTGGAGACAGACGCGAGTAAACGTGACGGTACCAGAGCTCTCTGTACAGCGTCAAGAAGCGTTGGTCTAGGGGTGCAGGGCAAGACAGTGGCAAGACGCTTCAGTCACGAGTCTTCGTCCGCTCACGGCCATAAACCATAGCTTTATAAAATCTCCACTCACCGTCGCCAACCAAGGGAGCAATGACTTCAGCCTCTGGCCACTCGGTCTTCTGGAAGTACTTTTCAGTGAGTCGATTCCAGTTGCTCTCGTACGCGGAGCTGATCTCAGGTATGGAGTTGTTGACGATGGCCTGATGAAAGAGGACGATGTATTTGCGGACTTGATCAGGCACTGCGGCCAAAGCGGCAGCTTGCGCCTGAGCTTGCTGCTCATGCTGCGCCTCGAGCAAAGCAGCTTTGATTGTAGCGACGTGGAGTGAGCGACCGACAGGCTATCCGATCATGAGGGGCCATTGGACTCACCTTGACCAGCTTCGTCAAGATACGCGTCATCGGCCTGACCGTAATCAGCAGGGATCAAGTCAACCTCGTCTCCATCCTCCAAATAAGCATCGTCATCGTCCACATCCTGACCATAATAAGCAGCCTGCTGTCTCTGCTGCGAAGCGTCGTATGCTTGCCCGTTTTGCTGCTGAGAGAAAGCTGATTGAGCTTGTTGAGCGGCCAGGGCAGCCTGTTGAGATGCGGCCATGCTGATCTCTCTCTCTCTTTCTTTGAGATGTGTTGGTGACGCCGAAAGCAGTCTTGATACTCGAGCTGATCGCTTAGAATGCAAGCACACGTATCGTCGAGAAGAAGTTTGACTCTTCTGACTCTTCCAACTTGATGAGTGTGAGTTTGATGTATGCAGGTCGCTCTGCTACACGACTACTCACACACGGCAGAATTTGGCCTGCAGCATGGTGAGGCGCGTCACGCCCGTGCCCACGTGGCTTTTCGCCTCTGCCTGGTCCGGCCAGCTGCATCTCTTGCTAAATGTGCGCTCCCTATACCTATTATACGTTCAGATGCACGCCGCTGGTAAGCTGCCGGACTGGCCCCCTCGCTGTGGCAGCAGCCTCGTTGACATCTTTGACATCTCAATAGCCTTTCGCAGCGTTCAACCTGTAATTGTAGATCGACCTAGAAAGATTTGATTTATTTATTCATTCAAATGATAGCGCTCCAATCACCACAAACATGTGATCAAGAAGTCAGATCACGTGAATCTGCAGCCGTAGCGGTCGGTGCGTGGACAAGCCGTTGGTGATGATGTCGGTTGCGCATGGAGGATGCATGCTGGATGCAGCAGCAGCCCGAGGGCGCACGCGGTAGGGGTGAGCCGGCCTAAGGTCAGATCACGACGTAGCCAAAGGACACTGACGATGCGCCTGGATCGGTAGGGAGGTGTTGGGTACGACACCGGTATATACGGTGGTGGTATGGCTCATTCGATGCGGTGCAGCAGGTGCAGATGCTAATAAGCTGCGTCGTGTCTGGAGTTTCAAATCAAGTCGAGAGTTGAAAGGAGAGCATGCGCATGCGCAGTCAAAGTTACAGTCACGAGTTGCGAGTCCTTTGTTTAGTTTTGGGTCGAGTCGTGAGTGGTCGTCCGTTCAGCAGCAAGGTTGTGAATTCGTGATTTGAGATTGCGAGCCATCGCGTGGCTGATGGGATGGGATGGGATGGGATGGGATGGGATGGGATGGGATGGGATGGGATGATGACATCTTGATCTCATCGCAACTCCACATCCACTCCCCACCTTCCACCATCTCACAAGCCGTTTTGAGTACTTGCTCATCTCATCGCAACATTGAACACCCTCGATTCCAATTGCGCTGAGCTCTTGTCATCTCACCACGCAAAGCTCTTGTGCATACATCCCGGTGTGCACTTAGCGCAACAGTCTCGCTCCCGCCATCGCTCGCATCTCAGGTGTTGCGCAGCGGCTGCCGCACCTATCGGCAAATCGAGGGCGCTGCAAACAGTCAGCGTCTCTCTTGGATCTTGACTAGCCAACAGTCTGCGCCAACGCCACTTGAGCCGCCCTTGCAGTCTCGATTTGTGATTGCGAGCTCGACGTCCACTGCGCGACTCCATCAAGAGCAGCTCTTCAAGAGGTCCGCATATCCTTCCCCTTGCATCCGCAAAACCCTCAGCAATCTTGCATCAACTACACCACCACACAAGCTGGTCTGTAGAGCTTCATTCATCCTTTACGACTCTTAATATACAGCGCAGTCGCTCTTGCACAAGATGGCAGCTGCTCGATCAGGAGCCAAGCAACTTCAATTCAAGCTGGTCTTGCTGGGTGAGCGACTTGCGCCAGGATGCACACCTCTTCTTGACTAATCAAAGCGCGTCCCGTATGTTGTCCATTATGCAGGCGAAAGTGCCGTTGGAAAGTCCAGGTAAGATTGGCAGCGCCGCAACAGGTGCAATTCTTCAGATCACTGATCACAAAGCACTTCTCTTTCCTGCAGTCTCGTGCTCAGATTTGTCAAAGATCAGTTTGATGACTACAGAGAAAGCACGATCGGAGGTGAGAGCTCTGTTCAGGTCAGCAACCTACAAATGTCTTTCGACCGGCTTGCTCAATCTTTGTCCCTCAACAGCTGCTTTTTTGACGCAGACCGTTAGCCTTGATGAGTCCACCACTGTCAAATTTGAGATTTGGTAAGAGGACCTGAAGCATACGGCAAGCGACTGAAGAGCTGCATGCGAAACCGTTACTGACCGTTTCCCGCTGCGTTTCAGGGACACTGCCGGTCAAGAGAGATACAAGTCACTGGCCCCTATGTATTACCGCAACGCAAATTGTGCTGTCGTAGTGTACGACATCACACAACAAGTGAGTGCTATCGATGGTTTAGAAAAAGCGCTGCGCAAATGTGGAGACGCGCGTGGCCAGTTCGGCAGCTCAATTTGGCAGCTTCACTGTGGGAGATACTGATCTCATGTATGCGCTTGCCTCACCACCCAAGTCTTCTCTTGAGAAGGCCAAAGCCTGGATCCGGGAACTGCAGCGCCAAGCGGATCCGAACATCATCATCGCACTGGCGGGGAACAAGGCGGATCTTGCGAGCAGACGAGCGGTGCCCGCAGAGGTGAGGCAGATCCTGCACGACTTCTGCACAACACGTTTTCGCGTCTTTTGATTCTTCATTGCTAAAACTCTCGCTACATCCGCTCGTACCTTGCAGGAAGCGCAAGCTTACGCAAATGAAGAGAATCTCTTGTTCCTCGAGACATCGGCAAAGGACTCGCACAATGTGTCCGAGCTATTTACAATGATCGCTCGAAAATTGCCACTAGAGTCAGCTTCCAATGCTGCAAGGGCCGGCGGGGCTGGAGGAAGAGGTGGAAGCAGGATCGATCCTGCGCAGGGCAGGAACGGCGTGGATATCAGAAACGGGCAGTCAGGACAAGGCGGAGGGTGCTGCTAGATCGCTCGATCCAAGACCCCGGCTAGTAGCATCTCCTATAGTCCACGTGCGATCTACGCCTCAGGATCCAGCACGTCCTGTCATTCTCTGGTCCCAGCATTCCCTGTACTTTAGCCCCCCACTCTCCTTTGCTGTCCAGCGTGCCCCGGAGCATTCCATTCCTTCCTTGTTGCAGGGCCAAAGCCGATGTCAAGCAACGTACGAGTGCTATCAGCGACGCCCCCCCCCCCCCCCCCCCCCCCCCCCCCCCCCCCCCCCCCCCCCCCCCCCCCCCTCCCCATCTCCTACAACCTTATCGATGATCTTACATTTTCCCAATTCAGTCTGAGGAACCATCAATTCACTCTCTTGCACCATCAAGCCGTGCGTGTGGCACTGCGGACTGCCCAAAGCTCAAGTGGAGGGAGCGAGCGTATAGTCTCGCACATTTGCACCCGCATCTGCACGAGTACGAGCACGTGTGCGTGCATTCATGGCTTTCAAACAAAGACGGGGGCGTGTGACGTGTTGTCCTCCACAGCATTCTTCAAGCACTGCATCGACACCTAGTAGCTCCTGCGGGTGAAAAGCGAATGTAGGCAACTCGAGTAAATCAGCACACGAACAAATCACAGGACGTGTGTGCGCGCGCTCTTGAACGCATTCGACGACTCACCTTCCAAACATGGTCCAGCGCTTCGCGGCGCTGCCACATTGCGGACATTTTTTGCCCGCAACATCCCCAAACTGAGCTTGGTCAAAGGGAATGCAGAGGGATTTGGCGCCCATCGAAGGTGCCCTTTCATCCACTTCTGCTCCCTCTTCGGCGCTTAAGGAGGCGGGAACCGAGCAACAAAAACGGTCAGTGCTGGTCTCACGCACAAGCGTCCATCGCAGCCTTGCATTTCCGCGACTCACTTTCTGGCACTTCGGTCCTTGATGGCATCCTCGCAAGCTTCCACCTCGCACCACGGAATGACAACGTGGCACTTGGAGTTCAAAGTCTTTGTGAAGTCGTTCCAATCCGTCACCACTTTTCTCCTGCTCCTGTACTCCTTGTCCGCCTTGTCGAACATATCCTTGTGAATCTGATCCAGGAGCTTTGGTAATTGTGCCACAAGGTCCGAAGAAGGGATGGCAGCTCTAGCACCATTGTCTCGTCGCACAGACAACACTTGTTGCTTTTCCAGATCCTTGGGTCCAATCTCCAACCGCACCGGTACACCTCGCAACTCCCAGTCTGCGAACTTGTAGCCTGGGTTGTAGTTGTCTCTCAAATCCGCCTTTGCGCGCAGCCCGTTCGACTTTAGCGTCTTCTCGAGCGCTGCACAAGCGTCGAGGATCACGTCCCTGTCCTTGGGCGAGGTCTTCGAAGTGATGCCGACGGGAACAACAATGACTTGGATCTGAGCCACACGAGGCGGCATGACCAAACCTTGGTTGTCTCCATGCACCATGACCATCACACCGATAGTCCTAGTGCTCAGTCCCCAACTGTTTTGCCAGACGTGCAGCTTGCCTTCTGGCTTGCCACGAATTTCATCAGGAGCCTTGGGATCTTCGACGGTGATGTTGAACATCTTTGAGAAGTTTTGGCCCAGGCAGTGAGACGTTCCGCCTTGGATACCTCGGCCAGTGGTGGGAACGAAACCTTCCACTGTGGTGGTGTAGTAGCCGCCTGCAAATTTCTCCTTCTCTGACTTGACACCAGGCACGACGGGGACGGCGAGCAGCTCTTCGTAAACTCGCCGATAGAGGTCCAGAATCTGCTTGACTTCGACATCAGCTTCTTCCAATGTCATATGCGCTGTGTGGCCTTCTTGCCACAAGAACTCTCGCGTGCGCAGGAATGGCTCTGAGGACGATTTGAGCGCGCATCAGGAATTCACGCTGATCAACGGTCGCGGCCACGTCACGACTTCGGGACTCACGAGGATGCTTAAACTCCCATCGCACGACGCTGTTCCATTGATTCAGTTTCAGCGGCAGATCGCGATGGCTACGAATCCACTTGGCGTAGTCTGCGCATGCGAGGATCATTGAGCTTCTTTGCCTAGACCCACCGAAAAGGCTAGCCAACTCACATGGATACATGACAGTCTCCGACGTGGGGCGAATGGCGACCGGCTTCTCGAGATCTGAACTCCCCCTACAAAGGGAAAGAGACGCAGCTCGTAACTCAGCGCGGAGCCCTGTGATGCCAAGGCGACCTGGCCGTCTCGCAACTCACGCTTTTGTGACCCAGGCGACTTCGGGCGCGAATCCTTCAATGTGATCCTTCTCCCTCTCGAGCACGTCAGAAGAGACGAACATGGGGAAGTAGCAATTCTCCACGCCGAGTTTCTTGATCTCAGCATCGAACCACGCTGGGAGCGAAAGGCTAGCATGAGCAAATCCGATACACACGTAGGCCTTCACCCTTTTTCGCGCAAGCTCGACTTACTTTGAATGGCTTGCCAGACGCTGTAACTCGCAGGCTTGAGGATGTAGCAGCCGCTGACGTCGTAGTACTCCAGCATGTCTCCCTTTTTCAACACCTGCTGATACCATTCCGAAAAGTCTCCGTCCTTGCGAACGTTGATACCGATGAGCTCGGCGTCAGCAATTTTTGCGTCCGCTTTTGCCTGTTGGATCGCTTGAGCAGATGCGCTTGGGGCGGCCTTGGTGGTTGACTTGGCAGCGGGACTGTGCATGCGAGAATGGTGGCAAGTGTTCGTATGTGATGAACGCTCTAAGCTCGCAGTTTCCGGACACGCGAGATGATGGTACACCACGATCAACTCACGCGCCTGCAGGCGAGCCAGCCAGAGAAGCCAGATCGAGCTCCTTGACTTCCGCGCCAGTCGATTCGATGACTTGTCGCAAACCTTGGTAGGAGATCAGCAGGCTCTCCTTGTCCGATTTGGCGTGCACCGCGAGCGGCTCGGAGGAGCTGACCAGAGCGCTGTCGACGACGAGCTGCACGGGAAAGGTGGCTCCTGCAGCGTTGGTGCTGGACAAGGAGAGCGGCGAGACTGCCCGTGGCGGGACGGCAAGAGGCGCGTCAGATGTGCGACAGGTCTACGACCGCTGTGTTCGTGATGCCCCACTCACCGTCATCCTTTGTGGCAGACAGGTACTGCAGCAGCGCGTCAGGAGCAGCCAACCTCATCTCCTTGTGTCCAATCGCTTTGCCCACGTTTGCGCTGCTGAATTCCGCATCCTCTTTTGCGAAGATTATGACCAGAGGCACAGGCGCAGCTTTCGATTTGGGCTTGAACACCAACGTCTTTGTTCCCACGTAGGACTTGCCCAGCGCCGCGTCTTTGAGCGCAGTGGCCCATTCTGATGGCGAGGTGACAGAGGCGTGCGTCAACTCTTGAGCTGTGATGGACAGCTTCGACAAGGTCGAAGAGAGCGCTTCCATCTTGTCAAGTACAGAGGAGGCTTTTGGGTTGGGTGAGGGGGCCGAGAGGCTAGGGATGGGCCTCCCTCGAGTCGTGTGACTATCTCGAGACGCCGGTTTGGTCTTGGCGCTCGCGATTCGCAAGAACTTGGGCGCTTTGCAGCTCAGCAAGGTCCGTGATGCGGCGCTGAGCTCGCTCTTCCTTGACTGATGTGGAAATGTCGATCCTGTTGGTGTTGATGCAGTCGAAGAGGGTGAGTCGATGTGTGGGCGAGGTACTCACGAGTCATTTGCAATCGCATTCACATTAATTCCTGATCGAGGGCGTGCACTCGTCACTGATCAGACACATTAAGCTGCGAAACGCGCGCGCGGTAACCCAAGTAATTCATAGTCATGCGCCAAACGTATCGGCCGAGAAAACCCAACTCTGCATGGCCACGGCCGGCCGGCACGTGGTTTGGTCGCACGACGCGGCGCCCAAGCGCGTCCTTTTGTTCGTGCATGCACCGGTGCGCGCTGCGCGTCCACGCGTGCAACAGGCGCGGCGCCGCGCGCGATCCATGCAGCGAGCGAGTGGTTCAGCTAGAGCACAGACCCACACGCGTGCGCGATGAATGTGCAGCAGCAGCAGGCGCGACGACGACGAAGACGATTCGTGATTCATCAGTCACGAGCGAGTTCGTAATTCCCCGACGCTGGCGCTGTGCACACACGCACATCATCATCACACCGCGCTTCATATTTGCATTCATACTCGAGCGCTCTTCGCAGACGCACTGTCCCGACCCATCACCTGCCACTCGCTCATCGCGGTCGCTATCTGGACAGGTCAGCCTTGCCTCCTTTGTCCTAGGACCGCGCGACTCCTCTCTCCATCTCATCATCATCGCCGAGGGACGAGCAGTTGATAGCTTGCGTTGCGCTTAGCCTGGCAGCACGCGGTCGCAAGTCCCGGGTCAAGATTCCTACTAGGATCGAGATAAAAGGGGTCTGCTGAACCTTGCAGCATCGCCTCAATCTCTCCACCACGCCTCGGCTCGAGCAGCCCCTCATTTTTAAGTGCACGTAAATCTTGACACGCGCAGCTTCGCTGCCACGATGCTCTTCGTCGGCGCGCGTCTGCTACCGCGAGCAGTGGCTCGTTCAAGTGCGACCCCGCTGGCATCGCAAGTGCGCAATTTGAGCTTGTCAGCGGCTCGACGCACCGTCGCCACGCCCGTCTTATCTCAGGCCGCTGCCAAGTCTTCCAGCACTGCGACCAAGTCTCGGAAGTCTACCACCGCCACTACGAAGGAGAAGAAGGCTGCGAAGAAGGATAACAGTACCAAAGCTAGTGGAACAAAGAAGAACAAGGAGAAGACGGCATCGGCATCGGCAGATAAGAAGAAGAAGAAGAAGGATAAACGTTGGATCAAGCTGGATGCGAACGGCAACAAGGGTGAGTTGAAGGAACAGGCCTGGGGTGCGCACCCAGAATGCAGGCTGCAACGGGACCTCTGCGCCGAGAACATAAGCAGCGCTTGTCGATGTGATGAGACGTTGCGCTCTGGCTCAAACATCTCGGCGATGAGCCAACATCGGCAGGTGAATGCTCGCAAAGGGCAACTCACACGCTGACACCCCACACCGCCACCTTTGCTCACCCTCTCTCTAGTGCCTCTGCCTTCTGAGCTTGAACCCAAAAGACCTGGCGGCGCCTATCTTATGTACTTGACTGCTCGTTTCCCCAGCCTCCAGGACAAGCCCGAATTTTCCTTGACGAAAACCGATGGTACGCGCGGTGTTGATACAGTAAAGATTACCAGAGCCGTGAGTGAAGAGTGGAAGGCCATGTCAGAGGCGGACAAGCAGCAACACAACGACAAGTTCGAGTCCGCCACGGCTCAGTATCTAGCTGGTGCGTATTTCAAGACACATGAAAGCGCCTGCACGCGCGAGCGCACATCACTCACTCTTCTTTCGCGCCGTGTCCAACACAGATCACGAGAAGTGGAAGAGCAGCTTGACGAGAGAAGACATTGAGCGTCAAAACGCTTTCAACAGACATCTGCGCACTTTGAAAAACAGACCCAAGCGCATCGTCAACCTTGCAGACCCACACAAACCCACAAGGCCACCCATACCCTTTTGGCTCTGGCTCTACAGCGGGGAGGCAGAGCAGAGGCCAGCTGGGATGACACAGAGCCAGTATGTTTCGGAGCAGAGCCGCAAATATAAAGCTCTGAGCGAGGCCGAACAGGGGGTGAGTGTGCCGCGTGCAAACTTCGGCGTGATCTCAAGCCTTGCCGCATGTCGCTTGGTGCTAACACTTTGCGGGGCGATGTTCGCAGCCTTATAAGGAGCAGTATGCCAAGATGAGGGAGCAGTACGAGCGCGCCCTGAAAAAGTACCAGGAGGGCACCAGCGCTTGATTGTGTTTCTTGAGCGAGAGACCGCAAGCGCAGGGCGCAATAGCGGCTCTTGTGCTTGCAATTTGCTCCTTTCGGAGTCACTTGCTGCTCTACCTCGGACAAGCCTATGCTAGCGGCCCCCCACTTCATGATTGGAACCTTTCTTTCACCTTTTGCTTCAAACAACTTTCTGCGCTTCACACCTCGAGCCGTCTAGCCGACGCAAGTCGGCCCGCGCGTTCATCCCCTCGACGCCCCCCCCCCCCCGGCGCACTCGACTTTTATGTGCCTCGCTTGCCCATTTTCTGATTTGGGTTTAGTCGCTCTGTAAGAAGAGTCGAGAATTTGTGGCTCTTTTGGATGTGCGTTAGTTGGGCTGCGTGCCCTGCCTTGGCACGTCCAGTCCTATCGTGTACGGCTGCTGTACGGTGGAAATCAAATGAAGGATTTGGATGTGCATCTCAGGCGGCTGCAGTGCCTTCTTCTGAAAGTGAACTGGTGGCATTGAAAAAGAATCGAGTGCGGGCGGGATGTGTGTGTGTGTGTGTGTGTGTGCAAGGTGCACGTGAGCGTGGAAACGTATCGGTGCGTGGGAAAGCGCGATGATGGAGGTGCGCGACAAGGGGAAAGCGCTGAGGTTGAACTTGCGCGACTGTTGGCTCACTTTGACCTCTTGCCTCCTCTAGAAGCTTTACCTCCCCTACCTCCTCGACTCGATGCGCCCTTGCTCGCCAATGCAGAGCTTCCTCTCCCGCCGCTCTCGAAACGTACGGCCTTGCGAGCATTGACCAGATCCGCATCTCCTTGTCCCTTGGCATTGGGCTTCGAACGTACCGGCGCACCTCCCTTTGACAAGCCGGAAATAAGCGCGAGCTGCGAAACTCGTTCGGAGGAAGTGTCTTGCTCGTTTGGTGCGAACTGCAAAAGTTGGGCGAATGGAAGCATGCAAGAGAGGAGCAGGGGGCAATGGATTAGTGAGTGATGCAGGCCCATTAGACGAGACAGATGCGATGAGGGACGCATTTGCGACACACGCTCGAGCCTGACCATCCAAACTCACCTGCCTCCTGAGACCCTTCTCTTTGCTCTCGCCTTTGAGCTGCTTGTCGTATTTACCCATGCTAGCGGTGCTGACCTTTGCCCTCTTGACATCCGCATCCAATTGTCCCTTTCTCAATTCCCTCTCCGCTTTCCTCTTTGCTGCCTTCTCCGCCGCAGCAGACTGAGGACCGCCGCCTAATCCTGCATTCGCTTTCTCCTGGTCCGCAGCTCTCTTGGCAGCAGCAGAGGTACTGAGAGCAGCCCCCGTCGCTCTCGCCAAATTCTTTGCATGTTTCGCATCATTTGACAATTTTCTTGCTTTGCGTTCCGCTCGAGCTTCCTTTGCAGGATCATGATCGTCGGAGACATTTTGAGGTAGTTCGTGTATCCACTGATCTTCCGCATCCTTGTTCTTGCCCTTGAAGCCCCATCTGGGTACCCACTCTTTCCTCTCATCATCCCAAACCAACTTGTCCCTCTTCTTGTTCCCATCGATTCCTTTGCGCTTCGCGAATGCTTCCCATTTCGTCTCGACCTTCTTCGCTGGTAAAGGCTTTTCGCGAGGTAGAGGAGTGCCGCCTGAGCCGACGGACAGCGGAGCAGGCAACAGGGCTATCCGTCCGTGATCGGGATGCTGCTTGGATGGGATGGCCCATAGCGCAGAGATCAAGGCTTGCGTGGAGATCGTCGCTCTACTACGCAGCAGCTCTTCGCGCGCCTCTTCGGATGCTGCTGTCAAGGATGAGGGAATGGCAGACGAATCGACGGAAAGCAGCAGGGCAGTGTCGATGTGTTGATGCAGCGGCAATTGGGCCGATGTCGAAGATGAGGCTGCCATTCTCGCCAGACTTGAAGTTCAGCCTGCTCTTGCGTAGTCAAGCAGCTTGCCTTGACAGTGCAGACTTTTTGAACAGTAACTTGATGAGCTTTGAAAGCGAAAGTGAGTGAGTGTGGGTTAGGCGGGTGTGAAGTTGCAGCAAGAAATTCGTAGACGCGGCGGGCGGACATCCAAGATGCCGCGTCCCAGTCGAGAAAAATTCATGGACGCCTCCGGGCACATTTTCTCGTACGACAAGACTGCCTTTACAGTGTGCTGTGCTGTGCACGGACAGAGAAAGGCGCGTCGCAAGCCTGCTGTGCGTGTGCGTGTGCGTGTGCGTGTGCGTACAACCAGCAGCACCTAGGCAATCGTGAGTGTCATTTTGGATGGCCATCCATGCCATTGCGGCTTGCACACTCACCACCTACCTGACTGCACGCAGCCACTCTCAAAATCCACGCACACCGGCAACAGCATTGCGACGTCAAGCAAGCTCGCTAGCCTCAGAACAGCCAATTCTGCTCTAAGATGTCTTCCCAATCGCTGCGTCTAGTCCCAGGTCCCAGCACCTCCTCCAGCGTCTCTCTCGAAAAGACTTCGCACTCTGTGCACGCAGGAGCTCACGATGCCATGCGTCATGGTCCGCGAAGTCTTTCTCACGAGAATTCGCACGCAGCTCATCATCCTTTGGAGTCCAGATTGGAGCAGTGGAATGGGACGAGGGATCAGTTGAAATTGAACTTGATGAGGAACACTTATGGATTGGGCGCTCCCATGCGTACCATGCTAGAGCGGGGTTGCGTCGTCAAGGTGAGCTGGGTTTCTGATGTGCGATCGTATCATCGTGGGATGGGACGCGACTACCGGCTACAGGCTTGCTCTGAGCGGTGTGGATGATAGCTACGCATACGCAGTGGATAAATAAACAAAGACTTTGGTGCGATTCCGATGCTTACTTCAATCCTCCCCCCCACATCCTTGGCGCCACTTCGCAGGACGGTCCCTTTCCAAACATGCACGCTTCTCACGCCGGCACGCACAAAGGTCTAGCAGCTATGCAATTGGACATTCTCAACGGCGACGACGAGACGTTGGAGCCTAGCGATTTCTTGCCCAGTGAGTGCAACTTGCAAGACTGATCACCCAGCGCTGGCTGTATGCGATGCGTTGGCCATGGGTTTCTTTACCAATGCCGCCTTTGCTTACTGCTCGCATCTCCCTCATCCCATACCCTGCTCCCTTCATCAGCCGACTTTGCTCATGACAATTCCGACATTCACGCTTTGCTCGATGCCAAATCGAGAAGGTCTTGAGAGATGTGCAATCAAGATCAAGCCCGAGCTGCACGTCGTCGAGCGGTCAGCATGACTGAAAAGTTCAGCATCAAGTTGTTTTCGACAGAGCTATGTCTGTCCGACCGCGCCTCCTCAGCAGCACATTGTCGAATGCCCACCTCTGCGAGGGACATCTTTTCGTCAGAGGTGCCCTCGACACGCAATCGTTCCGTGGGCCATCATTACAAATGCATGTGTTTGAGCTATGCTACAAATGAGGGAGACGCGTGCATTGTCGAGCGTGACTGGGTGTCCTAGGAGAAACGAGATCCAAGGTTCAAATCGCCTGGTTGGGGGGAGATGTCCGTGTCTGTGTCTGCGTCTGCGTCTGTGTTTGAGCTTGTGCTTGAGCTCGCGCAGCAGCAGCTTTCCTGAGCAAAGCCTTGTTGCTCAGACCTCCATTTTGCGCCGTCGACCTCTTCTTGACTGCCATCCCATGTCTAGGCGTCCAAGGGCCTCTAGAATCGTCCGCATAAAAGTCCATGGGGTAATCCGCTTCCGAGCCTGATCTCAGTCCTTCTGTCCCATCACGATCATTTTCGTTTGCCTCTCTCTCCTCGCTCTCTGATGAATGGGCCCCCTGATTCGGTGGCGCCAAAGACGGAACACGCACTTCTCGGACTGCTCGACTAGCTTTCTCAGCTCCCACCATACCCACACCTTCTCCCCTGATCTCGTCCCATCCCCTCGTCTTGTCCACAGCCACCGCAGCCTCATAAGGACTCAACAGAGGTTTCTCAAAAGCGCTGCCCCAGTCTATGGACAACCGAGGACAAGAGCTCTGAACGAAAGCGTCCAGGTGAGGCCCAAAAAGGGCCAATTTGGCGGGCGAGAGTTCCGAGAGGAGGATGGGAACTACTGGGATGCAACGAGAGCTCTGCGAAAGGATGGTGGAGATGTTGGATAGGACGGAGAGGGAGCCTTGTCGGCCTAACGTGCCTAGGATCACACCCCAACCAGCAGCCTTGGGCTGCTGTACCACTTGCGTAGCGGCTTGCACCGTGTGAATTTCCCCACCGAATTGGATCGATGGCGCTTCTGCCTTCCGTCTCGAAGCAGAGACGGTAGCAGTACCAGCCCTGGCCATCTTGACCGCATCGCTCCTATCCTTTCGCATTCTCTCGTGGTCGTAGAATTCCCTCACAAAGACCCTATCGTACGGGTCGAACCTGAATGCGGGAACCCTTGGATTGGCAATCATGACGCTTTCCAGATGAAAGCGGCCGTCCCCTACGTAAAGTACCAGATCTGTATCGGCGGGGAGCACAGGTGATGTGCATCCCAGAATCTCGCCTGGAGAGAGGGGCCTGATCTGAGGAATAAGCGGTGCGTATGCGCCCCTGTCGTACCTCGGTGGACTGGGGTACGGGCTGACGGATCTGGATGGGGGAATTGATGAGGAAGACGAAGAATCTTGCTGATGTGCAGAAGTGCTTCCCTCGATTGCTAGCCTAGCCGTGCTGCCCTGCATGAAATCCTCTGTTGGCCAAGGCTCCTCCAGGTCTTCTTTGAGACCCTGCAACGCTGCAATGAATTGAACAGTCCCGACCATGGCGATCTTGAGCTTAGCGTCCTCCTCTCGAGCACACCCTTCCGCTTCCAGTTGCACATTCACATGCCTGACGCTTCTCGAGCTCGTTGCAGCTGGAGGATCTGATTGGATTTCATCCGACAAGATTCTCCTGCGAAACTCTTCGCGCGACGAGGGAAAGTTGGCGCGGACTGTTGATGCTAGATGAGCGGCATCGATGGCAATCTCCACAAAGACGTATAGCGTCCTGATCGAGGTCTGATCGACCGGGACTGCGAGGCGACCCAGCAAGTGAAATGCGGCGCGTGAGCAAAGGTGGCAAGGAATAATTTCCGACGGGAAACAAGGAGCTGAGATGCCAGCGTGCGCGGTCTACTCACCTAGGCAGCTGTGTCCGTAGTGGATGAGCAGATCGGCGCCTAAAGCCCTTGCAGTGTAATCGTCGACGCAGCATGCTCCATAGGTGACATCGCCCATGATGAGCGTTCCAGCCTCTGTGAATCTGTGCGCGATATCGTCGTGCTCGTCAGTACGGGTACGCAAGAGCCGTCGCGCTCACCCACCAGTCATCCCGCGCTTGCCCAGCCGCTAGCTCACCTCTCGATGATGTCGCAAATTGCAGTTGACCAGAGAGTCAAGCCCTCAGGCATCTGCAGAGCTACCATGCTGCAGCCGTAGAACCTGATCTGATGAATCGTCTTGTGGATCTCAAAGCTGTAAGTGCGAGGGAGCAGCGCATCTATGCAAGCGTTGAGCGCTGCATCCTCCAAGATTGCAGCGGGCACCGCTCCCGCATTGAGATTGCGAGTGGCACTGGGCGACATTTCTTGCCCTTTGCGGTTCGGCTGGCAAGACGCCCAGAAGCAAGATAAGAGTGCGAAAGGATGTCGTTAAAGCGAGGAGCGATGGATGTGCGCCCGGCGCGATTGAGCTTCGAACGGGACGAACACGACGGGCTAAAGTCGTGAGTCACGAGTTTGGGTGTTGACCAGTCAAAATGAGAAATGAAAAATGAAAAACTTCGAACTTTGGATCGCAATTTTGAATCAAAATGTGAACTTCACTCACTCGTGACTCAAGACTCATCAAGATTCACGATTTGCGCCCTGCATGCTTCATGGCGTCGAGCGATTACCGAGTCACGTGACCGACTTGCTAGCTCGTTCCTCCTTGTCTCCCACCTTTTTTGTATGACAGGTCCGACCCAAGCGTCAGCAGACAATCACGAATCGTGAATCGTGAATCTTGAATCACAGATCAGAAGAATGTGAATGATCACGAATGTATTTGTTGGGCAACATTCAGACTTCCGTGCGCGCTTCGTTGGCGTGAGGTGCTGTTCGATGAAGCGATGATTGGCTTTGATTTTGCTTGCTCCTTCGATCAGGAAATCTGCAGATTTCACGTTCAAAACAAAAATCACGGATGCGATGAAGAATCACAACGAAATTGAATCAGTGAATGTTGCACTTGAGCCCCATCTTTGTCACCACCTCGCTTGGGGAAGTCCAATGCTTGACTCAAGTCTCACGGCGCAGCACTTTCGACTCGTGGCCGGGGGGCCGGTCGCGAGTCTTGAACAATTTAGTGGATTGATTTACTTGTTACGGTAAAGCCATGAATCGCTCTTCACTCCATGAGACGGCTGGATCTCTAACAGCAAGTGCTCACGAAGATGCTTTGCAGGATGCAATTAAAGAGGCCTCCGGATGCGGCTCAGATGTACTACTTCCGTACTCGGACTACTGAACCTTTATTTGACTGTCTCCCCAGCACGTAGGCGAGGTATAGATCTCGAATCCTAGCAGTAGCAGATCCCTTTGAGGAGCGTTCCATACATCGCCTCCGGGTCGTTGTGCATAAGGGGTCCGGTGCGCCGCAGAACAACGCGACTCAGACTGACAAAGTACAGCATCCACCAGCGCTGGGAACAGATAGTCTGATGAGTCACAGTCACTCAAGAATGCTCGAATTGAAGCAGCGTCTTGCATACAAGGCGATCCAGACCGCGATGGGAAGACGTGCACTACTTTCACGTTTGCACTTGACTCAAATTTGTCACTGCAAGACTTGCTTTCGCCAAACACGAATCAAGATGAATCGCCGTGCAATCTTTCAGCTAGAGTAAGCAACGTACGCAACCCACGACTCGTGACTCAGACTGTTGTTTCTTCGACCACTTCGGCTCCGACCTTCGGAGCTGTAGCTGTAGCTGTATTCGGAGCCGCAAGCTTGTTGAGGCGAACTAGCGAACCAGACCGTCGATCAGCTTTTTACGCGTGCATTGCATCCGCTTCGTCTCGTCTGCGATGCAGCAGCAGAGTCACGAATCAAGAATGGGGTAGACGCTCGATTCGTTCCACAACTCACAGATGGATTGAGATGAGTCACGATCGAGTGGTCGGACGTGCATGTGTTTCTCATCATAAGTAAAGAGAGAATCACACAATCGCGAATTGTGAATAGTCGTGAGCCTAGCCCAAGTCGACGGGGACACGTACTTATTTGAGTATACATCTGTCGGACTTTCGTGCGTGTCTTGGACTCCTACTGCTCTGTCTGCACCTCCCATAGGGGGCGCGGATCGCTCTCCACGGCCCCACCGCGGCGCTCGAGCCGCCAAAGAAGCGGAGATTGTACCCCAATCAACATCCTCGAGGTACGTGCGGTCCCGCACAGCGATATGACTCACACTCGGGCCGTGCAGCGCCTGACCTTTGTGCCTCGTCGAGTGGTCGGGTACTGGCTCTCAAGATCTGTCAAGGACCGTTATACCCGGCATGCACGACTCATCTGACTGAAGCACGGTATCAAGGATATTTATAATTGATTGTGAATCTTGAATCGCTGTGAATCAACTCCACAACAGAGTGTAGCCACGAGTCCTTATAGCGGCCCAGCGCCGTTGGATGCCCAGCAGCGCGCGCAGCAACAACTTTAGAACGCGTGTGCCAGCTGTGTGTGGCGCTGCACACGTATATGCTACGGGCTCTGCGCGTGGTTGATAGACAAGCAGTCGAAATGCTCGGAGTGGCGGTGCGCTTCTTTAAGATTGATGAAGCTGCTGTCTCGCTACGTAAATCGCTCAATTGGCTTGGCTAGTCGTATTTGGGGGCGCGTCCCGCTGCTATATGAAGCTCTGCTGCAGTTCTCTTGACTCTTGACTATCGCTCACCCCTCGATCGCCGCCGCGTGTCACAACCCGCGCGCAGCAATCAAGAATGAGCGCCATGCATCAAGACCGCTCGACCGCTCTGCAGCAGTCACGAGTGCGACGATGCATGCATGCACCATACGCGTCTAATTTTCGATTGGCGCCTTTCTCCACACTTTTCCACCAGCAGGCACAGAGACAGGCGGTGCTGCTGTGTCCCACAATGCGAATTTTGAATGTCAATTACGAATTTTGAAGGATATTGAGCCCAATAAGCGGGCCGGTCTCACTTTGGCTCTTTTGTTGCGTTGCAGACTTGCGCGCGGGTTTGCCCGCCTCAGCTAGGCGACTGCCCTGCATGCGTGCCATCCCCAGCATCTTCAACCTGTAGCCTAGCACTCAAGACTGCTGCTGCCTGTCCAGAGCTACGTCACGGGGCGACCTCCTTGTGTAGCTCCGACCGGTTCGAGATTTGATTGCACAGGTGATGAGTATGAGCGCGAGGGAATTTTGTTCCCAAGGCTGTCCGTACCCGTCCTGTGCTTCCCCACATACCCACGGCCAAGACTCACGACTCATCGCACCTCACATATATGCCTCGACGTGAACCGATGCGACCCTCATTACGTTCCCATCAACCCTCATTTGCAGCCATGTCACGAAGCGTTCCCTCATGAACATACCCCGCTCATCCTTCTGAGCCCTGATCGCCACCCGCGCATTCTTCTTCAGATCCACATTCACGATTGACCAACATCATCCATCTCGCACCATCCATCAGACCTGTCGCAACCTGTAGTCGCCTCATTGAGCAATCGACAGGAGCATTCGGGGATCACGTCCTGCATTCTACAGACCGGCCTACAAACCTGCGATCTGCGCCTCTGCTACGTCTTGATTCGGACCACAGGCCAGGAGCGGTCACGACACAATCCGCAAACACTCTGCATTTGCTTAGCAGTAGACCGATTTGCCCATTCCATCCGCGCTCATCCACACCCTGTAGCCTTGTCGCTATTCTTGAGCTCCAAGAACAGCTACTCTCGCGCAGCCATATCGCCACTGGAGCAGCATAGTGCCGACTTTCGGGTTGCGAGGGCAGCTCAGCTGCAAAGCGCACTTGCTATGTCCAACCTAGACGCCTTTGTCCGACCCTCCGTTGGTCAGCGTGAGGAATCAGCCAGCTTCGGCAATCGGCACAATGGAAGCCCGAGTGGTGCGCGACCGATGCTTGACGAGGACAAACCATCGAAAGGATTCGCCACATTCAACTTGACCTCAAGTAGCAATGGGCTAGCTCCACCAAGCCCAAGCTCTCCCTCTTTCACGTCCAGCATGTACATGCCGACCATGCATGAGGAATGGACATACTCACAAGATTCCAACAGGTCTCGCTTGTCAAACCACTTGCGCAGCCCTCTGGGTCAAGATTGGGCAGCCTCTCACAGACACCGCTCGACTTCGAGTGCGGCGGCTATGCCGCATCACCTCTCGCGCGCTTCGTATACTGGCAATGGGCAGCACGGTCGCTCCTCATCCGTCTGGTCTGATGCCGATGCGAGCGCTCGGAGACTCGGAGCTTGGGACTCCGGATCGTACGAGGGGTCTCTCTCAGGCTCTTTGAGGGACGAGGATGATGGGGACTTTGGCGACACATCGCGCTCAGGCGAGCAGACAGCAATACAAAGCCCGGTCCACAGGGGTCGCGACATGCGTCCGGCTGCCCCGGTCGACGGGACCGGCAGCGAATCAAGAAGGCACTCAATTTCCACGGCCCCTGGCGCCTACTCAAATGGATCTCAGAGGCGAGCTGTGGGTTTCACTATCCCGTCGCAGATGTCAACAGCGTCTCGGACGACTTCTGCGGGGCCAAGGCCATCGCAGGTACCTACTCCGAGAGCTGGAGGCTCATCCCTTTTCAGCAGCGGAGGACTTGCCTTCTCGGAAGATGACCTCGTCTCCGAGCTGAGCACTCTACATCTGAATCTGAACGAGGTGGCGGAGAAGCGAGAGGCCGAGGCTAGGGAGCAAGCGAGACTAGCTAACTCCAGACTTGGTCAGATTAATTTGCGTGTGCCTTCTTCCATTGCTGCGGCGACGGGCGAGCATGCATCGTCCATGCCGAGTCGACTGGGCGAGCAGGAGCATGCACTTGGGAACGGGGCCAACATCGCTACCAATTATGGGAGTCCGTGGAGCGCGCGACCAAGACAGACGGATCTGGCTGCATCATGGGATCTGCGTACCCCAGCTTCTTCCTCGCCCCAGCGTCAGAATGGCTCTGAAGTTCAGCCTCGTCCAGGTCCGATCGGCTCGGCAATCGATAGTGAAAGCGTTCCGATCGATCGCAGCTTTTCGGGCACACGAGGCCGCACCCCTTCAGTGTCGTCCTCGCTCAGCGGTCGCTCTGACTCTCGTGGTCCTCTGAGCCCACCTGGACACGCCTTCCGAGCGATGGATCCTCATGCGCCCATACAAGGCTGGTCGAACCATCTAACGGCTCCACCCATTGCTAGTCTGCAACACCACAATGACCAGTTCGAGCCATTCCCTCACGAGGCTCAAATCAGGGTCGGTCCGACTGGACAATCGCGATTTGTTCCAATGGCACACCCCCCTGCGCCGCCCCATCTGAATGGAGTGCCGAGTCATGCCCAGATGCAAAGCCTCTTGCCGCTTGGGGTGCGTGTGCCTCCTAAAATCGCGGCGAACAACTTGCAGCCACTGCCAGACACCACTTTGACGGGGCTTGCAACCCTCGGGCCCATCCCTGTGAGTGGAAGCGGGCCAGCTGGCGCCAGGGCAAATGAAGGCCCAGCATACCTGCAAGAATTCGGCAAAGGTGTGCCATTGCACTCCCTTCCACCATCTCAGCAGCTTTTCTTATGCGGCTTCAAAGCGGATCGCACAGACATCTTCTTCCGGCAACCCGACCTGGCCGGCGGCTTTTCGGAAGAGGAGCAGATTGGCGTCGGCGACCTGGTCGTGGTTGAGGGCGACAGGGGCAAGGACATCGGTACTGTGGTCAATTGCAGCATCACGGCAGAGCAGGTCGAGCATTTTCTTGCCCACCAGAATGAGCTGTTGGCGCTTGCCGGTAAGGCTGATGGATCTTTGGGAAGACCTGTCCGTGCCATCAGTCCGAAACGCCTGTTCCACAAAGCCACCTCGGCGGAGCTCAGCATGCTACCTTCAAAGGCGCAAGACGAGGAAAAGGCTTTGCAGCTGGTGCAGACGAAGGTCATACAAAGGGGACTGCCTATGCAGGTCATCGCTGCTGAATTTCAGTGGGACCATCGTAAACTCACCATCTACTATCAGAGCTCTCAACGCGTCGACTTTCGTGATCTGGTCAAGGAACTTTTCCGATTGTACAAGAGTAGAATCTGGCTCGTGCAAATCTAGATGGAAGCAGTTCAGTCATTCCGTGCTTCTCCAATTTTAAGTCATATTCTTCGCCATTCTATCTAGAAGGAAGATGATCTGAATCTTCAAGAAACCTTGGAATTACTGTTCCTGGTGCGCTTCCTGCTTCCTTCTATTCTCAATCTGAACTCAACTTTCACTGTAAGATTACAATCCTTGAGATGTCACTCATATCTACACTGCTGCAAATACAATTCGCTCTGTTACGGGTCTTTCGCTAGGGCATGGAAAGGAAGAGATGCAAGAATGCCGCTCGCTACGAGTAGTGGCTTTCGCGCAAAACAGATAGTGTAAGGATGCACGCTCTTGACCAAAAGCGAGGTTGGGAGGGCATACTTCCACCCGCAACGAGCGACATTGTCGTCGCACAGGCGATGGTCGCCTACCCGCTCGAACTCTTCAAGAAGCTATTGAGAGCCCGTCTCTTCCACGCTGCCGTTGACACGCCAGTCGCTCGTAGCTTTCCCGACGTCAGATTGTGCCGGTATCGTCCAGATGGAGAGCCAGTCACCTCGAAATCTGGAGAAGAGTTTTGCTCAAAAGTCAGTCGCGAGTTGGAAGTGTTGTTCTCTCGCGCACAAGCGTGGGAAACCAACACCTGCATGCGTGCTGCTGCTGCTCGCTGAACCCTCAAATCTTCTCGACTTCGTTCGCGCGCGCCGATCGCTGCTGATGCTGCACATCAACAATCACGAATCACGAATCGCGCCGCGCCGCGCCACGCTATCTGGATGATTCGCGCCGCGTAGTTAAGCGGTCCACGCCGCGCCGCGAGAAAAGAAGCAGCGCGTAAATTGACGCGGGTGCTCACGCGTATAGGTCACTTCCTCGCGTCCGCCACGGACGTTCGCGCTGCTGCTGCTGCTGCCACTGCACTTGCGGAAGGCTTTCTGCCTCTCGGAAGGGTGATGCAAGGAGTCCAATGACTCAGAGCGTCGATTGCGACTATCGGATGCTTTGTATTGCAGTGACTCCGACTTGGCGGTGCAAGCCGAATTTGTACCTGCTCGGCTGCCCCCACAACCCACGCGATGGTTGTCATCTGGACGGGTCCAAGATCAGCGCTACCCTCTCTTCCACCTTCAACACCCGCGCACCCAATTGCCTGCTTCAGCTTCCAACGCACATCCCTTTCTTCACACTAGATAGCGTCACCTGCTACACACTCATACAACTCCACTTCCGACGTCAAGCGATCCTGCTTTCTGTTGACCGGCCGCGCTTATACTCGAGACTGCCGCTCCTGTCGATTTAGGAGGCTTTCGCGCCCCAAAAGGTGGTGCCCATTCACGGCGTACCTGTCAAAACGTCGGATCGCCCTTGGTAAGCCTCTGCTAGACCTTGTGACCCTCCTTTGTCGCCATGCCAACCACACGCGCCCTCAGCGCGCGGCAGCAGTCTGGAGCAGCCGGCGCCACGGCGGGCAGCGATGACATTGACAACATCAAGGCGATGCACGCCAAGACGGCGAGCGGACTGTCCTTGACCGAGAACGGCGAGGCTTCACAAAGGGCGACACTCAGTCTGACAAGAGTGCCGCGTCTGTTCAGGCGCACGTCCTCGGCATCCAGCACGAGCAGCTACTCTCCCGCTCCTCGCACTTTCCAACGTACATGTTCATCCCCCATCACGCTTCAAAGCCCATCCGCACTCGAAGGCTTCGACTACATCTCTTCCCGATCCCGCGCATCCGCACCGCGTTCTTCCTACGGCGGGAGCTCCACCTCGAGCCAAACATCGTCCAAGGCCTCGACGCGTCCGACGAACGGGTTCAGACGCGTCAAATCCTCTGCCAGCCTGTGCAGCAACTCGCAGTCCAACAGCCAAGCCAGCGGAGGTGAAGAGGACGACTCAGACGAAGAGAGGAGATACAACAGACGATCGTCGAGGTTGGGTGGATGCGGTCGCTCGTCGGAAACCAGAACGTCGCGGGATGATACGAACAAGGAGAACATTGCGCCTTTCAGAAGAGTCGAACAGCTCACTCCGCGTCAACGCATGAACGAAGATCGGGATGCTCAGGAAGAGGCGGTCGCTCGTCGGACGCGCTCCACCGCTGCTACGCCTATGCGCGGTCGACACTCTTCGCCTGCCTCTAGCATTCATTCGGGATCCAGCGAAGGTGAGTTCGGCAAACCAAGGCAGAGCTGTAAGCCTGTGCTTCGAGGGTGTTGCGAGTCTGCAATAGTCGTTAGGCGTCTCCACGTCTACCTACGCCTCGCCATCGCGTGCGCCGGCAATCGCAATCTGACCATCAGTGCACATCTTTCCTTGCAGCTCGCTCCTCTTACTCTCTGTCTCAAAGCCGTCTGCACGCTGATCTAGGTAATGCCGATACTCCACGACGACCGACAACCACTCGCAAGCGTTCGCGCATGGCAAGGGACGATGAAGGTGAGCAAGGCGAAGCCGACGTGCGCTCGCCGCGCTCCTCTTTGGCACGACTTCGTCTCCAGAGGACGCCATCTTGCGCTTCGGCATCTTCCCTCGCCGAAGTCAATGATGAGGCCGAGAGCTACTTCTCGAGTCAGAATACCAATGTGAGCTCTGTCTTCGATGTCGGTATGGCTTCTACCCCAGATGGTGCGGCCTCGGACGATGACGAAGACGACGTAGAAAGTCAGCCAACCTCTCGCGCACCGTCGCCGGTGTCCGACTTTGCTTGCGTGCCGATGGACGCAGAATCTACTTTGGACGAGGCGTCGCTGATTCACGACGGTGGAGCGGTCCACGACGAAGCCAACGCGCAAGAGCACCATTTCAGCAATGTTTACGCGCACGCTCGCGCTCTGCTGCGCTGCAATGCTGGCACCGACGCTGTCGACGAAGGCGTCAACGCCGCCGTCGACCAGCAAGTCATAGGCCGCGACAAGGAACGCAAAGCTCTGCAGCGCTTCCTGCACTCCCGATTCGATCTGTACAGGCACATGGAACACAGCGCTACACCAGCAGGCGAAGGTGATCATGGTTGCGAATTGGACGGAGCGCAAGACTCTGGAGCGCTGTACGTTTGCGGGATGCCAGGCACCGGAAAGACGGCACTTCTTCGTAGTACCCTTGCTCAGCTTCGTGAAGCAGATCTAGCAACGACTTCGCCATCCATTGCCTTTGTCAACTGCATGACTGTTGAGCATCCTCGCGACATATTTGCCAAGGTACTCGAAGCGATGGGTGTAAGTTTCGACCGTCAGAACGCCGAGAAGACGCTGGACGCTATTGCTAGAGACTCGAGGCAAAGAACCTTGATCGTGCTGGACGAGATCGACCATCTGCTAGGCTCGCGTACCCACCAGAACATTCTGTATCGGCTGTTCTCCTGGGCGACCGGCTCTGCACCTGGCAAGGATGGAACAGGTACATGCGCTCTTATCGGCATTGCCAACTCTCTCGACCTCACCGAGCGCTTCGTACCGCTGCTGGCCAGCAAAGGCGCAGAGCCTGCGCTGCTTCACTTCCGACCGTTCGAAGCTGCTGAGATTGGGTCCGTGATCCGCGCCCGGTTAGCGGCGCTTCTACCTCGTTACGATCAGCACACGAGTGACGACGACGTCGATGCTGGCGATGTCGAGGAGCCCGCACCTCTGGCTCTCTTTGCCCCTGCCGCGCTAGACCTCGCTTCGAAGAAGATTGCAGCTGCGACTGGCGATCTGCGCAAGGCGCTCGATGCAGCTCGTTTGGCCATCGAGTTGGTGGAAGCAGAGCAACGCAAGAAGCATGCAGCCTCGGAGGCTGATGGTTGGAAGAGCGAAGTGAATGGAAAGATCTTGGCTCACCTCACGCCCAAAAGTGCGCCGAAAGTATCTCCTCAGCACATCGTCAAGGTGCTTGCTAGCGTGCTCGGCAGTCAACAGTTGAACAAGATTCGCGCGCTTAGCCTCCAACCCAAACTTGCTCTCGCTGCTATCTTGGTATGCCAGAAACGTCAGGCTGAAGGTCTTGCAGTCCTAGGCTCGGGCAATTCGGAGGCAAAGAAGTTTACCAAGCCATGTGCCACGTCTCAGCTTGCCGACGTAGAGCTGACGTACTCGGCAGTCTTGCGCAATGATGGCAACATTTTGCCCACTCTCGAGAGCTCCGAATTCTTGGACGTGCTAGATCTTCTGAGCGTGCACGGCTTCATCGTCATGGAAGAAGCCACGGGCTCTGGCTACAACAGCGGCACCTTGTCCGCTGGTGCTAGACGGGCGACGAAGAAGCAACACATCGCAGCGACGAGGATTGTGCGTCTGGCCATCTCTTTCGAAGATGCGCTGCGCGGACTGACCACGGAGGGCTCTGTGAGCGGAAACGCCACATCCACTGCGGCCGCTCGGCGCCTCTGGAGCGCCGAGGAGGAACGTATCCGTCGAAGCCGCGGGTGGGAAGCACGAGCGAAAGAAATCGAAGCGACGCGCGCCGAGGAGCTTGGCGGAGGTAGGATGGCTCAAGGATGTTTCTGAGCTGTGCCATCACATCGCAAACGTATCGCGCAGAGAGCGTCGCCATCGCAGCTAGCTGTTTGCACTCATCTGCGCTCAGCGGCTTTGATAAGCCTAGAGTCAAGTTTCTTGCCTCGACACCTCCTCTTCTCGTAGCAATCACAAGTACCCATGAAGTTTATAAGCGGCTCCGAATACATGACATCATATTTACAGAACATCCCACGCCATCGTGCAGTCAGAGTCGTGAGCGCAGCTCTTGAACAGCTCATCGCATGCACGCTTGTCAGTGCTGCGCGATCTTGCAGCCATGCTTGGCCCTCGAATGCATGCGAAGCAAAGAATTGGGCATTACTCGTCTCGTGACGCGGCTTTTGTACATTAGTAGTAGTGGTAAAGTCTCAGTCATACAGCATAGACCAGCGAGCCCAATTGATCTGGCGGCGACCTTCACTCGAGAGGTTGCACGGTGCGTGCGGCGAGAAAGCTTGAGCTCAGGCGGTCACCGGGGTTTGTATAGCTCCAGACTCGACGCTAGCGATGATGATCTCGGATTCACTTTGCTCAGCCGAGGCTTGCTCGACGAGGGGCGGGCTATGAAGAAAGGGGCGGGGCAATATTCTCGGTAAAGATGATGACCCCCCAAGACAAGAAAAGTATTGTAGCCAGCCGACTCACTCGGATAGCAATTTGCTGCTAGCTTCCTCCACCGTCGTTGAAAGCTCCAAATTTGGATCGATTGCGCATTCCTGCTGTTCCTGCGCGGTTGCGTCTTCCGGTGGCGCAAAGAGTCGAGGGTCCAGAGCTGCCGATGGTACAGGGTCCACCAGAGGCAAGGCGACGTGTGCGACTACGCGGCTTTGAGGGTCACTCGACCCATTCTCACCAGCTTCTGCAGTCTGTGCACCCGGAGCAGGCGGAGGCGCAGAAGCAAGAGGCTGGCTGGCTGGCATTGAAAGGTGCTGCTCGTGCTCGATAGGGCTCTCACGTTCGTCTGGATGTAACAAAGAAGTTGAGACCACTGTGGTCGACTTGTTCCGTACCTTTGCAGTTCCAGGGGCGGGTCGCGTGCTATACTCGAGGCATCCCTTGCCCTTGTCCCAGTCGATCCAGTGCATGGCCAGAAACGCAAATGAGCGAGCGCCGAGCACAACTCCGAAAGCCTGAAAGGACATTTGCGTGCAAGCGCTGGGGTCGAGCTGTGATGCCCAGACACAACCCTTTGCGCTTATGCGTTCTTCGTCGCCGAAGATAAGCCCCCACGCCGTTTCAATCACTGCGGCGACTGCTCTTCCGCATTCGGGCGGAAATCGTACCCGCACCGGCTCCGCAGCTGCAGAAGGCCCCGATCTAGCTTCGTTGGATTTGTGTGATCCTTCTTCTCGCGCCCTTCGAACTATGAAGTCCAGGCTCGATTTGAAAAGCAAGAGCTGGATGATCATCAGCAGCCGCCGAATCGATTTGGCGAGGACTGCGGCGCTAGGGTGTGATCGCTGCTGCTTTTCCGCGTCCAAGATGATGGGCTTTTGAGCGCGGCAAAATGCGCTCAACGCACCTTCGATATTGTTTTGGTGAGCTGTCACGCTTTCTAAGCTGGTAAATTGGGACGTAACCGGCTGATGTAGATTTCGCAAAAGGTGCTTGAGGATTTGTAGCAAACTCAAAAAGGCGCACATCAGGTGGGCCAAGAGTCGGGCTGCAGGTACGCTTGTTTCGCCCACCATCACGTACACCCAACTGGGATCTGGCATCGGCAGGCTGACAGGCGACGTCTCGGCCACAGGGCTATCCGATGAAGCACTCCACAAAGTTGTGATCGCGTCCAGCGCCAAGGCGAGTGTACCAACCAAAGCATTGCTGCGAAGCAAAGCAGGGTTATGCAGGCCGCACGAAGGAGCAAGTCGCAGAGCTGTGCTGATGACGTGTCGGCGCTCGATTCGGCCTGGATCGCCGGGCCAGTAGACAGCGAGGAGTAGTAATGCCTGGATGAGGGCCAGATCACCCTTGAGAGAGTAGAGTGATGAGCAGACGGCCTCAACCTCCGCTGCTGCCTTCTTCCAAATGTGTGGTCGAAGAGCGACGAGTTCCAGAGGTTCCGTGACGATGGCGACTGATGAAGCCAAGATCGTGAGCAAGAGGAAATCGGGCACCGGAGCCGGCAGCCCGGGTCCACGACGGAGGATTAGATCGCTTTGAGACGGGGGCACAATCAGCGCGTGTGGGCCGTTCGTCTCGGAACGGAACTTGCGCAACAGAGCGTGGACCAATCTTCGACAGGAAATCTCGACCAGCTGTCCCTTGTGTGATATCCGCGAAGGGATTCCCCAAGACGTGAACTTTACATCTTCCGCCGCCAGACGACTCGCTTCAAGGCCATTCGTGCCTGCAGCAAATGAAGTCGATTGGGGTAAGGCTAAAGGGGAAAGCCGTGAATCGCATTAAAGAAAGTCCGACGTTGAGCACCAGGCGGCAGCAGGGCTGAATTGACCTCACTCACCGGTGAGACCTTTGATTTTGGCACTAACGTTGCCGTTCGCTCCGGACAGAGCTGGTATACCAGCAAGAGCAGTGCCATCCAGATCGCCGTCAGGCCAACCCTCTTGAACGCCATCTCCAACCGCAAGTTCGAAGGATACGTGCTGCTTTGGCATCGTGCTGTGCGCCAACGTCGTGCCGGTTTCGAGCGATGCAGGTACTATCATTGGAGCGTTTCCGGAACCGTACCTGACTTCCATTTTGACACATTGCCCACCCATCACATTACAAGATGTGCATGGCTCGTCGGATGTGGCAGGAGCATCGCACTGCGTGACCGTGCTCAAAGCTCAGCGGCAGCAGCAATTGTGAGTGTACAATCCCATTTATGAAACGCAACTCACCCCGGATTTTGATCCTTGCAAGCAAGACTGACAAATGATCCGACCGACCCTTGCCCTACCGCTCAGCGACTTTAAAGCTCGGGGAAAACGGGAATGCCTGGAAGTGAGAAGATGCGGGGATAGCGGAAGGGGATGCCGCGAATTGTAAGGCGTGGCGAGCATCTGCAGAGGTTCCCCTTGGCTGCCTTGAGTGAGCTGAGGGTCAATGTTGGCGCTATAATGCGATTCTGTAGAAGCGTCGGTACCGTTGATGAGCGCTTCTTGAGCCTTGAGCCTCTGTTCAACCTCTTCCAGTCTAGAACTCGCTTGGGTTCCCAGCCGTTTCCGCTTTGCTCTACTGGATGCACCTGCTGCCGCTGTGGGTGTACGAGCACCTGGAGAGCTTGTGTCTGCTACCGAAGTCTTCAGTGAAGAACTGCTGTGGCCGTGACGCAGCGAGTATCGCGACTTTGGAGCAGAGGAAGGGTCACTAGCGAGCGCACCTTGAGAGGAGTTGTCTAGCTTTATGCCCTCGCACGTCAAGCCCACGATACCAGAATTCTGGCTCTGGTTGCTGGAAGATGACTCGGCCCTTCGTCTGCTCCTCCGTGTGATTGTCTTGCGACGTGCTGCCAAGATTGGCTCGTCCGTGGAACGATAAGGCTGAGACGAAGATTCGAGCTCGTTGCTCACTGCGCTAGCAGACCTCTCGACACCCCTTGGATACGTCGGTGAAAAGTTTCTAAAGATGCCGTTCTTGCGCCCAGGCTGGATATCTGCCTCGTCGCCGCTGGCTGCAGAGTGAGTGATGGAAGTCGCGCTCGGCAGAGGTGTCAGAGTAGACGATCTGCTGCGTCCACTTCTCCGTCGGCGTGTGATCAAAACTTTGTTGTTGTTGTTGTCGCCGCTGTGTGGAGCGTAAGAAGGACTCTGCGGCGAGCTTGGCAAGAGCGATAGCTTCGAATTGAGAGACGAAGACATTGTGAAGAGCGGAAGACGAGCTTCAAGCGGATCTAAAGAGGGCGACCAAGGCGCTGACCTGAAGACCAGATTCTAGGCCTGGCACGGATGTCGCACGCTTGCAGTCCAGGTCGTGAGGGCGAAGCGGGCTGAACGCTTGGTGGCGACGACAGGTGTTACCGCGTACGCCTCAAATCGCCAACAAGCGAAGCGCTCTGCGCGAAAGACGTCACTGCTTGGCGATGGAGTAGAGATGGCTGGCTGAACGGTCAGAAGGCGCAGCGCCGAATGAAGCCTCGTAATTGTGGTCGCAAGGCGAGTTGTGTATCGATAGCTCAGTGAGATGGCTGAGGCCTCGCGCTTGGTGCGCCTGAGCTCGGGCCGGTGAGTGAGAGGAGCACAATGCCTCAACAAGAGGCCCCCTCAACAAATGCGCTTCGGTGACTGAATGGTATCAGGCAGGTCACAGGTACTCGAGGGAGACGCGGCGGCATGCGACGAAAGAGAAGTGGATACGCGCGGAGCTGAGTGAGGTACGCAGGGTACTCTACACGCAGCGCGGAGGGGAGAATCTTGCGGGCGACAGTCGTGAAGGGTCCACCCACCTGCTCCACGTCGAGAGCTTTCTGAACGAGTGTCGAGACGACCTCTTCGACGAGATGGCGCCAACGCTCACGAGTGATGATGGCCATGCGGTGAACAGAGACTACCGGTGGTACCTAGCCGTCGCTGCGATGATTCGAGGCGCGTACGGACACTGCTCTGTAAGACCTGCCGCCACCCATCCGTTAAAGCTCGTAGTTGGCGAGTTTGGCCGAAGAAAAAAAAAAGAGAGGAACCAATGCGGAGCTGGGGTGCGCGGCGCACCCTGTTGACGCCTCGCAAAACAAGAAGCGTCAGAGTGAATGCCGCGTATATTGCGAGAGCGCCACCTTGATTCGTGGTTGTCGATGCTGCGCAAGCAACGCAAGTGCAAGTGCATGGCGAAGCACGCGGCTACCAAATTGCAAAGCTCGACCTGCCATTCGCCCCGAGCAGTCTGCGCACACCTTTCCGGCACAAAGGTGGCGACCCTATGGCGTCAAAGCGCAGCTTTCTCATGAAGTCTATAGCTGATACTGATGGCGCGCTGAAAAGCTGCTTGAAGCCTATCAGCGCCCCGCGGGGGAAACAAAATCCTGCGAATGTCGCAGTTGTACAGGGGTCATCGCTGCGCCGTTTCACCTGGATCAGGAGTTGTAATTAGTACTAACTGATGCACGTCCTTTGCTGGCCAGAGTCATGCGTGACCGACGCGTCTGCCACCATCTTCGAACCACGCTGGCTGTGCCGCTGGTTTGATTGAGTTCAAGCCGTGACTCTGAATGGCTATATAGCTCTGATTACCCTGGCGGGTGTGATTCCAACATACGCGTATAGCGCGACTGATGAGCCGCTGCTGCTGGCGGTGGACACCTTCTTTGACCATCTTTCTGGCCTAGGAAAAGGAAGTTAAATGCGGACGCGCCTTGCGCTGTCGGATTCTTGATCCTAAGAATGACGAGATGCATGGGCGCAAAAGCCTCTTTTATTGCACCCTGTGGTGACCACGCGTAAAGGTCGTGCCTCAAGCCAAGACAACAACGCCTCATTCCTCTGGAGCAGGTTCATTCGTTGTGAAGGAGCAGCAGCTAGGTTGTGAAGAAGCGCGTTTGCTGCATGCTGCTGATGTCTACCTTGGGCGCAGCAAATTAAACCGAGGTGGTCCGCGCGGTCTGAGACGAGACTAGCTGCTGACGAGTTGCGCCCAGCAGCAGCAGCAGCGCGCGGCGGCAGCAGTCGTGAGTGTTTCCAAAGTCACAGCAGCTACATATTTGCGGTATGCGATCAAGCACTCAAGCACGGAGCTCGATCGTACCGGTAGATCTCGCTGCGCATGTGTCAGAGAGCGACCTCCTGAATACACGTTCCCGACCGCCAGCTCTTCTCGGTTGCGCTGCAGCGCCTGGCAATCCATCCCTGCATCTTTCGTCCTTCCGCAATTGCGGTGCTGGTCGGCGCGGCCGCCCGCGCAATTAAGAGTGTCTTTTGCCGGCAAGGCGTGCGGGTGGCGAGAGCGCGAGAGGCCTCCAGCGCATGTCTAGATCAATGCGTCGATCTGCTGCATCTGACGAGGGGCGACCTTGGCTATCCGCGAGCGCTCGGGTAGGCGTGCGTGTACACAGGACTTCTTGAGGTCGCACCTGAGACAAGGATGTTGACTGAGACTGCATGGCGACGCGGAGACCGCCGCGGCATTTGCCACAAGTACCTCGGTCGCGCGTGACGCGTGTGTGTGATGTGCGTCAAGCAACAAGGCGTCGCGCGGGCCGCCTATAGCTATATAGCTGCGCATGAGGAGTCCGTCCAGCAGATGTTGGTCCCAGCAGGCTGCTGTGGATGCTTCGTCTTGGTCGAGCGTTGAGGTGTTGCTGCTGATCTAGATGAGACGACCGACTTTCTCATTCACCCGCGCTCCTCTCCGCTTGCGAGCCCTTTTCCTAAAACTCCGAATCAGCCCAATAGAAGAGTCGCGAATCGCGAATCGCGATCGAATGCTTGACGAGAGTGAAGGAGCTAAGCAAAGGGAGGTGAGGTAGCGCGGAACAAATGCTCGCTCGCGGCTTGGACGCGAACGGCAAAGCATGCATGCGCGCACACCTTGCAGGCGCAGTCACGAGTGGAGTCGCGAAGATTCACGACGCTATTCGTGATTCACCTTCGTGATCTACGATGGACGAATCACCCGCCAGCTTGCCTGCTTGCTCGTCCTCGCACTGCCATGCACCAATGAAGGTCCTCGAGAGACATGACAGCTAGACTGATGAGGTTCACTCGGCCTGAGCAGCATATATACTCGCGACTCGTGACTCGCTAAAGTGAGTCGGAATTGTCGTCATGGCGTATCAGATGGAGTTATTGCTCTTCAATTGGAGAGCACCGCCTGCCGCAGGACGTCCGACAAGGTACACACGACGCCAGTGGCGAGAATGCAACCCGCCCTCGCCGCTTTCAGCCTTGCATCTGCTCCCTCTCACTGTATGACTTGACCAAGCGCAGAATCACTAAGTCCATCTTCACCAGGCACAGTAAGAGATAGCCCTACTTCCGAACAGCCTGACCATCGCTTTGCTCGCTTATCCTACCAAGAATGTCTCCTTTAGGGCGCGAGGTTGTGTTGGAGTCACAGAAGCCCTTACGACGAGCTGGTGGAACCCATATATAGAGAAATCTAGCCACTCACCTGGGCATCTATTGCTACCGTTATCCACCTCGCTCCGCTATAGGTTTGGCTCATAGATTAAGCAGAAAACCGCTACCACCATTTATCTCGCTGCGCTACAGAGACGGCCATGGCGACCCACAAGTACGATGAACATGATCCTTACAACGATGGGTATCACCGTGGCGATAGAGTCGTACCCTTTCGCGTCTTATCGCTCGGCATGTCCAGGACGGCCACGGCGTCGACTCAAAGAGCGCTGGTGATGCTTGGTTGTCAGTTTGGCCCTTGGCACCACAAGGCCAGTGTGTCGAAGAGAAGCTGATCGAGCCATCTTACTGCTCTGTCCAGTCTCGAACTGCTACCACGGCTACAGACCTTTGCGTCGACAAAATGTCCCTCTAGCAAGCAGCGACATTGCACGCTGGATGCGAGCCTTTGAGCTGAAATGGGGTGCACATCCTGCGAGTGGTCCGTCGAGTCTGAAGCAAGTCTCGAGAATCTTGCAAGACGTTTTGCGAGGCCGACCAATCTCCTGGATCAACGTTCGACCTGGTCCGTCGCGCGGGAAAGCTTTGCTGCGCGATCGCAAATTTTGGGATGATTTGCTTGGAGATTGTCAAAGCGCTTGTGATTTGCCAGTGATTGCGTTTTGGAGGTGAGCGGAGCAGGTTTCTGAGAGCATGTGTACCCATCGGCTGCCTCGCATTGACGGGACACATCTTCACCAGAGAGATTTGGGAAGCTTATTCGGAGGATCCAGAAGTGAGTCTCCAAAGGGCTCACGGAGGAAAGCATTCAAACACGATCTCATCGCGAGCCCCGCCGGGCCCCGTCACGCGTGCATGTAGGTCAAAGTCGTCCTGAACATCCGACCGATCGAGAGCTGGTTCAAGAGCGTTCAAGTGCTCGGCAAAATCTACGAGCCAAGTCTTTCCAAGAAGCTTCTTTGTCTTCTCGATCCTCTGTTCTGCATGCAATTCGAAATGGGTCGCAGACTTGCCATCCACGTCTTTGGCTACGACGCGAACTTCAAGACGCTCTTCCGGAATGATGGGTCCACCGAAAAAGTCTACGAGGCGAGTCGCAGAAAATTCTTGATTGATACGCCCAGCAGCCGCCCCCAATTTGCAGCGATTTGCTCATGCATCTCACCACGTCATCCACGGTGATGGGTGCTGGCCCCCGGTCCGGATAAAGTAGAGGCGTGAGTCACAAAAGGCCACTCTTGACTCTTGACTCGTGACTTTGACACCACCCCCCCTTCCCCCCCATCAACTCTGCCTTCTTTGCTCGTACAAAAAAAGACAATGCAGAAATTCGAGCCATCATTCCCGAGGACCGACTGCTACTTTGGGCACCTCAAGACGGCTGGCAACCACTCTGCGCCTTCTTGAATCGGCCTTTGCCCGCTCAAGATACGCCAGTGCCGCGTGTCAACGATGCGGCACAAACGCTGCAATTCGCGCAGGGTGAGCAAGAGAAGAGGGCACCAGCCCTGCGCATTCGTTTTGATGAGCCAAGCTGATGCTGCCTTGACGGCCCAACGCCGGCCACGCCCTATGGACGTGTTTGCGATGAGCCTAGACCTGACTAGAGCTGCCATCATCAGAGTCTTGCGCCGCCTGCTCTCCTTTGTGCTCCTCGCTTCGTCGCTTACCCTCACGACCAGACTCTTCAAGACGAGTGCCTGACGTCCAAAATTTGGCTGGGTCAAAATCGCCGTAACTTCATATCGATATGCATGACATTCTGCTGAAGATCCTAGCTGCGGGAACTTATCCTTAGATGATGTGAGCATCGAGGAAGCTGCGGACTGTGGACCAATAACCCTTAAAGTCGTTTCGTGCAATACCGCAATGAGGAGCATCGTCCCACCTGACCAGATTCACGGGCGCAGAAACGTTGGGGGGCTTTGCGCCACTCTTCTTTTCCTCTTCCGAAGGAGCTGCCGAGGAGCTCTTTCTGATCTGTTGAGGTTTGGGCTGCGGAGCGGATAGCTTCTTGCTGCACTCGGCGGCATGAGCCTCGACGGCTTCATACTCTATCAACTCGTCGATCTTGCTGTACAAGTACAATCTGGGTGGAAGCTTGGCCGCTTCTAGCGACGTACCCGTCGCAGCGCCTCCATTCTTGGCAGTCTTGTCCAGCTTTCGATTGGATCCGCTACCTTGTATCGTACGAGTCTCCAAGCCTGGTGTCCACCGCTTCGGAGAGTTCAAAGCAGCACGCACCAAGTCGCTCCACGTCCTCATGCCGAATAGACGCTTGAAAGCGAGGACGAAGGTCAGGAAAGCGTAGAGTCCTGACCTGACCACGGCACGAAGCAAGATCGACTTGGCCATCGGCATGGTGAAGGCTGTCGCTCCTGACCATGCCGTCTGCTTGCCCGGGCTCGAATCAAAGATGACAGCACGAGGAGCGGGCACATCTGCTGGAAGCATGGAGAGCAGCTGCGAGAGATTGGATGCACCTCCATCGGAGACTGTGCGCAGCGATACATGAAAGTGAAAACGTCAGACGTGTCGTTCATAGGACCTGCCCCCTTCCGCTAGGCTCGACTCACAGCTGTGAATGATCATGCCTTTGGGTGGAGGAGTGAAGCTGCTCTTGGGTCTTCCCTGTTCTTCCATCTCCTTGACCTTCTGCGTGTCCATTGTAAGCAGTCCTTGATTCTCTCGCCTCTCCTCGTACTGGTCATGAAGCTCAGCAATCGAGTTTTCTCTTGCTCCTTCCTCTTGCAACACCTTGACCACGCTTTGAAGCGCCGCGTGTCGTGCAGCTGCGGAAGCCATGTATGATTGCCCTGTCGAGAGCTTGAGAACTAGTGTAGCTCTCGGATATAAAGCAGCGTAAGGCGCTGCGTAGCGCGAGACGAGACGTAGCGGGGCGTCCATCCAGCTGCAAGTGATGTAGCAAACGCAGATCGCTAATCAGCACACAGAGCGAGATTTGACAGGTGCACGCACACATCATCGATTTCCGCGCGCGTCGACACTCACCCGAAGATCAGCACAACCTGCGGGCTGCGATCGAGAGGTTGCAACGGAGGCTCCTCTGTCCTAAGCTTCGTCGTTCTGTGCTGAGGTGCAGGTCGGTGAACGTGTACAGAGCGAGAGAGCGCAACAAATTCGATAGGCGGTGCAGCAGTCTTCTCGGCAGGTTTGGATGCCGATGGGGCAGAAGCGTTCGAAGGTTGCTGCGAAGCGTCGCTCTTCTGCGCTTCCTTTTGCCGATCCTGCTTGGGCTGCTCGGCGCCTTTTTGCTGCTCAGACGGCTTGTCCTCGCTGCGGCTCTCTTCCGAAGTCTGATCTTTGACTTCCTCCTTCTTCGCATCGGCCACCTTTCGTCTGGCCAACTCTTCAGGCGCGACCTTGGGCGTCAGCTCGCTCTTGTCCATCTCGATCAACTCGGGTTCTTCGCCTGCATGACTCGGCTCCGGAGCGTTTTCCGCATTAGGTCCTCCCACAGGAGGCTTGGAAGATGGCGCGATGTGTCCAGTGCCTCGGTGCCATGTTTCGTTCTCTGGAGCAGGCTGCGGGGGAGCGTCGGAGCTCAGGGCTGGCTGAGGCAGCGCGTTGTTTGGCGTCTCGGGCTTAGCAGTGGGCTTATTGTTCGGGTTGCTTTGCTGAGCATCCGGCGAGTGTTGTGATGCGATGTTAGTGGAGGCACCCGCAGCAAATGCAAGAGAGGCAGAGGGAGATCGAGAAGGGTGCAGTGGAGACGCAGGGCGCGGCAATCGAGAAGGTGAAACGGGCGACGGTATCAAAGAAGGGGAATTTGGACGAGCAGACCCGGCAAGCAAGGTGGAAGATGATGAGGGCGAAGGAGGAGCGAGGCGTGGCGAGGAAGGTGTGCGCGAGGGAGAGCGATCGGGAGCGGAAAGAGAAGAAGAGGAAGAGGGTGAGCGCAGAATTCCCGATGATCGAATGCGTGGTATGGAAGACGTTCGAGGAGAGCCAGATGGGGACACTGGTCGAGATGGAGAAGACGGAACAGGCAGCGATGTATTCGCTGACGCCGCGTCTGGTTCGGGAGAAGCACCTCTTGGCGCAGAGAGGCGAGGGGAGGGAGCACGCAATCTGCTAGGTGGTCGGGAGTCTGCAACGCCCAAAGAGGCAGAAGCGCGCTTCGCCTGAGAGCTGGAGGAGGAGGAGGAGGAGACAGAGGGGGAATCGGATGATGCTTGTGCGCTCGTAGTGGGTTCCGAAGCTCGGGGCGCGCGAATGGAAACGGGAATCAAAGAAGACTTGGCGACTCCGCTGCTCTCATTACTAACGTTTTTGGGGTTCTGCTTGTTCTTCGATCCAGATTTGCCCTTGCTGTCTGTCACGCTCTGCTGGCTCGACATTGTGTAAGAGCCAGGCGCTGTGATGCTGCCGGTTGAGCAGCGTGGTCTTGGCAAGGAATGAATGCGCTGTGGGATGGCAAGTGAGCGACTGGTGAAGAGGGATCTGGCAATGAAGGTGAATGAAGGGATGCTGGACAAGATCATGTCGTTGAAGAAGACATGATGATCTGCATACACAAGCACGAATGGCGGGCGGTGTTCGTATACAAGTCCTTTTGTGCTCCTCGATCATCCCAGCGCAGGCCGGATATCGGGTGGACGACGCGTCCGACCGGTTAGCGGCGAGCCTGTGGAGAAAAGGCTCATCAGTCAGCGCTACGCGATCAGCATTCAGCAGCCCCAACACATCACGAAGTATGAGGGACATGCGGCCAGTCAGCGCGGTGGTGGGACAGCGCGTGAAATGACGCTGCTGCTGCTGCAAGGCGTGCATGACACATACGCTACACACGACTATAAATTTGCTGCTGTGGTGGTGGTGGAAGTGTGAGTCAAGTGGTGATGTCATGCGCAGATGCACGCGGCGTAGAGTCGATCTACGGGCAAATGACCACGTGACTGGGTGGAACAGTAGGTGCGCACGGACCTCAGCCCACAGACTGTTGCATCTCAGCCATGCCTGCCTGCACTTACAAGCGACCGCCACGGAAACTCACGACTCCCTTTGCCGAAGAAGGACTCGTGACTTGAGTTCAGCCAGTCGCAAAGCTTTCTCGTTGGTTTCCTCCACCCACGATCTACTATTCACGCTCTGAATTTTCCACACGCTGCAAGCTTCCAACTCCAACCCAGCTCCGAAGCATAGGGGTTGTTCGAAATCCCACGCCGAAGTGTCCGTCTCGTAAGTGTTTCATCAAAGCCAGACTAGACTTGACGCACGTCTAACAAAAGCTCCCGGCTTCAACAACCAATCCATCGCCCCCTCCCCTCCTCCTCTCCTTCTGTAGTTCCGCCTTTTCAACGTATATTTGCACGACCAAGATGTCCTCCTCGGCACCACCTACGCGCCGACGTCTGGTCGGCGTCTCTTACAAGATGTACTTTGATCTAGCCAAGACAAACGATTATTTGGAAGCCGTTCTCCCACCCCTTTCCCGCCTGATCACCTCGCTCAATCAGCCAACCGACGTCTTTGTCATTCCCGATTTCCTAACCATCCTTCCCTACGCACAGATCATCAAGTCCAACAACTCGCCTCTCTTGCTGGGTGCTCAAGACAGTCATCATTCGGACGCTGGAGCATTCACTGGAGAAGTTTCGCCCAAAAACCTGGCGCAGGCGGGAGTCAAATTTGTGGAGATGGGTCATGCGGAGCGTCGAAAGTTGTTTGGAGAGACGGACGAGAGCGTAGCTCTGAAAGCGGAGGGTGCTGTGAGGAACAACATGATCCCTCTGATCTGCATCGGCGAAGTGACCAAGGGAGGAGGCGTACAAAAAGCGGTGGATGAATGCTGGGTTCAAGTGGAACAGGTGTTTGCCAAGATCAGAGAAGATGCAGAAGTGGTGTTGGCCTATGAACCGGTTTGGGCCATCGGAGCTTCCGAACCTGCAAGCGCGGAACACGTCGTTGCTGTGACGCAAGCGCTCAGACAAAAAGCGCACAGCCTAGGAAGATCGGGAGTAGTCAGAATCCTGTACGGCGGATCGGCTGGACCGGGTCTGTTCACCAAGTTGGAAGAGGGCGTAGATGGTCTATTCCTTGGCAGATTTGCCCACGATCCTAAAGCTTTCCTCGAGACTATCAAGGAGGTTGGCGGCGGTGTCAAATAAGATGTGCGCATGTAGACATTGCATTTGCAAGCACTGAATGCATCAATAGTGAAAGCGCCATGAAGCAGAGGCATAGAGATTGCGACCACATCATGACGCCATGCAGCTACGCCAACGAGATCACACGTCGTCCAGCTGCTGGCTGTCATACACGAACGGTCATCTACTTCTCAAAGATCAGCCCGATGTCTTGCTCCTTGGCTCTTGCCCCACCGTACCAGATCCCTCATGATGCTAGTAGCGCCCGATTTGTAGCTACCTCCGAACATTCTTGGGCACATACGAGGGATCAAAGCAAATGCTCGTCAGTGGTTGCGAGCAGCGTCATGGCAAATGTCAATGCGAGCGCGAACACTCACAAAGCGTGGTTGAGGTGATGATACAGCTGCGACGCATCGCCAAGAATGCGTAGCGCAGGCTATCACTTGAGTGCGCTGAAGGGGATGATGGGCATGTGGAAGAAGAGACGTAGCGCAACTCACCTCGTACGCCTTTTGTCTCTCTTCGTAGTGCGGTTGAAGCTTTGGAATCTGCGGAGCGATCCGCCAGGCAGAGACTTCGTTAGACGCAGACCGGCGTTGGGATGGATTTTGATGTGCTCAGACTCACCACGTCGTGATATCTACACCATTCGCAATGCGACAGCGCGCACGAGTTACGTTTGGTATGTAGAGGCGTATGAAGAAGCATTTCGATGAGCTATTCCGAGAGTCTTGAGCCGAGTTGTGATGCAGAAGTTCGCCTCGACGCCTGACTCACCCCCGAAAGAAAGCGCTGCTAAATCCACCGAACATGTGACAAATGCCCAATTCGGCTTCATTGTGACCGTAATACGAGCTTGGGCTGGTCCGCGCATCAAATGTCCGTAAGATGGCCGCTAGTCGTCAGCGGTGGTCGGGGTTATGAGCGTCAAAGTTGATGACGACTCACTCGAATATGATTGCCGTGCCGTCCGGACCGACTGCAGAGGGCAGAATACGGCGGGGAGCGAGAAGATTGAGTGAGAAATTCGGCAGGGCACAAGGAGAGGGCCAGGCATGATGTGAAGCGGAAAACGCTCACCTCCGTAATTGCCGCTCCAAAGATCGCCGTGCAAGATGGCGGGCTTGATCTTCGCATCCGTCTCTTTCGAGAAAAGAATTGGCCAAACGCTAAAGTTGGGAGACGTGTGATGCGCAATCGCGCACGAGAGCTTCAGCGTCGCACGTGAGACGGGTGCGAGCCCTAGAAGCCGAGTTTCCCACTCACTGCTGTCGAAGCTCTTTGTCTAGGCGAGTCACATCCGCATCTGCCAACCTACGAACGAGGTCGCCAATCCTGCGTTCCGTCCAGAATGTGGACCACTTGTCTTCGAACGTATTGTCTTGTTCCTGAAGTGGAGCAGAGCAGCGCGAATCGAAGCGAGCAGGAAGGGCGCAGTTTCACTTCAATGAGATGCACGCTCGCTCAGACTGCAAAGCCGGCGAGACGATGCACGCAAGTCAATGGCAACGAAGCAATTGAAGACTCACGGTAGCGCCGCAATGAGTAGGCACGTGAAATCCAAACCTGTCACTCTTTCCATTCAGATGCATCTCTGCCAATCTTTTCCCCAGCTGCTTCATCACCGCTTCGCTCCTTCCACTTCCAAATTCCACGTGATCGGTGAACAAAAATTGTTTACCATCTTGCGTCTCTCCGCAAGCTCGGATGGGAGGGGTCAGACTCGCTTCGCCTGTCGCGGTAGAGGCAGCTTGGAGAGCTTGTAGAGAGCTGGCCTCACCCAGCACTTGAGGTGCATCGCTCAAGCCAGATAGCTTGCAAAAGAGCGCTTGGCCGGTGGATGTGGAAAACTTGGTGGAAGTAAGCGCTGTAAAGGGTGCCAAGTCCGGCAATTTGGCTTGCAAGAGACTGAGCAAGGCTGATTCTGCTCGCATGATCGCGGCCGTTCACACCCAACACGGTCAAAAGCGCGATTGCTTGCTTGGTGGCTGCTGTCGGTGATGTGTTCGCAAAGCGCTTTGCTTTGCTTTGCTTTGCTTTGCTTTGCTTTGCTTTGCTTTGCTTTGCTTTGGCTTCAATGCGATTGGTCGTCGTGTGCAAAACAGGATAAGCACGAATCTGCACAGCAAGGTCCCCCCCACCACGGTGAATGGTGAATTGCGAATCACAATGCGCCACGATCAGGGCCTATCTTGATTCATTCACCATCGTGAATTGCATGCTGCTGCTGCTGGGTGGAGGTCTCTATGCACACATATCATCGGCTGGCCGGCCTGCAAGCGCGTCCGGATGTCGCCCTCAGCGATCTTGCCGTCTGCGTCTCTCCGGGGAAAAGCGTCAAGTCCGCGGAGATGACCTTGCCCGCCCCTCAATTGACATTCGCTCTGACTCACACTGGCTGCGAGATGTGTGCACAAGTGAGGGATTTCATCAAGCTGCGCTCGTTAATCCTGCACCAGACTTCCCTCCCAACCCACGTCATCTAGACACCTTCGCGCTATCACCGTCGTCGACAATATTCGGCACTGTCGAGAAGGCGAGCGTGTTTGGCGGACGGGACTCTTGACCTGAAGGTCAACGGTCCGCGCGATTCCACGTGGGATGCTAGTCACTTCGATCAGCGCAGCGGTGGGGCAGCAGTGGGCTCCACTACCATCTCTCCCTTGGTTACCATTCCTTCCCCTTTCAGCTGTCCCACTACTGCTTCTCAAGTCCTTTGTCTTTCCTCAACTCCTACCAGAGCCGTTTGTGACTGATCAAGATGTGGCAGATAGGAGGGGGGGATGGATGCGGAGAGGTCTGGTGCCTGGTAGAGAAGCCAAGCAGAGCGATTTCGGCTTGGATGGAACGAAAAGGCAGAGAGGCAGGGTGCTGTGCGTTGAGGCAATCTCTGTTGGACAGGCTTGTGCTTGGACTTGGTCCAGCGCTTATCATGCTCGAGGCGGAGTGGAGATGGCCTCTCTGAGTTGTGCCACGACGTGGGTGAGTGCATCTCGGTCTCGAGGAATGGCAGACCCCGCCTCTGATGGCGACAGCTGAGCTCTTACCCTTTGTAGCTGCTCATTCTTTCTCTTCTACTCTTACGACCGCCCAAAACGCCTCCGCTCGCGGCATCGTTGCTTCTATTGCTGCACATCCTTCTACCTCTAAGGCGCATCTTGGAATATCTCCCAGCGCTGCTCAGCGACCGCTCGACTCTCGCAGCATCTGACGTTGTGCCACCACTCCTGGACGCGATACTGACAGGAGTCTGCTTAGTCCTCGTTCTCTCAATGCCTACGGCGCCAGGTGGATGGGATGGGCAGGTGCCAGTGTGCGAGAGGCAGCGATTGGCCGACGACGTAGTCACACCCGAGACTGAGAATATCAAAGAGAGCTACGAGGTGAGTGCACCATTCACCATGCTCCACATCATCCACTCGCATCACTGATGGCATTCCTGTTAGGCCTCTCCAACTACGCCAGAGGACTATTGCTCCTTGTACCAGTCCCTGACGTACACTTGGATGGCGCCTTTGCAGAAGCTAGCTCTGTCAAGACCTCTTCTACCCACAGACATTTGGAGGTTGAGAAGCGTCAACGACGTGTCGATTCTGTATCGCAAGTTCAGTGCTCTGCTCGCATCCAGACAAGGTTCCTCTACGCGCAGACTTATCTCCGCGCTTCTCTCCGCCAACAAGCGGGACATTATCTGCGATGCTCTGTGGAAAGTCACCAGCGTATCTTTGGCTTATGCTGGACCCGCACTCATGCGTCGCATCCTCGAAGCTCTTACAGCTGCAGCACAGGAAGATCAACAAGCACTTTCGGAAGGCCAAAAGATGGGCGCTGGCTCGTCTGCAGAATGGACACCAAGAAGTCTGGCACTTGCTCTAGCTATCGCCACGCTCGTCGCAACTGCAGCGCAGTACGTCGCACAGGTCAGATCGTACCACAATGCCAGACAAGTGGGTTTGAGAATCCGCATCACACTCGTCATGGCCTTGTTCGAAAAAGTTTTGAAGAGGAGGTACCTTAGCGGAGCACCAGAAGAGGTGACGGGAACTCCTGCAGAGAGCAAAACCGAACGTACACCTCTGAAAGGTGCCAGCGAACGCAAAGGAGCTATCAAAGCGCAACAGACCATAAAGGAGAGCAGAGCAGATGTGGGAAAGGTGGTCAATATGATCGGTACGGACATCAACACCTTGCTTCGGCTGGGCTGCGATGCGCATCAATTGTACGGTGCACCTATGGAAGCTATCCTTGCTACCTTTCTACTCTATCGACTGATGGGTTGGGCATCACTCGCCGGAGCTGCGCTCTTGATACTCGTGTTGCCCATCAACCATCTGTTGGGTAGAGTAGCGATCAGAGTGCAAAGACGTTGGCGTTCCGCGACGGACAAGAGGATCTCCCTCGTAGCTTCTGTGCTGACGAACATCAAATTCGTCAAGCAACAAGGCGTGGAAGCCAGATGGAGAGACCGGATACTGCTAGCGAGAAACGAGGAGTTGAATGCGCTCATCAGAGTCAGACTGCTGGATTTGGCCTTCATTGCTCTGTGGCTCGTGACGCCCATCGCTGTCACTTTAACTTCCATCTACTGCTACACTTATGTACAGGGCAATCAGCTTACTGTGCCAGGTGAGTGTGTCGCACTCGGACCAAAATCACGGGACGTCTTGGTATCTGAGCACTTTGACACCGCCTCTCCAGTCGCTTTTACCGCTATTACGCTCTTTGCCATGCTGCGAACTGTGAGTGATGAGGTTTCTCCTTGCTCGTGGCGCTTTTGGACTCACCTTGTACGACCTCTCGCTTCAAGCCTTTGAACGTGATTCCCACTTTTGTAAGCGTCTTCATCAACAGTGCGATTGCAGTCTCTCGTATTGCAGCCTTTCTGGACGAGGAAGAGGTGGAGGTCATGATTTCGGGATTGAAATGCACTCCCGGCATGCGTGCGCCTAGCTCGCTCGATATCTCCACCACGACTTCCACTCTTCGGATCGAGGGACCTGCTGCGTTCGTCTGGCACAGACCCAAATTGGACGCCTCATCCGCCATGTTCACCTTGCAGCTTCCCACGCTCGACTTTCCTCCTGCTGGGCTCTGTGTCGTGTCTGGTCCGACGGCCTCTGGGAAATCGACGCTTTTGCACTCCTTGCTTGGGGAGACGATCTGTCTGAGTGGCAAGCTGGTTCTGAACAAGTTTGTTGATGGACGTCGCAGCGATGTTTCGTTTGCTGGACAATCGCCTTGGCTGCAGGCTGGGCTGTCCATACGACAGGTGAGCAGAATCGACGTCTCTTTGAAAGCGATCCCGATAGTCTGCTAACTTTCGATCCTATTCATCGGCGACCCGGAACCTCAGAACATCCTGTATATCACACCTTACGACGCTGTGCGGTACGAAACGATCTTGAAGGCGTGCGCACTTGTAGAAGACCTTCAGGAGATGAAGGATGGCGACGCCACCAGGATTGCAGCAGGAACATTATCCGGCGGTCAAAGAGCAAGAGTGTGCCTCGCACGCGCGCTGTACGCTCGCACGAGCACCATCATTCTGGATGACGTCCTTTCGGCCGTCGATGCACGCGTTCAGAAACACCTCATACACCACGCTCTGACGGCACCGATCGCGCGAGGACGCAGAATTGTGCTCGCTACCCATCACGAGCATCTGATCCTGCCTCATGCTGTAACGCACCTCAAGCTGCGCGAGGGCAAGGTGATAAGCTTTGAGCATCTTTCGTCTGCCGAAGGCTCCGGCAGCTCCGGGGCAACGAAGAGCGAGACAGGCGCTTCAGAAGCCGAAGCGAGCGCGACTGGTACCAAGGGATCGTCTAGCGGATTGTCCGCCACAGCTACGCCAGGAGGATCGGAACAAAAAAGAGCCGATGCACGGGATACGGCAGAGCTTTTGTACGAGCTGGAAGGTAGAAGACAAGGCGGAGTGCAGTGGACATTGCTGAAAGTCTATGCTGGCGCGGCACCTCCTCTTCCTTGGGTCGTGGTCATCACGTTTCACATCCTCGCACGCTTTGCAACAGCTGGCGAGCAGTACTGGCTCAAAGTCTGGGGCGAATCAGCGGCCAGATTGACCGACTACCTTGGTCTGGCTGCGTTATGTACCGCCTCAGCGTTCCCACCCGCCCATGGCCACCAGGCTTTCTACCTACTGGGTTATGGCGGGATCGGATTGTCCATCATCACCTTTGTCCTGCTCAGCAGATTCTCTTTTATCTTTGCTCAGCAACAGGCGTCTCGCAAAATCTTCAAAGCGCTCTTGTCCAACCTCATCAGGGCGCCCATGAGCTGGTGGGATGCCAATCCCTTTGGAAGAGTAGCGCAACGATTGGGAGCGGATTTTTCCGTTGTGGACACGGACTTGCCCAGCACTTCTCTGAGCATCTTTGAGCATACTTCGGCGCTCTCGACCTACGTCATCATCTGCACGTAAGTCGCGACCGCGTCCGCACGGCATGATCTCGCTTCACGCCTTTGACCATGCGGCAATCTTTGCTCTCCAGGGCCATCGTACCGTGGCTGCTGCTACCGTCTGCGCTGCTTTTCATTCTCGGACCATGGGCCGTTCGCGGATTCTTGGCAGCTTCTCGCGATATGCAAAGAGTGGAGAGCACATCGACGTCTCCCATGTACGACTCCTTCTTGTCAGTCATGCAGGGCATCGTCACCATTCGGGCCTTTGGAGCTGAGGCTTGTACCCTCGAGACCATGGGCGATATCACCGCGAGAACGATGGCGCAGTGGTGGGGTAAGTCAACTTTGTGCGTGCCTTTGCACAGAAATTGCTGATTGGCTCGAGTCCTCATGCAGCTCTTGCGACTCACGACGTTTGGCTGAGGTATGTGCGCTGGTGCCATCGAAGCATTGGTCGATGCGTGCAGTCTCACTAGACAGCTTCCATGTTGTCCCCCGTACAGCTTTCGATGTCAAGTGCTTGGAGGCGTTGCAGTCTTCGTAGCTTCCGTGGCTGCTATCACCGGCGCAGTATCTCCAGGCTCCGCAGGAATGGTCATGGTGCGTCCGCCCTCGCTGCGTCTGTGTTTCCTGCTCACGCCTAATTCACATCTCGACTCTGGGCCCATTCGTAGTCCTCTGCCGCGCTCATCACGCAGCGCTGCTTGTACATTGCGTCGGAGTCGAAAAATCTTGTCAACAATATGAACAGCTTGGAGAGAATCGTAGAGTACCGAGATGTCGTGAGTTGAGAATGACTTGCAGGCAAGATCGACAAGCGCAAGCTGAGTCGAGGGAATTGTTTGCTCGTGCTTCCTCAGGGCAAGGAAGCACCCGCTATTATGGACGATCAAAGACCGCCTGCTGCATGGCCGAGTCCTCAGGCGGACATCAAAGTAAAAGACCTAGCGATGCGGTGCGTATCGACACACACGCCCAGACACTACCGACACTGCAACTCACTGACCAAGGTCTGTCCTCATAGGTACCGCCCAAAGCTGCCGCTCGTACTGAAAGGTATCAGCTTTGACGTCAAGCCGCGCGAAAAAGTGGGTATCTCACTCGTCCAACAGCCCCGCTTTCGATGAGCTACTGACTAGGCGAGGATTCTTCGATGCTCGCCCATCCAGATCGGAGTCGTGGGAAGAACAGGCAGTGGCAAGACGTCGCTGATGGGATGCTTCCTGCGCATGACTCCATTCGAAGGTCAAATAGCAATAGAAGGCCTGGACATTTCCTCGATCGGCCTAGACGATCTACGACAACGCATAGCCGTCGTGCCGCAGGATCCCGTCCTTTTTGGACAAGAAACTGTGCGCAGCAATCTGGATCCCTTCAACGAGCACACGGATGCAGAGATGATTCACGCGCTCGTTCGCGTCAAGCTGGACGTGATGAGCAAATCGTCCACCGGTACCGATGGGTACGGATCTACACTTGCTTCCAACAGCATCTCTCTCGATACACAAGTCTCGGCCGGCGGCGCCAACTTCAGTGCTGGTCAGGCGCAGCTACTATGCCTCGCAAGAGCGTGAGTCTTGACTTGCTTCACGCCTGCTTCTTGTGCTAGAATAGTCTTTTCAGATGAGATTGATCCTTGCATTGCATCCTCTTTCCTCGCGAAAAGATTGCTGCGCGGGTCGCAAATTGTCCTGTTGGACGAAGCCACGTCTAATACAGATCACGAGGTGAGCAAGAGGAAGAGACGTTTGGTTTTTTTTTTTTGGGGCGTTAGCTAGCCTTGCCTTATGCTCCCCTTGGTCTACCAACAACAGACCGACGCTGCCGTGCAGCAGGTCATACGAACGCAGCTGTCGGACCGTATCGTCATCACCGTCGCTCATCGTATAAGGACAATTATGGATTGTGAGTGCGCATTACGACTCGTCTGGCTCATCCGAAGCGCACGCGCTTACGCGCGAAAAGGTCACCCCTTCACTCCTTGTCTGACCCCACAGACGACCGCATCTTGGTCATGTCACACGGCTTCATCTTGGAGTTCGACACCCCTTTGAACCTGTTGGCAAAGAAGGACGGCGCTTTCCGCAGAATGGCAGATGCGGACACAATCTGACGACGTTCCATCATCTCGCAGAATGAGGCAAGCTCGTCTCTTTTATCGACTGCCAATCTATCGATTGCCTGAATTGTGTACAAATGTGGAGATGAACGAGGCCTATGTTCTGAGATGCGTGTAGGAAGCCAAAGACAAGATGAGACCAGATGCTATTAGAAAGAACGCTGATGTGCTGCTATTTGTGTGCGATAGCAAAGTCACGAGGCGACGCCGGTTCGCCGCGATTAGATGCCTAGTGCAGGCCGAGTGAGAGGCTGAGAAATTGGTAGCGCAGATCAAGGCGGCGCAAGAAATCGAGATCGAGGACAAATCCCACGAGTCGCTAATCCGACCCGTTTGAACGGATTTAGGCGTGCCAAAATTACCCTCTGAAAGCTGGTGATTGGTACGAATCAGTATCAGCGGGATGGGGACCAAGTCTGGATCGCGTGATGGGCCAGTCGTGAGTGTTGGCCACGAATGGCCGGTAAGAGTTGTGCTGGCCGCACTCAGGAGCCGGTGCCCAGGCCATAGAAGAGGGCAGCTGAGGTGACTGTTGAGGAGCACGAACATCATGCCATTCGTCGCAGCTTTGGGGCACGGGAAGCTGAGAAAATTTGTCGAGCATGCTGGGGCCAGCCACGAAAGACTGGGCAGGTCCGCCGTGTGTGGGGCCCATGTGCCGGATCTGCGCGCTCTGTGGATAGTGGAGCACATTTGCGCTCGGACTGACAGAGTCTTGTCGCTCATCATTGCTTGACGAAGCGTGTCGCGAGACTTTGTTGCTTCTCGAGGGTGTAGGGTAGGGAGTTGACGTAATCGCTGGAACGTGCCTGAAATAGCTTGTTTCCACGTGCGGCTCATGGATCGCCAGAGGCGATGGAGTATGCTCTGCTCGTCGCAAGTTGACGGTGGCAGGAGGCACATATTGATGAGCCCCGGGGATCGGTGGAAGGAGGTATTGATTCGCGCGCCCATACGCATGTCCCGCAGCCAAGGACCAATAGTGGAGAGGTGCAGTTTTAGCAGAGTGGCTTCGTCCATGCTCGACGCCCGAGACTTGGGGAGCCTCTGCCCTGTATGGGACAGCGTAGGGTGCGATGAGCACGTCAGGCGTCAAAGCCCCTTCAAATGTCGAGCGCTGACGTGATGGCCCCGTGCCGTGTCCATGCGGCTCTTGCATCGAGAGCACGGAGCCTGGTGCTGCGGTTGAGGGGCGACTGTCTACAACAGAGGGCGCCACCCCTGACTGGCTGGCTAGGACGCCTGACTGTGTTGTCCAGAATGAAGCGTCATGGTCGTATTGATCATTGCGTCTGCGACGCCTGGCAGCTGGTTCAGACAACACCTCTCCGGAGCCGTCAAAGGCACGCTTCGCGCCTAAACCCACTCCCACGCCAGACGTCTCGAGTTGCTGCGAGGTCGGCCGCACTGTAGAGGTGGGGCTTTCGAATGCTCGCCACGAGTCAGAAAATCGCAAAGGACTCGGCCTCGCGGGAGTGACATCCGCGGATGAGGCCATGGAGATACTGGAAGTTGGCTGTTGTGTCTGTCCATGAAGCGAGCCAAAGGTCCAATCGAGGATCTGGAATGCATCGTCACGCTTCGTAGCGGTCTCCCCGGTGATTTCCGAAAGGCCGTTGACATCTGCGGGACCAACAGATTCGAAGATGTTGCCTAGGCTGTGCCTTGGGAAAAGTCGGGGAGACGTTCGACGAACACCTCGTCGGCGAGGGGTAGCGCGTCCAGACGGTGCAGCGCCAATGGACCACACCGAGGTGTGACCAAAAGCTCGTCGATGTTCAAAGTTCTGTAACTCAGACTCGCGCGAATGTGACAAAGCCGTCACCTCAGCGACCCAGTCGAAGTACTGATCCGACGAGGTCCACATGGATGGGACTGCAAGCCAAAGCTCGACCTCCATCTGATTGAGCTCCTTCACTGGTATTTTGACAATGTCGGACCAGGTGGCTCTGTTGTGGGTTAGGTTTTAGGTCAGAAAGGTATGACGGACAACGTCAGCGTCGTCCAGGATAGAAACGCACAACACTCCACTCACGATGTATAGCTGCTGTCTTCGTGCATCTTGTTGGCGAGCATCAGAGCGCTGATCGCAAGGCGATACTCTGCCCCTTCCCAGCCGGGAACTTGGCCATGCTGCGAGCGCACTCTTCGGATGTAAAGCCTAGTGAGGCGTTGGGAGTGTCAAACGCAGTGCAAGCACCAAGTGTGACATTAGTCGGACTCACAAGGCGAGCAGAATAACAGCGTTGCTCAATTGAGTAGTGTTGAGTGTTTCACGTACGAATTCGACGAACGCTGGTGAAGGGTGCAGACGCAGACATTCTCCCTGGCTGCTGGAGGTAGTCTCGTCTTGCACGTCCGGTCGATTGAACCAAATGTAACTGCGGGGTTGATGGCCGTCAGACTTCCGTCATTCTTTTGAGTACACGCAACATCTCAAGGACGACTCACTTTACCATGGCAGCGAACCACTGAGCAACTTCGGCCTGCGAAGGTGGGGAGTGTGGCACCTCTGACACAAAGTCCAGACACGAGCTTGGCCCAAAACTCAGCGAAGACGAGCCAGCCGTCGGTCGAGAGATTACCGCTGATTTGCCTTCGCGACTCGAGTATGCCAACTCTGCAAGTACTTCCTCGACTTCTTCCGGGCACGAACGCGAATAGGCGTGCCCTCGGCCACGCTGGATTGGTCGGAGACCCCCACGAGTGTCGGATGCCTGTGCACCGTCTCGAAGGGACGATGCGTACTGAGGGTGTGGCACGAGGTGGCCAAACTCGTCCTGCCAACCCATCGGGGTTGGATAGGTAACGGCATCATTGGAGTACGCTGACGTAGATGGAAGACTGTCACTGGTTTGGCCGCGCGTCGCATGTTGGCCAAGAGCAGAGCGCAGGCAGCTGCTGGGTGTCAAGACCTGTAGGTTCGAGGCGCCGACAGAATGGTCTGTGTATACACCGCCTAAGCCTCCATGCAAAGGCGGAGTAAGCGTCGACATCGGCGGCGGGCAAGATGAAGAACAAGCTCCCTCGAGCAAGTGAGACAGTGTCGGCAATAATCTCGTGGCTCCATTGTGTTGAGCGGCACTGGACGCCGCGTGATTGACACTTCCATCTTGCGCCCAAGAGATGCCAGCAGTCGCTGCGTTCTGAGTTTGGGGGATAAGACGTGAGCTGGAAGCCACCTGGCTGGCGACGGATGCGACAGCTGCCTCATCGTGCGGTGCAGAAGAAGCTGACCTCGTCACTGCTGGATGAATAGAGGAGAAAGCATCATGCCCCACCAATTTCTGGGTCTCTTTGTACCCTATGGGCACCGTCGGAAAGTAGCTCATAGGGTCAGAGATGGCCAGCATTCTGTTCGGTGTATCTGCTTGTGTTGGCGCTTGAAGTTGAGGAGCCAAAGTGATGGCTGGCTGATTGCTGTGCGAATGACGGGAGCGCATGTGCACTCGTCCAAATGCTGGTGCTAACTGCGTGTGTGGAGCGTTGTACGTTCGTCCGGCGAGTGTCCGTAGTGTGGGGGAATGGTCACTGGCGCTTCTTTGAAGAGTGGATGGTGCCGGTCGGAAGAGGGAAAGGCCATCGACCTCCACCGGATGATTAGGATCATTCGTAGATTTGTTCAGAAGAGAGAGCTGCTATTCGTTGAGATCAAGTCTCTGGCATGATTCGATCTGGAACCAGCCGCCACTGCGAATGGCGATGATACAACGAGCCGCGGACTGCAGACTCCGCTGCAATGGTTCCAGAAGGGTCCTGATTGCGCTCCTTATAGGGCGGGACAGGGCGGAGGGATGTGATGCTTGTCGCACTTTACGGCCCACAGTATCCGACACAGCGTTTCGAGATGAAAAGAGGGAAACACATCGGTCGACTCAGCAAAGTGTCGAAGACAAATGTGGATGTGCGAGGGCCTTGCCGACCAAGGTCCGATGAATGCCTTCTTGCATGTACGTGGCCAAGTGGGAGAAAGTGTTCGGTAAGCAAGGAGCAGGGACAAATTTGAACGGCATGTTGCGGAAGCGGGCTGGCGGGCCATTGATTGCACCTGAGAGCAGAAGAGCCCTGATTCTGATGAGCGTGCCAGTGAGTGCCTACAGCAGTCAGTCATCAACCGATCGGTAAAGCGCGCATCAATGACTCATGCTGACCAGATTTTGGCTGCGGTCCCTACACGGGCGTCCAAAGTCCTAGTGCGTTACCGAACGGGAAACATGTGCTCCTTGAAACCTGAGTCTAGCCAAGAAGAGTTGCTGCTGCTGCTGCTGCCGCTGCTGCCGCTGCCGCTGCTGCAGGCTGGATGGATCCTGTGTGATCAATGAATTAGCCGCCCTATTGCGGGCAGACGCGGTGGAACAAAAGTAGAAAGAAGTCCGCTGCTCGTCGTGGGTGGAACAGCTGCGATGCGAGGTTATGCGGTGCACGCGGTGCGGTGTTTTGTGTTCGTCTCCGGTCCGCCCAACTCACGGCTATAGCTTCGCATGTGCCGTTACCATCGCCCGTGCCGTCGACGACGCAAGCCGAGTTTCACTCAAGACTACACTCGGACAACTACTTGCTGAGCGGACACAAATCCCGCTAGGACAGGCGCAGCAGCACGTACATCCCCCACAATCGACCCTATAGCATCGTGATTGCATGGCCACTAGTCATCAGTCAGTTCATTGTATGATCTGCACGCAGCAATCTCGAGTATTTCGGGCGTACAGTCACGAGTAGGAGCAGAGCAAAGTCGTCAAGAATGAGCCTGCTAAACTGTGGGCGGACGGCGGCATCTATAGGCCGCTCCACAAAACTCATGCATTTCGTCACCAAAGCACTTTAGCTCATATCTTTCGGTGCAATTCGTGGTCCTTGGTAGCCGCTGAGACTTACCCCTCTCCTCTGACACCACCATGTTCGAATCGAACCAATTCGCGAGCTAGCGAGCTGCAAGGGCAACATTAGTCCAAGCCTCAATTACAGGTAAGCACTTCTCGTCGCGTGCGGCCCGACCGCGGGCTACCGCCTCGTTGCTCAAGGTTCGCGAAGCAAGCGCCACTCACTGACTCACTCCGCGTTCATATACGGTGTCTCGTCAGCGCTATATACGCGCGGGGCGGGGCTAAAAAGTCTGTGCTCACACTATACGCAGGCTGTACAGGCCAGTTCGTCGGTATGTGATGGCAAGGCCGGCCGGTGTGATTTTCAATTTTGAAGCGAATATTCGTCTTGGCTGCTGCACATCAGGACGTGCAAAGGCAAGACAAGGGCTTGGTATCGATGCCGAGCTCAGCCATGCTGTGCAGACAAAGCCGGCCTTCGCCTACGTACATATACATACCTATATAGGTAGCTGATCTGCGGCATGAAAAGGCCGTCTGCCAAACAGCGACGGAATTTGGTGTGTGATAGGGGTGGGTGGTACATGAGCCCGTCCGGCACAGCTCGGCCGCAGAGCATGTCACATATATTGTTGACTCACACTGTGACTGCATGAAGACTCACGACTAATTGAGGATTTCCATACATATTTCTGTGATTTCAAATCACAGATAGTCCCCAGTCCTTTTCACACTCTTTTGGTTGAGTTGCATGCCCCTTCCAGAGCGCTCTTTGTCCATCCTACAACGACTTCCTTCGCCGCGGATGCGCAAGTCCACATGCGCAGCCCCCCTTTTGACCCCTGTGTTCCGCTTTGTCCTACCGGCTCAAATTGCGTCTACGATGGCCCTCTGTGTCCGTGTGGGACCATTAAAGCGGGCCAGCCATGATGTCGAGGTGGTGCTCATACATTAGACGTTATTGTGCCGCTGCCGGCGACGCACACCATCAAGTCTCTTGTTCGACTATTGCTGATGCATATGTGCATTTGGCCGTCGCGCTCGATCATCCTCGGAAGACATGCATGTCCTGCTGAGGCTGCGTTCGGCTGACGAGCGCCGAGCCACGTCGGGCACTGCGCTTCAAGCAAGCTACGGCAGGTGATCCACAGCACGCGCCCCGTAGCCTTTGAGAGATTGAGGCGTGCATGGTGATCCAGCTCGGCTGGTGGAGACGTGAGTCGCAATCGACGCGACTACTACTTGTTCCTTGATTCGTGATTGAGGAGAGCAAATGAAGTCAAACAGAAGAGCCACAATCTGCAAGGTCGCGGTGAAAAGAGCCCTCTCTTGGCAAGACTTCTTGACTGTTCCTGCCGACGCACGTCTGTGCTCATTGACTATGCCGATGCGTGGGCTTCGCGCTCCCTTTTCGACTCCCGTGCCCCATTCTCGATTTCTTCAAGCGAAACATGCTCATCCACACCACCAGCATGCACGGAGGTGAGCTCCTTACGAAGGCATATGCAATCCTCTGCACACCGCGCTGCTGACGAAACAGACATGAGACGGTCTAGAGCCGCATTCGGTTGCGCTCCAAACATGGTGGCTGGCTACATGCTCAATTCTTGATTCATGCTTGGTTGACTGATTTTAATTTGAATTGTGAATGTGAATGCAGCAATCAATTGATTGACGACGCGCGCTCAGAACGCCGGAGCTACTTGGCGGAAGTGCACGACAAGGCGCGGCCCTCACCGTCGAGAGACAGCTTGACCTCCTGCATTCATATTATTATTCGTAAATTGGCTTGCTCGCAGAGAACCTTGCTAGCCCGGCTTGATCAAGGAGCATCAATTGGGTCATCTATTCATGCGCGCCGAGAGTGCCTAAGCAGTCCCGAGTAGGGCTACTCTTGACTGTAGCTGGAGTCTTGTATGTGAGGAGTCTTCTGTTACTGTTCTGCATTCAAGATTATAATTCGGGGTTCGCAGCTTTCCGAATTCAAATTGTGATTCGATTCTGATTGTTCACGAGAGGCGTCGCAGTCAAGATTCAAATCCAAATCCAAATTCGTATGTGGATTCTCGTGCACGCATCGCGTCAACTCCATCGCAGCCGTTTGGAGCGCCTTAATTGCGACTCATTCGCGCCGGTGCGCGCGGTTGCCCCAGCATCCAAGATTGCTCTGACTGACCAGTCCGCACTTGTTAGAGGCGAGAAAGGCGCCGAGGACCATCTTGACGTATAAGAAGCTGTGTGTCTGCAGTCAAGCAGTGAAACAGACTTTGCTCGAAGGGCTATGCATATATGCATGGCTCTAGGTCTTGCTGTATGCAAGCAGGGTGAACGTTTTCCAGCTACGTATGCAGCATGCGCGCGGGACCAAGAATTCGGGAAGAGGATCAAATTGGACGCCATGCAGTCAAGAGTCCTGACCGGGTTTTGAGTACCACCTCTGGCTTGTGCTGGTGTGCGTCTACTCCAGTCCTTTACCTACATATAGCTTCTTCTCACGCTCTTCACCCAGCTCCGGTGTAGCACACGCGACTGGCACTTCTTCCCATGCAGCGACCGACATCTCATATGAAATTCCTGTCTGAGTTTCAAGCGTGAAAGTTTCATCGGCCGATCAGCTTCTGGCCCTGCCAGGTGAGCCCTCCCACTGTTAGAAAGAGCGCGGCGTGAGCTTCCACTATACGCTTAGGAGTACTGCTACCACTTTATCTGGGTTTTGGTCCAACCCCTGCATGATGACTTGCTACATGACGAGTTGAGAGTCGAGCTCATGTTACGCACCGCCCTGAGATACACCTTTACTTCACAATATGTCCGCATGGTCCCCAGAAGGAACTTGATCTCAAGCCGCACGTCATACCGATAAGTGCCGAGTGCGTCAGCGGCACATTCATTCACCCAGTCTTGACTTGCCCAGGAAGGGACCGTGTCCGCGTATGATCCCAGCAGGTCACGAGTGGGGCATGCTGCTTTGCGTTATTCCTCAGCCCGCCCCTGATTGCATGCAGCGGCATCTTCTAGGCCAGCGCGGCAATTCTCAAGAAGAAGGAATGACGACGGGGTCCTGCATGGTTGCTCGGCAATTCCAAAACGACTACCCCTTAGTGGTGTGGTGGGGAGTTTGGCGGGCTACCTTCGTGCCATGCAAAAAAGTTGGGCTACAACGTTCATCAGGTACCTTTGACTGACCTTGGGCAGTGAGCGAGCTAACTCTGCAGACATAGTCCCGAGCAATCCAACGTTCCTTCAGCCAAGCTGCAGCACCCCTTGTTCACGAAGCCAATTAAGAGGCTGATGACAGCCATTGAGGCGGCCAGCAGTTCGAGATTATGCATTGCTCGCGAAAGATTCGAGGCGCGTAAATTGACGTGATTCTGAACACGACGACATTCCTAACACGTGATTAGCGCACTGCATGCAAGAATCATCTCGATGAAATGTCAGTTGGACGCAGAAACGCGAGCCAGTGTTGTGCGCGCTATCACCAACCCGTCGCGCGCCGACGAGTAGAAGCTCTCCGTCTCAGCAGTCGTGAGTTGGGCCAAGGAGGAGGCCAGCTCCGCCGAGGACCACAACAACACCATTTCCTGACCGCAATCGAACGTTCTTTTGCGCATCAAAACTGCCAAGATGTCTTTCGCAAGATCTATAGTTCGCTCTTCGGGGCTAGGCGCGGGTGCGCGCGCAAGGCTCAGCCCTCTCGTTGCCTCGCAAGCTCAAACCACTTCTCGCCGATTCCAGTCCGTGTATCCCACCACTGGTGCGGACTTCATCGCTGAGCGCCGACACCAGGAGGAGCACGCTGCTAGTGAGTCAGCTCCCAACTTTTCTGCTCGTTTGCCCTCCATCTGGTCGGGTTCGTCTCGCGACTTACACATCTGCCGTAATCTTGGTCTTCTCATGCAGAGTCCGCAGAACTCTGGCGCAGGATCTTCTACTACGTGTGCATCCCAGGAACCATCGTCCTTGGCATCTACATCTACGGCATCGAAGCTGAGCACATTCATCATCGTGACCACGAGATTGAGGAGAACGGTGGACAGCTGCCAGAGAGGACCCAGTACGACTACAACAACATTCGTAAGAAGCGTGAGTGATCAGGCGCATGCTTACCCCACTTCTGGTCTTAGAAGCTTGACGATCATCACAGCCGCAGCGAGAGTTGCCAATCATCAGACTCGAGTGGGCGATGGGACCAACGCTGACCCCTTGACCTGTCTGCTTCACTTCACAGCATTCCCTTGGGGCAACAACTCTATTTTCTTCAACCCTAAGGCCAATGTGGACATGAGCGAGGCCTAGTGTTGGGACCGATAGACGCAACAAAGTCTGATCCGAACATTCCTCTGTAGTCCCAATTAGCTGTCAAGCAATACATACGAGTCATCTCAACGGCTGCTCAGGGGTCAGCAAGGTCGTCTCACTGAGCCGAGCGTGGTGCCTACCGCCAGCTTTTCCGAGTGCAGTCGGGAAGCGTGCAAACGTGAGAGGGTAAGTGTTGGTGTGCAGTAGCAAGACGTCTCTTCTGCTATCCTCGAAAAGACGTCCGCTTGGCTGGTGCTCTGCTTCAAAAGCGCAAGTGGGGCTGCCCGTTCCCTTGAGGTGATATCAAACTGCTGAGAGAACAAGAAGCTAGCATTCCAGACAGAGGAGCGCCATCCTTTGCGTCGACTACTGGACGAATCGCGCTTCGGTAAGAAGACGGACGTAGCTGAAGACCTTCGGTGAAGGAATGGCGTCGAGGTACCGGCTGTCGACGATGGCGTTTTGTAGGTGCGCTTGGCTGTATGTGACGCGCCAACTTGGAGCACGACACACTGGGCGCGTGTGGTCCCCTTCTTGGGATGCACACGACTTGGTGTGGATGATGAGAGCGCGCGGGACCTGCTAGGCACCAATGCTGAAGCAACGTCAGAGCAACAGAGCTCGAGTTTCAGTGACGCGGTCGTGATTAGCTTTGTGCTGTGAAGAGCCCCTTGTGTTTCGGACATTTCGCGCTGCCAAGCACGCGTAAATCAGATGCAGACTCTTGTGAGGATCAAGCTGCCTGGCCGGTCGGACAGGCTAATATCTCACGTTCGCTGGTCTGATGTTGAGCTGGCAAGGTACCAAGAATCCACATGACAACTCAGGGCTCGCAGCAAAACTTCTGACGAAGAACCAGTTTGAAATTGTTACTACACAGGCAGGAAAGGTGGCCGCAGCTTGAACGTGAAGCTGGCGTCGCGCGCGCGCTCGTCCGTGACTGGCTCCGTGCTGTGCTGTCCCGACTACGTGCCTCTAGCATTCTTGATTCACGAGTCTTGCGCCGTTCATTCGCGCCTGCTCTCATGGTCACCACTCCACAGAGCTACATCACAATATCAGGCGAAGGTACCGCGCAGCGATCGTAACCCTCCGACAGAGCAGAGACTCTCCTTTTCTCCCAACCTCTGCTCTCGACTCTCAATTCGCTTGCCTTCCAGCTGAGGCGATCTCAGCAACATGCTCGATCGGTGCGCCCGTCGAGTGAGATCGCACTCTCACCTCGCACAAGCGACTGGTGGCAGGACTCACCTTTGCTAAGATTCGCGAATACGAACAACATCGTCCGAAGCGATTTGCTCTCAGCCTGCTTCCGAAGCAATCAACGCCGGTAGTCTGTGCCGGGCCGAAGTTCAGCACAGATGATGCCCGCATCACAGGATGCAAATGCTGAGATCGGCATAACGGCGGAGCACAGTACCGACGATCAGAAGAGCTCCTCATCTCGTCTAACTTCGACATCTACGCCCGGTCATCGAGGTGTCTTTGCAACCCAGCCAGCGGATTTCAGGCTTCGTGGACATGGTCGAGCTTCCAGTCCAAGCCTATTGTCTGGTGATCAGAGCGCAGATACTTCAGTGGTTGGCACAGGTTCGGCTAGCCCCATCAATATCCCATATGCATCGCTCGGTACCGGCACAGCGGCGGGCTTCACATCGAGGAATCAAGTGTTGGACCAGTCAGAACATGCCACGTCGCATGCGCATCCTCATCCTCTTGTTCGCAGGGCGGCCGCTGCTGAGGCAATGGGCCAGAGCGGTGGGCATGGCAGGAGCGGGAGGCTGCGCAGAGCCAGCACATTGGGCAGTGAAGTTATCTCGGGGCTGGGGGAGCCGGAAGCAAGCAGCAAAGAGGAGGTCAACCCTGCTGGAGAAATGTACGAGGGGCAAACAGACTCCATCTCGTCAGGACGAGGTCAGGAGGGTGACGCGCCAATGGACGCCGATGAGGAGATCCCAGTTCCTGCATCACCTGAGGCTTTGCACCTTCGAGCAAGAGGTCAGCCTCCGCCTCAGCTCACGACGATGCCCTCCAGTTTCGTGTCAAGCTCTTCGCCCGCGCTCGCGGCGCTGCAAAGACGGAGAACCTCGAGTAGAGGTGGCAGGGGGCATGCAGCCTCGCCAAGTTCTCGAGACTCTGCGTCAGGTTCAGCGTCACCTTTGAGCTCTGCTGCTAGCCACTCCATGTTTTGGAACGAAGGGCCCCTCGCACCTGCGATTGAGAGTATGGACGACATCTCCCCTATTGATGGGACTCGACGTCGATCTCGAAGTCCAGTAGTAATGTCCGACGAGGACACTGGCAGGCACGGAAATGAGACGATGGTCAGCAGCAGCGACTACGATATGGTGGACATGGCATCGCTGAGCCCGACAGCGGACCGCGCTCGCAGGTCTGACTCGCCCATCTCTTCTATCAGGACCACTTCTGGTGGAATCTTAGATGGCCGGGACTCGTCAACGGCAGGCATTGCAGCACCCGCGAGTGCGACGGGAAACACCGCGCTTGATCCGCCTACCGGACGTGGAAGCACATCAGCATCTTCAAGTAGTGGAACGCCGCATAGCTCGGGCATCAGAAGTGGAGTGGTGCGCAGGGCGGTGCGCAGGAGCAATCTGACGGTATGTCCAAGCTACAATGCCTTCCCGAGGATCCGCGCTTTGATTTGGTAGCTCATCCTCGCTTTCACGACGTACGCACAGCCGAGAGATCGATCCATCATGCGAGTTGCTGCCACATTGCAGGATGAATCAAGGCCTACAGACAGCGAAGTAGCATCCGAAGCAAAACTTGCACGAAAGTTGTGCGGCGAAGACGGACCAGTAATGCCACCCATCTCGCGCAACATCTTCGACCCTGCTGCTTCGCGAGCTGGACCGCCATTCGATGCATTTCGCGGCATCAACAGCAAAGGTTTTGGCTTCGGCCGGAGAAACGGAAGGGACACTTCGATGTCGCCTAGCCGGGATGGCGATGCAGAGAACGCAGATTCTGCTACGAGTGATGACGACCTCGGTATGTCTACCAGCTACCAAGCGCGGGGACACGATACCGATGAGGAGAAAGAGCTCCGAGAGGCCAACAATTCAGCTGGAGACCTCGACGATTCGACGGACCCGGTCAAGAGTGGCCTGGCGTCGAGCGCCCCGTCCGCGACCAAGCGCGGATCACTTTGGATGGGCTTTAGGGATGTCAAAACGCGACAGTCGCCAGGCTCGGAGAGACTACGTCGAGCAAGAACGCCTGGCGCCATGTCTACAGGCTCAGTCGACGCTGATCAAGGGATGCCCGGACCCCTTTCTTTGGCTGGCATGATGAGCGCAACGGGTGTCAGTGCTAACGGGTCGCCAGGCTTTGTAGGCAGGTCGGCCAAGAGAAAGATGGGAGCAGATGAGCGCTTCGATCCCTATACTTCAAGCGCATATAAGCGTCGCGCCGTCAGCCCAGCTACGTTGATTCTTGGCAGCGGCGCGACACATCCTCTCATCAGTCCAAGCTTGTCTGCTACCCCGGCAAGCTCTGCTCTGGGCGCGGCGACGACCTCAGGGCTTCCTAATCCGACGCCCCTTTCTATTCCGTCGCCTACAATTGGTTTTTCGGCCGGTCTTCCCGGCAACTCGGGCAATCGCGGTGGATCATACTTCGCCACACATTTTCCTTCTCGCATGAGCATTGGAGCTGGTGCAGCAGGCTCATCAGCAGCAGGAAGCGGACAGCCACACATGAGCGCGAGTCGATCCTCTCGATCTGGCAGTCCTGCCACACGTCCCTCGACACCGACAGGATGTCCGCCGCCTTTCAATGCTTACAGCGGAGGAGCAGGACCTTCGCCTGGTATGCTTTCTAGCTCTGCTGGCAAATCAGGCTCGGGTCCGGGTTATGGCAGTGGTGCGCTCGGCTTGAGCATCAGTGGCAACTCTGCTGCTCTCGGACTGGGTCTCGGTCGCGCAAGGGGCGCATCTCTCCTCGGCATCGATGATGATGAGGAAGCTACAATGGATGATGGAGTCGGTGCAATGCGTCTCAACAATGAAGGGGAAGCAGCGCAGCCTTCCGCTGAGAGTGATGCTGCCGGCGACATGAAGTGATATTCGAATTGAAGACGGGAGCGACGTGGTGCAACGGTCAGGGTTGACCTGGAGCGTGGATGGGGGCACAAAATCTGTTTGGCGATGTGCCTTGGCACTCAGCACTACACTCATTGTAACAGTAAGAAACGCAATAGCATTCACTCGCAGAACATGGCAGCGGTCTGGCGCAAGCATGTGTGAGATCGTGTCTCCTATTTGAGAAAGGCACCGCTGGATGATGTGCCGAAGCGGTCACGCAATCCTGCAGCGTCTCGGATCATGGCCGCTCTCTTCTTATCGTCAAACATCTTGCCGCTCTGTCCCAAAACAGCGTCCCTGTCCCAAACCACCGGCGCTGCTTTCTCCTTCTCTTCCTTGACCCTCCGTTGCTTGGCAGCCGCCTTCTCCGCTTCCCGGGCCTTTTCGGCTTTTCTTTGCGCTCTCCTCGCCTCCTTTTCCTCTTTATGTTCTCGCTCTTTCCTCTTCCGCCGCCGTCTGCGCTCTTCTTCCTCGATATCTAATCGTGAGACGGAGGGAGAGCGCGACCGCTCTCGATGCCTCGACTTGCCAGTGCTTCGACGTGGCGATCGACTCCGCTCTCGCTCTCTTCTTCTTTCGCGCCTCCTTCTTTCTTCTGCAGCATCCTCGCTCTCGCTTTCACTGTACGATCTACTTCGACGACGTCGCTCGGAGCGGTGCCGATCGTGATGCTCTCCTCGATGACGAGGAGACGAGCTGGCCTTGCCCCTGTCTTTTCCTTTTTCGGCATCCGCTTTCATCTCGGCAACCCTTGCTTGTCTGTGTTGCTCCAGCAACGACGTGCCGCGAGCCGGGTCCTGAAAATCAAAATGTGTTTCACAATGCTCAGACCGAAATGCTGAACAATAATGGCCAGACTGCAAAGCTTGACAGCGATGGCCCCGAGCGCAGCTATCGAAAGACTCACATGATCCCGAATCGCTCGACGTATCTCTTCCTCCTTTTCTTTTTCCCTTTGTCTCTCCTGTTCCTGCTTCAAGGTCACACTGCTCTCTTCCCCTAACGCTTTACGTCCACGTATACCCAGCTCTTCCTCCCTGACTCTCTGTTCTCGTTCAGCCGGCGTCTCCGTCCACAAACTCCCATCATCGCCAACATTCACACCGGATGCGCCTCCTTTGGACTGGACTCTTCCTGCTTGACTGAAACCTCTAGCCTTGAGAGCCGAGCTGGGATCAGCACCTAGCTGAGCAGCCAAAGATTTTGGCGAAGGTGGTCTCAACATCCAATCGTCCCTCTTTGGCGGCGCGCTCAGGACCGATTGCTTCTGATCCGAAGCAGCAGCTTGGCGCATACGTTGTTCCCTCTGCAAAAAGCGACGCGCACCTTCGCTTAATTCGGCTCCCTTCTTGCTGGCCGAAGAGCCAGCTTGCGTTGTACCTTTGACCCATTCATCCTCGTCGTGAATAGCTATACTAGTCTCTGGCTCTTCTTCCTCCTGACTCATTTCCGCACCTGCTCCCTTCAACGGCTCCTGCTCCACGGCCGTACTTGGCATTGCGAATCCAATCATTCCGGAATCAGAAGCGGCGGCGGCAGCGGCGGCTGCTGCTGCGGCAGCAGCTGACGCCGAAGCTGGTCGAAGCTGATCATCTGCGCCGTCCGATGGGTCTTGGACGGATGTCAAAGAGACATCTTCCTTGTCAGCGATGTCCCGCTTGGCGAGATGAGGTGGCAAGGAAGGTCCAATCGCTGGCATCTCGTAAAAAAGTCCGACAAAGGGGACACCTTTCTAGCTCTGTGTTTCCCCACCAAACAAGAGCGAAGGTCAAGTCGAGGATAATGGTATGAAAGGGAAGCTCGAAAGCGGGACCCCGACCCATCAAGCGTGGATTTTCCCCCCAGCCTTTCCCACCTTTGTTTTCCCTTGAAGCGTAAAGTTCGATGCATGCTTGACTGTGGTGGGACTGCGCTGTTGCGGTACGCGCACCGCTCGATCGAACATCATGTGGAGTCGTTGCGCGGCCGCAAATCATGAACAAACAATACGCGTATCGCCTGCCGTGCCCCCATCGCTCATCTGCTTCTCAAGATCGTCAGCAGCAGCAGCACTCACGAATAGGACAGGATGCGCGAATGTTGCATGCCATGCTCTTCACAATGCACACGTTTTGCATCGTGCAAGACGTTCAAAGCAGGACAGCGGCGCTATATCCAGTCGCAGTGCACAAAAAATCAAGCCCCACGCATGTATTCATGGAGAAGGAGCAAGGTATCTGCACAAAGCCAAGATGGACAGTCCCACTTTGCCATGAAATCTCAGCTCGTAATCTTGGCCGAGGCTCTTGCAATCCTGGACAAAGAGCACATCTCCATGGTCCAATTGCCAAGTGGCGATCACTCGAGACCGGGGCCGAGGGCCCGACGCGCCACGTGTGTGCTGGGCAGGGTTGCCGGTCGAGCTACTGCTGAGGGCATCAGGTTTGCGGGAAAGGGTGATGTGCGCATCGCTACCGAAATGGGCCAATTGTAGCCAGCCATCCAAGTCAGCATGTTCGAGCGGCTGCAGGTCCATCTTGACCCCCACACAAATCGTCGCATCATCGATCGCATTCCTGGGTCTCTCTGCGAAGCGTCTGGTCGCATCGTCGGCATACTGCGCCACATCCAGAAAAACTTCGGGTGCCCGTTGCAAGTCCAAAAGTGTGGACGTGTATAGTCCTTGCGGGGACGACTGCTGGCAATCCGCTTTCACGCCGCATACGCGCGAAACGTAAAGATTGGCAGTCTCTCGAGAAGAGCTTGATCCGCGTTCGTAAGGCATATCGCGCGCAATCAACCTTTCTAGCAGATCGTCTGCTCGATCCAGCCACGTTCCGCTGGCCAAAAAGTGATGCATCAAAGGCGCTGCTGCTGCTGCTGCTGCTGCTGCTGCTTTAGTGTGAGTATGGCCCAGCAGCTTGCTTGCACCGTTCGCAGTCGTGGGCCGAGTGGGTCTGTTGGCGTAGGTGACGGATTTGATGCCGTCGGACCAGACTGTCGCAGCGTGCTTTATTTGCGCTTGAAGATCCACAGTGCAATGCCCGTTGTCCATGCGCGGACCTTGATATCTCAGTCGAAGGCGTCCCATGTACACATCTCGCTTCACCATCAGCGCAGGGGCGGAAAAGTCGCGTTTGCAATTGGGACACGTCCAGCCTGTCCAGTAAAGTCGAGGAGTCGCGCATCCGCACGCTGGACAGATGATCGAAGAGCAGAGCGTAGGGACTGGACTTCCCGAAAAGCCGCTTTGGCTGTGCGTCGGCGGCATCACGTACAAGGGAGGGTACAAGCTGCACCTGTCGAAACGTTGTTCAGATGCTGATGGAGTCCAATTGCTGTCTTTTCCCTCGAAACTGGCGTTGTGCTCTCTTGGCGTCATTGAGGCATGGAACCACGGCTCGCCCTGGCTCTTGCTCCACTTGAAGGTGAGACGCAGATGCCACGCCTCACCTTGAGTCTGATGCTCCACAAGGTGGCAATCCGTGATGAGGAATCTGCCAAGCAGTACCACATCGACACCGTCGGGCAAAAGCGTTTGCAGAAATCTCTCCCCGTCTGATGACGCAAAGCTGAGCTGGGATGAGGATGCTGAAGATGCCCTTTTTATCCTCTGAAGAAAAAGACAGACCTGCGATTCTTGCTCGTACGACTTAAGGAGCGCGAGCGGTCGTGCGAGTCCTTGCAACTTTTGCTTCACAGGCGTCTCGTCCGACCAACAAGCTTGACGACGGGCCGAAGGCGGTGCGAAGCGATACCGCAGCACGATGCTTTGCTCGTCGACGCTCCAAGCATGCAAAATGGTCAAGTCGCGATGAAAGCCGAGTCTCAGTCCTCTAGCATATCCGCCTTGGCTGATAAAGGTGTGAGCTTTGAGCGGAAAAACGGGCACTGCGAGCGCAAAGGTGTCGACATTGATGGCCCAGGCTTCTGGAGCTTGGTGCATCCACTCGATCGCTGCTTCGTGCACCTGGCCGACGTCATGCTGCTCGAGATGCCGCTCAGGCTCCTGATGCTGCTCTTGCTGCGTCTTATCGAGCAGCTTGGTGTCGAAAGCTTGCTTCGTCGAGCGTTTAGCCTTCTTCCGACGCCGACGAGCGGTCGCGAGAGTCTCAGAGGTCTCGGAGCATTCAAGCACTCTCGAAGCATCCGATCCGATCATGACCTTTCCCAATTTGATCCGATCCGACTCTACTCTTCTCCGCTCTTTCTTGTCCACATTGTCAATCAGCTTGCCCTCAAGCTCGCCTTTTGCACGCTTGATCTCGCGGGGTTGGAGCAGCATGGGCCGCTGCCGCTGCTGCGCAAGTCGCATCTCCTCTCTACAAGGTCCAGTCTTTCGCTTCGCACGTCTCGTCAAGACAGGTGTGCTCGCGCAAGCTCGCCGAGGACTATCCTGTGGCTCGTCATCTCGATCTCCATCCTCTCCTCTGCCTTCTTGCTCGCATGTGCCAGATGCGCGCGCTGGTTCCCGTGCCCGAAAAGTCGATGGGTCGATGGCTAGAGAGGCGAGCAAAGAGTGTGTAGCGGCGCGTTGTGGGTGCAGTAGTGCGTCTCGAACTTGCCGAGCAGCAGAGTTCAATCGCACTGCTGCTGCACGACCACGCTTCTCTAGTAGTAGCGCAGGCGCCACAGCGGATGGGCTAGGCTCGCTCATCTGTCTGCCTCCTCTGCCATACCGATCGGCGTGTCGTATGCATTCACGATTGCAAAGGCGCGTCTCGGTGCGGTGGAGCAGGGATGAGTGTAGAAAAGAGTTGGCTCGCTTGCACGTCGCAACAGGCGAATCGTGAAAGAAATAAATCGGCGACGCGTTCCTCGCTCGCTCATGTATCCACTTTTACCTTCACTTCAGATGTGAGACACTTGCTATAGCGCAGGTCCGGGCTCTGTCTACAGTACTCTCTCGGTTGGTCGCGCCAACGCATGCGCTCCACGCAAAATTGACACATCAAATGAGCCGAAAAACAAGTCGAATCTTATGAAAGTCACATGACAAGGATAGTTGAATTGTGTCATTTACAAGAGCTAAGGAATCGTGAAAGAACGGGCGAGAAGCTCCTCCTTATGCAGAGCACTTGCGCTAGCAGCTGACGGCGAGCGGCGAAGATGTTCCTTACCAAAGGCGCTGAGAGAGGAGCAGGTCGTTCTCCGGCTGGAGACCAACGCAAGCGCGCATAAAGTTGGTGACGGCAGAGCGTTGACGAGCGAGAGAGTTGACAACGTCGCTACCGGGCTTGACAACGGGAGCCTTGAGAGAGTAGCTGAGCAAGCTGAGGACAGAGTACAGGCTCTGGAACTCCTCTGGCTTGGCAGGGCTGTCGGCTGCAGGTCCCTCGCGCGCCGAGTAGGTCACGCGAGTGCATAGCTCAGCCATGATGGCCAAGTCGATCAGCAGAGGGCTGGCCAGCAGCGAGTCTTCGCACAAGTTGGTCAGGTACAGGCGGTTGCGACCGCCGAGGCAGAGCTCGGAAGTGTAGTCGTCCATAGCCACCTTTTGATCGCCAACAGCAGGAACGTGCTTGATGACGACGATGTGGTCGGGGTGCTCGCCCTTCTCAGCAACAGCCTTGGCGCTGCTCGCCTTGTCTGCCTCGGCTCCACGCTTGTACAGCAGGTGGTTGGCGTACACCATGTCGTCGACGACGCTGGCCTTGGAGATCTCCTTGGAGCGGAATTGACGGGCAGAGGACAGGTTGTAGCCGTCGTTGTTGCCCAGGTGATTGTAAGAGGAGATACCAAGAGGCTTGATACCAGCGTTCACGAGGAAATCAGCAATCACACTCTTGACCTTGGTCTGACCAGTCTTGAGGTCGTCGCCGCCGATAAAGGCGCGGTGGCGCTCAGCAAGCTGGATGGCACCAGGAACGAAGGTGTTCTGGGGAGCACCGTTGATGTAGGGGGCATTCTCGAGGATGCAGGCAACAGCAAAGATGGTCGAAGGCGAGACCTCCTCATGGCTGTTCTTGACAGCGTTGAGAAGGTTGTCGGCAGTGTCGTTGACACCAGGGATGATCTCGGCGTAGCGCTCAGTGTTGGCAGTCCAGACGACGATGACCTTGTCAAGCCCGTTGGCTTGTTTGAAGTCGCGAATGTCCTTGCGGACGTGCTCGACGTGCGCAGCCTTGTCATTGCCGGGGATGACATTGTCAGCACGCTCGCCCTGGTTGGCAGCGATGAAGTCGGGGTAGTAAACCGATGGCAGGGGCTTCATGTCGGCCATGTACGGGGCGACCTGGCGCTGAAGGTCATAGTCGAGGACCTTGGCGCGCGTCATGGCGTCAGTGAGCGAGTGGCCGCTGATGTCCCATCCTCCGACGACGAAGTCGTTGGGGTGCACAGTTGGCAGCAGGTTACTGAAAGGAACGTACACGTCCTTGCCAGTCTCGGGGTCTTCACCAAGACGAATAGTCGAGGCGCGCACGAGCGAGCCGTAGTAGTTGGGAGTCTGGAGACCCTCCTTGTTGTGCCACGTGATGTTGTGCTTGTTGGCGAGAATGCAAGCTGAGATGGTGGTACCATTGTTGCCGCCCCAGCCGACGAGCATGAGACCAGTCTTGGGCACCTTGGTCTCCGTCTTGAACTCATAAGTGCTCTTGACCGGCTTGGCAACGTACTCGGTCTTGCCCTGAGCGTTGGTGCTCTTCTGGACGTGAGTAGTGTTGTACTCGTAGCGACTCTTGATATCCTCGGCGCTGTAAGTGACGTTGGGAGAGTCGATGCGGATGGTCTCCTTGTCCTCATGACGAGCAGCCGTGGGATCGATGGGGGCTTGAGCAGCTTGGGCTGGCGCGCCGTTGGAGGCGAAAGCGCCGTTAGGTCCAGATGCGACAGGGGCCATCGTGATGACTTGAGATTTGAGAAAGTTGGAAGAGTTTGTTTCGGGATTTGTCAAATTACTTTGATTCTAGCGGCGCAGGGCACGAGTGCTTGTTGCCACGGTGGGTGTTGTCTGAGGAAAGCCAGCAAAAGAATGTGTAAGCTCGTGTGGATCCAAATAAGCTGGCGCTTGCCTTTGCGTCGAACATGGCTCGACGACACAAGACGGAGCGGCAATGCTGGCGACGCCATCTGAGCGATTTTGGTCACAGGCAAGATACTCACGGCAGGAGCACAAAGAGTTGGCAAAGATGTTGGGCAGTGGCTTACTCTCTAGTGACCCGAGAGCAGATGGGCTACTGTGAGTGGGCTTGATTGTGTGTTGGAGGTTAGACGAAGGGTGAGACCTTGGCAGAGCGATTCAAGTGTTTGATTGGTGAGGCTGATGGTAGAGAGGATCAGGCATTGTGAGCTACGAATCTGCCTTTTATCTCTTCTGCCCCAAGCCAGTCGAGCAAGCACCGGGCGGAAGGATTTTCACGGAAAGGCGGTGGGGCACTCTTGACCAGCCCTTCTCGGCGCGAAGATCGCAGCATCTCGTCTGACTGTTGTTGTGCTGGGTTGTCGGGACGAGCAGAATTGTGACTGCTGCTGATCGAGCGTGGCACTTTACCGGCGAAAGATCGGTGCACGCGGAGCAGATGCACGCGCAGCATGCACGCGCTCAACTACGCTCCCCCCTCCATGCAGCATGCTGCAGCATATATGCAACATCACCAGCCTGCTCTGCCGTGGCGCCGTTCCTGTCCCTCCATACAGAATTTGGGTGCAGTATAAGGTATAGCGAAGAGGTCCAGCCTAGGCTCTGCTCTTCTGCACCGGAGCTGTACTCTACTCGCTCGCGCACCCACTTCGGGCATTCCGCCAGCGTGAGATCTTGTTGTGTTGCGTCCCCTGCCTAGCTGGTACAGTCGTGAGTACAACAGCTGCGCTTGCGATCCTTATCGCGTGACCATCCGCCGACCCAGTTGAAGCGATGCGTATACCGTACCTCGGGAGTTGCACCTCGGCCATGACAAAGCGCACAACTCTTGACTTGTAATCACGACTGTCGGGCTTTCTCACGGCGACGGCGCTCATCGATGGCATCGACTTGGATGGGCGACATTTTGCTCACAAAGGTAGCAAGCATGCATGCAGCGTTCGTACCATAGCCATCGGTGATCGATTCACCTTTTGACACCCATTTAGTCACGGGTGACACTCGTGGACTTGAGTCAATTTGGAGCGTTGAGTCACCGAGTCAAAGAGGCTGCCGCTGTCAACTCACGCGACTGGGACTTGAGCCCCGCCAGCAATTTTGACAGAAACACAGCAACAACAGCTAGAAATCACAAAGTTGCAGCACCATCCTTGTTCGGCGTGGCGTGGCTTTCATCGCGCGCGCTCCCAAAAATGTGAATGAAAGTGTGCATGCAGGATCAGCAACATGCGTTTGAAGCAGGAGCTGCAGGCTGCAAAGCAGTCTTCTCTCGCAGCAAGGCTGTGCGCATACAGCTGCTGCTGGTGCTGCTTAAGCGCCTCTTCCTCAAGCCGCCCCCTCAGCAATTCATCCTTTCACAATTGCGGAGAGCTCTCTTGCCACGCTACTCATGACTGTAGACAGGCGGCAAGCTTTCTCCATACTGCACTGCTTGACAGCAGAAAGCTGCACAAGAAGCAGATCTCATGGGGCCTGCATGCAGTCTGCTGCAGTCGAAAGCGCTCGGAGGTGTCCTCCGAGCTGCATCATGCGTGCTTTAGTCCCCCCACCCCCAACCCTCGCGGCTGTCGCTGGTGTGGCTTTCAGCATAGGGCTCTCTCGTACGAAAAGCGCACGCTGCAACTCCCGAGCGCACGTGATGTAGAATCTCGATCCACTCAAGACTCTTGATCTCAAAGACTCAAGACTCACGACTCTGGACCCTTCTTCACGACTTGACTTTGACCCAAGACTCGAGACTCGACTTTCTTGTCCATCCAGCATTGCTTGCTTTCCTTTTCGGTGATGCTGCGACTTGCATGGCCTCTGAGCACCCTGAACACATCAACACCTGGCCCATCCGGAACATACCTGACGAGTATCGAGTGCTCTGGCGTCTGTCTGCCGCCTGACATTCAATTGACAAATCAGGAGAGCATCGATGATCCCTCACGTTGCTGTCCACTCATGGCAGCAAGCCAGAGGGCAATCTCATGACCGCAGGCGGGGAAGTGGACGCCAGGCACGAACGCCATGTTGAGACGTGGATGAGACTTGTAGAAGCCTGATGTGACATCGTTGGACTGGAGTCAAAAGCGGGCTACTCCAATCGTAAATCAAAATGCTTGGATATCGAATCATCATATGCTGAACGTCAAGCGGGCTCCGGGTTCCGATACAAACGTCAACATTTTCAATGATTCGTGATTGATGTTACTGCAACGACGTGCACCTCGGCTATCATGCAGTTGCGGGAGGGTGCCACGGGAAGAACGACGGGACTTGCAGCCCCATGCACTCTCGTCAGCTGACTTCCAAGTCCACCCAAACGCCGAGCTGCAACTCAATAGGAAGGCAAGGCATCGAGCGGATGCTACGAGCCGACGGTCGAGGGTCCTACAGTAACTTCAGATCGAGGCTGTGTGGAGGGGGTGAAGTACGGTAAGCACGTCAGCACGATCGAGTGCGCGTCGCGGGGATGACATGCGCGCATGACACGCGCACGCGGGACCTGCGTTACATGTATCTCAGCAGCAGCAGCAGGTCGATCGCGCCCTCGCTGCCCGTGTACCTACTTACTTGTATCTGCTAGCTGTGTACAGTGCTTGTGTGTGTGGCTTGCCTGCTGCCGTGCACTCCGATGCTGCATCGATCAATCGTGAATCACGAATCCACGAACGGCCTTGCTTGGTTGGTGTCAGGGTGCGGTACGCTACTGCAAAGGGAACAGCAAAGCAAGACGAGGCATCTTTCCCATCTCCATTCCGATCTGACCATCAGTCGCACAGTCATGCTGTTGTGCTCTTCGGACCCACCATTGCCCCGACTTGAAGTCACCATGATTCACATCACCATCTTCGTAGACTAAATCTCCCGCGCCGAACAGCAGCATCTCTATTGCAGTTCGCAGCAACATCCCTTGACTCTAGATAGAGGCAGCAGACTGCGGCGGCCATCTGCAGACGCCGCCAGCGATGAGAAAGTGGGCAAGATGACATCTCTACTATCGCCCTTCCATTTTGGCCAGCAACGGCACGCCTACTTCCAGCTTCGCGTGACTATCCATGAGCTCAGCAACGTGCCTCTCGTCAGCGGCAACTTTCAGGCCAGATGGAAAATTCGGAACGCACATGGTGGAGGTCCGCACATCCCAGGTGCGCATCATCTACCCCAACTCAACACACACGCCAATAGCAAAGGGAAAGGCAAGGTCAAAAGCGCCGCCGAAGAGGTAGAGGAAGACGACGCTGCATCCAAAGGGACTCACCACCGAGAAAGCACAGCTGAGGAAGATGATCCTACCCTCGATGCTGCGAGCACCAATGCTGGACTTCGAGGCCACGCAGAGGCGTTTGGTAGTCGGACAGAAGCGGCTACGTCTTCCAAGGGCTTCCTATCCAAAGTGCTGCCAGGCAAACGGTCGGCTGATTCCAGCGCGAGACATTCACCTGCAGCGGATGCCAACTCTCCAGCCTCGGCGTACGCCAGTCTTTACAGTGACTCTCCTCGCCACGGCAGCAGTCCGCGAGACAGCTCGGATCGACACACGTCCAGAAGCAGACCCGAGGATTCGCCCAAGCAGGCACCTGCAGCATCTCTCGCTGCTAAGAGCAGCTCCGCAGCCACTGAGATGCAAATTTCCGAGCCGAGGGGAGAGACGCATTTTACGAGAGTGCGCGATCATTGTGCCTCTTGGGAGAGAGTAGTAGAGACGGGGCTGCGCATGACTGTGGAGAAGCCACGCAACGCTTCTGGTGGCTCTACCTCTAGCGCAAACTACCCGCCGGCCAGTGCCGGAACCTCGAAGGAAGGGTTTAGCACGCATCTGTCGCCGTATGGGGAGCCAGCAAAGAGCAATGGTCGCCTCCACAAGAGCCATAGCTCCCGAAGTCTGCGTACCAATCAAGGTGCGCCAGAAGGACATGATGCTTCTGTCGGCCTACTCGCTTCCAGTGAGCTTCGCATCAGCGTCAAAACGGTGAGTGGTTTGACAGCAAAGATGTTCAGGCGCCCAAGTTTCGAATGCTAGGCGCGGAGTGTATTCCAAGCTTTGAGACACCGCTCATCTCAATGTGCTTTCCTTACAGGATGTAAGCACTGACGCCTCGAGTAATCACGGCGAAACACTTCATCGCTTGGGGTTTGTTGTCATCAATCTCGCAGAGTATGCACCGACAGTCCCCAAGCACCACCACCATCACCACCATCACCATCACCATCCGCACCATCACGCACATCACCACCAACACCAGCATGGTCATGGTCATGGTGGCCACGTCGCCCCGTACCGATCGGAAACTCGAAGATACTTGCTCTCGGAAAGCCGGACGAATGCTACTCTCAAGCTGACGATCGAGATGGCGTACGTTGGCGGATTGCCCGATTTTGCGGTACCCTCTATACGGGTAGGCCTGCCCGTCGGAGGTCTCGGAAGTCTGCTAGATGGTGCAGCTGCCAGCCTTGGCAACAATACCGACTCTAGCTCCGATGGTGCCGGCGGCCACCAGTCTGGTCACAACACCGCAGCTAGTAGCAACGTTTCGCTGCCGAATGCTGCCCTTTCTTCTTGGTCCCCCTCAAGTGTGGCCCGGCATGCACGCATTCCAGCATCGAATCTCACAACGGAGCTTTCTGCCAAAGAGCTCGCGCGTGCTTCCAAAGTTTCTGGCGCTGGTGCTGGCCGTCTTGCGTTCTCTTTCGCGGGGGCTGCGCATCACGACAGACCACCCGAGGAGGTCATCGATGCTATCTTGTGAGCCCCACTGAATACTCAGAAAGAGACAAGCACTCTTGCTGATCCTCTTGTGCTCCTTTTCCTTAGTCACCCTGGTCCTGCTAGCAACGCAGTGCTCATGCTTCAATCGACCGTCAGCCGTGCGGACAAAGTCCAACGAGATTCTGGGGGTCGCGCAGGCGCCAAGACGCCGTCCTCGAAGCAAGGTCGAAGCGGCGATGGATCCACGCGGGCAAGCGAGCGGCGGGCAGCGGAAGAGAAGGAACGCGATGCGGAAGATCTTAGGGCCATGGCCGGAGCGCCAAAGCCAGAGCATTACGACGCGATATCTCCCGCTCAATCTCCAGTAGACAGTACCGAGGCGCAAGGATACCGTAGTATCCCCACGGCGCTCGCATCACCAGCGGAGACTGTCACGCAAGGAAGCCATTACGGGGCTGACGAGACCTTGGCGAACCGCTTGACAACCATCATTAGCGCTGATGAGGATTCCTCTGCCCCTACGACAAAACCTGCGGGCGCGAAAGAATCCCAAATTGCTGCCAAACCCGATTCCAAAGACTCGGGCGTCACGTCGCAAGGCTCCGGGTCAAGCTTGTCTTCTGTGCGACCTATACTAAGTACGGATCCGCGCTCGCGCAAAGGCTCTCGAGCGGCCGCAGCTGGTGGTGCAACAGGTTTGCAAAAGCGAAACAGCACAAGCACGACAAGCAGCGAATACACCGACGGACAGTCGAAACGCGGTTCATCGAGACCGCATTCTGTACACTGGGATACCAACAGCTTTACAGAGCCTAATGCAAAAGGGTCTGGCTCGACTGACAGTGACGTTCGAGAGAGCCATCGCACAAGTCCCGTCTTTCCGCAGGCACCTGCTGTGGTCAAAGATCGCGAGGTGACGGCTAGCCCACGATCCATTTCTCCTTCGCGAGAGCGAGACAGGCAATTCTCCGGCTCGACCACCGCGCAGTCCCAACGCAACAAAGGGGCCATCAAGAAGGGTGATGATGTGTTCACAACGGACCGCGCGAGTGATGCAGGAATCGTGGGTGGGACTAAGCTACTCAGTAATCAGGAAGCGCAAGGCGAGACGATGGAGCAAACGCTTTCTGCGGCTCAAGGAGTGTCCAGGGAGGATATGGCAGGCTCTGGGAAGAAAGCTGGCGAGGCTCTTGAATCGCACGAGGGTGCGCATGGCTGGAACAAGCCGAGCCCGGCCAAGCTGCCACAACAAAAGCCAAGAGCGAGGGTGCTGCGTGGCGCTGTCGGCATATCGCCGGACGAGGCGGCTCGAAAGGGCTACCACGGGGCTGGTTGGGGCAACCTACAAGCAACATGCCTTCCGGGCGGCGCGCTTCTCAAGCCTGCATGCGCTCCGTGCTCTCCAGCTTTCAGCTCGTCTGATCGTCACTCGTCTGGACAGTGGATATGGTCCTCACCTGAAGGCTCACCGCAATATTCAAGGATCGCGCGGGACTTTGCCTTGGGCCAAACGCCAGCTCAAGCTCGGGGAGCTGCAACTGAAGTCGGAGCAGCAGGAGACGATCATGGCAGCGGAGGTCGCCGCGCCTCTGCCATCCAGAACGGGGATGAGCAGCATGCATCGGTCGAGCAGGTGATGGACGCTGCGATGCACTCTGATCTGGAAAGCGCCAACGATTTGACGCCGAAAGCTGCCCGACAAGCTGTGCATGCCTGATTTACCTTTTTGTTGCGCGTTGCCCAGACACTTGCGATGCGATCTGCTCTCTCTCTCTCTCTCTTCTCTCTCTCTCTCCATGCTCGCCCTCCTATCTGTTCCTATCCTGCAGCCATTTGCAACATGTCAAACGCGCAGCTGCTCGTGCTCCATCATGTACAATAACACGCTGCTTTAGAATGCCCGTGTCAAACCTTTTTACCCTGCCGTTCAGGTTGCTTTAGACATGCAGGACGTTCCTGAGCGAGAGAGTGGATCGTGGCAACTTTGAACGCTCGCCGAGACTGTGTCTGCCGCTACTGCGTTGAGGGTCTCTGAGTTGGGCGCTGGATCAGAAGATCCGAATTCGTGCGTGGTGCCACCGTAAGATTCAGTGATTCACTGCCAGAGGTGCCGTCGGTGCGCGCGAGGTGAGGGCGATGGCAGGCAGGAGCGCGATCGTAAGTTGAGGTCGCGCGGAGCTATTTTGGCCTGCATAGGCTGCTGCTTGCTGCCCGCGGCGGTGAGACCCTTGATCGCGCTGCATGCCCCGGAGACAGGCGAGCAACTCCCAATTCACTGATGGACTATACATGCTGCGAAAGCTCCACACCGACTGGCAGCTTCCACCTTGCTGCCTCCCATCCACTCTCTAGATGCCGTTCCAAGCCTCGCTTGTACATATCCTCGTCGCTTCCCTCCCATCAAGTCATCGTCCGACTCTCGCCTCTCGGCAAGCGTGATATGATTAGCAAGCAAAAGCCACCCTTGGACTCATCGCCTTGCTGACGCATCCTGACGATTCACAAAGCGCGAGGAGGTGAAGTTGAGCTGGGGCCCTGATTAATTTCGACGCGCACGCAATGTCGCACTCGCAAGATTCGCAGGATGCTGGACAGCACGATCAGCCAGTCAGCGCTTCTCAGTATGCTCCATCACCACGTCGCAGTGGCCTGCGAAGCGTGCAAGAGACTCTCTACGAAGAAGCAGAAGAAAGCTCGGACGATGATTTCAACACAAAAAGGATGACTGGTGGTTCGAGATCGATCCCCGGCGCCTTCGAATCGGGTGGCTTGTCAAGCGAGTTCGACTCGTTGCAACGGCCTTCCATTCAACATCCGACCGAGGCGCCGGACGAAGGTGCGGTCAACTCTGATATGCCTCGCACGCCACCTGAGGCAAACAATCACAATCACAACAACAACAACTCTAGACCCGGACCTCGACCGCTCGCAAACAGACAGAAAGACGCGAGTGCGAGCTCTGCCAATCTCTCGCCAATGCAGACATCCGACACCAAAGGCGGCTCTGCATCTTCATCCTTTGCATCCGGCTCCGCCAGCAAATTGCCAGCGGCTGGTGTTGGTTCGCGCGTGGGACCTCGACCTGTACCCAAGGATAGCTCATCTTTGAGGCACATCTCTTTCAAAAGTCGACTCGCATCTATACCTGCTGAAGAGCGCAGCAGCAGTCCAAATGCGTCCGATCGACCAGTCGCCGCTGCGATAGCTGCACGGCCACACTCTTCGGCCTTGGCCCACGAGGGCGACGATTTCGTAGTGGACGACGAGGATGAGGATGGCGTGGAGTTGGGCGAAGATTCTTCCAGAGGTCATGTTGGTGCAGCAGGAGGAAGTTCGAATGCTAGCAACGGCTCAAGAGACGTGTACGGAGATATCGATGCGGCACGAAGAGCTAGATCGGATCGAGCTAGGAGGCGCGCTGCTCGGCGTGTGCGCGCCAGACCACATCGTTCAGACAGAGGCATATTGAGCGCTTCTAGCAGCTCGGACTCATACGAGAGCAGCGAAGATTCCGAAAGCTTAGATTATGCGCAAGCATTGGCTCACTGGAAGTGGAAGATGCGTCTAGATCCAGAGGCGGCCGTGTACGCACCCGAAGCAGCACGCGAAGGTGTCGACAAGATTGGGGTGGACGGACCCACAGAGGGCACACCGGCAACGGCTGCAGTGTTCGAGCAGCAAAAGAGGAGATCGGGATACCCGGTGCCAAGACGTGCTCCTTGGCACGCTCGCGGGCCAGAAGTGCCCGCAGGCGGTTTGCTCACGCCAGGACCTCAATGGCCAGACCAAGTCAACACACCACTGGGAACACCGCCCGGTAAGTGCTTTTCATGAAGTTGTTCGCTACGTAGCCTGCGGGTCTCTTACAATTGCAGAACCTTGCGACTTGCAGATCTCCATTCTCCTGCTGCCATCGAACCGCGGGTCCGGCTGGAATGGCAGACCATGCTGGAATCTGTGCTCGCTTCTGACGTTTTGCGCAGCGAGACGAAACGCATCACATCGGCCGACGTCAAGGTCCACACTCGGCAGGAGCAGATGTACATGCGATGGCTCGACATTCATGCTAGTCTCCGCGGCAGGGGATACTACGCAGGAGCGGTAGAAGCGGAAGAGAAGCGCCTCAGAGCTGGCTGGAAGGAGGTCGTCACGGCTTTGATACGCGACGTTCGGGAATACAGGGAGCCTTCGCAAATCAGCGAAGCGGAAGAGAACAAGGATGCTGATCTCAGTCAGGCGACTTCAGTCGACAACGCGAGCGTCGCGACTTTTGGGGCTGACAGCCACGACGCAAGAGCATCAGCGCGCGGCAGTGCAAGCGCTAGCGACACGCAGGAGAAAGTGTACGCCGAGATCAAGGACCTACTGATCCGCGTCGATAGCGCAGAAGAGCAATTTCCGTCGAGACACAAAATGGTTGAAGAGATGCCGGAATGGGGCGCTTCTGATGTTCAGGGAAAACTCGCTTCGTTGTATTCATGGTACAACATCTGGAACGGCATCGAAGACCAGGTGGCCACTTTGCAGAGGTGGACAAACACGGAGGATTTGTCGCTGGAAGAGCCGCGGGACTCCACGCGCTACCCTGTGCGAGAAAGCGCAGAGCAAGCAGCTAAGCCGGATCAAGGAGCGAGCAAGAAGCTCGGCTTTGCGAGCGATATGGTGGTGGAGCTTGGTCCCCAAAACCTGCTCGAAAGGCTCGTCAAGGAGGACACATTGCAGGCCACATTTGAAAAGCGAACACTTGCACAGCTCAACGTCTTCGTCGTCAAAGCTCGGCGCTCCATCCTGGACAACAGCGCTACCTTTGGCCGCCTCAGATTGCCTTCGTTCGAGCCGATGCTCTTGAGACTCATCAACTTTCCGACGCGGCTTGTGTACAGCGCGTTGCGTCTGCGTCTCGTCAACGGCTACAAAATCCGCGAGCCTTCTATCCTCATCGTCGACTCGATGATCGACGACATTCGCGCCGGCCTCGCGCTCGGTTGCCGTGTCAAGCTGCAATACGGCGCCGTAGCGGAAGCTGAGCCGCAGCGAGGATGGAACCCACCATCGTGCATCGCGGAAGGCTACGATGCGCTGATGAGAGAAGCGCTCAGGTTCTTCTTTAGACTTTTGAACATCAAACTGCGCGGCTCCGTCTTCTTCAAAGAAACGGAGATCTTGGAACCCGAATGGGTTTTCCTGAGCAATGCGTCTGAGGTGATCGAGCAAGGAGACATTGTCGTCGCCAGGAGTGTGATCCGGGTCGTCAACAAGGTGAGAATATAAAGTCCTTTGCATCGTTCTCATCGCGCCGGCTGACGATCAGCCTCTTCACACCTCAGCTCTTTGCACGAGTCGTGACGTACATTGAGCGCGAGCTAGCGGCACCCAGTCTCACAAGAGGCGCAAGGATTGGTGCGCCCACGGACGTGATAGGCGGATTGGCGTCGGGTCACAACCCGCGGGGCCCAGCCACGGCTGGAGCACCCACCCGAGGCAAGGTGCTGATGACGCTAGAAGAAAAGGTCAAATGGATTCATCTTGTTTTCGACAATGTGCGCGTTCGATCGCGTAAATTGCTCGGATTTGCTCGTGACATCCGCAACAGGCTCGACAACGCAGCCGAGTACGATCTCAACAGCCTGCAATCTCCATTAGAGGGAGCTTCTGGCGACGAGGCCCACCACAGCGATGCCAGATCGGCCCAGTCTGGCAACGGTACGGGACATGGCATGGATCTCAACACTTTTATGCAGACCTTGATCAATGCCGATTACTTCTTGGTTCTGACAGGAACATTCGAGGCTTCGGGCATCTACGTCATCGCGGAGCCCAGCTTGCACGATAAGCCTGAGCTTATCCGGGAGCTGTTCAATCGCTGCATGCGCTACGGAGGCTCTTCAAAGGGACCAAATGCTTTGAATGTAGACGGGGTGACGGCAGCTGCAGCCAACATGCATCCCTTAGACAAGACACACGAGGACGAAGAAGGCTCAGACATTGGCGGAGGTGATGCAGCATCGCGAGCAGACGACGCTGAGCTTTCGCAGCCACCACGCTACCTCTTGCTGATGAGTCCTCGAGATGGCTTCATGTGGACCGGACGAATCATGTCGCTCGACTTGCCACCGCTTGGGGTGGACCTGCAGGAGAGGCGCCTGCGCCTGATTGCTGATGGTCCCAAGATCAGGCTCACCATGTGTAAAGCGCACCTTTACGGTGTGTTTCAAGCTGCCTCTCTGTTCCAACAGCAGCAAGCCAATGTGGCTTCTTCGTCTTCCGCGACTGGCGTGCCAAACGTCAAGACGCACGCCCAGGAGAAGGAGTCCGGCAGTCCACAACAATTGCAGCCCTCTCCATTCCCGCTCGAGGTCATTCACGAACACATGGCTCATATGTCTGCAGTCCAGACGGAGCTCAGAAGGGTGAATAAAGGCGTCTATATGCTGTCCGACACAGTCATCCGAGCGGTTCCGGCTCTCCGGAGAAGCCTACGACATCGCAATCGGCCCAATGCGGCATCCCAGGCTACGCAACAAGACGCCGCTGGCAACCGCGCAGGACTGACCGGACCGGCTTCCAGCGACGACTTGATCCAGAATTGCTTCGGCATGGCGGCGGAACAAGGCTTCCGTGCGCTCCCTTTCATCGAGTCTGACAGGCTGCGGGGGCAGATTATGCTGGCGCTCGCGCGCCTCTCCATCGACTGGGTGGCTTTCATTTGCGACGATTGCATACCGGGTGACCGCAAGACCTTCAAGTGGGCTGTCGCTGCTCTCGAGAACGCGATGCAGGTGACGCGAAACGAAAACATCTTCAGACTCAGCGAGGAAGACTTTGGACTAATGAGAACAAAGGTGGCGAGCTGCATGGCTCTCTTGATCTCACAATTCGACATTCTTGGCGCTCGAAGCAGTGTAGCCAAGGCGAAAGAGGAACAAGAGAGACTTGATCGTGAGCGTGCCGAGCGCGAACGTCTGCGTCATGCAGAGTCGTCGGTTGTCTCGGCGTTGCGCGCGAACCCTGCGCTGAAGGACGGAGCCTCTGCTGCCGCTGCATTAGATGCCTCCCATAAGGCAGAGGCCGCCAAGCTTGTAGCGGATACGGGTGGCGTAGGAGCCCCGCCCATGCTCAATCGTCACGACAGTGGCATGCAGGCGACCGAGGAAAGATGGATGGCGAAGGTGCTCGAGTGGGAGGCCGCTCGTCAGGAGACCGAAACGGAGCAACGCCTCATAGGGCGTGTCCTCGATGAAACTATACCAGAAGATCGAGGCCTTCAGTTCCTGGCTCAAAACAGCAGCAAGTATCAGATTCGATGGCAGCAAGGGCGTTTCATTGGTGCTGGTACCTTTGGGACCGTGTACTCTGCTGTCAACCTAGACTCCGGAAACCTGATGGCAGTGAAGGAGATACGGTTCCAAGACATCTCTCAAAATCCGTCTCTATACCGCCAGATCAAGGACGAGATGAGCGTCATGGAGATGCTCAGTCATCCAAACATCGTAGAGTATTACGGCATCGAAGTGCATCGAGACAAGGTCTTCATTTTTGAGGAATACTGTCAAGGAGGTAGCTTGGCTCAGCTACTGGAGCACGGCCGAATCGAAGACGAAGCTGTCGTGCAAGTGTACACGTTGCAGCTCCTGGATGGATTGGTCTACCTGCATTCTAAAGGAGTTGTGCATCGCGACATCAAGCCAGACAGTGAGTGGAGCGCAAAGAGTGATTATTCTTACTGCATTGATACTTACGACGCCTTGTGTTGCACGACAAAGATATTCTGTTGGATCACGTGGGCGTGATCAAATTTGTCGACTTCGGCGCGGCCAAAGTTCTTGCCAAGAACTCCAAGACTATGCAGCGCAGCCGTCGCCCCGGTGCCGTGGGTCCAGGCGCCATCAAACAGCAAAGCAAGGGCGCCCCGGGGGGCATGGGAAGCTTACAAGGCACGCCGATGTATATGTCGCCTGAGGTCATCAAGGGCGAGACTCGGGGCAGACGAGGTGCTATGGACGTGTGGAGTCTTGGATGTGTCGTTTTGGAATTCGCTACGGGTCGCAGGCCATGGAGTCAGCTCGATAATGAGTGGGCAATCATGTTCCACATTGGCATGGCGCAGCAGCATCCTCCTTTGCCCGACCCCGGTCAGCTCAGCGAGGTGGGCATCGACTTTATACGCCAGTGCTTAACCATCGACCCATACGACAGACCATCAGCGAGCGAGATGCGCGAGCACCCTTGGATCAAGGGTCTCACCGATGACCTTCGCCGGGCTGACGAAGAAGAGAGTGAGTTGCAAAAGTCGTCTTTGAGCAGATCTTCTGACGCGAGCGCTAGCTGACAAGACAACTTGAATGACCCGTCGCAGGAGCAGCGGCTGCAGCTGCTGGGGCTGACTATCAGCGCTTGAGCGTTGACGGCGATGATAGCGCTGCTGGTGTGGCGGCCATGGCCGCCACACCCGGCACTCGCTCCGTGAACGGCTTCAATTTTGGGGAGCGCCAGTCCTCTCAAACGCCGGGCTTGGCGAGCATCAGATCAGGCTATGCGGGTAGCATTTCCAGCTGGGCCCAAGCGACAGGCGCGGCGTCGAGCGTCACGACACCACTGGACAGTCTCGGAGGAGAGCCGCATTTTCCCGGCATGAAGTCGACGGGCACGAGCAGCTTGCACGTGCCGCGCGGCAGGGCGCAAGACTCTTTGCGGAGCGGTTCGGAAACGCCTCAGGAGAGCGCCGGTCTGGAGACTGGAACGTCGCAGGAACGCTTTTTTGGGGAGGATCCTGATGCATGTATACCGAGTTCCCAGAAGCACGAGGAGGCCGCAACCTACGCGGATTTGGCGTACGATAGGGAGAATGAGGAGAGGCGTCGGCTTGCTAGGCCTCAAGACGATGGTCTCTGAGGCCCACGATAAGTGTGCACAGATGAACAAAGAAGGGCGCCCCACTCTTTCCGTCTTGCTTGCCGCCAAGGGGGACAGCACGATATGCCTGCATCTGTTGACGTGCTTCTCGATAAAATTGTACAATCTATTGCGTTGCTTGCATCAAATACATGCCTCGTTTTCCGTCTATGCTTGCGCGATGCCGAATCCAGAATCATCTGCAGGCCGCACCAAGTCGAAGGGAGTGCCAAGAAATCCGACGACGAAGCACATCGTATTTCACATCGGATGATAGTGTGAAGAGTGAAGGGTACGTCCATCATTTCGCGCTCAAAAGTTCTTGCGATCACTCCCAATCCGAGTCTTCTCCGCTCTCTTCTTTCTTGGTGCTCGCAACAGCGAGCGCCCGAGCATCCTCTTCCTGCTCCTCCGCCTCCCAGCTACTAGTCTGAGGTCCCGTCGTCGTTTGCAGTCCCGAGTCTCGGCTGGACGAAGCGCTCATGCCCTTGCGGGCAGACGGCGCGATTGTATCAGTTTTGATCGGCTTTGGAATCTGTGCGTGCGCTTGGGCTTGGGCTTGGGCTTGAGCAGACGCTTCTTCGGCTTCTGCGTCCCAATCGAAATCATCCGATATGTTTTGACTGCTTGAATTCTGACCAGTCTTGCTCTTGCTCGAGCTGGCTGACTCGGGCTGGACAGGCGTCGATTGGGCTTTTGGGTGGCAGAGCGAATTGGTCAGGTTGACGAGGCCCACACAGCAATCACGCCCATGCCCAGCACGCGACCATCTGTCAGACAGACACTTACCCAGCTTGTTGTCGCCCTGCGGCGTCCCGTCTTGATCTCCCTTTTGGCTCACCTCATTCGCCGGCACGACCTTCACCAAGTCGCCCACCAAAGCGGACATTTCCTTGCCAACATCCCTAGCCAAATTTTCGCTGGCCGCATAGTACTTTTTCGCCAAGTCTTGACTCGCCTTCCAATCCAAGTGCGGCAAAGCTTGCTGAAAAGTCTTTGTCAATGCGGGCAGAGCCTCTGAAGGTGCGGCCAGTGAAGCCGTCGACGATTGTTCGGACTTCTCCCTTGTCTCGTCTTTGGCGCCCACGTTGTTTCCTTCGCCTGACAAAGATGAGAGCGTGGACGCTAGCGATTTTTGCAACTCCAGAACGCGAGGTTGAGCTTCGGATACCAGCGTACCTTGTACGCGCGTGAACCAGGCCTGAGCGGACCCAAGGGCTTGAGAAAAGTCTGTAGTCGCTGTGCGCTGATGTAGTCGGTTGTCTTTCACATCGGCACGCCCTCTTGCCGAATCAGAGTCCGCATCGAACAGTTCCTCATTGGGCGTCCCGAGGCCAGTGGATCCAGCTTGGCTGCGCTGAGATCCCTTGGGAATAGGTAAAGCCTCGCCCATTTCGGAGTACTGCTCCCCATCAAAGTCTCTTCCGCTATCCGTCTTTTCAGAATCATCATCCAGCGCTTTCGCCTTGCCCTTGCCCTTGTTCGAAGTATTACCAGATGTGGTCTCTCCCTCTGCTGAGGCCTCAAGAGGCACTTGTGCTTTCTCTCTCGCCGCCTTTTGAGCCTCGTTGAGTTGCGCCTCTAGCTTGGCAGCTTCAGCGCGAGCCATGGCCATCAGACCGCCCTGAGCGTCGATTTGTTTCCGAGCTGACGCCAACGTGTCTTGCGACTAGTAGCATACAGTACGCAGCGTATGATTAGCATGCACCTTTGAGTCGGTCGATTACATTGCAGAGAAAACGACTCACTCTCTTGCTCACGCCAGTCCACCAACTTCCTAGACTGCCGACCAGCTGCGACACCTCCTGTTCCAATGTTGGCTCTGCTCCTACGGATTGAGCTGTCTGATTCGCTTCTGACCCGCTCTCATCTTTTCCCCTCGACCCGTCTGTAGCGCTGGCAGCTGGTAGACTCATCGTTGCCGACGAGGTCGAGTAGAAATGAGCATCCGTCACGTCCATGACGAAAGTTTTAGAGGAGTGCGGTGTGCGCGCAGATATTCGCTGATGGGACGGGCAAGTCACTTGAAGATGGACTGTAGACCTTTTCGATTGCGCTTTGAGTTGTGGTGCTCTCGGTCACGTTTTCAGCCCGCACTCGTGGCTGACGTTCCAAAGTGATGGAAGTGTGAGTGTCTATGAGCCAGTACAGTGGTGAGTCTTGAGTGAGTCTTGTTGCAACTCTGCTGCTCGGTGGTACGGCGCGTGCTGCGTGTGGCTGCGCAAACCAAAATCAAGCCTGCAGCGCACAGGCATCCCAGCAGTCACGTGGACAAATGCACGCGGTCGATATGTCCAAGGACTCACACTTTGACTCAAAACTCGCCCCAAGACTCATCAGACTCAAACTGCAAACTCATGCCGGCTTCCGCTACCTCCGCTGTCTCCGCTATACGGATCTGCATGGATGCACCAGCATAGCGCCGGATCGAAGCATATCTGCCCTCCGCTTTCATCTTCTTGATTAATAGGAGTCGCATGAACAGTCGTGAATGTACAAGCTGGGTTGGATGCGTTGCAAAAGGGGAGGAGGGGATGAAGAGTGTCGACATGATGAACCTATATTCACGTGATTCTTCTGATTGGTGTGATACATGCATGGAAGTGCGCAAAGGGCGACTTCGTCATCTAAGCTTTCTGAGAAGCGTCCTTTTCCGCATTCCTTCTTCTCCTATATTCGCTCAATCCCGATCTCGCGCTGGCATCCCTCAAAGTCTTGGAAATGCTGTCCTGGGGCAGATAGCCTTCCTGCTCGAGCTGCTTGCGAATCTCGAGGTCGGGAGCGGGTGCCCATTTGCTGTGCGTTCTGATTCTTGAGCCGTAGATGTAGAAGAGGAAAGGAGAGGGAGCGAGAATCAAAGCTACGCAGCCTAGCAGTGTGCAAGACCATTGAGGGCCCCAGTAAGAGGTCCACCAGATGCGCGTGAAGAGCGGGAAGCCGCTTGCAGTAGCTGAACGGATGATCGTGTTGGCAGCGAGAGCGCTGGCAGAGTAAGCCAGATAGGAATCTGTAATGTATGTAAGCTGTGTAGGATGGAGTACAATGGTGAGTCGGTATGCTGACGTGGAGGTGAAAGCAAAAGCGAAGCTTCGTTCTGCGCTTGCCGACTTACCAGAGAGATGAAGATCAGAGTAAAAGAGATGCCGATTGGGATGAGGGCGAGCGTTGGAGCGATCCAATGCACCGATGGATATGCGCCCGTCCATCCAAACCAGAACAAGCCGACCACCAAGAAAGGCGCGGCCCACATGCACCCAATCAAGCGCTCTTCAGGCGGCGGGGAGCCTTTCCAAAGCTCTTGAAGGTCGTAGTACTTCCACCACATCTTGACATTCCACAGCGCACCGACCGTCGTACCGATCAGCACGGCTAGAAAGGGAAGACTGGATAGGCCCAGATTGAATTCGGTGGGTCGAAGCGTGGCAAAGACGACTGGGACGCCTTCGAACAGGCCATACAGCAGACCATACACCTGCAAAAGAGAAGTGAGAAGTAGTCTTCAGCAATGGCTTCCTATTGATCATCAATCAGCCAGAGACGTATCATCACTCACTACCGAGATGTAGATGGTGATGAGGACGAGCATGGGCTCCAAAGCGAGGATATGGAAAGGTCGGAAAAGGGTTCGCTCGGCAATTCCTCTGAAGGAAAAGTCTTGACGTTCAAGGGGTGCCCAAGCTTTAGCATTACCTTCCTTGCGCAGGCGCACAGCCTTCTTCTTGAGCAAGACCGGAGCAAAGGTTTCTTCCAAAAAGCACGCAACAAATGCCCAACTAAGGAAAGAGTAGATGAGAAGGACTAGGGTATGGATGCATGGCACGATTGGAGCGCACGACGTCAGCTCGGGGACGACGCAAAAGTCCAAAGATCTGACGACTCACCCCAGAAGACCCATTCCCATCCAACGGTCTGGGTGACGAACGAGCCGACGACTGGCGCGAGCGCTGGTCCCAGGAATACCGATCCGCTAAAGGCGCTCATGGCAAAGCCTCGATGAGTAGGGTTCATCACGTCCGCTATCAGTCCTCCCGCATTGGTCAATGGTGCGGAAGCGGCAGCGCCGCTCAAAAGTCTGGTGATAAAGATGGTCCACCAGTTCTTTGCAAGGGGTGGACCGATGATGAATGCGGTGTAGGAGAACATGGAGATGATGAAGATTGGCTTGCGACCGAATAGCCTGCGTCAAAGACCAGACGGCGTGAGTTCTGCGTGTCTGGTGATGCTTTCACACCTACACATCGAATGGGCACTCACTCGCTAAATGTTGACCAGAACAGCGGACCGATGCAGTATCCGATCAAGAAAGACGAAGTGAGCGCTAGAGTAGCGATGACTTCTGAAATTTGAAATTGCATCATGACGGGCATCACGGCGCCGCTAGGTGCGGCCGAAGCAAAGGTGCAATTGACGGTCAAGAAGATGACCAGTCCCGACAACCACCATTTCTTCCTCAATGACCAATTTTGAGGATTTGCGGGATCATCAGGACCATCCCAATCAACACGATTCTGCTCATCCTCTTCCTCCTCTTGCCTTTCTGCCCTGCTCTTTTCAAGGTTGCCACCAACTTCGTCAGCTTCTCGCTCGAGCGCAGCGTTGGCTTTTTGAGCCCCTGTGCCTGATCGCTCGGGCACTTGCGTCGAGTTGCTCGAGCCTGTATCACTCGGCGAGGAAACGTCTCCAGGACCAGCTTGGCCTGTCGAGTTGCGACCCGAACTTTCGAATGCGCTGCCTCCGTGGCCCTCAGAGCTTAGCAGACCCGGCGTCATGGGCGGTGTGATGTACTGCGAACGCTCCGAGGCAGGAGTCAAGTACTGACTCCGCTCAGAAGCAGGTGTTCTCCCAATGGACGACATACCGTCCAAAGTTGGGCGAGTGAGTGAGTAAGTGAGTGAGTGAGTGGGTCGGCTCCAGCTGTTTGGACGGGTGGGATGTGAGAGAAAGATGAATCTCCAAGCGTATTTTTGAACGCTATCCGTCAAGAAATGACTATTGGCGATCTTGCTCGATCTGCGATCGACGGTCGGGGCAGGGCTGCAGCTGTACTTGCAGCCTGATCTGTCAGCAACAATGGAGCAGCGAGCAGAAGCCAAGCCACTGACAAGATCAAACCTTCGTAATCCCTTGATGCGGCCGGCCCCCGGCACGAGCAGCCACAACCAAGCGGATTTAACAGTCACGAGTCAGTCGCGAGTCTGGTCCTCCACCAAAGGAACAAGCTAATTAGCGGAAGTCGTTGCACACAGATACAGCAAATGCGCCGACACACACCGACGGAGGAAAGAAGCCTACCCAGCCGGCAAATCGACATCGGTAGGTTGCGGCAAAGTCGAGTAGAACCAGCAGTCACAGTGCTGGCCAAGTCCAAGATCGGAGCAAGGGTCTCGCGCGGTTTGCCCGATCCCTCGCCTATTTTCCTCCGCATGCATATATGCGCTGCCACCGCGGATCGCAGCGCGACTTCATGTGGAGCTGCGTTTACGTACGCCATGCCATCAGCATCGCGTCCACTCACAACTGTATCAGCGAAGCGCTTGCACGTCCGCGGTGGGATGACGCACTGTTGCATGGTGGTGAGTCTGGAGCGTTGCGTACTCGTGACTGTGGTCGTGAATGTTCACGCGCCGTACATGAGCCATTGATGATGATCGCTTCGGCCTAAAGAAGACCCTTGAGATCCGTAGCGTCTCGTGCAGATCTGGAATTTGTTCACATCCTTAGCGAGGAGGACGAGCATCAAGGTACACTTCTGTACCTTTGGTCACGACGAAGAAGTCTTGGGTAACATGCTCGTTAAGACCAACCCTTGAAAAGACTGCGCCGCCCAGACGTCAAGGCTCCAAGAGCGCGGACTCGATCGTCGGGAAATTGGGTATCCGATTAAGAGTACATTGGCAAACCCAATTGGGTGTGTTGGTGGAATACATTGCGAGGAGAGAAGGCATGTCACGCAGTGCTCGAACGAGTCTGAGAGGGTCAGGGCAGTGGGGTCCGCGCGAGCGCCTCGGAGCATCTCCGTAGACGAGCTTCTAAACGGGCCAAACGTAAGAAGGGGAGTCTTTGAATCGTGCATCAAGTTTCTTCCCGCAGTACTATCGACCAGCACCTTCGACGAGCTTGATGCTCAGAAATTTCGGTTGAGGTCTAGTGCCACTGAGTCCGACCGTGATGGAGAACATTCTATCGAAGAGGAGCTGAACCCAAGCCTGGCTAGCTCTATGGCAAGCGGCAACGGGTTGACCTCCCGTTCCTTCCAACTCTCTCAAATGTCTCCAAACTACGCTGGGTTGCGGCGGGCCGTACCTTGTGCTGGCCTGATACGCAGCTTGCCATCTCTCTCCCAAACTCTTAGCGCAAGCTTTCGGATCCGGACATGCTGCGTGGCACTCGTAATCCCTGGCAGGATTGGCCAAACTCAACTTGAGGATGCGCTCCAAGAACCAGATCCTCTTTCTTTCCAGCTTTAGCAACGTCTCTTTCGACAGCACATTCAGCTCTTCCAATGACCAGGATGGCATATTGTCCAGCACGTGTCTGGACGCTTCCTTATATTCCGCTTCTAGACCGTGCCTTTCACCTAGAGCCATAGCTTCGATAGGTCTTCCAGCCAATGCAGCCCTCAAAAAGGAGATGCAGCTCCTCCGTAGAAACGGAATCTGGTACTTGTCGTCGAAGCGCATCAGAGCGCCAATGTTGTACCACGTGACTAGCAGTTGCAGGTGGGGATAGATGTGGCACAGGACGTCCTGAAATGTGGATGCGTCCTCGTCTGGTAGATGAACGTCCGCAACTAGACTGTGTTTGCTGATTGAAGGACGGCTGTCCTCTCGTGAGCCCCTGCTTCGCCTCGAGGGCGTGCGTCGCGCACGTCGTTCTGTGAGCGAGCTAGGCCGCGCTCTCGAGCTCGCACAAGGACTTTGGAGGGGAGGTGCCGAGTTGCGCACTCGCACAGGCGCTCTTTGAGCAGACACCGAATCAGCAGACGAGATTGCTCGTCGGGGTTCCAGCTGCGGTGAGCTAGAAGGAGTGGCTAGATTTTGAAGGCGGTTCGAAAGGCCCTGCACGTCGAGCGCACCGATATCCCGCGAGCATTCTTGTTGCGCTGGCCGAGCGCCAGAAGCTGTTTCCGCCTCATCTGTCCAAATAGCGTCTTGAGCATCGAGAGCTTCTCCATCACGCTCTTGTGAGTGCCGTGCATCATCCTCATTGCTTTCAAGTAAGCTGTGATGCGCTGTGTGAAATGATGCTCTGGGTGAAGCGTGACCTCGAGGGGAAGGCAACCTCAGCTCTCCGTCTACGTCGTCCCCTTGGGAGGCTTCGATGGTCGTGTCCCTCTGGGCCAAAGGAAGAGGTGAATCCGCTTCACGGCTGGAAGCGGACGGCTGCAAAGGCTGCGCCTGCGATGAAATCCTCTCCAAAGCGGTCGGAACGTCGGATGTGGGCGCTTGCTGAGCGCTGTGCTGCAGCTCTGAACAAGGCTCCGTGGCCGTCGTCGATATTGCATCCTCTTCGTCCGAGCAGACCACTTCACTTTCGCTCCAGCCACCTTGGAGCAAACCCCGGAAGAAAGGAGAGGCGTAGTACAGCACGCTGCGTGGCAGCAAGCGTCAGTCAGTGCCTGGCGCAGTCATGAGGTCAAAGGGGGGATCTGTGCCCAGCTTCTCAACTCACTCCTTGTGCAGATAAAATCGCACACCACCACAAGTAATTTTGACATTGCCGCGATTCTCCGCATCCTTTGAAAATTCGGGATTCAAAGCGAAGCTGACTTCTCCATTGGAGGCGTGAGACCTGAGCTGCTGGGCGTCTTGCCTCTGATGAGGCCCAGAAAGATGAGCTGCACGACGCTTGGGACTGTATGGAGAGGTCAGCGCTTCGCCGTTCGTTGTCGTGGTTGTGAGACTTGGGGCCAGCGGTTGACTACGACCTGTGCCGAGCGAGCCGATGCCAAAGAGAGGTGCTGGTGGTGGTGGTGGTGGTGGTGGAGGAGCAGCAGTAGCAGCGTTGATAGCGGAGTTTGGGCTCGTGACGGTGTGAGACCAGGGCGCCGAACCGGACACGTGGCTCGTAGCCGCTCCTTCTGCATGAGGAGAGTTGGATGAATGGTGATCTACAGGATGTTGAGGGGTGCAAGAGTGATGCGGATGGCTCATGGATCCCGCAGCACCAGTCACGTTGAGCAGAGCTGGAGAAGGGGTGGTGGCAGGTCGAAGGCTTGGCCGGTACCGCATCCACGGACCTCCATGTGCGCCTGCGCTGTTCGTCGTCGCTGCTTGGCTCGATCCTGCTCCTGCTACCTCGTATGCTGGATGGCTGGATCCGTTTTGGTTGCTCGAGTTGGATGAGCTACTCGTCATGCCACTCGAGACGTAGGGGCTGGATGCTTGGATCATGGTTGCAGCCAAAGACTTTGACGAGCAACAGCGATGCCGCTCGCCTACTACGAAAGAGCAAGAACAGACGATTTCTCCTCGCTCCTCGATCAAGAGGAGTTGATCAAAGGCCAAGTTCTGGATGTGATTGATCGGAGCGAGGCGAGGCCCCTGCCGCCATTCGTGATTGAATTGATGCAGCAAGCTCATGCACCGCAAGCCACCGGATTGAAGGGACAGACGCGATGCAAGCAGGCAATTTTGAATGCACGCAACGCTCCCAATTACCCCCGGGCCTCTATCTTGTATAGGAGGAAGGGCGCCCGCGATTACAGCATGCGCTCGTGGGGATAATCACGAATGGTGAATGAAACGTTCAGATTTCAATCTTGAATCCAAAATTGAGAGCTAAATTGATTCAAAATTCAAGATTGGCGATTTTCGATTGGTGCGGGAGAGTCACGTGAGTCGCAGTTTGACTTGCGTGCACGCCTTCAAAGTAGGGAACCGCATGGTCGCGCGCAATCTTGAATGGACGCCGCGACCAGCCGCACGTGAAGCACTCACACTCAAGACTTACGCGACTGGACGAATGTGAACGTCTGCGCGCTCTGAACGCTGTTCGTCGCGAAACGGGGTCTCGGCACTTCTCAAACCGCCGTCAGCATTGGCACACGACTCCACTGCCTTCTCAGTCCGGCATTGTGGTCGGCTTCCATCCCTTTCTCTAAGCCATCGTCGAGTGCCTCCTCAATTCGCGCCGCGACCGAGTTCAGCACAATCCCTTTTGCAGACATGCCCATTCTCCCTACCGAACGCAGCTAAGCCGAGAAAGGCCTGCATCCGCCATCGGAACGGCTGAACGAAGGGATTCCGCAACTCGTCTGATGCATGGCTCGCATCCGAAGCAGCTCCTCAGAGGCAGGCGTACCTAGCCTGCTCAGTTCTCTCACGTCCCAGCTTTGCTAGCCTCCGAGCGCCGCTCTGGCACTGATCTCGAGATTCCAACATGAGCTCGAAGATAGGGGAGACGCCGAGCGCTGCTATAAGCGCTGCCACCGTATCCGGCTCTTTGGAACATGGCTTAGACTCTCTCAAGGCGATACAGAAGCAGTATCGTAGATGGGAACCCTTGCCCAAAATCCTGTTCGGCTTTTGCGTGCTGCCCTTCAGTCCGGAATTGGAATCCGTAGACGTAGGCCTTCTGCAACAGTCATCGCGAGCTGAAACTCAAGAAGCTCTCGCGACCATTCAGTCGCACCTTATCGGACTAGAAATAGGCGACGAAGTGTACATCTTCGAACAGCTCGGCCACGCCGATGTGGCTTGGTTTCGCGGCTATGTCGTCTCCAGCAACAGGGTGCCTCAACCCGCTGCAAGCAACAGCAGCCGAAGCGAGTACTCCGCTTTCCCAGGCAGTCAAGCCGGCAAGTCGGGAGTCGCTGTCATTGAGGAGCCACAAGTATACGTCGGCCTGTTCCCCTCGACTCACATCCATATCCGCGAACAACTGGACGATGCCGAGCTGAGGTTGGCGGAGGTCCATGCTCTTGCAGTGGAGCAAGGCATCGTCGGAGCGACAGCCCCTCCGCATGGTGGCAAGTCTTCGACTTCGCACATGGAGACTGTGCATGAAGAAGATGAAGGCTCATCAAGCGCTCCTGGAACCCCGACCCCGGCAAGTGTTGCGGCGCCCAAGTCAACCCCCGATACTCGAGACTCTGACACATTCGTGCTGGAGAACTCGAATGGTGATGCGGAACGCCCTCCACCGCCTCTGCCAAGTCTCAAGTGTGGAGACGAGACCGCCAGCGGAAGCGATGAGCCGCTGGTGGACGAAATAGCGTGCGCTTTGCGCGAATGGAGCAGCCTTATGTACACCTACTTGGCACGCCGCGACTACGGTCTCTTCAATGCTGTTCGCGAGCACACCGACTTGCTGCACGTCGCTCGGAGGCAGCTGCTCGCACAGACACTTAGCGCCGAAGAGGTGTCGAAACTGCGTAGAGAGTGTGTAGCTAGGCTGGTCAAGGGCAACGTGCTGCAGGGCCTCGACGTCATTGTGCGACACCCTGGTCGCGGAGGTCTTGTGGACGTGGACTTTACCGGGAAAGATAGCGATCCAGAAAGCTGGGTTAGCGGCATCAGGCTTTTTGCTTTGCAAGCAAGCTTAGCGTACGTTGACCAGCAAGGGAACGCATCGACAAGCGCTGGCGTGGCGAATAGCACTCAATCCAACGGTCTTGAAGTTGCTGCTAGCACTGCATTCGGTATAAGCGCCCCTTCCACGTCCACAGCTGGGGTTCTTGGCGCTTCCTCCAGCTTTGCTGGCGGTTCGGGCAGCAGATCAGCCAAGCATAGCAGCATTGCGCCGGCTCCACACGCACGGTCCAGCGCCACGAATGGCGGCCCCTCATCAGGCAGAGACCCCCCAACAAGAGGTGTCAAGGTGAGCATACAAAGGTCCTTGATTCGAAGAGCGCTACTGCTCACCACTCATATGTCACTTGCACTTGCAGTATTTCCACGTGTACCTCGACGTCAAGGCTTTCGTGGCAAGCCCATGCGTCCCCGGAGAAACGTGCGAGCTGTATCTCTCGCTGTACAACAAAGCCGAGTCACGCTTTTTGACGGAAGAGTATTGTGTGGTGCTAAATCACCAAGGTGTGCCTGCGCGAGAAAGCGAAGGTCGCCTTGGCAAAATGAGGACCCTCTTCACCGACCTAAGCGCGACGGACATGCAAGAGCTCAATGTTGTTTGTCGCATCGTCCGCAATGGTGCCATGCGCATCACAGCTGTGGACTCCATCCGCTCGGCGCAGTCTTCTGGATTGCTGCCAGCGGACGTCTTGTCCGGTGACTTAACCGATGCGGGCTCGATCGATGGCGACTTGCCACCCGGCGGAGTTCCAGGTATGCGTCCGAATCGGATGGCGAGCACCCGAACTTTCAGGCGTCCATTTGGATGCGCAGTGCTCGAGCTCGGAGACCATCACAAATTTCAGACCGACATCGCCACGAGCAGTCCGATGCGGGAGCACGTGATGCCGATTTTCGTCCCACTCAACGAGGCTGCATTCAGCACGCTGCATCAAGACATCATAGCGTCGCGAATCAGAGAATTTGAGAAGTCACCTCGAGCAGAGCTTCTGGCAGTCAACATCAAAGTTTTGCATGGCGAAGCCACGAATTTGGTGCACGAAAATCCCAGTCTGCTGCAGGATGCGCCGCTGACTGCTCGCCTAGGCTTTCCAGACGTTGTGTTCCCTGGTGATCGCCGAAACGAAGCATACATCAAATTGTGGAGTGGAGAATTCTTCCCTGCCGGCACGAAGGTGCCTGGGGGTGGCGCGCAGAAGAACATCCAGGTCTCCGCTGAGATACGGCTCCGAGATGGCAGCGTGCTCGAACGGGCAATTTCGCGCGGAGCCGGGGAGCGACTTGTCACGCAGTTCGACTCCACTGTCTTCTATCATCAGAACGCGCCTACCTGGGGAGAGCTCTTCAAGCTCGAGCTTCCTAATGAGCAGATGGAGAATTGCCACATCTTCTTCAGCTTTAGGCATCGGTCTTCGAAAGAGGAACGCGCTGGAGGTGGCGCTAGCAGGGATGTTGCGGGGTCAGGCGGGGCAGTTAGTGGTCTTGGAACCGTGGCACAGGCTCTCAATGCGCCGTTTGCCCACGGATACCTACCACTCTTTGAGAACAGCTCTGCTTTCATTCCTGATGGCAGCCACACGTTGCTGCTGTGGAGAAGCTCCCGCCCAGCTCAGCATCTGAGCCCGGAGTTGTACTTCAGCTTGCCGCCAACTATCTCCACGGCTCAAAATCCCAGTGACGTCGTGCCCTCGAGTCTGGCATCAATCATTCAACCGTTGCGAGATTCCATGACGCTTCGCACATTTTTGGTGTCGACGCGCTTCACCCAGAACGAGGTGCTTCTAAAGCTGCTGAACTGGGAGCGCAGCTTGTCGCAAGACTTGCAGGAACTCAAAGGAGTCCTCGTCAAATTCACATTTGTGGGAGAAGTTGAGATCGTCAAATTCTTGAGGGACATCTTCGACGCGCTCTTTGCGATTGTAGTGAGCCCCAAGAATGGAAGCGGTGAGCTGGACGATCTGGTCTTCAATGCTCTGGTCTTCGTCTTGGGCATTGTTCAAGATCGAAGGGTAAGTCGATGGTTGTCTAAGCTTCGCTCGAAGTGCTCCCTGCTGACTTCCAAGCTCGTGTCCAGTTCAACAATTTCCGCGCTACATTGGACGTATACATCGAGAAACATTTCCACTCTCAGACAGCGTACACTCGACTCATGGCGTCGATGTCACGCCTTCTCGCTGATCCGAGTCGTACAGAGACCTCGAAGGACCTACGAGCTGCGATCAAGGTCTGGCCATACCTGTTCAAGTTCATCATTACCTCTCGCCAGAAACAGGGAGACACCACATCCGACGGCGCGATTGGACCCCTCGGAGGCGCTGTTGACGATCACTTCGAAGTTAGCTTCAAGAAGGATCTCGAGACTCTTCTTCGCTCCGTCAATCGCCTGATGTCCAGCACGAAGCCAGCCTCCATCGTCGGGACTCAGACGCTGGCACTCCAGCACTTTGCGGGTATCCTGGCGGACCTATCGAAGGTGTTCCCGAACGACGAGCTTGTACGCATCGAGACGGCATTCGTGGATAGCATCTTCATCACCAAAGGCCGCATGATGGTGTGGAAGTTGTTGCACATCCTGCACGTCACATGCACGAAGATTTTTGACGAGTCTGAGTCTCGTGCTCAATTGATTCCCAGCATCATTCGATGGGTCCGGCCTCACCTTGGACATTACGATGAAGGGGCACACACCAATACGGGCGACCACGAAAGCGCGAGAGATGCTGCTCGGATAGCTTGGATGGAAGGGGCGCGCCTTAGCGTGACCATCATTGGAGTTGTGCTAGACCGCTTGCAGAACAGCATCGTCGAGCAGCGAAAGGCCGGGCCCGCGGGGGCGCGTGCCATGCGTCAAGAGCAGGACAATGTCGACTACATTCTCTCCACCATGCCGTTGTTGCTACAGACATACAAAGTGTTCAGCAGCCCAGAGACTGTCAAGACTTTGCTTCGGCATCGATCACCTTCCACTATCGCATCAGCGGTTCCCGTGATGTTTCCTTCGAGCTACCCTTTTCCACTGATCGCAAAGCGGCCGGCAGGCTTCGCTGATGGCGCGCCACCGAGATCGGCAAGGAGGCGCCTGGTGACACACCATCACAACTTCCTCAATTGCGGGCTTGGAGAGATAGCTGCCGTGCTGGTTGTGCTGGTGATGCTCAGCCCTCGAAGACATCTGGCCGGCTTTCTCGATGAGCAGCTCGATCTGGAAGGCCCAGAGAAGCTTGCTGAGTTCCTCTGCAACTTTTTCGACGTGGCTACTGGCATCCTTCTTAACGAAGCGTATCCGAGCACTTGGCTCAACATCAACATTCTGGTTCATCAGATGGTGTTGAAAATCGCAGATCCCCTTGCAGCGTTACTGGTGCGGGACTTCATCCCACCCGCAGACGAATCGCAGAAGTTCAACACGACTTTGTGGAGATCAGCCCTGGATATGCTGCTCACCCTGCTGTCTAGTGATCAGCTCGTCATCGAACAATTCAAACCGCAACGGAGGCGGGCCGTGTGGCGTCTTGCTGGCGACATTCGAGGAGAGGGCGCACAAATCTTTGCCAAACTTTGGAACTCCATTGGCTGGCCTGACAAGCCTGACAAGCCCGTCGATGGCCGAGATACAGATGGCAACGATGCGGGTCGCCTCAACACTGGCGGATTCCAAGTCCAGTTTGTTCCTTCTCTCGTGGAGCCAGTACTTGAGCTCTGTCTCAGTCACCACGACGAGTTGCGTACATGTGCAGTAAGAGTGCTTGCTACGATGATCACCTCGGAGTGGCATCTCAATGGTGACTTCAGTGTCATCGAAGCCGAGATCATCGATAAGCTGGATGTGCTCTTCATCACCGATACCCAAGGAGACGAGATTTCTCGTGCTTTCTTCATCGGCCAGCTCAGGTCTCTCTTTGAGAGCCCGCTGGTCGATGCCAAGCTGCGAGAGCAAGTTCTGGCTTGTCTTGTTAGCGTCAATCGCTTCCTAGATTTACTCCTGAACGTACGGAGTCTACCCCCGGAAGAAGGCTTCGAAGACGATCGCGTCGCAGGCACGCTCAAGCTCTTGGGCTTTCTGCGCCAAGCCAACAGAGTGACAGCCTTCTCGACACACGTGCTGAGGCTAGTCAATGTGAGTGTGCTGAGGGACATTCCAGTCACACCTGGCCGCGCTCATTTCGCTGACGTGTCTGCCCACTTTCGTTGTAGCTTCATCTTGAAAATCGTAATTATGTCGAAGCTGCGTTGACGCTCAAGTTACACGCTGATCTGCACTCGTGGGACATGGACAACTTCGTCGAGCCGATTCCAGACCTTGATCTGCCGCGGCAGTCTCACTTCGCTCGGAAAGAGACCTTGTACACGCTCATCCTAGACTATCTCGGAAAAGGTTCCGCATGGGAGATCTCTATCGACATCTGTCGCGAGCTTCTTCATCAGTACGAGTATCGCTCAGTGGACTACGGACGCCTTGCCGACGTATTGCGTCTACAAGCTTCGCTGTTCGAGAAGATCGCAACCGTCGAACGTACCTTCCCTAGCTATTTCCGCGTTGCGTACTACGGGCAATCCTGGCCAAACAGTCTTCAAGATAAGATGTTCGTGTATCGCGGCCTCGATTGGGAGAAGTTTGGTGCTTTCTGCGAGAGACTGCACCAGAAGCATCCGAGAGCGACGCTCATCAAGAGCACCTCATTGCCTGATGAGTCGATCCGTCATGGAGAGGAAATGTACTTGCAGGTCACTGCTCTTCAACCCGAGGCTGATAAGCTCAAGGATATCTTCACCAACGCCGAGGTACCGCCGGTCGTGCGCGCTTACTTTGAGCACAACGCGACCGACCTATTCAGCTTCGCAAGGCCGATACGGAAAAGCTCTGAGGGAACGAGGAAGCCGGTCACGGCCGGCACGCAAAGCGCAGAACCGCAGAACCTCTGGGTCGAAAAGACCTATCTGCGCTGTGAAGACCATTTCCCAACTGTATTGCGGCGCAGTCATGTGGCCGGACTTTGGACCGTCGAGCTATCGCCCTTGCAAAATGCCATCGACGACGCAGAAGCGAAGACTTCAGAGCTGGAAAGCTTGGAGAAGAAGTATGCTGCACTGAATCGAGTAGTGTCCGGCAGAAATCAAGCCGCGGCGCGAGGAGCCAACACCAACCGCCTCTCCATGGCACTCAACGGCGCGGTCGATGCACCCGTGAATGGCGGTATCCCCATGTACAGAAAGGCCTTCTTTTCCCCGCAATTTGTGTCAGCAAACAGCGATAAAGAGCCTCTCATTCACAAGCTTCGGGAAGCCATCGACAAGCAGGCTGTGGTCATCCATCGCTGCATCAAGTTGCACGCGCGCATGTGTCCGCCGGAGATGCGGCCGTTTCACGATACTTTGGAGCGTTGTGAGTCCTATCAGTAAGGGCGACAAGTCTGCGCCAGGTCTTTGCTCATCCGCATTCTCTTGCGTCCATTGCAGTCTTCAAGCAAAATTTTGCAGACGAGATCACTCGCCTCGAGCTCGAAGTCGGTACGACCGAAGAGGAAGTCAGCCGTTCTAGCAGCGGCCATCAGACTAGCGTAGACAGCGGTAGAAGCAATCAAATCACCACACTGTCCACAAGCGGCAACGCTGGACTTTTGCTCGAACAGAACCCGTCGCACGCATATGCGTTGGATGCGAATAGTCGTCTTCAGCGCACTCCCTATGGATCCGATCACCTTCCTGCTCAGAGCCCGCTTCAAAAGCACATCAGTGAGTGTCGCGCGTCCGCGATAAGTGAGCGCCCACACATCACCACGCGCTAACCTCTTCACTGCAATGGTTTGTAGCGAGCCTGTCGAAGCAAGTTCGACCAATCAAGTCCTCGCTCGGACAATTGGACGGCGAAACGCTGGACGAGGGACTGCCAATCGCCAGTCCTGAGCCCGGTGTTGGCAGCCCTGTGCCCTACGCCCTCTCACCCAACGGAGCTTCGGATGGCGCCACCATGCGAGGTGCCACCCACACGATTCCCGCCTCAGCTATATCCCGTTACGAAGCCTCAATCTTGACCAACAACCGAGGCACTTCGACAAAGCAAGGCACAAGTCTCTTCTCTCGCGTGGAGGGTGGAGCGAGTCGCTTGTCGAAGCTGATGTCACGGAATTCTACGAAGAGATAGCCACGGCATGTCTCCTGATGACTTGGCGCCGCCGCTTTGCTCGCTCTGCTCATTCCGATACCTCATACCTTGCTGGCTGTGCATCCTTTCCTCCTGCTTCTCCCAATACCAACGTCTGTCGCGTGTTGCGCCTCTTGTCTTGCAATGCAATGAGGGCTGAAGTTTACAGAGAATGCCATTGACTCTAAAAGTATCCCGCAAAGTCAAGGCGGGCAATCAGTTCATTAACGCTGTCCACGTTGGCCTCGATGTGTGCATTTTGACCTTCCAAAATCTTCAAGTCTTCCTCCGTCATTTTCATCAGCCGACGTTCTTCGCGAGCCTTTCTCGACATGGTTTGCTTGGCGTTTGCCTTCAACGTTGCGCTGGCCGCTCCGGCGACTCTGCTCGCGCCTGCAGAGTCGCGCTCTCGAATGGCATGCAAGGTTCGCACGAATCCGCGTACGCGCGAGGTGAACTTGGCATACGAGCCTCGCAGGCGCTCCATCCGAGCTGGAGCTGTTGCGTCCGACTGCGTCGACCGAAGGTCTTCGCGACAGAGCGTCAGAAGGCCAAGAGCACTGTTGAGGATGCTGTCGATGTACACGCGCAGATCTGCTTGCCGCGCGCGCAAGAAGCACGTTTGCAACAGTCGCTCAAGCGTGGTCTCGTGGTACAGCGCCAGACTGAACACATCCTTGATCTCCAAAGCCGGTTGTGATCTGGATGACCCAGGTGGCGCGCCAGATGCTTCGTCGTCATCATTCTCAAGCATCGCAATGTCCTTGAAGCCGCTCGAAAGCCCGTCGCGAGCTTCAGCTTCATCGTGCAATTCGCGAAGTCGAGCCTTAAATCTTGTCCAAGACTCGTCAATGGCCGAGGTCGTAAAGGCGAATAAAACGGTTGTGATATGATGCACCTCGCGTCTGAAGCGCAAGCAAATTTCACGTGAAGGCTGATCATAGTCGAAAGGCAGTCTTGTCGGAGTCGTTTTGGGATTGCGTGCGCGATTCGCATCTTTGCGATTGCGATAGGCTGATTCTGGCCGCTTTCCTTTCACAGTTTCTTCGAAGAGGGCTCTCAGGACGGCTTGTGTCCGAACGAACTTCAAGAGCTGGTTGAAGAGACGTTGATATCTGGTGCTGATATTGACGTGGAGCAGAGGGGCAATCAAAGGAGGTGGCTCAAAGCTCAAAGTCTGCACAAGAGGAAGAGATAGGCTATGCAAATGAGACACAAGGACAGCGAGCACGGATACGACAGTCTCGGCGACTCACCAACCAATCAAGTCCATCGATTGCTGGAAGAATGGATATAGTCAGCGCGCGTAACATGGAGGCTATAGATGCATCGATCTCACAGTGCTTGTCCTGCCAGCTACGCTTATTTCTCTTGCCCTTCAGCAGGTCATCGGGTTGGACGAAAGCGAAGGACAATCTCGCATCGAGATCGCTGAGAGCCCGAGCTTCGGCACTGCTTTCTCCCCTTTCCTCGTGAGGTCTTCTGAGGTCAGCGAGGGATTCGACCACGCTAGCGTTGAGCTTTGATCGGATCTCGGGTCTGCCGGGAGGCCACGCTTCGTCGACATTGAGGATTCTGCCCAAGCCCGGAGACCAGCCCTCTTCCAACGTTCCAGACTCATCACCCTGCTCAAAAAGCACCATCGACACACGACTGAGAAAGCTTGCGTCACCAAGCAAAAGGAATTGCCGGCATGTCTCGAGGTAAGTCGTCAAGCCAAAATCGCGGAAGTAGCAGCTTAGCAGAGCAGAGTTGAGAAGTCGGGACCATTCGAGCATTGGGGAAATGTAGCTGTCGTATATGACGATAGAGACAGATAGGGCAAAGTCGTTGCGCTGTCCATCCGACGCCTGAGCGGCATGCCCCAGGTGTGTAAGGAGCGAAGAAGTCTCCGCGACAGGGTTGCCTGTGCTGACGTCCTCGTCGCCTGCTAGTGCCGGCGGTAGATGTACATCATCTGATTTCAGGCTCGGCAGAGAAGAGCCTGGCGTCTGATCGAAGAGCTTCAGAGCTCGTTCGAGCGATGCATGAGTCGCGGACCAGGCTACATCACGCCCTGCTTTTGGAGCTTCTTGGAGGGCTGCGTGTTCCGCCAGACCAGCCACATCGTTGGTTGGAATAGTGGCCGGGCTTGAGGGCCGGGACGGGGAGGCGTGCCTTATTCGACCATGCCGCCAATGAGCTATGCTGCGTTTGAGGTGTGCAATCTCGGACAGTAGTCGGTCCTGGTGTCGATCATAATCAGCTTTGGACCAGAGCCAGCTTGGAGCTGGCAGGGTATGCTTAGAGGCGGTCTGCATATAGGATAGCAAAGGGTGTCCTGATGGTGCAGCTTTGCGAAGAAGACGTAATGCTCTGCCACCTTCCAGCAAATCTCTGGCACAAGCGGCAGGAAGAAAGTAAGGAACTCGACGAAGTCGGAGCTGCGCCAGGAATCCGACACGCCATCAGCTTGGAGATCATGTAAATCACAAGCTAATCCCACTCACCTCGTATCCGACATCGAGTTCTCCCCTTGTATCCCTACTCCACCTGATTTCCGCTCCTGTCCATGGCTCGAAAACCCCGTCGCTTCCCAGGTACATCTCCTCTCGAGCCGACGAACCCGGCCAACCGATCCAAGCTGCCACGTCTGCCCTCCACGTCTTGCTCACTTGTTCCAAGACAAATGCCAAAGCAGCGGCGCTGAGAGCATCACCAGCAGTCAGTTGAGCTTCGGCTTCTGCATACAATCTTCCCAGTAAATTTGCCGCAAGCTGCGAGGGCTGTGATTGAATGTCTTGTACGTTGCACCAGACGCCGAACGAGGGAAAGGGCGGCTTGCGGACAACATCCTATCGATGAGGGTCGAGTAATCGCGCCAAGTAAGCCAATTTGTGAATGGAGCGAATGGTCAGACGTGTGGACTTACGCAGGCCAACGCCATCGAAAGGGATGCCAATATACGGCGAGGTACGTCCAAGCGCGAGCTCTCCATCGAGATATCGTTCTCCTTGATCCTCCCTTCGAGTTCGTTTCCCAGCCATTCAACCACCTGCCGGATTGCAGCAGCAAGCGCAAACACTTCTGGAATCGGCACATCCGTGCTGACGCTCAATTCCTCCAAGCGAAGCTCAATTCTGCGCCGCAGTGCACCAATCTCTAGAAAGGGGGCTGCAATAGCTTTAGAAGTTGAAGCCGTGTATCCGTGGATGCGCTCCTCGCCGATCCACTCAGTGATGCCATCCACGCTTCGCGACTTGCCCTTGCCATTCGCAGCTGAGGCGCGTACCCTTCGATCGTGTGTTAGTCGCCAGACGAATCTTGCTTTGTCTGCATCCCAGGCAAAGTGAGTCGAGGCATGCGAAGCAAGAGCCAGCTCTAGCGATTCCCTGACACTTTCTTGTGAATGTGCCGGAGCGAAAGACGCATCGCTGCTGGAAGATGGTCCGGCGTGGTCATACTTTGCGAGCCTGTCAAGGGTGAGATTCGAGAGGAAACATGAGCACTGCATCAGTTCGTGGCGAATAAGCCTCGAACAAGTGTATCACTCACACTAGTGCGAGAGCCTCTGCCGTTGAGGCATCTCGCTCGTTGACCATGCGATCGCTGAGAAAAGGCTCGACAAGTCGCTCGTCCGAGTCCCAGCTCCAGATGCGCGGAGGTGATCTTCCTTCCTCTGGTGGAGTCAGTGGAGGTGTAGGCGCATAATCTGTAAGACGCCGCTGCGTGCTGCCATCCCCAGGCAAAGGCAGATGAAACACATCGGAAAGCTCTTCTGGATTGAACGCGCCTTTAGGCTGGGCCAGACTCGAGATCGCGAGCAGCTGAGGTAGACCGCTCAGGCCTGAAGGTGTCCGGTCAAGTACATGCGACGAGCCAGCGAACGTATTCGCGCTTGCTCTCGCCTGTATAGAGATGGACCGAGGTTGACTTGGATCCAGGGCGGGAATGTCGAGACTGTGCGCATCGTGCGACATGGTTGCCCCGACGCGCTTTCTACATTCGACACTCCCCTAATTGCGTGAGTCACTCGCACTCGCGATACCGACGCCAACAAGCCTTTGGTGGAAAAGACTACAGAGTTGTCTGGCCGACATTCGGCGTGGCGCGAAGGCAGGATGGATGGTGATTTGTGTGTTGTCTGGGCGAAGAATGCACTCACGACGCGTCCCTGCCATGGCTGTGCGCGTTGTGTTGCGTTGCGCGATTTGGCGCGTGATCGGTTCGGATCACCTGCCAAGCTCGACTCGTGACTCGTGATTCGCGGTTCTCCACATGAGACTCACGCTGCTGCATGCACAGTCATCAGTCACGAGTCACGAGTCTCATCAGTGAGTGGCGGGAGTCAAGAGTTATTGAGTATCGGTGGTCAGCAGCCTGCGAACACTCGTGACTTGGAGCACAATCACAACAGTCAAAGCTAGTGGCGAAGATCGCTTTCTCGTGCAACCTTTGGGCCAACCACCATCCAGCAAATAGGCAACGTGATCCTCTCTTTTTCTCTCGCTCTCGATTGCGTGCATGTCGTCGGAGCGGTACAAAGGTGGTCGGAGATCGGCAGAAGGACGAGGTGGCAAGCATGGGCACGCAGGTCGACCATCGGAAAGGGTGCAGAGGCTCAATGCGGACAGCGAGCTGGAGAGCAGCGTCCAGAACATGTACGCGAGAGCCGAGAGCAGTACGACGGAAGCGTCCACTCGACCTGCCTCTTACACCCGGGATGCTGCGAGGTGTCATGTGCTTGGCCTCCCTTGGCAACCCCCAAATCTCAGCAGCATGTGCGTGGATCGAGCTGCTAGGTACTTCAACACGCACGTATTGCCTGCTTATAGCACAGGTCCCATTGCTGCAGGAGGATCGCGCGCAGTACAGACAGCCAAGCGCTCAAATCGATCCGATCACCCTTCCTCCAAACGTCGACGTGGCGCCCAGAGACCATTTGGCGCGCCGCCAAACAAGGACGTCGACGACGACGATGCAGACTACCAGCCGGAGGAGGAGGTAGCGACACATGCGGCGACTTCAGCATCTTCCTCTTCGCGACAATCACGGCAAGCTGCAGAGCCTGGGACATTGGCGAGTAGCCGCGTCATCCCCGTCAGTGCTCTATCGGACCAGCCGCCTCCTCCCTGCGGCACATATGCACAAGAAGTGCACAGAGCCAATCATGAGCTCCTTCTCACAATCCCATCAGAGCTCTCGTCAAGCCTGCTTAAAGCCGTCGCCAAGCACCGCCCGGAGTTTCTGACGACCCACGTACTTTGTACTTATTTTGCGAGGTGTGATCGATTACTGCTTTCATCTTCAATACCTCAACTGCTTAGCAAAGCACCACTAGCTCGCTTCCTCGGCACCGTGGGAGAGAAGGCGGACGCATTGAGGATCATTTCGCTCAGAGGACTGACGAACTTGTCTGATGAGGCTGCGCAGAAGCTATTCACATTTGCAACGCGTCTTGAAGAGGTGAGCAATTCGAGCAGCTCTGCGAGTGGGTCAGGACTTTCTTGCTCAACAGATTCTGTGTTGTTCTCTGAAGGTGGACCTATCAGGGTGTGCTCGCATCAGCGCGAAGACCCTGGAGGTGCTCGTGAGCCACAATCCCCGGTTGCATACCGTCAACATCTCATACACCGACGCTGGTCCGGCAGGATTGGAAGAAGCGCTCCTTGCTAGACGTTTGCGTGTGCTGAAAGCTGCAGATGTCCTTGGTCTTGTGAGATGTCGCGAGACCACTTTACCAGTTTGGCTCAGCATGGCTGATTCCCGATATGCTCGACTTGCCTTTCAGACGGGAAAAGCAGTGACTGCTGCTGTCAATTGCGCAATGGCACGCGCTGCGGAGGTTGAGCCTCCATTCGTGCCTCTGCTTGAGCTTCGCAAGCTAAAGGTCAAGGTGAATTGTATCGGCGCGGTCACGGCGCCCTCATGTCTTCTCAGCAATGGTCCTCTTCCTTCCAGAATACCATCATCGACGAGGTAGGTCTTGGAGCGCTAATCAAACTCTGTGGAGCAAGATTGGAAAGCCTAGACATCAGCTATACTGCCCTGCGGACGCTCATGTCTTTGGAGACAGGTCCAGTGTCCAGCGGGTCACCTAGCAAGCTGCAGAAGCTCGTTCTGAATGGGTTGAATTTGTCAAAGGGCACAAGCCTCTCCCAGCTCATCGAGTGGTCAGCACCTAGTCTCTTGAACCTTCAATGCTCTGATATTGACGATAAGCACTGCTGGAGGTGGATCACGCGCCTCGAGGGGAGAGATTCGTACCCCTTGAGGAAGCTGGTGATTGGCGATACTTGTTTTCGAATGTCCTCAATAATGAATAGCCCGGAGATATGTCGCACATTTCCATCACTCAAGGTGAGCAGGAGCAGAATTTCCACACAAGGAACGCGCAAGCTAAACCGCTTTCGCCCTATTCTTGAGGCCCTCATTCTCAAGGGCAATGTTCACTACCTCGGCAGCGAAGATCCACTTTTGCAGAGACTCGAGGAAATCAGCGCTGCTTCGAAGCGATACAGCCTTGTCAGCGGCGCCAAACCTCTGCTATTTTGTTTCGTGCCGCAACATGCACCACTGCGCTCGGTAGACCTTTCAGATAGCGGCCTGAGCAGAGATGAGGTGGCCGATCTCGTGTTGAGGAGTCCTTTCATGGAGGTCAGTGATTCCTGGCGATTAAGTTCATTGCAGTGGCTCATCGTATCGCCTGCACCTTTTTGCTGCGATGAACGCTTGTTGCAGTCCATCAACTTGACCGGATGTCGTAGCATCCCAGTGCAACAGCGACGGTCATACTTTGAGGTGAGGAGCAGCGAGCAGCGCATGCGATGCAGTGTGCCTCGTTCGGATTTTGACCGTTGCGATTTTGCTTCACTGCCACAGCATTTCGATGTCGCGTACGCCAACGAGATAGCCGCCTTGAGAGAGCAGCATCCACACCCAGCAGCGATGTTTCGCTGATTCTACCCATGGAAACAGCTTTGCGAGTGCAGTCTTTGCTACACATACTCATCCGGACTTGCTCGTTTTCTCTCGTTCACATTGGGTGGGCGTTCAGCTCGTCGTACATTTGTCGAAGTATGTAGTCGAATGAAATCAGCATCTTTGACCACTACGCCATGATGTGTGGCCAGGGGGTAGTCAGAAGGCATAGCAGAGCCTACATCCTCGGTGTAAGGTGCTTCCTCTAAGGTCGGCGGCGATCCAAGCGAGTCACGTGTTGCAAAGAGGAGCTCTGCATATGTCCCGGTAAAAAGTAGCCGGCGGCAAGGCACTGGATTGTTCAAATTATTTTAGTATTTACAGACTTGCACCAAGTTTTTTCCCTCACGCACGCCCTGTCAGCTGCATGCAAGCCAGGTGGCCAGTAGTAGAGGCCATATATGCATGGCTGCTTGTGCCCAGATCTGCTTGTACCTATAAACTCAACAGCAGGTAGACAGACGCTCGAAGCACGTTTGCGCGTGTGCATGTGAGCTCTCTGCACGCGCTGCTTGCTGATGCTGCATCATGCATCAGCCGTGCTGATGACTCGTCCTGCCCGCCCATGCATGCGCAGCTGCTATACGAGCTTTTGCTCGCCGGGCGCGGGAAGGACACGCGCAAAGCTGCGCTTTTGTGCTTCATGTGGGATCTTGTATACATCGATAAACCATTAACCCACTGTGAATTCTATCTGGATGTGAATGTGAATTAAGATTGTGATTGGTATTCACCTTGCAGCTATACGTCGAGGTGCAAAGGCGCGTACGGGGTCAAGCAAGATCTTCCGCGCAGCCTTTTGCTTGCCTTCCTGACCTTCAGTTCCTCCTTCTCACACCGCATTCCATCTACCTCTTCCGGGCTGGCTGCTTTTGGATTTTCACGCCTTGCTCAGCCTGCCCGGATCATTCATCGACCGCGCGCACGCCGCCGTCAACATTTCTTCCCGCAGCAGCACCCTTCGGAACTCATCCCTACTCACAGCACCACTGCAGATTTCTTCCTTCATACGAGCGGCGATCGCCTCGTCTCGTAGACAGTCTTTGGCGCCGCTGGTATCGGTGCGCTTCTCAACTTCCTCGGGTCTCGCACTGCGTCCCAGGTATTGGCCAGCGGATCGACCAGCGCAGGTAGCGTCATCTTGTCAGCTCAATTGCGCGCGTGCTGCGAAGCATCCCATCGTCTCGTTGCAGCTGGCTGGACCGGCTACTCTTGTCCTTTGCAAGACCGCTCCGCCCAGCCACTCGCAGTGATTTCCAACACAGCGCTGTTGCGCAAATTGCGACGCTACTGCCTTCGAGGCTTCCTCGTATACTGCTTCGACCACGCTTTGCTGCTTTTTGCGCAGACGCCCAAATCAGGGGCAAAGCGGCTCTAGTGCAAGATCGGCGCTGCCAAGAGCGAGAACGGAGTGGATAGGATCTTGAGGGGCATCGGATTGACCGCTCACTACCTTGGCCAACGTCTGGACGTCATTAAAACTTCGCGAACGAGTTCCACAATCGCTGGCGCGACACGTCCAAATCGCGCCCTCCCGAGCTGCGACCGTTCTTCGAGCAGGTCAAGAGACAGATCGTAACAACACGCAGCATGGCAGTCGCTTCGTCGCAGGCTGCCAACGCTGGTCCCCCTGGTGGTGTTGGCAGCGGGCATACGATGTCTGCAGCTGAGGAAGGCCCAACGGAAATGACGCTCATCTTCTACTCGGTCTTCATGGCTGCCACCTCCCTCTTCTTTGGTGGTCTGAGCTTGATGCACGCTCATCAGGGTGCGACAGCGCAGGGCACCCTCGCTTCCACCTCACTCTTCAGCATCCCTACAGCTAGCGAGCTCATGCGTCGGATAGCACTTGCTTTGGACTCACTTTTGCACGCTCTCTCCACCGCATCGGATCTGCTGTTGGCTGTAGACATTCGCACGCTATTGTGGACTGCTGCTGGACTGCTTTCGATCTTGACAATTGGTGAGTCACCTTGTTGCCCGCTCCCTCTTCTCGTCGACTTTTCCTGACCCGAGATGCACATACGCGCACCCAGCGTACTGGACAAATCCTAGCGATGCCTCATTTCGCACTTTCCTGGCAGACCTCTCGCTGCATCAGCACCTTCGTCAGCTTCACGAGGATGCTCCGCCTGTTGCACCAGTGCTCGCACTCTCGTCAGAGAAGCAGGATGATATAGAGTCAGACTCTGTGAACGAGCTGAGCATTCGAGCAGCGGAGCAACAGACCTCGCCTCACGTCATCACCTTTGCCAACCGAATCTCCATCTCACTTCGCACGCCGCCCTATAGGAGGAGGGACCTAGGTCTCTTCGCTGTTGTCTCCGTCACTCACGTTCCGACAGATGGTCACCGAGGCAGCAGCAATTTCTCTGCGCGTAGACCAGGCGCGGATGGCAAGGTGGATTGCGCGCACTGCGGAACGCGTCATGTAGCTGGACCCTTGCAGCAAAAGTCATGGTTCGTTGGCGCATTTGGTCGATGGTTCGGTGGCACGTTGAGCTGCGCTCTGGAGTCTCGATTGGACCAGGCCGACCGGGCCGAAAGGGCAGATGGCGGTAGTGCATCAACAGCCTCCAGCGGGCACGCCGGTGACGACTACGGGGTCCTAGGAATGCTCGCTCGGGACGAGGCCAGAGCGACGCGTAAGTCCAGCAGCGCTTGCCGCGCAACACCTTGCCCCACTGACCTCTCACTTGAACGGTATCCACTAATGCGAGCAGCTGACGATTCGCCAATGCGAGACGAGTATGAGGTTGGCGAGTCCACCTCGCCGTTGATCGAAAGCGCAGCAGAGAAGCAGACAACCACGCTGGAGGATGAGCATTCTGAGAAGCCTGGAGTATCGACGCGTCCATCCAAGTCTCGGCGAAAGAAGCACCTTCAGCGACCCCGGCCAAGTCAGCCGCTGCCCACTAAAGAGGCGGTGGTCAGTGATCTGAAAGCATCAGTGGAGCCGGACAAACGATCAGATCATGACACAAGAGCCTCTCGAGTAACGCCGACTGCCAACACACCTACAGATGCGCAGGCTAGCAGCCCCGCGATCAAATGCTCCGAGACCTCTGCAATCATGAACAAGGTGGGCGCAACTTCACCCGCTTTGCTTGCTCTGGCTCAACAGCTGGCAACCTCGAATAGTGCAGCGGCAGAGCTTCAGGCAGCCCTTGACCAGATACACGCCAACTCTGGAACTACTAGAGAGCAGCTGCAAGCACAATTAGACGAGTTGAGAGAGCGGAAGCGTGAAGAGGATGGCACGAGATTGGACCTGAGAGGGAGGATGCGGGGCCTGGACGACAGTAGGAGACAAGCTGACAACAGCAAGAGAGATGCAGAGAGGCGGCTCAAAGCAGCTGTAGGACTGCGCGAAGCCATTGAAAGTCGAATAGAAGCAAGGCGGAAGGATGTAGCCGCTTTACACAAGCGAGAGACTGCAAGTGCAAGGCGAGTCTCTGAAAATCAAAGGCATCTAGCGGAGAAGGCACTCGAGGTGGAGCAAGAATCTAGCGAAAAAGCCAAAGCAGAGGAAGAGGCAGTGAGAGACATCGAGGAGCTTCGTGAGAGACTGTGCCACCTCGAGAAGCGGCTTTCGGAGGAAGAAGCAAATCTCCAGGCGTGCAAGGAGCAGGCAATTGCGCAACATAGAGCCCATCAGCTGGCTCATGAGACTCAATCTGCCTCCAATGCTACTGCTGCGCATCATCCTCCTGTGCCACCGCATTTGCAACATCATCCTCACCACCCTCCGCAGCACGTCGTCCCTCACCACTATGCTTATCCCTTTTACGATCCGTCTATTCACGGCCCTCTCCCACCTCAAGACGCCCAGTCCAATATCTATCCGCTACTATCTGCCCCTAGCGACAATGCGGCCACTGATCGCCGAGACTCGGAGGACGAGTTTGGCCCTGCGCCTTTTGACTTCGGTTGGAGCAGTGGAAGGACAGAACGAGCGCGAGCAGAGGCAGCAGCAGCAGCAAGCACCTTCTCGCCGCAATTGATCGTCCCGGTCGATCAAGAACACCACCGGGATGCCGATGTGTCACATCGTGGTTCAAGACGCACGAGCGACTTCATATCTGGCTTTGAAAATGCGCACACTGGCCATCGGTCCGACCTCACGCCCGGTGTTGTGGACTCGAACCTGCTTCACGCGCGAAGAGGCGCCGAAGGCTACATGTCGCTTTCGGGAGCGATGAATGGCAACCCGATCACGCCGCCTCGCCAATATGTCGGAGTGGATGCGGCAGTGCCAGCAACCCCTTTCACACCATTGTCCCCTTTCTCGACGGATCTGCTTCCGCGAAATCTCTTCCTCAATGCAGACGACGATGAGACGCATGCCGGCATTCTGCCCGGCTCGCGCTCAGAGCAGGTCGAAGCAGCTTTGGGGCGGTTGGGTCTCGAGTCAGACACATCTGACGTGGAGGGCAGTCTGGCATCAGACAAGGACGCTAAGGAGGAGGCCTTGGAGCATTCGGTGGTCACTGGTCCCGCTGACTTGGCTGAGACAGTCGAGCCTACGCAGACGGAGAGTACAGGCGCTGGGGACACTGCGACTAAAGTGTCCAGGCGCTCGTGGTGGGGCGGCAAGGGCCGGCCATCGAGTAAGGGTGAGCCTCAAGCAGAAAAGCCGGAACTAGAGGGGTCGGTATCGCCTCCAACCCCCATGGTGGAAGTGCCACCGGGCACAAGTGGAGAGAACGTGAAGCGGCGTTCTAGCTCAATCTTCCCGAGATTGTCGCTCAATCCCGGCGCTAAAGCGTTTCGAAGCGGCTCTCGCAACAAGCATTCGAGTGATGGGCCTGACAGTGCATTGAGCATCAATAGGCCTGTCATACGAGGCCCGCTTGATGCCTGGCCAATTGCCAATCAACCGGTCATTCCTTCAGACTACGACGCTGTTCGACGTGCCTTCGATACGAGCGCTGCGGCCGACGAGGAACAGGGCCGACGGTCGTGGAGCGCTTTCGACACTTGGGTACATGCAGCGCACTCGCCAACGCAAGGGCCATCTCAGGAGTCCGATCCGCGCATTGCTGCTCTGCTGAACTCCAGACGTGATGGCGCTGCGACAGATAAGCACGATCATGGTCTTGGTGGTCGCCACCCCTACTTGCACTCGTCGGGCGCGCTCTCAGGGTTTCGTTCCAGCTCAGACTCCTTGCCGCGAGGAGGTACGCCGGTACGCCCAAGCGGTGACTGGGCCAACCGAAGCACAGATGACGTGTTCAGCCCCTTGTCACGCACCATTTCGCACCCGGAGTCCAGCGTCGCTTCTAGCTCACCAGATGTCCGCACAAGTAGGCTGCGATCATTCTTTCGAGGGACACCCAGCGCCGCAAATGTCGATTCGACAGTCGAGCAAAGCTCCACGTTGCCCAAGACCGCGAGGGACAGTGCGAGCGAAGCTGGTCTACCCGAGGAAGCGACCTCGGCAGCTTTTGGCAACGGCAGCGCAACGCACTCGAGCTCAACGCCTCCGCCTGGCGCTTCACATAGCGACGCGGTGATCTTGAACTCGGACATTGACCATGCAAATCCATCAGCCAGCTTCTCTTCACCATCAAAAAAGCGCCAGGCGTTCCGCTGGAGCACCTCGGCGAAGCGATCCGTCGAAGAGTCGTCTGACGGTCAGTGAGGCATGAACTCGGCCAATCCCTTGGCGGTGTCGGTAGAGCTGCGAGTGGCCGATAGTAATGGAATACATGGAGCACATACGCGATGACGCTTGCTCGCGGCCCACTTCAGGATCCCCTTGACACCACGAATGATGTCAGCTCAGCTGCTCGTCTGTACGCCTTCGACTTACGCTTTCATTGCTCCTAGCTCCACTCAGTGCAATCCAATTGCTTGTTCGAGTGAGAGCGCCAATTATTCGTCGTGATTTGAAGGTGGCAGCTAGCCCAAATTTGACGTGATGGCTGACGGGAGCGCTCGAAATAGGTAATGCTGTTTGAGTGCGAGCTACTCGGAATTGCCGAGCGGTCGATTGTCTGCAAAGCGTTGTTGAGCCGTGCAACACCTCCAAGCGGAGTGGTTTCAGGGTCCTGCTCCACGCGCGACGCGTCTCGGATGCAAAGGACAAAGGGAGCAGCGCGAAGTCCACGGACAAAGGGATACCTCGAGCACATGCGCGACCCAAAGCTTCATGATCGCCTTGCGTGCGAATCCAAGCAGTTTTACGTAGAGCAGCAAATTGAGCCTCCTGCACTTGCGCTACTACCGTCGTTGAAAGCTTGAAGAGCGCCGATCCTACACGCTTACGAGACGTTGCTCGCTTCCTGCCATTTCCTCTGGGCGGAGCAAATGATGACTAAAGGCACGGGGCACGAGCGTCCCCTGGATATTGTCATACTGGGAGGAGGCATAGCGGGTCTAGCAACGGCTGTGGCACTGAGGCAAAGGACTCCTCACCACGTCACTGTGTTAGAACGAGCTGCGCTGCAAGGTTGCTCGAACCATTCAAGAAGGACAGTGGAAGACGACGGCGCTCCTCCGAGCGAGACACAGCATCTAGACACAGATTATGGTATTGCATTGGCGCCCAACGGATCATACATACTTGGATTGTTGGGAATGAAGGACCACGCGCGAGAGCTTCGAGGAATCCAGCTCAATTACGTGAGTTTCAAGTCGTCGCAAGTACGGCAACTTGTGATAGGCGTCACGCCTCGTGGCAGCGGCGATGCCACGCACATATGGAGAGCTTTGTGAAGGTCACTTATTCGTGTCTTACAACTCCGCCGCAGTGGGCTCTGCGGCCCGCCAGCGACGAGGAAGTTCCTGCCTCACAATTTCCGACAGACCCTCTCGCGCCTGCCATCTTCTGTAGCAGAGGCGCCCTGATACGATGGCTAATCAAAGCAGCAACGGATGAGGTGAGCTGCGCCGCGAATCTTCGATAATGCTGCGAGACGGGAGAATTCATTGACGGGTGGGATCTCCGCGCTCTTTCTACAACTTGCAAGTCCTTGCCTGGCACGCCAGTCACGATAGAAAGTGGTCTCGGAAGCCTCAAAATTGATATTCGGTCAGCCAAAGCTGGCTCAAAGTCGGGCGACCTTCTTATACTGGCGGATGGTCTCACCAAGACCGGCCGAGCCGCAGTGCTGGCAAATCAAGGGCTGCCGCCTGAACACTGGGAAGACGCTTACATCACAGCGCCTCAAGTGGCTTACATGGGCCTGCTTCCAGTCTCTGCCCTAAGCAAGCACTCTCATCTGCTGATGGATGGCAAACTCCAGCTACAACCCAACGGAACCTTGATGAATTGGACTTGGGATCCCGCAGACGAGGAAGGCAACGTCGAGGAAGATCCGATGCGGAGGGCAGCCAAGCAGCAGCGCTTAATCCTCTATCCGATCTCGAAGGAGCATGTCCAGCTGTTTGCCTACCTTCCGAGCACGCCAGAGTTACTGGCCAGATTCCAGCGTGGCGCACGCGGAGGCCGCGCTGCGTTCATCCGTAATGTCTCCTCTGAAGAGGCGGCGCACCATTTTGCCGCATTTGCGCCAAATGTAAGGGAGCTTTTGACTGCATGCCCCAAGCTTGACTTGGCGCAGATCAGGGATGCCCCCACACTAGCCTCATGGCATTCCAATGATGCGAGAGCGGTCATCATCGGAGACGCGGCCCACGCTGCTCTCCCGCATACTGGACAAGGAAGCTCGCAAGCCCTAGAGGACGCGGATGCCTTGTCTCATCTTCTCCGCCCGCTTCGAGCAGCCACGAGCACCTGTCCCGAGGAGTCAGAGATTCTCGTCCCGCAACTCGCTGCCGCATTGAAGACTTTTGATTCGGTAAGATTACCTCGGGCTCACTTGACGCAGCGGATAGCTAGGTTGTTCAATGGTTGCATCGATCCTGCTGAGCTGCAGCAGATGGACTGCTTCGACTTTGAAGAGTACAACGTGCGCGTAATGTCGTATCGCGGAGTCGAGGCCCATCTTGCCCAGAACCCAGCTTGAACCGTGCGCCAAGTAATGCTCATATTTATCGCTTTTGAGATGGCAGGTGATCTCGAGAATTGTGCTGCCACGTAGTCGCGAAAACATTGTAGCTGGTGGAGCAGCCTGACAGCGCCGGCTCGAGACAGGGTATAGGTGACTTCTGCGAGATCATCGAGTCAGATGCGAGCTCAACGCAAAGCGTCGCGAAACGCGGCCAATCTGTCAGAGTCGCGCTGCTGACGTTTCACTCGCTCCTTCTTTGTCAACGATGTTGACGGCTGTGACTGCGGAGCCGAGCCATGGTCGCTGCGCGTACGCGGGTCGTACCTTCTACCTTGGCGAACCAGCTCTGCGTGGCGTAAAGGCGTCAGATTTGATGACTTGCGGTGTGCTGCTTTCATCAGCGGCAGAGGCTTGCCAATGCCGCGTCGGTCTGGTCTCTGAATCGGAATGACTGGCACTCGTCTTGCGCGATCTTGGATGGCGGGATCGGACTGAGTGGAAGGACCCGCAGGCGTCGAATGCGCCAAGTGTGCTGATCGTCCTTGCTGCGCTGCTGCGAGCGAGGTCGGACCGCGTCGCGAGGGAGAAGGCGGATCCTGCCAGTCTCTCCATACCGCATTTCCTGCGCCCGTAGGCGGCTCTGCGGTCACTGGCGGCTGTGCCAGTGATGGCGATCCCGGTGGCGCCGAAGCCTCCGCATCGTCGGACTGATCCTGTTGAGCGCCCACCAATTCCCACTCCTTCCTTCCCAAGCCCATGCCTGGCCTCCATCCCATTCTTTCTAGAGCAGACCAGCCCCTGTTTTGCCTCTGCAGTTCGAGTTCGTCATTCAAGTTCTGCTGTATCCATGGCTCTCTCGAAACTTTCTCCCACGACGCGAGGGCGGCTGCACTGCCTCGTATTGACGGAGCAGCAGGCTCGGCCGACAACGAGAGCTGGTGTGCAATGCTTCCTAGATGGGCGTGAATTCCGCTCGGAGACGTGTTGGGTAGCGTCACGCCGCACGAAGCGCAATGCCAGCTGGCTACCACCTCTGCGTCAGCACCGATCTGCTGAGCCTTCGTGGGTTGTGAGGCGTTGGTGAAGCGGGAAATGAACCAATCGCTTCTCGGTGACTTTGCTTCTGGCTGTGCTCTTTTACGCTGCCGCCGAGCATCAGTGGCGCGGCGCGAAGTTGAAGGGAAGTCTGTGCCCTTACGAGCATGATGACCCCAGACGCTCGAGGCCGACGGCCCGAGCTTTGAGCCGCTGGTCTCCGTTTGCGTTGTAGTAGCCGCTGCATCAGCAGCGATTTGCGCATACAAGCTGGCCATGGATTGACTCGACCCTGCTGTGGTGGACTCCTGGCCAACGACAGAGGTCTCCACTGTCTGACTGGCTTCAAAGTCAGGTGGAGGTCCGAGAAGGCTGTCCAAGGTGCGAGCATCCTCCTGCACCAGCAATTCTCTCTCCAACTCTCGCCTCTTTGCCTCCTCTTGCTCATCCACCCGGCGAGTCAGCGCCGTGGCCCTCACGAATATGGGTGCCGGTCTTCGTGGAGGCCACTGATGCGCTTTGGGAAGCGTGCGGCCATCCACTCGTTCGAAGTCTCCCGATTGCTCTGCATGGCGGCTTGAAGGCGCCATTGCTTCCCGAAGTGCGGATAGCGGGTCCGCAGAGAGTGCGCGAGAGCTTCTCCGCAATTGACTCTGGCGAGTCGCAGAGGTCCTTCGTCGACCTTCAAAATTTGAAACCTGACACCCACAGACTTCCTGCATGACCACCTCTTCCGCGAGCACTGCTGATGCGTGAGAGCGCAGTGGGTCAGCTACCGATCAAGCCCATTTTGCCGGTTTCACTGGGGCGACGCGGCTGAGACAGGCAAAAGTCGCGAGTGACAGGACCAGAGCGAGCAAACAGCCGTGAGTCGGGACTCAATCTCCTGTGACGCTGTACCTGTCGGATGCGCGAGGTCGCGTCGTGGCGGTTGAGTGACGACACAGGCCACGAGTCTCAATCACGAATGTCTAGGCAGCTGGCCCTGAGAGTGGTCGCTTGGACGTGAGAAATTTGCCAGTGACCTGTGCGACGACGGCGCGTACGTGTGAATGGCGATCGGAGGCGGGGCGGATGGGCACTTAGCATGAACTGCTGACAGTGCGCTCGCGAACGTATATGCGTCGGCGCCTTCGACCGGCATAGATTGGCTTGGCACGACAGTCACTGAGGATAGAACAGCTCGAGGAATGATATGAAAGGCATAGCCGTGCTAGCCTCCTCGACTGATGATCGATTGCAACATGACAGCAGGCGATCCAGCCACGCTGCTGAGGAGTACGGCCTCGCGCGTACCAGATGAGCCCTGTGCGGCCCATTTGCCCGGGCCCTGATTCGTAATGATGAGATATAGCGCGCGCTGCCTTGAAGCGGCGAATCGTTGAGAATGCTTCGACAGCGCCATGCAGGACGTGCGTGGGGACCTAACACCGACGTGCATATGCTAAAAATTAAAATGTCGCGCGGAGTTACGTACTTATCGTTCGCGGCTCCGCAAAGCCATTGCGCATCGTCGTATCGCGTCCTACTCGCGAGACGCCGCTCAGTGTGTATCATTGCGCTCTTATAAATACACTGTAGCTGAGACGAGCAGCCCAGGGGTGAGCGACTCCGCAATTGTGGAGCACTTATTGGTGACTGCATGGGTGTGAAATTGATCGTGTGGAGGCCTATCCGAGTAGAGACCTTCCGCGGAGCAGCTGCGGTCTATATCAACGCTTGTGGGTGTGGCAAAATTGGGTCAGTGCGACACCTGTCACTCACACTCACGACTGTGACTACTGCTGTTGTACTATGCGAACTACTCACACTGCTACTGCTTGTTATCAGTGTTGATGCTTGATCGTATGGCACACAATGCCCTATCATTTGGTTCCGGCGTTGGTGCCGAGACACCTCTGTGCTGAGTCATTAGCGCTCAAGGCGTCTCATTCGGAACATGCTCTCAAATTTGTGCTCTTTAGCGTTCACGCCCACAGGGTGTCATTGCATGATGGGGTATGAGTGACTGACTGTACGTGGGTAGAGGGTGTTGCGTCTCCTCACGCGACGAAGCTGTCTTGTTCCGCTTGAGCGTACAACAACTTCCCGTTTTTGCCTTCTTCAAAGAGCGTGTGCTTGCACGACAAAAGCTCTCCACTTGACTCTCTGCGAGGCTGGCAAGAAAATACCGTACCGATTATGTAGGGCACCTGCTGCTGGTGACTCCTTCCGTGCACGGCCTTTCCCGCTCCGTATGTGAGTGATTTCCACCCATGCATGCCGGTGCCGTAAGCTCGCTCTTCTCTGCCAGTTCTGTGTCGAGCCGTAGTCGAATCCGATCAGCTGCGAGCGTTGGAATCAGTGCCGCCAGGCAAAGCTCTCTGTACATACTGTATACCAGTCAAGTCCGCTCGCGGGGACGGCGTTCCCATTTGCAAGAATGCGCTAAGTGCGGAGTTTGGGTCTAGGCCCAATGATGTGTGAGAGAGTGTCAAGAGTGGAGAGGCCACCGCGCGTTAGTGCGCAAGGGAGTTCGGCTTACGCGTATCCGCGGCACCCTTGATGCTTCACCGCTCGGACCACGCTGCTGCATACTGCACCTCCTGCAGCAGCAGTCAAAAGCTGTAGAAGGAAGTTTCCACCCCGCTAGGACTAGTCTGCTTAGATCGAATTCGTGATTGTGACCATACGCTGGAAGAAGATGCGCACGACTTGAGCGCAGTGGTACGGAGATGCAGAGACGCTCGCAGCGCGCACGCAGCTCCTTCTCGCTCGTCCAGAACTTCCGAAGACCTGCGCCAGGAAAAGGATTCACTGTCTGCTCGCGACTGCACGGAGGCAGGCGAGGCAAGGCCTCATCGAGGCTTGATTATCGCTTCCCGCCAGCCGCATCAATCCCGCAAGTCTTCTGCGGGCGATCAAGGGACCCCCGAAAGCAATTGAATGGGGTGCACTTCATGCGCGATGTCGCGCGAGGCGCACTCCTGCGCAGCTGTCGCGGAGATCGGCTCGGTTCAGCCACAGCTGTCGTGAGTCATGCAGCACACCTTCCCGCTCCGACACGAGAGGCGCTACAGTCGTGACTCGTGAGTCTGATGGGCGTGAGGATACATGTTTACCCTGTTTACCCTATACCGGTAATATGCACGAACACGTACTCAGGATCCAACCTGCATGCGCGCTGCACCGGATCCTGCATGACTTGACCACCATCCTCGATCAAGACTGTGACTGCAATGCGTTGCTCGCTGCAGGCGCTCGTCTGCGGCCTGATTTTGATTGCGGGAAAATGAAGGAATGCAGCGGGTTTGCGGAGACGGCAGTAGAAGAGTAGCAGGCTGCTATGTCTTCGTGATGAAACGAATGTGCGCCAAGAGACATATATGATCGTGAATCACGAATGGCATCCAGCCCTGATTCGTCATTGACCCTTCTGGATTCAGATAGGATCTGAGACGAGCTTGTCTGGGCCGTGTGGGCACTTGCGGTGAATCGGGATCTTCCACGTCGAGCATGCGGCAGCGCTTCTCGACTGCTTCTGTCTGCTCTTTTGTCGATCCTCGAGAAAGAGCTCCCGCCAGTAAAGAGTCAATCATGAGTCAGTCCTACTCGATTGTCGAGGCATCATCATCGCGCGGCGGAGACGCGAGACATGCCTCCCAGCGATGAAGCCTCCGAGGCGAGCTTTAAATATCATTCAGTGTCTCACTACGGGCAGCAGCAGCTATGTGCAGCGCGCCGTACGCAGCTTTCGAAGCTCCCGTAGTTCTGTTGAGATTTGTCGTACTGCAGTCTCGACAGCGTCGAACAGAACCTCGCTGGTGATGAGCGTGGCGTGAATGTCTCCCTCCCCCTTGACGCGGCATTCGCCGACTCTCTCTCCAGGCTAAGGTGCGTCGCGCGCGCGACGCTAATCAAGACTGTTGTGTCAAGCTGCGACGTGCATCTCGCCTAGCTTGTGGATCGCAGCAAAATTTGTTGCATTCTCTTCTGTCTCTCGCCTCTGCGACTGGTCGCGATCCTTGCTGCTTGCCGGCAAGCGAGGCTTGGCTAGATATGGACTGACTGCATCGCTTGCAGTCTGTGAGTCTTGTTCCGGTATCGCGCACACATCAGCAGACTTGTGACTTTTGACTGCTGTAGAACCTTTTGTTAGCGCTTTGGGCGGATTCGGGGGCTCCCAAGGCTTTGCAGCAGCAACAATCGGATCACTGCGCGTCGACACACAGAAAGCAGATAGTCTCAGCTAGGCGCCCCATCCTTTGCTCTTGCTAAAGCCCCAACTTTGCGGCTTCACCACTGCTGCGTGCGCATCACATATGGGACTCTAGTGTGCACCGCAGCGAACCTTTGCCCTGCCTTCTGCCTGGCCTGCCTACCCCCTACCGCATCCGCGGTATAGCAAACGCACAGATGCTGGCGTAGCGCTCTAGCGCAGCCAGTCCTTAACATTTGCGGGACATCGTCGATTCTGGCGCAGAGTGGCAATATACCTTACCGGAGCCGATGATCGGCCGTGCTCCGCCACTTCTGATAAAACACTAGCAGCAGTAGTGGGGTAGCTGGTGTACGTACATCTCCCTGTATTTCCTCTCCGACAACGTGTTCGCTTATCCGTGGGATCGGAGAAGTCGCCCGACTCATTACTTGACTCACGACTGCAGGTGAACCCTTGTCAATCGGTGCGCTTCGGCGCGGTTCGCGTTTGATGCTCGTCCTCAAGACGTTGGAACGCATCCGCATCTCGTCGACGTGCTGCACGCCAATAAAAGCTCGATCTGCATGGTCGTCAGTCTTCGGCATTTGTGCAGGTGCCCACGTCCGTACTTCTTTCAAGGCTTTGCTGCGATTAGCTCTTCACACTTCGCTTACCATTGCAGCAGCAGGATTGCCGGGCATTCGGAACCTTCTGATCCGCACCTCTTCTGCCCAAGATCCGAGGCTCGCTTCCCAGGTCTCTTGCCCTGCTGCAACCGTGGAAGCCTTGGGAGGCTCGCAGACTTTCGATGCGCCAAGCGATCGTGTACCACACCAGCACAAGCGGACAAATCACCGTAGGTCCCGTCCGTGCTGCTACTACATACAGTGTACAGTACAGCTTACAGCACATCTCCAGTTCACGCAACGCGGCTCCCGCCGTATGTAAGCACGCTAAGGCTTTCTCAATACAACGCTCCCTTGTGCCTTAGAGCTCATTGAGTCGGACAAATTGTGCCCCAGCACAATCGCATGCAGCGAAGATACTTTGGGACTCCCGCATGCCGATTGCGAGAGGAGAGCGGTAGGCTGGGAACGCACAATAGAACAACAGCAGAGGCAGAGCGCTCACACGTCTAGACGCGTCTTGTCAATCACTTTCCTGTGTACAAACTGCTCTATCTACCATCACCCCGCACGTCTCTCGAGACATCATTGCGTATCTCCGAGAGCAAGCCTTGCTGCCGTAGTCAAGGGCCATACGCTTCACCTTGACTTCGCAGCTCACGCCTTGGCTCGAGACCTTCACGAAAACCGGCTTCGCCTCTCTGCTATTCTTACTCATCAACGTGCAAATTATGAGCGAGCGGCCAGAGGAAGGAGGTCGTAGCAGTCGTAGACCGTCATTACCACCCATTCTCTTCCCGCCAAGATCGCTGAAAGAGGAACGAAATCAACGAGTGCACACTTTGGAAAGAAAGACTTCCAACCCCTACTTTCAGCCCGCTCTCGCGCCGAGAGAAAGCATGCAACGAGAGTCTAGTGCACGCGAAGCTTCACCATCCAGACGCAAAAAGAATGTCCCAGTACTTTCACGAGGTGCCAGCGGCCCCGAGGGTGGTGCGGATGGAAGCGGAGTTGGTAGTAGTGCTAGTGCCAAGGTCGAGAATGTTGCTTATGCCACCATCAATCCGCCGATACCTGGTCCTTATTCGCGCTTCGAGCACTTCCAAAGCCAAGGGCCGGGGCCGCCAGGAAGGTCTAGCGGCTTTGGCTCGCCAGATCGACCGATTTGGACCTCTTCCACATCCTTTGCTCAGCCAGGCTTCGCGAGACTGCAGCCCTATCCGCACCAGCTGCCGAGCTTCATCCACCGCCCGCCATACTCACCGAGCGAGCGCAGCGGCCCATCAGGAGTCGCGTATCCAGCACCAGACCCAAATAGCACAGACAGCGGCAACAACCGGAGGCGAAGCGACATTTCGGGCAGCTCTAGCAGAGACATGCTGGCTGAGTCCACATCTCTCCTACCGGCAAAGCAAAGGAGAGTGACCATTGATGGGTCTAGAGATAGCCACCAATCGCAATTCCATCGCTCATCTGACGGAACGGGCCTTCGAGTACCTTATTCGCTCAGCGCTCCCTTCGATGAAGCCGGGGCATCGAGGCACGGTGAGTGTCGGAGTGTTGGTGAGCCGGGACTGGTGATGCCCCCCGATTCAGAAGCGGACACATCTGCTTGCACACGCAAAGGCGGAGCGCTTCTCCGAGCGTTCCAGACCAACAGCGAGGCTGACTCTTGCCCATCCCGATCACTGCCTCAGACGGCGAGCGCAGCGTCTCTGGCCTGCCTCGAGACGCCGCGATGACTCTCTCAAGCGCTGTCGAAGATCCTAGCTACGACGAGTATGGCGATGTGGGCGAGCCTTCGTCGGCAAACAGCACAGCCGTCCAAAGGGAGCTCTTGTCCTCCCGACGAGCTGCGCAAAATCGAAAAGCGCAGAGAGCTTTCAGAGAGAGAAGGGATGCGCGCATGCGAACGCTCGAGCATCGCAGCGATTACCTCAACGAATTGTGTCATTACGTGGGTCGGCTGCAGGAGTATGCCGAGGACTTGAGGCGTGATTTAGCTCGCAAGGGCGTCGCCTGCCCCGAGATGCCCCAGGTACCTGTGGCACCGAGCAGCGTCATGATGGAAGGCTTCGAGTTGCCTATTCCGAGTCAGTCTGGGCCTCGTGCAGCTACGACTCCCATAGCGTCACACCTGCCAGTCACTCCGCCCCCGCACTTGCCGAGTATACCAGCGCACTATGAGCAAGAGCAACCTTTTTCGCGCACACTTCCGCCTCTGAGCCAACGGAGGAGCACACAGAATGATGGCTAGAAGACGTCTCCCTCTCAAGTTACCTATTCTTGATCCGCAACCTGTTCAAAGTCACGTCACCAGGGCCGACACGCAGCCTCCCATGCCATCCGCAACATTTTTACTACTGCGCTTCACGTCTTCATTTTGTAGCCCACAATTCATCTCTGCACAGCTTGCTAGTCTCACCTCGCGCTGTTGCGTGTGAGTCAAGAGTCAAGAGTCTTTGAGTGGTGGGTGTTGGTGAGCTTAAGTCAAGAGTCAAGAGTGTTGCGTGGGCAAGTCTTCAGTCAAAGTCAGATCACGTGTGTCTGCTCACGTGACTGACATCCACGTGATAGCCGGCTCGAGTTCTTGGACTCTTGACTTTTTGACTTTGATTCTGATTCAAGATTCTGGTTGTTAATTGCTTTGAAAATCTTGAAATTCGTCGTGCGTGAAAGGGTCATCTCAAATCACAACAACAGGCAAGATTGTGATTGTTCACCTTTCAAGATTGTAATTTGTACGCCCGCTCCATATCCTGATCTTGCATGCAATCAAGGATTAATTCAAGATTCGGAATCTCAAGTTTTGAGAAGGTGAGTTCCGTGTTGGACTCCGCAGCAGTCGTGAGTTGGAATCCCACCATATCAAATGGCCGGGCTGAGATTTTCAAAGATTCAAGCTTTGGATGGCAAGGCCCCGCGGCTCCGATGCAAGGCAAGAGGGTAGACGGGAGCCTTTGTGACTACATCCCAGTGGCTCAAGTGGCGTGCCGACGGAGGGTCTGTGCGAAGCGTCGGACAGGCCAGGCGCAGGTGCCTTCTCAACCCTGTCTGTGCCTCGCTTCGAGCGCGAATTGAAACTCGATCATCAAAGGCCTGTGGCTCACATCTACCTTCACGCCCAGAGCAAGCGCTTCTTGCAGCAATGAACTCGGAGTCGAGTGGGCGATCCACTAGCTCAGCATCTGCACACTCTACGGAACGACATCCGACGCCGCAGCTTGTCGGCGAGGAGCAGCGTGCTTCGTCGCAGGCGCTGCCTAGCTCTCACTCTGTCGTTCGCCCATCGCGCCTACCTCATCCGGTGAGTAAGTGGTTACTTTCGAGTTCATTCAGCATTGCCAAGCACCCTGGATGTACCCAGTCCGAGCTCACGCAAAGAGACCCCCCTTGACACTGTATTCGCTCGCATATGCTAGGCACTGGTCTCGATAGTCACTTCGCAAGCGACAGCATACTACTCTGCTCGGTCTCATTTACCACATGCACCCACCATAGTATCGGATCATCGCGACGTCACCGAAAATGGTGCAAAGAAGAGGCGGCTCAAGAGCAGACGGGGCGGGCCTGAAGGTCGCTGGATAGGCGATGCAGAGAGCTGGGGCATGCATTATGACCCCGCACACAGCGACCAGGACACCACAGAGGGAGACGACGACTCAGAGGAGGAGGAATTGTCCGAAAGCGTTGCCAATTCCGAATTTGACCCGGAGACATCCGGTGAAGAGGTGGACCGCAGCCCGCGACGTACCAGCCGACGCGCGCCCCGCCGTGGAGGCTCCAAGGCTTTCGACCACGGTGTTGAGGTATCGGATGGTGCAGACGGAGATGCTGGCTCAGGTCTTGACTCCTCTGCCGACGATGCTGTGGATGGCTCGCGATCACAGCCGCGCCCCAACAAGCGTCGGAAGGGGAAAAGCCCTTTACGGTCGCGAGAGAGCAGTGCCTCTGCTTCGGATGCTTCGGACGATGTCGACGCTCCAAAGCGCAAAAGTGCGAAGAGCAAGCGAAAAGACGAGCCACGTACACGATCGGATCCGACCCAGGCAAGCGTCGAGCGACTTGCTAGAATGAATGCTAAACGCGGCTTCGGAAAGCGCTCCGCATTTGATCGCTTCGAAATCAGTGCCGCTCTTGTGGCAGGTGAGTACACCAGCTATCCTGCACAGTAGTGATGCACGCGGGCTGATAGGATGCGAGGGGAAGCAGGAAGCTGTTGCCGCCTCATTCCGGTGACGCGGACCTCTGTGTGAAATTTTCTGACCCTACTTCACTGCGATCCGATTTTCAGCTACGTATCTGTCCGTCCTCTCCGAGAAGAGGTCAAAGCGAGCCTTCGCTCTTTCATCCTCCTCACCATACGTCCCTGCAGCCAAAGCCAAAGGGGTTCTTAGAAATCATCTGGGCCTGAATAGGCTTGCCATGAGTTCAGGCACTGCGTCTTCCCTTTCCCACGACCAGGATGCAGAGCTGAGTGGCGATCCTGCGAGAACTCAGCCAGCATCTAGTACATCGGGGACCGCAACCGCAGCACCTGCTGTTGTGACAGTGCCCGTTGGTGCAGCAGGTCGTCCCTCTCAAGAAGAGCCGCTGCAAAGGCCCAAGTTCGAGGACTTCGTGACGCACAAAGCTTCGGACGCGGCGCCCTTCGATTGGCCAAGGCATAGTGAAAGAGCTTTCGCCGATTTCCAGCGTCAGCTCAAGTCGTACGATATTGAAAGGTTGAACAGGCAATCGCGTAATCGTCACAAGCGCGAACGACGAGAGCAAGACCAAAGTCGCAAAGCTCAAGAGCAAGCGCAGCAGAACGGCCAGGATGAGAACGGGGAGCACGCTTAGAATGTCCAAGAAGACCATGGGCAGAGCCAGCCTCTGGCGGAGATGATCCACGGCCAGCAGCGGAATCGGCATCACCTTTCGACCTCACAACAAGTTACAACTGAGGATGTTAATGAAGCAGCCACGCAGCCGATCGAGAACATTCGGGACTCACTTGAGTGAAGTAGCGACCTTCCAGCTGTGCGGATCTCGACCAAAGTTGGGACTTGCTTATACACTGCACGAGCGGGAGGTATCCGCAAACAGCCCCTAGCGATCGGCGGCGTTGACCAAGCGTGCTTGCGAGCGTTCATCAATACCCTACAAGGTCGGCGCTGCCATGCATTGTAGGCATTCACTCGTCTTCTCGCACGTGAAGGTGGCCACCGTACTTTAGCGCTCCGACAGCCTCGCGATTGGCCTCGCAGGAGCGGCCGTTCCTGTGGCGATGCCGTTGGAGGAAGCCCTGTCTTGAAGTCCATGCCATTGGCACATCAAGTCATTCATTGAAGCTCGGCGTCTCTTAAGGCCTTCACGAAAATGTTTGCCTGCGCCACATTAGACAAAGCGCCTGGAAAACGTCCGATCGAAAAGATCGTGGGATGGCAAACAACCACACGCAGCTTCAGCGCGCTTGCTGGAGCTGTGGTCACTCCAAAGACCGTTCATTCCTTGGCTTGGCGTCTCGCTAACCGCACCAGGCGATCGCCCACTCCTATTCTACGGTGCTCCTTCGGTTTTTGGCTTCGAACTCCGCAGCTCACTGGTCAAGCCAGCTCTCTCGGTTGCGCAATCCAACATTCATCTTGCTTCATCGCTGGAAGAGCTAAAGGTGCACTCCACTGTTTATGGGCACTCACTTGCGGCGGTGAAGGCTAGTCAGGAATATATCTCCCACTTGCTCCTCGCTCTTCGCGTCAACTCACAACTTCTCACGCGAGCGCGGTTGAGGGTATGGCATCGTCTTCTAGATTTAATCGACGATGATCGTCGACAGATCGACATCGCAAGCGTGAGACAAAGGCCGAAACTCGGTTGGGACTTTGAAGCCAGGCGTTCGAAGCCCCAGCAAACCGAAGGGATCATCAGCATAGGACGATTCCGCTCTGCACCGTCTCGCTTTCACATCGCCTTGGACTGCTTCGATTGACGGTGTATACGTCGCTGACGATCGTGCTGCTCAAACATACTGGTGCCTCGACACTCAGTGTTGAGGTCTTTGTCGCACGCGGTCGTAGCCGCTCCTTGGATGGTATGAATGCGGAACGCGCAGCGTCTGACGTTGCCCCCGCATGGCCTCACGGCAAGCAGATTCGACACGCATTGATTGCTCCTTGTGTACACCCCACTCGACGTGCGGAGCAGACCACCGCACTCTGAATAATACCGCGCAGGCTAGTCTCACAATTGCGCCAGCTTGACTCCCCCACTCACAAATGTAAGGGACAACATTGAAGCCGCCGCTCTGGGCCAACTTTGATGGCCATCTCGCCTTGCGCTGTTTGCCCATTCGGGATTAAGTAATTTCTTGCATATATGGTGACTGGCGTGGAACATTTTTCCATCTCGACCCCAGCTTTTCCACACGACGCTCGGCTCGGCGTTTGAAGAGATTCGGATGTTTGCGTTGTCCAATCACGAAACATTGCACGGGCTTGTATTACACACTCTCTGTCCGGGTCTGACGGTCGTGGGAACATCGTCCGGGCTTGACGTGCGACCTCTCGCTCGCAAGTGAGGAGCCATCCGCAAGACCGCCTTCGAATCAGGAGACTGAGAGCTGGGTTTGTTGGTCTACTGGCACCCGGCTGCTAGAGAAGGTCATACTCCTCGACTCGCGAATGACTGATTAGCAGAACATGAAGCGGAGACATTTGTCGCCGCAAAGGGCGCAAATTACTTGAGAAGCGGGCTGCCACGGAGCTGCACAAGACGTGCAAGTTCGGGCTGGGCTGGAGCTCGCGGCCTGTTGAGCGCCTCGCCTCGCCTCGCTATCGCCCGCCATGGCCCTTGCCCTTCTTCCCAGCGCCTGGCCGTGGTCTAGGCTCTCCATTGGCGTGAAGCGTAACATGCGAGTTCACGGCGCTTGTGGGGCATGGATCACTCAGAGCCTGTTCTCGCATGAGGAGGCCAAGCTTTGATCACGGACTCGACGATCGCCCTGGCGATCGAGGCGCTTGAGCAGCTGGATCCGTCATCACGGCCGCCGGACCAGCCGCTTCACGGGCTCAGCGCGACTCCGGGCCCGCGCTCGCTCACGACTTGATCGTGAGCGCATACGTAGCGCAGAATAGCGGTCCGGTGCTCTGCTCTGGTGCGCACTCTAGCTGATCACCGTTTCAGCACGAATCGCGAATGCAAGCAACGAAACCGACTTTGAGTCAACTCCCTGCTGGGCTGTTGGCGTGAGGTGCGTTTACGAGCTGCAAAGGTCCGCAACTCGATCGACTCGCTTCTAAGGATGGGCCTAGTGCATGTGCATGCTGCGGCTGCACGCGGCCCGCGCTTCGCTAGTTCAGCCACTGGAGACCTCCGTGCAGTTGCTGCACGAAAAGCGCTGCTGCAGCAGCAGGTACTGCTGTATTCACGATTGTAAATTCAAGAGTCGCGTGCGCGGTGGGCCGGGCGGGCTAGGAACCATCATGCATCTGTAAACACACCTCCTACAGCTTAAGTGGTCGAGGAGCAGCTTTCATGCGGTACACGGCCTTCACACTCACGACTCGTGAGTCTGACTCCGGCGTTACCAGTGATTCCTGCTGGTTCTTTGCTCTCTATATTCATGTCCGATCGTTACGACTTGCGGCATAAATGTCTTGGGCTCGCTGGCATACGAGTAGACATCGTGTCTCCGAGTCGCTCACAAGCCCGAGCCCGAACCCACAATCGTGAGAAGCGGGCTCCTGACCCTTGCTGAGCCTAGTGCTCACATCGTGAGCGCTGTCGCTGGTCACGCCTGAGTATCGAGTTGCGCCATGAAGAGTACGACACCTACAGCGTCAGCTTCTCACCACAGTGCGCACACTCACACCGCTGTAACTCACCCGCGGCTGCAGCTAGGCCCCAGCTGGGTTTGGCCGTCCACGCACCAATGTGCCGCTACTGCTACGAGTTACATACATGCGATGCTCCGATCTAGCGTCGAACTCTCAGCACAGTTTGTCAGCCGCGCATGGTACATAGCTCCAAGCCCATCTGAAGATGGGGATTGAGTGGATGATCAGTCGTGAGTGAAGGGATCAGATGCGACGCCAAGCAGGATAACAGTCGTGAGTGATCAATTTGGAGCGGAGATGCGTGTCACCAGCGTCACGGTTGATGATCATCAGCTAGGTGATCAGCGTGGGGACCGGCGTCCGAGGGCAGGTGCTTGCTGTCTGATGAGCATGCCAAGATCCAAGGTCATCATGTCATAGCCCATTTACGAGTGGAAACGCTCTTCGCAAATTGATTTCACGGAAGAGAATTTACAGACTCACCCATTGGCCGAAGGAATACTACTTTGGGTCAAGCCTGGTGAGTCGCGGCCAACTCAAGAGTACATGTAGGCGGATCTCAGCAGCCATCGGAATAAGCTTCATGTTGTGCGGAAGCTGCCTCTCACTTTGAGCAGCCATGACCCGGCTCGAGGCGGCATGTATCTTCAAGATTCAGGTTGTCTGGCATATAGATTGCGATGGCTGACCACTCGACTTCAGCACACTTCGGGTCGCCTGGAGTTCCGTGCAGGATGAAATTTGCTTCTAGTCAGAAGTGTTGCTTTCTCGAGATCAAACGCAAGGTGAAGGCTCGAATCTGCCCCCGCGCTTTGAATCATTTTGGCAAAGGTGGTAACAATAATGGAGAGCCAAAGAGCGGCGGGCCAGCGGGCCAGCGGGCCAAGCAGGCCAGCAGAAGACGGGCTACCTGGCATGGCTGCTGCTGCTGTGGCCCGACAGTGCTATCACGAATGCTGTGTGAATTTGAATGTGAATCGGGCATGCGAGCCGCGCGGTCATCTTCCCGCGCGCCAGCAGGGGTGCTGCAGCCTGCTCGCTTCTTCTCGCGGGCACTCAAGCAAAAGCCGATGGATGACCATGCGCATTCGTGATTGAGGAGCAGAGAGAGAGGCAATGAGCAAGCATGCTCATGGACCACGGATGGGAATACGTGCGTCTGGGGACATTGCTGCGCGCTAGCAAATTCTCCATGGCTGCCTCCTTGGTTCCCCCAGTCGTTGGCCGCGAGGCCGTTGGCACTCATCGAGCCGTTGAGATGCACGGGTCACGCTGCATGTGCCGTCTTCTTCGGTCTGAAAGCTCCGGCGCATTCAGCTCGGCTCGTCTGCGCGAGTCTAGATCTGGCCTCTCGATCATCCTAGCTGCGCCTTTCCAGCCATGGGAGCAATTGGTGGAAAGGCAATCAGGTGAAGACCATGCAATCTCGAGGTGCGGTAACAGCTACTCATTTAGTTCATTTCCGCTTGCTTGCTGACACTTGCTCAGGTCATCATTATTGTATATGTAGAATAGCTGGGGCGCGGTAAGCGTCAGATCTGGTGAGGTGATTAACTCAGAAGAGTAAATCTTGCACGCCATGAGATCAATGTACGCGGACCTTCTCGGAAGGCTCTGCGCCCCATTGGGCGTAGATGAAGACACACCAATAAGACGCGCCCATTTCTGACTTTGACTCGCTCCCACGGTTCCGGCGTCGCGGCACACAAGTGAGTTCCGCCGCTCTGCTCAGCTGTCAACACCGCAGACAGGAGCTAGAGCTAGAGCTAGAGCTAGAGCTGAAAGCTCGTAGCTCGTATAGATGAGGCAGGCACACGCAGCACGCATGCGCCTTGCGGGTTACGGAGCTTCGCAAGCCGGTGTGCGAACTCTCTATTTAGCTCTTGTTCTGGAGCAGGAGCAGTCCCCATCGAGCCAACAGCAGGCGTGATCGAGAGCCTAGCGCAAGCTGCATGATGCAGGATGTGCATGAGGGGTCGGGCTCTCAACACGACGGGGCCAGGTTGACCCGTCTCTTCGGGCCCTTTTCGAGGCGGACAAGCTTAATTCTTGCCTAGCGTACGCGTGCAGGACTAGTTGTACAGTAAGTATGGTGCAGCGGCGGAGCTGTGACTGTGTATGCGTCGAATATCCGACTGTCGCCTCAAACTTGCCCTTGCTATCACCGCGTCTTCGCCCTCTTCACCGCGATCACACGTACACGATTCAAATCTCGATTGAAGCTTCTGCGGATCGCAATTGCATCAAAATGCGCAAAGCAGCCCGCAGCCCGCAGCCCGCAGCCGTTGCGCGTTTCCATTGCAACGGTCGCTAGGTGTTGCTCTCGCCCCCCTTCGACCCCTGGCCTCTGCTCGTCTTTAGCGGACCTCGGGCGCTTTGCCCGTGTTCGCTGCTGCCGAATCGCAGTCACAAGAATCAGACCGTCATTGCATGGCGCTCTGCTGGCCTCAGCCCGCCCGCCCGGCCGGCCAACCTGGAGAGGGCGGGCCCGAGATGCTGTGCCGCCACCATGAGAGTCATTGACATGCGCAGACAAATACGCGCTTGACTGTGGTGACTCGCGAGTGTCCTTCCTTCTCTTGGCAGGAAAAAGCGATGAGCAGACGCCGTAGACTAGACATCGAGCAGCAGCGTTAGGCGGATCACACGCACAGGCACATCTGCGCGCGTAGTTCACCTAGCCCGCCCGCCTGTGCCAATTCCGCACTCGGACTCTTTCCAATCTGTGATCAAGGGCCAACTCAACATTTTACTGAGCCGCTTCGCCGCCTGATGCCGACCTAATTAGCAAGCAAGTGCCAAAGTGCCCATGTTTCCCATTTAGGTTGGGCGCCATGCTCCCACAGTCGACTTGCACGTACGTCTGGCCTTTGCGCTCGCGCGCATGACGCTGGGAACTGATCGCCATGCCAGCTCTGCCTAACGTCGTCAGTTGACCGGCGCAGAGACCGCTTCGAACGGAACGGAGCGAAGTGCGTATTGCCCTTGTCCGGACCCGCAGTGCCTTCAGTCTGCTCTCTCACTGCTCAAGCGCAAGAAGCCAAGAGCGGAGACAGTACAGATCGCCAGCGTCAGGTATGCAACCGTACCGCTCTCAACGTCCCACAACGCACATTCTGCTCCTCACCTCCTTGCCCAACGGCATAAAGAGCAGCTTCGCATTCAAGCAACGCCCCAATCACCCATTTCATCGCCCACAATTGACGTTGCCCTCTCAATCTCTCACAACGACCGTTCGTTGCTCCACATCCTCCCGTACACAAACAACACCTTCACCTGAAGTGATCGGCAGTCTCTCCCAACATTGCTCTCTCGTCTGCCATACCACCACTCCACTCCATCAAGTCCAAGCACATCTTCGTCACCATCGCCCCCATATAGCTTAGCACAAGTGAGTCGGGTCTTCGAACCACCTTGCCTTCATTCTACTCACGTAAGGCCTCAACATGCGCTCTAGACACACACACACACCATGTCCACCACAGGCTACTATGATGCCTCCAGCTTGGCAGAACGTCGTGGGTGTCAACCTCTGACAACGTCTACCCAGCTCGCAAGGTCCATGACGTTGCCGGAGCAGTACGCGAGATCCGAAGCGACATCTCCTTGGGAGCAGAGCGGTGCTCTGGCGCCCAGCAGTGCACCGCCGTACCCATACGCCAACACATCCTTATATCAAAGCGCTCAGCCTAGTCAACAACATCAGCCAGCTATGCAACAACCTCAGTATTCGCACATGTCCGTCCCACACTTCAACATGGCGCCTGCGACTGCCATTCGAGCGGAACCTCATCCGATGCGCCGTAGTGCCTCGGCCCACGCCAGAGCCGAAGCTCGAAGCTGGACACAAGAGCAAGACAATCGTCTTCGAGCAGCAATCGCTCAAGTCTCTTACGAGAGCAAGCACAACGGCAAGACTGGCAGCGCAGCGCTCGACTCGCCCGACCTCGGGTCTCACCCGACGACCAAGCCTTGGGCACGCGTCATGTCCCTCGCCTTCCCAAGTGGCGAGCACTCGAAGGAAGAATGTCAATCGCGCTGGAAATCGCTTCACCGACCTCCCGCTGTCAAAGGAGCATGGTCTAAAGCCGAAGACGATCGTCTCCTCCGCCTAGTCCGTCAGCACGGCGCTGAACGCTGGGTTGTCATCGCTCAGCACATGGGCTCTCGCAGTGGCAAGCAGTGCCGCGAGCGCTGGCACAATCACGTGGATCCGTCCATCACGCGTCGACCCTTCACGCCAGAGGAGGATGCCATCATTTTGTCCCTTTACAACACCATCGGCAGCAAGTGGGCCGAAATGAGCAAACGTCTCAAGGGCAGGCCAGACAACTCCATCAAAAATCACTTTAACACGACATTGTCTCGAAGACGCATGCTTGCTGCCGCCGTCAACAAGGCTTCCAACCTCACCGACGAGGCGCAAGGCAGCCTTCAAGGCACGACGCAGGCCAGCGCTGGAGGTGTGGCTATGACTAGCACGTCATCATCCAGCTCTTTCACTTCTAGCCACGTGCCAGTTACAGAGACATACGAGGACTCCGGCTACTACTCGTCCAACAGTACCCCAGCGCACAAGCAAGAGCTGGTCCCAGACGCCTACATTGGCGGTGGAATGCAAGCCGGTTTCGATGCTCGTCGCTCATCAGCGCCCATTCTTAGCCGTCAACATGGCCCCGTCGCCAGCTTCGGAGGTTCTTACGCCCAATACGCTTTCCCTGCCGACCTCGATCCCTTCGTCTACACTGGAAGAGATGGCATCGTGTACAGGCACAACGGTGCGGGTCCACAGGGCTTGAATCAGAGCCAGCATCACCGCGCTTCGGTTCCGAACTCACTTGCCTACTCTCAGATGGCTCGTCCTGACGTCGAGCACGGTCTCACTAGCTTCCAGCACGGTGGAAACATCAACTACAGCTCTCTGCATCAATCTGGCAACAGTCGCATTCCGGCATCGATCGACTACGCCCAGCCTGCGGCGCCCGAATTGGCTCAATACCAGCAGCTTCACGGTCAACATGCCGCGTTGTGGTCGAATGCATCTCAAACCCAGCAGCTTTTCCGCTCCCAGCCTGCGCAAACGCCAGGCAGTGCGCAAACTAAATCAGCGTCTCCGTCGAGCGCCAGCGACAACCTCGCCTACCATTCCACTCCACGTCGCAACGTGTCCGGCGAGCAGCCTTTAGCAGAGTCACTTTCTGCCTGGCAAAGCGTAAATGGTGAACGCGCTCTTCCACCTTTGTCCCTGGTTGCTACTGGGACCGCCACTCCGTCGACCCCCAGTCGTGCACGCGTTACCTCTGTCATGAGACGTCTGACATCTTCTGCTTGCGGCACTGTCACAACCGATGCGTCGCAGGCTGGTACTGCCAATGCCGCTCTCGCCATGGTCGACGTCGACGAGGGACAAAAAGCTGCTTTGCCACCTCTTTTCCGCCAGGCTGCGCTCAACACCACTCCAACGCAGCGTGGCTCCATTTCGGGCCAGTCTCCGGCCAGCAGGACTCCGAGCTACGGTTCCGAACACGTTCGCTCGGCCACGAGACGAAGCTTCGGCCCAGTGGCGCAGGAGACTGAATGGCATCACGAAAGACAGCACACTGCACGACCACAAACGGCCGACGAGGTGCACTGCGCCAACTCTAGTCTCGGCACGACGGAAACGCACGACAACAGCGCCGTCAATGGCCAAGACTCCGAAAGCGACGCCGATGCCAGCGGCAACACCTCGGACTGCCCCGACGATACGCCCTCGTTCACCACCGGCACTGCCTATTTCGCTCAGCGTGAGGGTCTCAGCATGCCGGGCAGCGCCATGACTGCTGCCAGTAGTCTTCTCCCCTCGCCCATGGACTGCATGAGCGACAATGGCACCGCCCCGGCCAATGACTACTTTGCAACCAAGGACAACGCAGCAGTCATGGACCGTCATGTTCAGTACAGCTTGCAACAGGGTGCCACGGGTATGCCACCTACTGGCTTCTCGCCCTACAACTTTGTCCAACATAGCTCGATGGGCCTTTTCTTGGATGAGAACGAGAGCCGAGACACCTGAAAGTCACCCGCACGCCGCTGCATGTTCAACCTGTGATTCATCTCCTGCAAGTTCCGAGTATAGTCATGCGCGACTCGCCTAAGCCTCGCACGCCTCTCTAGGCAAATCTCACCCTGTATAGATTAGTTATATCTTTGTATGCACTTATTACTAGAGTTTACCTTTTCCAATCTGCCAATCAAGCGGCCCTTGAGTCCGCAAACGCCATCAGACACAGCATGCAATCTTGAATAGCATTCTCCATCATTCCTGCCATCTATTCGAGCGCTCGGCTTTCGAGCCAGGGGTGTGAGTGTCTGTGTGCAAGCTTGCTGCGGCCCGTGCGAGGTTTTGATTCAAGCGACGCTCGCCTGAAGCAAGCAGACGATGAGCAATAGATGCACTCCGGGTGGCTCCGTGGTACGTCCCTATACAATACAAAGTGTACCACACAGGATCGCATCGCCCCTTGCGCGAGGTCCAGGCTTTTCGGGGGAGAATCAGCTGCGGGAAGACCAAGAATAGCAAGGATTGATAAAGCGGCAAGGGATGCATGCTAAGCTCGTCGGTCCTCACCTAGCCGAGCTTGCCGTTCGTGACTTGCTGCCGCGCATGAGTTCATCTCTGAAGCGGGCTTCAAATCCCCCTCGGGCTACTTTGATGCTGTCAGTCCGAACGCAGGAGTTGATGATGTGCTAGGTACTGTATGCGCAAGGCCCGTGGTGGGCCCCCGAGAGGCGTACCAAGTTCGAACGCACCTCATGCGCTGCCCGAGGCACTCTCGATCTGCGCAAACGTGTGCTCCGCACCCCTCTTGGCCATCGAGCGTCCATCTGCTCGGATCCCTAAACATCCGACCATCACTGCAGCTGGGGTGGTACCGTACAGACCAGCAAGCTCATATTTCGCGCCTACAATCAACAAAAACCTTAGCAGCCAGCATGAAAGTGACATGCAAGCAAGCCGCTGCGGGAAGCCCGATGCACTCGCCACTTGCGACTGTTCAGCAGGAGGTTCATCCGGCCGTGGGCTGTGGAGGTGCGTAGACGCGCGTGGGAAATGCGACTCCGATCGATCGAGGCTTGCTCGGCCAGAGAGTGAGCAGAAGCCAGCCAGCCAGCCAGCCAGCCATTCGGTCTGTGTGACATTCATGACTCACGACTGGACATCCACGAGCAACTGTAGCAACACGTTCCCTCGCGGCTAGACCTCAAACTGTCCCCGCACCTTGCCATCCTAGCTAGGTTGAACAGGAAGTAAGCGGGGCCGTGCGGGTGCATGGAGGCTGGATCGATAAAGCCATGCATCATGGCAGCCGCTCGATCCGGGCTTTCGACTCGGAATTCGGTGGGAATGTCTCACGCCCCGATCGCGACGTCCAACGGCGATGCATTGATTGACATGGCCCGGACAGCCCCCCAATGATGAATCTGATTGAATGAGTGACAGTGCCTGTCTCGGTCTGTAGGCCAGTCGCGTTTCGGCTGTGTCTCAAGCTTTGATCGACCACAATTCAAGAATATTCAGAATGTTCGAGCAGCTCTTCATAGGTGTTGCGACAGTCATGAGTTTGAATCACTCTGAACATCACCTGCTCGGACACCTTCCAGAATCGTTATGCATTCACGTGATCGACTCAAAGCCTTTTGAGTCAAGTGAGCCAAGAGTCACAGTCGCTCTGCAATTGGAGTGCGGAAAAAATCTGGATCGTCCGCCACCTCAGATGGCCTCGTGCGCAGCTACTTGTGATGGCCGATCTGGTGATGGTCTTTTGAAAGGTCAGCTACGAACCGTAGGTACAGTCAAGAGTTGATGAGGAGCTTCTGCTGGTGGGACACGCCAATCAAGAATGGCCTTGCGACCCGTCACGTGTGAGCTGTCTGACCAAGAGTACTGAGCGGAATGCGCGCGCGCCGCACGCCCGCGACGACGCGCTTGCTGACGCATTAATTTGTTCGCGGTGTAAATAGATGCCAACGCCTCATCTCTCTCAACGGGCTTATATCGCTACGATCATCCATCTCACCAGCACGAGTCAGCCGTCCGCAATGCTCGATAGATGACTACACCTGCAAATTCTTTGGCGAGGAGCGATTTGCTGCAGTGCACATGGTGTCGACGCGAGCGGCGCACACGAGCCTTTGCCAAGCGCAGCCCCGCGCTGGCAATGCTCCGTCTAAAAGCGGCGCTGCCACCAAACGCCACTCAGAGCCGGACGACAGAGCCGAGGAGCAAAGAGAGCCTTCCGGACTCCGATCAAGCGATCAGCACACCGCTGTAAAGCTCGGAGCTCCAGGCTTGGATCGCCATGCCACCGGCCCTACTGCTCCAGAAGCCCCGTCTAGCCCTGCGAATGCACTCACCTGGGACAACACGACATCCGCATCCTTGAATGCGGCGCTGGCCTCTCTCGATGCTTTGCACAGGCAGGACTTACATGAAAGTACATTTGAGCCACCTGTCGCGCCAAGACGCCTCGGAGAGGCACCTTTGAGCAACTTGGACTTGTGCCTAAATCGCCTGCAGAGCAGCTTGGTTGGTCAAGCAGCGGTGGCACTCGCTCTTGGCGACCAGGATGATATTCGTGACCCGCGTAGCCATCGATCAAAGTCTACGCCCGCCACGTGCGCTGGATCAGAACGCCGAGCAAGCGATACCGGTGAAGGAAGCTGGCCCATCAAGCACGCGCCATTTAGCGCTCGGCCTCGACGCCAGCAATCACCTTGGGCGGTGAGACCTTTGGCAGGAGGTCCCTCATTGGAAGAGATGCGAATCAAGAGGCGCCGGACGACACCCCGCGCCTCCAAAAATGAAGCGCCAGACTGTGGCAGTGCGCAGCCGATCGGTCTCGAAAGCCTTGATCAACCTGCAAGCGGGCCGAGAAAGGCGACTCTCGTGGTCCGCACTCAAATCCCTTTATCCAGCACACCTACATCAGTGGAAAGAGTACGCGCTAGCAAAATGGCGCATGGGGGGCTTGCAGCTACAGCAGGGCAGTGGAGGTCTATTGATGCTTGGACTCAAGAAGGCTTCGATGCTGGACGCTGCCGCTCAAGGCCGTCTCACGACGTCTCCCAAGTGGTTATAGAGTGCAGAGCAGAAGCGACTGCCGAGGACGTAGGGATGGGAGCCAGTCAAGGATGCGCTCGAATGCATTGCCAGGTAGGCTCTAAGGACGGCGCTTTGGTCAGCATGCCATCAAAGGCAGTATCTCAAGCTCTCGTGGCGCCGCCAGCTCGTTCTGCCGCGGCTGGAGAGGGCGAGCAACCACGCTCACAGACGTGTGAGGTATCTCCGCGCTTCGCGGTCTTGCCTGATGATCCGATCCCGCGACCCAGCTGTTCAGGGAATGACACGACGGGCCATGCCAGGAAAGACGCCGCTACTGATAGAGCCCGGCCCATTTGCGAAATCGGTAAATCGGCACAGGACAAGTTTCGGACGACTTCTACACGCGCTGAGGCCCTATGCACTGGACGCAAAGGAATCAGACTCGGCGCTGGCAGGCCTCCGCCTCAACATGCACATTTTGAAGGCGTTCGCTTCATGCCGCCCGCGGATCGCAGTCATTTGGTGCCGATGCCATTTGACGACGAGCTATCGCTTGTCACACTGCAGCCCTCGAGCCCTGATCCCGACCTCAGCCTACTTCATCAGTCTGTCAGCACAGACACACCATGTGGGGATCCCGCATCGATACAGCGAGCTTTGCCCGACGCCACCAACATTACAAGTCCCGCCCGCCAAAGTGCGCCTTCAGGCTGTCGCACGCGGAACCAGGCCGACGAGGAGGTCGCCGAGCCGACAATCAGCCGCAGGGCCCATCTACGCGCCCTCAAAGAAGCGCAGGAGCACTTCAAAGCTCAGTTGGCGAAGGAGATAGCAGATCTGAGAGCTCGGGTTTCTATGCAGACCGACTTCCAGTCCCCTTCAGCAAGTCGTCGTGGCCCGCCTGGCGACTTCCGTTGGACTACCACTCAAGACCTCGCTACTGACGTCACCGATCCCAGCCTAGGCGGATTAGAAGATGTGCAAGCAGCAGCAGGGGAGGCTGCAGAGGTGCGTCCCGGCTGGAAATCACGCATGTTTCCGCGTACAGGCTTTGCGAGACAAAATCAGATTCGTCAAGCCGCGTCGGACGATACACAGCACCGTGCAGGCAGACTAAAGAGGACGCCATCGCCCCCGCCGCCTCCCGAGGCATCCGACACGGTATCCGAGACTGAGTCCGAAGGAGTGCATACAACAAGCGATGCATCGTCACAAGCAGACGAAGAAGCCGAAACCGCTCATCGAATTTGCTCTCGTGGCATCCCACGTCGCTACGATGCTAGTGCCATGCTTCGGGTATCGAAGACGAGCAGCAGAATGCAAATTTCGACCCAGGGCGGCAAGGCTGCTACCACAAGCAAGGTCGACGCTCCGGAGAATGATAGCGTCACAGAATCTGACGAAGACGATCCCTCTGTCTCCCATTTGCATAATCGGAACCATCACCTGCCAAAGCGCAGTCAGCGTCCAAAGGCTGCTCGTACCTCCGCCAAAGACTCTGCTGCTGGCCGATCCGGCAAGCGCCCTTCGAACAATGCGCCATCGAGCAATGCGACCATCGAGAGGGAGGCAGCATCTGCCTCCAAAAGGTCTCGAATTGCGGATAGATCCTTCAGCGAGCCAAACTTACTTGGTACCGCTGGCAACGAGAACGCTTCGGCACCGAGCAGTCAGCCTGCGCGACGCGCTCAAAAGAAGAAAACGGTCAAGTCTGGTTTGCCGTGCGTTGCCTAAATGGTTGCAATTTGTTGGCGATGAATATCGCAGCTTACGCTGTCTTGCTCCTCACTGCAGCATTTTTGCTGACTGTACCTTTCTCATCGTCGGAGAGTACGGCAGACGAGTCAAGACCTTCGGAGAGCTGGTGAGGCACGCCTGTCAGCGGTCATGTGCACGTCCGACTGACCTGCTGCTACTGTTGATGCTGCTGCTTCCGCAGGCATCTCGTCACGGTGCTTCCATCGTGCATGACTTCAGCATTGCTTCTCGCCTCATCGTCACGCACATCATCGGCGTTCCCAATACAGGAGAGCAAGGGTCGGAACGCGAGATTGCGAGCTGGGCGCGCGCTCTGTTCCCCGCGGAAGCTGAGCTGATTCGGCTCGGTACCGACATTCGGGGCAGACCAGAGCTGCGTGGAAAGCATTTTGTGGACGTGCGATGGATGGAGCAATGCATACTGGTGAGTGGCCACGCTGTCGAGTCGACGTGGCTCTAGTGAGGAAAGGAGGTCCCGTCAAGTGCTGACGCTGGAGCTTCTGCCGTCTTCAGAATTGTCTTCGCAAAGAGCAGCTACTCTCTGCTGCTCCATATCGTGTACTGTAATTTGCGCTTCTGCTGTAACATCTCACATCGAGTAGCATACCACCTCGACACTCCACACAGGCCCAATTTATAACTCCTTGACAGAATTCAGACGACACCGTCTGTCGTCGGCCAAAAACGGCGGGTCTGACATGCCCTCGTGATGCGCACGAGTCACATTGGAATGTAAACTGATATTGGACTAGCGTGTGAATTCCGCACATGGGCGATGAGAGCGGCTGGTCGTTGGGATAGTTGGGTGATACAAGCGATATTAGTCAAAGTTGGGTCTGTGGGATTCTTTGCGTCTCTTGATGGCGCGGGCCCTCGACTCCTCTATGGATGGATGGATGGATGGATGGATGGATGGATGGATGGATGGATGGATGGATGGATGGATGGATGGATGGATGGATGGATGGATGGATGGATGGATCGCTCTTGCGCGTGGATGCGATTTCCGGTCCTTGCAAGATCGCCGCCTCATCTCATCCAGACGCCTCTACAGCGCTTCCAGTGGCGCGATCCAATCTGCGTTTAATAAGCGCATCTGATCGAGTATACTCTCAAAGTCAGCATGGCACGACACAAAGGTCCTCGCGCCGTCCTTTACTCACACTCTTTGGAGATGCTGGTCGAAGTGGCCCATCCTTGTTCCGGCCACAGCTCTGCAAGCCTTGCCCAAAGCATCTTTCGGGATGAAATGTTGGATGAATTGGGTTCGCCCCCCTCGATGACACTGGAGTTCCTCGTGTCAGTCTTTCCTCTTCGGCAAGATGTTCGGCCAGCCAAACATTGTAACCTGCATCGCACTCACATCTTCTCATTCGTCAGCTCGCTCATAGCATCATCGATGGTGACACAAATGGCCACCTCGTATTTCATCTGATCTGACCAGCGCCACTTCTTCTCTGGCGGACCTGCCGAAGGGAAAGGGCGAGATCGTCCCACCGACGAATCAGACAAGAGCGCAGACAAACGGGCCTGGGAGCGTTGTCTCCTCACCTTCTTCAGGGCTTGCCTGATTGGCGTCGTCAGGCCCGTCCGTGCCAGACGAGTCCATAAGGTCTGGAGAGCCTCGATGACGCCAGCCTGCGAGGGCAGCCTCATAGGCTTGCTGCTGCTCTGGCATGGCAGCTTCAACGAGCGTCTTGAGCCTGTCCATGTGCTCCGACTGCAGCTCAGCAAACATTTCGATGTGCTTGAGATAGAACTCGCGCTTGGTGAGTTTCTGAGACGAAAGATGTGAGACAGTGTCAGATCACTGGACGAGCAGGGCAATGCGGTCCAACGACGTCTGTCGAGGCGACTTACGTGCATGGTGAACCGATTGTACGGGAAGAGATTGGGAAGCCAATGGAAGAAATTGTCGTTGTACTCTCCAAGCTGTACCGCCAGTCCAGCGAACTCCACCAGCGATGGTTTCAGGCTAGGCGGAAACTTGCTCTTGTTGCTCCAATCTGTAGCCTCAATCTGTTCCTTCAATTGATTGATGGCGACCTGGAACCTCGGATCAACTGCGGCCACGGGGTTCTTGTTGGTTTTCGTGAGACCCACGTGGTTGCTACGGTCAAGGATCTCCTTGTAATGATTGCGAGCTGGCTCGTTATCTTCATCGTCGCCGTCCACATCCACAAAAGTGATGGGATCCGCCTGTGTGCCGGGAGAAGATTGACCTCTTGCTGCGTGAGAGCCATTCAGCAGACTATTCATGCCCATAGCGCTGCTGCTTCCCGATGATTTCATCTCGGCGTCATCACTGCTCTGGGGCGGCAAAGGAGGAAGCAGATCCTTGTCCAGAGCATACTTCGCAAACATACGGTTGGCAAAGTACGACATGTTGGTCGTACTGCCACTTGCTCCCGTGCTAGACCCAGCTCCGTAGTAGACTCCAGCTGCAGCGACGGAAGCTGCAGAGTTCGCGGCAAGCGTGTGCGCATTTGTGGAGCCTGTTGCCTCTGTGGCCGAGTCTGTTCCTTCGACACCGGCCGCGCGCACAGCTTTTGCTCTTGAGCCTCTCGTCGATTTTTTGGGCTCTTCGATCAGCACCACTGGCCCGATACTAACGTGAAAGCCCTCTACTTGGGGTCGGCCTCTGTGAGTGGGCTCATCGTAAAGCAGTTCGGAATCATCGACGAAGTCGTCCTTGACGTCGTATTTGTTATCCCCGTCCACTCGCTTCCTCCTCTGCCTTGGTGCTGCTGCTGCTTCATCTGGTTGATGTCTGTTCAGCAACCCTCGGAGCTCGGGTGGAAGGTCATCTACGCCCTCATTACCAGGAGGCGCTGGAACAGAAGCTGGAGGCGCTAGGGCAGAAGTCGAGGTCGAAGCAGCGTGGCTGCTCCCACTCGCCTGTCGGGGATCATTGTTGGCGCCCACAGCCACCGTGGAAGGGCCTTGACCTGCTTTTGCCTTTTCGAGCCAATAAACAGCCCAAAGACCGCCGCTCTCCTTGAGACTTTCGAGCATCGTCTCGTGAACGTCGATCAGGTAGTCTTTGTCATCTTCGGTCGGGCGGTCAAGAGGAGTCGCCTTCAGTGCAAGACGCATGGAGGGCCTGGGTGGCGGTGCGGGTGGCAGCATTGTGCCCGGCGACGGAGTTCGGTCGAAGCGGCGCCGTCTCTTGACGGCAGGTCTATGAGGTGCACTAGCAGTGCCTTCAGCATTTCGCTCCTCAGCTGCGTCGTTGGTGCCTGACTGCCCCAAGGATCCACCGCCGCTGCTGGCATCTCGATCATGCGCCCGCTTCTTTGTCGTTTGTTCGTTCGCTCCGGTGCGCTCACCGTCTCGTTGCGAAGGCATAGAAGACATAGCTCCACCATCACGTTCAGCGTCGATGCTACCTTCGATACTTCGACTTCCATCGCTATCGTCGTCATCATCGTCGTCGTCATCGTCGTCCTCTTCTTCTGCTTCTTCGTCCTCTTCCTCTTCTGACTCCCCACTTTCACCCTGTGACTCGTCGTCCTCGTCTTCATCCATGCCCTGACTGCCTTCGATAGAGCTGCCATCTTCCTGCTGGTGCTCGACAACCTGCTCAGCTCCATTCTGACCGGATACTGCATCAGCAGCAGCTTCATTCCCAGCCATGGTGCTCGCGCTCTGATCTCCATCAGCGGATTTGCCGTCATGATTGCTTTCCGAGCCCGTATCTTTTGCAATCAATGCCGAAGCTTCGCTAGAGCTGTGCAGAGGAGACTTTGCCTGCTCAGAATCTGGATCAGCTTCATGGTTGGCAATCTTGCTGGAGCTGATGACGTCCGCGCGAGCAGAGCGCGACCCCGACGATGACCTGAGACGATTCTCATGCGTGGAGCTCTGCCTCAGACGGGTCGAACGAGGGCGTGTCGGCTGAGATGCGCTACCGGATGCCGGACTGCTGCCTGGAGTCAGAAGTGCGCTCAGATTCATGTTGACCAGCGTCCACCATAAGCCGAGCGCAATGGGATGAAGAGCACGGCTTCTGTAGGCGCGGACGCCCGCGCTCTGGCCAGGTGTGAGAAAGGAGGGATGGTCAATAGCGTGTTCTCCTGCATGGTGCTCGAAGAGACCAAGGCAAGAGCTGATCGGATTAGAAGCATACACGAACGAATTCAAGCACAAGGCAGCCGTAGTTGCACTAATGTGTGAGTCGTGAGTGTAGAGTGTTCGAGCTTTCCCCAATTGTGAACTCCAGAAGATCGCGTCGTGCAGACGCGTACGTGAGGGTTCGGTCGGCGCAGGCAGGCGCGTGTGGATGGCGCCTCGCAACGGTCGCGCGCGCGCGCGCGCGCGCATGCACCACCCTAACCATCAAGATGGGACGCTCCTGACCATACAGGACACCGACATTCAAGGATACAGCTCGACCATCTCGGACTTGACTCTCAAATCATTCGAGATTGCAGTTCGCCATGACAAACACCGCAGAGCGCTTCGGATTTTGGACTCACACAGAAAGTTGAAGTCTTCAGGTACTGATATCGCTTGGGTATGGAGCGTGCAATGGGATGGAGAAGAACCAGAAATGATGGATGCTGTGTGGTGCGTGATTAAAGACTGCTTGTGCGGTGCCGGGCTGCTGGCTGCGCGCGCAACCTTTGAGGTGCGGCGACTGCGATGGCGAAACAGAAAGTGGTGCGAGGAAGGACGCGCGGGCGATGTTGTCGTATGGAAGCTTTCGAACGAGGAGCGCAAGCACGTCCTGCGATCCGCGCTCGTGGTGGTGTGAGAGAAGAGGATCAGAGGGGCAAGATTCTGTCAAGGAGGGGGATGGATCGATGGGTCTAGATCATCTGTATGCTCGCAGCAGTTAGAGGACAGATACGTGCGTCAATTCTTTCGGACTTGTCGAACCTCGGTCGCGTGCAACTCGAGCTGCCCTGACCGCGAAAGAGTCGCTTTCTATATTGCCTGGCCCCACGAAACGGCTGTGTCCTGTAGATTTGCTGGCATCAGGGATCCATGAGGGCTGAATTGCGCCGGAAGGAGGAGAGGTGCACGCAGCAATCACTGCCGCGTCCGCTCACCGCCGGACACCCTGCTGTGCAGGAGGTTGGCGCGCGCCAAGCAACATGCACGCGCGCGTGTCGTGTCTGTCACGCGCTCTTCTTTCGTCTGCTCACCTCTCACGCTTGCAGCAGCATCGTGACTCCGCGAAGGGCAAACCAGCAGAATCACTGCTCCCACCCGAGTTCTGAGCGCAAGTCAGATTGGCCAAGAAAGGCGGGTGAGGAAGGCCAGTTGCTGACCCTCCACCAATTTTCATCATTGATCCTTTTCGATTTGTTGCAGTGGTGAGTGAAGGTGCGCCATGATCCCATCAAGCATGCAGCTACACAGAGGGGAATTCTCCGCTCTGGAGCGAAAGCGCGCCGGGCATGTGGTATGGTGGCACGCGCGCGCGGTGTTTTGCGCCATACGGCAGCCAGTCCACGCACGCGTATATATGTAGACAGCACCGGCAAAGGCAAAACAGGCATGACACGATGGCCGCGCTATACACGATGCCGGCCACAGCTATATATATATACACCTCAATCTAGATCGGTCTTCTCGTGGGCACACGCCAACCCTGCAAGCAATGTGAGCGTGTGCATGATCAACAATGACAAGCCATCACCTACGCGGCTCGCATCTAAGGAAAGCTGCCAACAAGGAGCATCGAGGGGATCCATCGGAGGGAGAGTCGGAGTCGCACGAAACGTATCGCAGAAGTCAAGATTCGAGACATTGCGCCCAGCAGTGTGGAGCGCGACAGGCGCCAACTACCTCGTACGCAGGCTCAGTGACACTCTTGAACGCAGCTATTCCGTCGAGCGTGAGCTCGAAGCCTCTCATCCGGTCATGAATGAGCATGGGTAAACCTGAGTCAGACCAAGCCATGTGTGATGAGAGCGGTCATACAACAGTAGATTGTAGCGCAGCACACTACTGCTTCCCTGCGCAGTGCACCGGACACCGGCAGCGAGAAGAGCCAGTTCCCTGCCATCGCGACGGGAGCTCATTCGAGTTCATCCTGGCCCACGTCATCTTCATCCTGGCCGAGCGCAGTGGCACTAGGTCTGAACACTTGCAGCACATTATCCTCAGACACCGTCGCCATGTGCCAGTCTTCCTGAGGGCTCCAGCAGATGTCCTGGGCGACGTGAATAGCACACGTGGGGATGAGCCGAGCAGGGATGTCATTGCGCTCACAACAACATCACACTTACCGTTGTTCTCGCTGTGTGTCCGCCATGCACAAATAACAGCTCAGGTGGGCCATCTTCTGCATCGTCGGGCGTTTGCTCTTCGCCGATCCGTGACAAGTCCCATACATTGACCCTGCGGTCTGCAGCAGCGCTAGCAAGTCTGTGCGTCGAGAAGAAGCAGTCATTTAGCTGCTGTGTATCGCATGTCCTTCGTCACATTTGACTCACATGGTTTCGTTGTGCGGCGACCAGGCGAGTTGCAGCACTTCATCGGTGTGCGCTTCCAATGAATGCAAGCGCGTCTTCGTATTCCTCATATCCCACAGTCCAACGGTCTGGCCAGACGCAATAAGGGAGCAAAACAGCTCGTCAGAAGACTTCAGACAAGGGCTGTGCGATTTGTGCTAACCGTCACTCACCTTGTCAGATGAGCCGGTGCAGATCAAGTATTCGTTCGCTGGACTGAACAGCACAGCATTGATTTCGCCATCGTGTGCAGTCACGCGATGCTTTGGTGCATCACCCGATTCCCGCGAGTCCCATCTGATTTTGCATGTGAGAAGGATCAGCAAATCGTCAAAATGTCCGCCAAAGATCTTTGACGCCCTTCACTGTGGGACTCACATCAACAACAACTTGTCGTCGCCGACAGAGGCAAAGAGCGACTCGTGATGCGCATGCCAGGCCACATCCTATTCGCAAGGAGAAGGAAAGGCTCAGTTTGGTGTCGTATCACAAGAATATGCCTTCCTTCGTCCCTCACCTCTACGACGGACGTGTGGCCTCTGTACACTTTGAGAGGGTTGATTGCTTTATCCGATTTCTTGTATTGGTTCACATCCCATTCACAGACTGTCTCATCCTCCGAGGCAGCAAGCAGATGCCCTTGAACAAGCGGCGACCAAGCCAAGCCATAACTATGGCCAGGCGGAATCTTCCCGTTGTCAGAGACATGCTCGCGCCACTCCACTGCGGGTTGCGGAACCCCCGTTGCTGGCACCGACTCACCCTTCTCCAGTCTGGCCTTTGCAAACAATGTCCGGCCTGCACTTTCCATCGGCATTGGGCTGCAAGCTGTGCTTGGTCCTGTCGAAGATGTACGTCTCGCCCATGACTGTCCTCGTCGCAATCAAATCGCAATTTTGCGGGCAGTATCGGGCCCGATTGACTTCTCCATCGTGATTGATCTGCTGTACGATTTGTATGCGCGCGTTTGCTCCGCCATAGGAGCCAATCTCTGTGGCGACTCTTGCGCAGATCAGCCTCCCGTCGTTCAAGCTTGCATCGCCGGGCCGCTACTCAGCCCACCACTCGTGACGCTGCTGCTTCTTCACTCACCGCCCCTGTCTTCATCGTACTTCGACGAATCCACTTCCACGTCCTGGTTCGGCAGATGCACCTGAGCAATTTGCACATAGTTTTGATCCTGCCCCGACGTGTGCGTGCCAAGCAACAGTCGATGAGACGTGTAGTCTTTTCCAGCAGGGCTGAGGAGTTTGCGTTGATTGCGCAGCGGAACCAAAAGTTTGAACTTGAGTCAGCTTGTACCCTCAGCCAGGGGGCCAGCCCAAACTCACCGCTCTCGGTCAGGGAACCATTGACATGTCAATGAAGGCCACTCGAGAGCGTGCGTGACCACCATGTCGTACAAGAAGGGCGCATTTTTCTTCCATACTGCACCAGAAGAAAAATGGGGCGAGGACATCTATGAGCGACGCGTGCTGCCTGCACCTCGAGCAGACGTCTTCTATGTAGCTTTTCTCACTCTTGTACTCCTGTGAGCGCAGAGGTGCGGATGCGACAGAGCGTGAGTAGAACGTCCGAGCCGGTCGACCAGCTCTTGAACCATGACGCTTCGTATGCGCCTCGCAAGATCCCTCTCACTTACCTCATTTGTGACCTGAGCGGCCTGGATCTCCTCCTCGGAGCTCATGATGAGCGTTCTGAAAAGTGCTCGATGTCTGAGTCTGCGCCTTGACAACAAGAATGTCTAGCCAATCCTTCTGCCAACCCTCTTCCGCGAGGCTCGGGCTTTTGGCGCGGCGTCGTCGAAGACTTGGAGCTAGTGCGGGCTATGTGACTGGCTTGAGAGTGGACGGCCCTGCCACAGACTTCGAGATCGGAGGCTGCGAGTTGTGGAAGGGACAGATCCTTTGGTGCCTGAGCGCGAGTCCAGACTCCTTTGGCTGGTGCACAAAGTCCAATGCGCTTTCGGACTGTTGAGGGTCTTTGCTGAGGGCGCGTAGTCAGACTTTGGGTGAGTGAGGAAGTAGATGCGGTATGCCCTGGACATGTGAATAAGGCGATGGAGAGGCTTGGCCAGGGGGTCAAGTCAGTCACGAGTCTTGAGTTTCTAAATCACGATTGTGACGCGCTCCATGACCGACCAAATAAAAGCTGCTGCTGGAGGATTCGGCCGGGATGGATGCTGGCTGCAGCTTGATGTGCACGGGCGCTGCTGCGCGCCCCCTCGTGACCGACAGACGACCCCGCGTCGCGCGAAGCTGCGAAGATATATGAAGGCAAGAAAGCGCGACGCGTCCCGACCATTTAATGGACGCGTTGCAGCCGCATCGCGAGTCACACAGTCTTCTCGAGCGCCTAATCTCAACCCAGCTGCCGATCGGCGCGTTGGTGATCCATTCAATGAATCACGAATCAGAATGTGAACCACGAATGTGCACGTCGCGAAAGCCTGTCGAAACCTCGGAGCAACCGCGCTTCATAATATAGTCTATTTTCAGGGGCTGTGCCAGGCATTACGGCTAACCGTATCGTCATCGCCAATCGGACACCAACCAATCATCATCAAGGTGACCCGAATACACAGGATGTTTGCAAGTCTGTGCTGATGGCGTGGCTTCGTCGAAATACCGTCCCGCGACGCTTCTTCGGTCAGACACGGCCGCGGATCGCCGCTCCTTCTTGAATGTTTTCAAATCGCTGCGAGGCGACGCATGAGAGCTGTACGAGTTTGTGTGTGTGAATCACGAATGCTCATGGCTCTCAAGCATGTGTGCGTCACCGGAAGTTGAAAAGCTTTGCCCGCAAAACTCATGACTGTCTAGACGGTTGTCTCGGCAAGACTCTCTCTCTCTCGGCCGAGAGTGAAGCCAAGAGCTTCTGCGGTCGGTCCTCTCCTCCACCTTTTCGCGACTCCCTGTCTACTAGCTGAACTCCTAATCACCAGTGGCGAATTGACCGTGTTGCCTTGAGGAATGACGATTTGTATTGAGCATTTGTATAAAGTGTGAGTGTATGGGCTACTCAAGTCATGGAAAGACACGCTGCAAGATCGATTGAACGATCACAATCTTGTGTCAAGAGTCACGAGTCTTGAATCACGAATTGATGAGAATCTGGAACGAGTCTGCGCCGCTCTTTCGGATCGAACTTTCGGTCGAGCCGGCTCAAGCAAAGTGCTCGGCAGTGGCGTAGAATCAGATCACCGACTCGAAATCGATCGGAAGCAACAAAGCACTCGATTGAAGTCCGTGCCGTGCATGCAGGACGTTTGATGCTTTGGCTTGCAATTCCTATATCGGGAGTTCCTGTCTGCGCAAGCCGGAGAAAGGTCGCGGAATGTCTCGACGAGGGTTGGCCGGGATGGGCCAGACGTACGTAACGATATGTCCTCTTCTGCACTCCTGACCAGATTATAAATCGTCGCCTTTCGAGCGTCCAGTATTTCGGTGCCGCTCACAACCACGCCTTCGTTGCCAGCCTGCATGGACTGAACGAGATAACACCGGGTCAAGATCGAATCAAGGGTGCCGAAACATATCGTCTGTCCTTATTTGCCAACATGTCTCAGAAGGATAGTGAAGGCTCAAAACAAGACCTGAGTGGTCTGATCAACAAACATCTCCTGTACACCTACGACAATGGATGGAAGTACGAGAGCGTGAGCGGCAAGAGGAGCAAAAGCAGTCAAGGTCAGCGCGTTCGACTGTTGAGTGCGCTGACGTAAACATTAATTGTATCGTCTAGTGGATCAAAAGCCCGACGAGGATCGTGTATAAAATCCACGGAGGTGAGCATCTGACCAGACTTTGCGTGAAGCAGAGCCTCCCATCCTGATCTTTTCGATCTTCGCAGGACCTATGGGCGGTAGAGACAATTATCAGACCATCTCGTGTCGCGTCGTCCGAGAGCCTTCGAAGGAGACTGGAGAGCAAGGTGTCTATCTCATCTCCTGGCTCGAAGAGACAGGCACAGTCGTTTCGATGACCATCGACTTTACCAACAACAAAGTCAACTCCTTCATTTGCTTTTCCAAAGGTCACTGGGAGAACGTGAGTAGTCCTTCTGACGCTCCCCAAAGGACATCTGTAACGCTAGATGAGCTCGGGAGACGGCTGACCTACTTCGGACCTCACACGACTGCTGCTGTACACCTTCAGCCAGAAATCGCACACGGACACTACAAGAAGGACCAATGGCGCCAGCTGGCCAAGGTGCCAGACGGGGAATCCATAACCACAGCCCGCACCATCATCAGCGAGAGCGCAACTCTTTTAGAGGTGACAGAGTGAGTCATGCTCCGTCTTTGCGACGTGCCAGAAGCAATTGCTTACCTCTACCCATTTTGGAAAGGGGACGAGGTGAACTCGAGGACATCGCAGAGGATGCGCCCACCTTGTGATTTGCAGAGTCCTGAACTTATTTGTCCGTCTTCGGAAGCAGCTTCCTGAGCCGGGACTTAAACTTAATCACCAGCCACGCTTCTGAACAGGCTCGAGGCACGTCTTCGCTCCCTGAGATGCGATGTGAATGAAACATGAGTCAACGAAAGAATACAACAGAGAGAAACCGTACCCTCTCCGCAGTGTGCGAATAGAACGCGCGCAATTCAGCTAGAAAGTGACGAATAAGACTGCCGAGACTTGTGATTGCTATCGTGATCGAGAGAGATTGAGGTGACGCTGAGACCGAGATTTGCTAAAAGGCGCGTTAAACGATCCGAGGTTTGCGGCTGCTCGGTGCGCCTCCCTGCGAGGCGATGAATGCCGAAGAAATGAGATCGCGGAACGGCATGACGGGTAGTCGAGGCAAGACAGAGGAGAGGCGTGAGAGACGTGAGTTGTGAAAGCTTAGCAGATGACGCATCTGCATCCTGCTTGAACGTCGTCTTTCTTCAAGGATTCATCTGAAAGCGCAAGAAGCGGCGCATCTTTAGCGGAATGTATCGACGCGCTCATTCAGGGTCCAACTCGACACCATCGCCGATGATGACACTCACCATCAGCATTTGAGTCTTTGACTGGTTGGCGGATCAGAATGTGCACCACAGTGACCTTTCCCAAAGGCATACCTCCCGTAGCAGGTCTTCCGCCTGCCGCGGGAGAGTCTCCGCTGAGCGGCGCTCGATCATCCAAGATGTGACCCAGATGAAGCATTCTGAGAGCCGATGGCTCTGCGGGCCGCAGAGGGAAATCTGCGGCGTGAGAGAAAGAGGAAGAGGGTGTGAGCGACGAGCCGGGATGCTGTGCTAGTACAGACCACGAATCCTCGAACGCTGACTAGTCTCTTGGAAGCTCCTCGACAGGCACTCACCTGCTGGCCATTCATTCCAGATCTGATCCCTTGCCTCGGACACGAGCGTGCTAGGCTCAAAGTCGAAAAGATGCCTCTGACCCGAAGTCAGGAGCGCATCGATGCGGACCTTATCCTTCGCTATCAGAGCCGACCTGACCCTGGACGACGTTGATGCGGCTGTGGATGCGTCGACTGCGCCTGAAGGTCCTGCGTTGCTGCTGCTAGCCATGCCTATCTCGGAGGGACTTGTTGCATTGGCCGCTAAGTTGGCTTCGACCTGCGTAGACATGATGATGGATCTGAGACCTCCCAGACTGTAGACTATGAGAGGGGCTTGTGAGCGAACGAGTTTGAGTTCTCAGAAAGATGATGAGGATGTTTGGGGTCCACTGAAAAGCGTCGTACAAAGATCGGACGATGTGAAGGGTATTGCGGCAAGTGGAGCGATGAAAGTCGCACCAGTCTGATGAGTCACGAGTGTCGAATGAGGCAAGTGGCTAATATTCACGATTGTACTTGTGACTGTATGCGGGGCGCTCGCCGCCCGAGTCGCAAGGTGCCACCGCGGCGGGCCAAGTTACGCGCTGCAATCTGGATTGCCGGTGCGCCCAGTGTTTCGGCTGGGCTATTGTGCCGTGTGGAGGCCGGTCACGTCTCGCGAGACCTTTCTTATTGCCGCACAGTCCGATTTCAGTCGTGAGTGCTGATGCGGTGGGTTTTGAGTTTGACTCTTTACAGAGTATTTAGGGGTATGCTCAAAGGTAGTGGTGAGTCTGAGTCAAAAAGGTCCAGAGGTGTATGTGTATGTGGATGGGAAGGATGCTGCTGCTTGCTGTAGGTGCCAGTCAGTAGCTTCAGGGGTGCGAAAGGCGTGCGATCATCCGAACCGTGATTTATAAGTTGGCGGGGCGGAGTTGGGAACGGATAAGCGTGATGGACCAGAGGCCTAGGTGTTGCGCGTGCGCGTGCGGGGAGGGGAGGGGAGCCCGGGACGCCAAGAACGCCCAGCAGGGACGAGAGCGGTGATGCGCCGCAAGAATCGTCGTGCAGCGAGGCAAAGATGGCGCGGCGGTGCAGTCGTTGCCTTACCCTGCTGCTGCTCCTTCATGCATCTGCCTGCCCACCCTTGCCCCACTCACTCACCTACTCAGGCTCACCTTGACAAGAACGGATACCGACACGAGTGAACAGTGACGAAGTGCAAGCACGAGAGGAAATACCTCGGATTAGCTTCTTCCACCTGCCATCGTTCTCTAGCGTGCTCAAAACGGTTTTTATGATTGGCCTCGCCCTGGCACAACCCGCCGGCCGACAAAGGCTCCTCGTCGCGCCAATTGCTGCTGTGCAACCTAGCTAGCTGCAATCACCAATCGAGTGCGCAGAGTAGCACGCAGCAACTTGTGTGGGCTGAAGCGGCGGCGTGCTTTCCGCCGCCCTCATCGAAACTAGATGTAAAGGTGAGGCGGAAGCACTCAAGACTACCAACCCGAGCTCGGCTGCTCCTTCCTTACCTTGGTGCTGAAGCGCTCGATGCAGGCACCAAAAACGTGCAAGATGTGCTAGCCCGCAGCTACAGGCTCGCGGCCAGAAGCCGGCCGCATTCAATGGCCGATCATGCACAAGTCGGGGTCAAAGTGCGGGCTGGTACTCAAACTGTATTTGTGCTGAGACCCAACGCGCGCTCATGTGTCTGACCTTCCGCACGCAGTACAGCAGACCAAAGCGCCCTGATCTAGATTCACGATCCAGATACATTGACTCGTATACATCAGCGCCCAGGCTCGTCCCATCGCGCTCCATCGCTCCATCGGTACCGTCAACGCCTGCTCGGTGGTCAAGTCTGAAGTCAGCTAGCTAGAGGTGCTAGCGCCGAATGTTACTACTATAGTAGCAGTCGTGAGTCTCAATTGCACACCATATGGCGGTCACGAGTACGTCACGTTCATGCGCAGCATCGCCGAGACATCTGCCGGAACTTGTCTCGCCCACGTCCACATTCGTGATTTGATGGCCTGACTGGATATATACACGCGGTACTGTGTCAGCGAGCGCCGATCATAGCTAGGCGCTTCGAAGGCTTGTCGATGACGAAGAGGCTCCACATTGACTTCGTGTCCGCAATCGCGAAGCAAGCGAGTCGCTGATTTCGAGTTTTGAGTGGAGTACATACATGCAACATTCGTGATTCACCATTCACATTTCAAAGTGGCGTGATGCTGAATCGCTTCGTGCCAAGAGGTTCGTCCGCGAGTGGCAGCTTCTTGGTGAGACGCATGCACCAAAGCAACAAAGCAAGCAAGCAAGCAAGCAATCACTGAATCCTCTTCGCATATGTGGCTGCCCGCCGGGTCGCGCGTGCTTGGCATGGCAAGCCACACGCGCGCGCGCGTCAGCAATAATCACATGCTGATCGAAAACCACACAGAAAGTACCGCGGTAGGTACACGATAGCCACAACTACTCAGGACTCATCAGACTAGTAGGATGACTGCCCGCCTAGCTGAGCTAGGTGATGCCTGTCAGAGGAGCCACTCTGACTGGTCAAGGGTCCACGTGATTGTGAGTGTGTAAGAGCACAGCTCGGGAAGCTACAAGTGGGGCGGCAAATGGCCGTCTTATATGTTGGCGCAACTGAACGAGACATCTCGCTCGCCTTCGGGCAGCCCAATACAAGGCCTGCCAATCCTTGCATACCAGCACTCTCGAGTGGATGGCTGGGATCCCTTGCAAACAAAAGTCTGCATGTTTTGTCATTCGCGTCCATTGGTTGGCACAGTCTGGGGAAGCTCTTCACGTTCCCTTGTCGACCGTCACGTGGTTCAAAAGGTGTGAACTCTTAAAGCTTGCGACCAGCGCTACAAAGCTACTGACGGCGGGTATCTCGATGGGTATAGGTGCGAGCGAAGCGATCTAAGGGAGAGAAGGAATATGCGCGAGCGCGGTAGCACATGCACACGCACATGGGGCAGGTCTTCTCTTTCAGAAATATTCAATCTGTCATGCGAAAGCATAGAGGTGAGCGATGGCAGGACACTGGCTGTACCCTCGACGTGGGACGGCACGTACCTCGAGGAACAAAAAAGCGGCCTCGGCTGGATCTCTAACATTCAAGCCTGCCGGGTTGAAGAGCTGCTTGTTGACTCGGTCCAGAAGTGAACGCAGCTCCTTCATTTCCTGTAAAGTGGAATACAAATGTTGACCTCAGCGTCTTGTTTAGGGACTACGCAAGCCTCCCTTCGTCTGCTGTGCTTGCCTGGCCGAGCGGACTCACCCTGTTGTACTTGCTTCCTACCACCAAAGGACTGATCCAGAGTGTCAGCACAGCCAACACATTGTCGAAGGCTGCCCATCCGGAATTGTGAGCTCTGATCAGGATTTCGTTGAGATCGTTTATGGTCTCGCCAAACTGCACAGGTGCTATGCGACCTTCCAGCTCCAAGGGAAAAGTTGGATGAAATTGGCACAGCTCTCCCAATGTGTAGTCCCGCTCCACCCTGTTGCGAAAGGTCATTGTTCGTGAGCACGTCTAGCTGGGGCATGCGCCGAAGGCAGAATTTGCGATTTCCACTTTCCCCGACATTCGAAGGATCACGGGATCACATGACTCACCTGATAACTTCTCTTGGTCTGTCTCTCCCAATCACTCCAGCAGGTGCAGTTCCAAAAGCGCTTCCTGGGCCAGGCGGACCAGTGTAATAGCTACTTCTAGGTCCCATTTGCGGTTGGCTGCTCTGCCTTCTGACACTCGAGCGACCAGGAGAGCTGCTGGGCTCCTCTGGATTCACGGTGACAAGCGTCGATGGACCTGCTTCATCCCTCTCACCTGAAGGTGCGCTGCCTGTCAGAGGATCCGCCATGCTGGAAATGTAGAGAGAATGGTCGGATGTTGTGGGAAGGTGTGTTGAGCGAGCGAATGAGGCGAAGCGCTGTGGTGTCAGCGGGCGAATTGACGAGTTCGGGGTGAACAAGCTGCCACTCAGTCAGTATGTCAAAGGATTGCGTGCGTGTGCTTTGACGGGCAAGAGCCTGGATGAAGGAAGGAGGGGGAGGTGCGAGCGCAAGCCTGCTTGGAGCGAGCATGCTGTGCTGCTTCGTTGCTCCGTTTGTGCATGATGGTAGCACACCTACAGTGAGTTGAGTATACACACGCGCGACTATATCAGTCACGTGCAGGGCCCGTGGGCCCGTTGGCCGCCCGAGACCGATCTCTTATTCATGATTCATGATTCGTGATTCTCGAGGGACCCGCTCGGCCGCTCATCCCCGCATGCAGAGCCCGCCCGCCCGCCTGGATCTGAATGCGTGCGCGTGCGCGCTGATGCTTGCTGCATCTTTGGCTGGCTGCGACCCGCCGCCGGGCTGAGCGAAATGCGAAAGCGCAAGCTATGCTGCTGCTGCTGCTGCTGCTGCTGAATGCTCACGGGTCTCGGCGCTCATCTCCGTTCCTTACATGCATCGTTCGCAGCACCCCCACCAAGCACACAATCCACGACCATCGCCGCTTCCTTTCTGGTTCCTCAACGCAGTGCTCATTCGAACAGCTCCTCAAGACCTCGAGAAAACAGTTAGCACGTGTCTCCTGGGAGGCTTTCAGCGCTCAGACAAAGGACCGTGGACCCATCCTTCCCGCGGGAGCAGATACAATCACACAGCGCAGTCCGAGACCATTCAATTCACTCTTTCGCGCCTCGGACCAAGATGCCGAACCCTCACTACGACTTCTTGATCAAATTGCTGCTGATTGGCGACTCGGGTGAGTTTGGAGGGCGGACGGATGAGTTCAAGCACCACGAAGGGCGTGAACCCCGAGCTTGGCGCAAGTCCTCGGCAGAGATCTCGCACACCTCTCAGCGAAGGCGAAGGCGGAGCGCATTCGCCCTTGTCGCGCCACTTCTGCTCAGGTTCGTGCTTAATCAGAAGGCGTGTGCGGTGAGAGGCCAAATGCAAGTCGCACGCCGAGATCCAAAAGGCGAGGTACAATCTTCACCACGCCAGTGTTAGGGAAGCACACGCTTGCATTCAGCTGCGATGCGCAGACATTCCACTTCCAATCCCATTCTGCGAGGCTGAACACTGGCGCAAAGCTCCTTGGGCATGCTGCATTTCTTGCCCTCGCGAAGTGATCATTTGTCGAGGATGGGCCTTGCGAGAAGTCTCTTGCCAAGCCTTGACCACGATGTGACGCTGACCTAGCCGCGCTTTCTTTTTCGCCTCTCCCCTTCTCTACAAGGTGTCGGCAAATCATGCTTGCTCCTTCGATTCTGCGATGATGCTTGGACGCCTTCCTTCATCACCACGATTGGCATCGACTTCAAGATCCGCACAATCGACTTGGATGGCAAGCGAGTCAAGCTCCAAATCGTGAGTAGACGGCGTTACTGACAATGCTCGCGGCCCCGACAACCGACCATTCATTACTCCCTTTGCTTCATCAGTGGGACACAGCAGGCCAAGAGCGCTTCAGAACCATTACCACCGCGTACTACAGAGGCGCGATGGGTATCCTGATGGTATACGATGTGACGGATGAAAGGAGTTTCAGCAGTGAGTGCTAGTATCGCATCTGGCTTTACGCTGCCTCCGCTGATACACGGTCTTTTAATTTGTGTAGACGTGCGAACCTGGCACTCCAACATCGAACAGCATGCTAGCGAAGGTGTCTCAAAGATTTTGGTGGGCAACAAGGCAGACTGGGAAGAGAAGCGGGTGAGTTTACTTCGCCTTGCCGCTGTATGCCTAGGAGGTGTGGGCACTGCGGCTGAAGCCTTTCGCCATTGTCGATACTATCTAGGTCGTTACTACAGAGCAGGGTCAAGCACTGGCAGATGAATTGGGTGTTCGCTACGTCGAGACGTCCGCCAAGACGAATCAAGCTGTGGACGACGCCTTCATTGCGCTCGCCAGGGACGTCAAGTCGCGCGTCATTGACACGGCGGCCGGATCCGCTTCGAGCGGTGGTGCTGGCGCAAACGAGAGTCAAGGCGTGAACGTCAATGCTCAGCAGCCAGCAAGCTCGAGCGGATGCTGCGCTTGAGAGGAAGGATACAAGTAATTTGCAAGTGTACAGCTGTGAAATTACCAGTCCTCAGGTCTGAGATTCGTTGGCCGAGACCTACATATAACCCCTTCATTGACTTGCAGCTCGGGCGACTTGGATAATGTACATGGCTTTGGCTTTCCTCTCCAAGCTGACGTGCTGCCTGCGCATACGTTGCACTCACTTCATTCTCTAACTAGTCCGCACAAGCGCAGCAGCGAAGATACAGCGCTGATCGAGCATGCAACGTCTCCAAAGGTCCATTAAGATCGAAAAAAACGTAGCAGCAGGGACCCTGAGCTTCATTACAGATGTCTGTGCAGACGATGCGTTTAGGAGAATGTGCCGTAATCAATCTTGGCCAAGTGTACGCGGCTCATTTGCGGATGCGACGGCTGGCGTTGTCTATCTTGACGCGAGCGTGCAATTGGCAGGATGGCACAGTGCCGAAGTAGGTGCTAGCCTTGAAGACGATGATGATGTCACCATCCCTCTCCCTCGTCGTGTCCCACGAGGCTCGAGGATCGGCTGTGCCATCAGACGCTCGATATCTCGTAGGCGAGTAGAACAGCCTTCGAGACTTTTCGTCGAATTGGGACGAGTAGACGGTGGGGAAGAACCGACCCACTTTGAACAGGGGCACGTAAGGAGACAAAAGCTTCGTCTGCTGAAGAGTGAGGTTGCTTCCGACAGTGCCAGTGCCAAGCTGCGACTCGATGGGGAGAGGTGAGCAATGATGGTGGAGCGGAAATGCGACTTCTGCCTTTTCACGCTGTGCGACTTACAGTGTCAGGTCGAAAGGCGGGACGCCAGCCCACGCCATCGGGGAGTTGGCAAGTGCCAGTCCAGGGTCCCTGATCCAATTCTCTCCAGCTAGCCCACTCGAGCTTGTACAAGCTGAGCGGATCTACGCCATCTTCGGCATCATCAGGAGTGGGCAAGAAAGCCTCGTAGGCTACGATCAGCTCTACATTGCCGCTCAGGACGGGCTTGAAAAAGTCCGTGGACGTGCCGAACACGTCCGGTGAGCTGCCATTCAGCGCGGACGCAGCTGTGGGCCTTGCAAAAAAGACCTTTTCCAGGGAGCTGTATGGCTGTGATATTGCGCAAATGCTGGCGGTCAGGTCAGCAATCACATGCGTCTCGAACACGAGCACACTCACAGGTATCGGAGAAGACGGCCTAGACTCTTGCAGAGCATGCAGTGGGTCGTAAAAGTGCCAGCCAGGATCTGCATGTAGTGGGGACCGAGTCGGTGAGCAGGCTAAAGATGCGGCACAAAGGGAATGCCGAACAACCCACCATCCGGACTTTTCCACTCTTGCCACCGGGGATCCGGCCGAGCAACGGCAACTCTCAATTTGCTGAATCTGTAAGGATACCTCTTCTCTCGACTCGAAGGAGCATCTGATCTCTTTGGCGGGTCGGCCGGCCTGCGTTTGGATCTCGGTTCCCTCGAAGCCGGCAGCCGCGAGACGCGACCAATATGGTCTCCTTGAGCCACCAGGTCTCCCAAGCTGACCTGAGGCTGTATCTCTCCGCATAAGCGCAGCACAAAACCCCACTCGTTGCGAATCGATACGCAGATGCCGTGCTCGTTATTCAGCTTATTGAGGGGCGGGAATGGACGGGTGTAATTTCCAATCCAGACCACTTGGCCACCCCATGGAGCTTGGAGAGGTGCCCAGATTGATTCGCCAACGGCTGCAGACTCGCGTGCGTCGTCGGGTGTGGACATGTTTGCGACTGCACTCGGGGCGGGTACTCTGATTGTCACGTCCCCATTCCTTCACGCGGATGAGAGCAACGTCGGCGCGATTGCTGGTTGGGTCAGCATAGGTGCTGCTTGAGTAGTCCCGAACCTTGACCGCATCACTCACCAGCCAGACCAGCGTAAATCCACGCCCTTCATCTCGTCATTCGACCTGGCTTGGCCTGCCTTGGCAATGAAGGGATCTTGCATTACTGGCAAGCACATGGGCAAGTGAGGGTCAGCTAAATGTCAGCGACGAGCAACCTCGCTACTCAATCTGCTCAACTGCAACGCAGCCTTGGCATGCGACACACACTCACAGCCAGCGACGCGATTGACTGATGAGACAGCTTCGGTATTGGGTGTTACCAAAGGCCAATTGGCTCTTGGCATTTGCACATGGGCCACCCACCACTGGTACGAGGCGCTATCCCTTCCGGGGAGACGCAAGCGAGCTACGGCACTCCACAGGCCGACACTGACATCCTTACCAGTCGCTCCTTCCCTATCCCCACCGATTGCTGAGAGAAGCTCATGCGCAGGAGCGCAGTCCGCAAAGTAAGCTCTACCATCAGGGTGGACCTCTGTGGGAGTACAGCCAGCGTCGACTTGTCGGCCATCGGCATCTTCTTGTCTCAGCTCACTTGTCCCTTTGGCGCGCAGGTCATCCTCTCTACAGCTCTCAACGCCTCCCACTGCGCCTCTCTTGGCTCCGCATCCCAGCGTTACCTCTTCCCAATCCCTCTTTTGCGTCCGGGTCCACTCCAAAATGGGTTGCGCGTCATTCTTGGCTGCGAGGATGTCATCGTAGTGATCTGGATGAAAATGGAGGAGCAGACGGGAGGCATGTCCAGGGGCCGAGTTGATGTGAAGTCCTGAGGGAGTGAGACCGAAGCGTTGTGCAGATCCTTCCACATGAGCGAGATCCGAATGGAGGGGATGCAAGAAGGGTGACTGATGATTAGCCACTGTAGCCGAGGAAGCCAGTGAAGCTGCGGAAAGCGCGGCCAAGAGGTGGCTCGTTTTCCAGACAAGCATTGTATGCAGCTTGCCCACCTTGGGCGTCGAGATTATCAGTAATCAGTAGGGTGGACGGTGAGCACAGTCGGGCGTTAGAGCTCGGGATGAGTAGGGTTGGATCGCGGTTCGAAGCGTAGTGTGCTCATCTTCTAAATGCTGCGTCTTCAGCAAGAGTGGGAGGTGTGCTTCCAGAACGAAGCGAGGAAGAAGGTAGTGGGACAGATGCTTCATTATCGCAGACATGTGACTTGAGCTTCTTCCAAAGCATTCAAATTCACTCTTCTGACTGGAGCCCTCAACTTCATCAGACTCACGACGGGCGGGAAGGAACATGCGGCTGTGCAAACGGGTGTGTGGAGACGGTCGGTCACGTGAGACCACATGCTGGAGTTATTTTTGCTGGTGCGTGAATCACCACGATTTCGCTGATCTTCTGGATTTAGCGCTCGACGCACAGCATCATGCGCAGCAGCAGCAGCAGCAGCAGCGCCTGTGCTCGCATCTGCACCCGCAAGAGCGAGGGACACATCTGTCAAATCTACAGCACGCCAGATAGCACGACAGGCCACAAATGTGAATCAAGAATGACACTCATGACTGTGACTCTACGGTTCGCGATCCTTCAGAACGTCATTCGGGTGCAGATACGGCGGATGTGTATCCGCGCGGCCATTTGAGTCGCCTAGCTTACCGTGAAGCGTGGCGGCGTAGCTTATTTACAATCAAGGACGGTTGTGAAATTGAAGCTATGCCAATTAGCAAGTAGACCGGTAGCACAGGTTTAGAGGCCGCACGCGGTCAGTACCCAGGTCAAGTGGTGCGCACGACGTCGTGAGTCAAAGTATAATCGCGGCGAACCAGCTGGCAATTAAGCTCCGGGTGGGCGGCCTCTTTCTGTGTGCGTGCACGCGCCTCGCCGCGCCGTGCAGCAGGGGTCGAGCAAGCTATATATGGTACTGTATATGCACACGCAAATTTCCTGCCGCGCTGCTGCTGCTGCTGCCTATAGCTGATTCTTAATCGCGCTCCCTGCATGCAGATCCGAGCTCGCGAGGCTGAGAAAAGCCTTGCGGTTTACCGACGGGATGGTCAAAGTCGCGAGCCGAATTAGCCGCGCGAGATCAATCAAGAATGAAATGTGAATCATTGTAGAATTCACGATTGTCACATCCATGCATTCACGAGTCTCACTCATCTCATGCATCTCATGACTGGGAACTGCGACTGCCTTGCACACTCGACTCTACCGCCTCGTCTACGATCTCGCTCGCTTCCATCCACGCCGACATTCGTCGATAGCGCTCGTCACTCTTGCCCTTTCCCGGCTGCCTTCACAGCAACATACTTCGGATCACAGGTGCGACTGCCCTGAGGCTCACTTGTCAACCCCATTTGGACCGAGTTTTCGCATTCACAGGCCAATTCATCGAACGTGCCACTGGCGCAAGACAAAGAGTTGGGAAGCCTACCCATTTCCAATCTCCACCTTTTTGCACGAAGTAGAGGAGACCTGATCCATCCCATTTCGAAACGCAGCGTGCTGTACGATGATCCGCTCACCGACCAGCTTGTTGTCTGGCGGCTCGCGCGCAAAGAGTGCGAGTCTAGGAGCAGCCGGTGCAGCCGGTCTATCTCTGCGAGCGCAACTGTCGGCGCGAAGTCGAGTGACCAACCTAGGCGTCGTCTTGCTGCTGGCTGTAGCTTGCGCTTCTCTTTTGCTCAACCTTAGATATGCTATTGCGGGTTCTAGACATGTCAGGGGCTTACCCCCGCCTGGATTCGGATCGTGGGAGAGCTTCCACGGTCTTACGCCTTCCACACTGCTTGACAGCCTACCGCCTCCAGCAAAGGGCGCCGATGCGCTCAATCACCTGGTCATTGTGACCGGTCATGCCGTCTGGGGTGAGTCTTCTCCAAAGTGCGCAGCGCACACGTCAGCCCTAGCACTGCTGTGGGCCCACGGATAGACGCAATGGGAATGCTCATCGTTGCTCCTTGTCCTCGCTCTACAGCTGGTTGCGACTTCTCTGGTCGGGAAAATGACGAGAATTGGGTGCTGGAGAGTTGGCAGAGAGGTGGCAGCACGAGGACATTCTGGAAGCACATTGAAAAAGGGTGAGCAACCATGGGAGCGAGCTCAAGTGGCGCTCAGACGAAGGCAGCATCTCAGCTTGAAGCTCGTTGCATCTTGCGAGAGAGATGCAGCCAATCGCTGACCTTTCTGGCCGCTCGCCGCTTCTAGAGTGGAAATCGCTGATGCAGATCCGACAGCCCTTCTTGTCTTTAGCGGGTGCGCATGCAGCTGGTTATCTTCAATAATGAGGACAGTGAATGCTGACCGCATCCTGATTGTGGCGCACGCAGAGGCCAGACCAGACCGACATCCCTTCAGACAGAAGGCGAATCATACTTTTCTCTTGCCGTCTCGTCAGGTATGCGGCTGCCCGTCTTGCCTGGATTCAACTTCTCCACACATGGACCAGGTCCTGGGGAAGCAAAGTCGTCCAAAAAGATCACTGCAGAGGCGAGCGAGATTCTGGGCAGGGTCGGTGCTGGCGCACAAGCCAATGCTGGTGTGGCGGTAGCAAAGGGACTGCAGGGTGTACGCATGACCACGGAAAACTTTGCTATGGACAGCTTCGAGAACCTGCTCTTCTCCATTGCTCGCTTTAGAGAATTTACGGGACGCTTCCCGATTCGTATCACCGTGGTGGGTTATGGCATGAAGAAGAGCAGATTTGAAGACCTCCATGCCAAGGCTCTCAGGTGGCCTGTCAAGTCGTTCGTTGGAGGTCAGAGGCGCTTCCACTATGTTGGGATCGACGATGATGGCAACGAGGCAGACATCAAGGCGGAGTATGACGGAGAGGTAAGGAGTGGTTTTGGTGCATTGTGCGACTCCGAAGACTGTGCTAAATAGGCCACATTCCTTTTCATGCAGAAAATCAAGACGTATCCCATGTTCGAAAAGGACATGTATGGCTGTCATGGTCGCTTACTCGTGAGTAGCTCGTGACAAGCCAGACCAGTGCAGAAGCTTCTTCTCACGCTCGCTCTCACCTCATAGGACAAGCGTCGTGCGAGAAACCCTACAAGAAGGTTCCACTCTTACTTCTCTGGCGCCCCCGAGATTGCGGATCTTTTGGACTGGTGTCCACCCGATGGTACGTCAGAGTGCACCTTTCGCGAATACACCTCGGGCTGATGTTCTTCTTCCTGCAACCTGATCCGGCAATCAGGTCTTGGTCTGCAAGGCATCTACGTCGAGTCTTTGCCCTGGGACCGAAGAGCGAATCCCACATCTGGATGGGGTCGGGGCACAAAAGCGTATCAGGAGGAGCAGAAGAAGAAGCATGTGGCCAACCTCTTGCCGGATAGTCGTTGGCTGGAGTATGGCAGAGAGAAGCAATGAGGCGCAAGGCGCCAATATCGAGCGTTCCGATGAAGCTGCGGCGCTGGGTTTATCCACCTCTCCAGCGTCTCTTTCGGAGACCCTTGAATCCCTGCATGGTTGTATTTACATGAGTTGACAACGCGCAAAGATTCCTATTCAGTTTCAGCTTTTCTCAGCGACTGATGAGGAGCACCTCATGGCAAGTCGACAGTCCCGCCCTACACTTCAAAACCATGTGACTGCGACCAGAGGACACGATGACTTGTGACGTTGTTTGTGGCATTTCAAAAGCCCTAGTGGCAAAACATGGCTGCTTCTAACGCATTCTTGCGCCATTTACGCATGGGCAGGTCTACTAGCCTTGATGCGCCTGCTCAACTTTGCGAAAGTCGTGCTTCACGCCTGCGGAGCAGCGCTAGCCAATGATTGCAGATCGCTCGACCCTCATTTTGACATGCAGAAGTTTTTCACTCCCTGTGATGACAGCATTTGCTAGTCCAGCCCCATGCTTGCAATCCTCTGCTTAGTAATGGCGTACGGGTAAGATGGGCTCCGCCCTGATTTCTGACAAGTCGCTAGCCTTGTCCTTTTCAGCGTCAAACTCTGCTATCACCGATCTGCGGCGGGGGGGAGAGCACGGAAGAGTCAGATCTGAAGCATCAATTGATGATCTTCATCTGCTGATCGCAAGCATTGTTGGAGCTCTTGCCTTGCAGAAACACTCACACGGCATCTCCCTTCATCACGTAAAGACCCAAAGGTACAACTTCCACGCCCGCATCCATGCTATAAATTCTCTCTACGCTCCCGCTCAGGATGATCGACCCGTGAACATCAAAGCCTTGCAGTGTGCCGATGATGATGCGGCCATCCTGTGTCAGTGTGAGCACTTGCTCTATGAGCGCATACAGGTGGATAGGTCGGTCAGGAGCAGATAAGGCATTGTGCTTGTCAGACGACCCAGCGTCTAGCCGACGACCCGACTACTCACGCTGGAGGTAGCCTACGATTGCTTGGTTCGCCATGGTCGAAATGAAAGCTCGAGACTAGTCCCGGACCTCAGCGTGCGGCAAAGCCCTAGTACTTGCTGAGCTTACCGAGTCCTTAATTACTGGTGAGTCATGCCTTTGTGCGGAGTGAGGTCGAATCCGTGCAGTTCACACGCGCGCACAGCCAGTTGAGCGTGATTCCACCTTCCGGTCGCTCGTTCCGCGAGTGACGCTTTGAGACCGGGGCTGTGCAACGTGAGATGCGTCGAAGTCAGGCTGTACAGTGTACTTCGTGGGCGCGGGCGCGGGGCCGCAACGGCCAAAGATTGAGGGATGAGAAGCGAGGATCGAGGGTGAAGAGTGTGAATGATCAAGCACCTGCTCCTGTTAGAAGGAGATGCAGGCTTCCTAGCGCTGATTCTCGCGTGCGCGTGTATGACTCGAATTCAGTCGGGCCAACGTGCTACGCAGATGGTCGATAGTGACTCGAACCGGCTTGCATGGAGTGCTGAGCACGAAAGGGGATTGGCAAGCAAGGATGATCGACTGGCTTTTGTTTCGTGATTGCTTGGTGATCGGATTCTTCTCCGCCCGTCATCCCGTTGCTCGGTGGCCGGTGCTGAGCCGGTGAGTGGTGCGCACAATATAATTAGCAGGCAAGACGCGTTCCACGGACGCAATGCCGCGGCTAAATCAAGTTGCAAAGCCGCTCTGACGCATCCTCGGGCGGCGTTGCAGCAAAAATAATAATAAATCACAATCGTGAATCTTGAATGAATTTGAATGCAGCCGCCACAGCAGGAGCGGCCACACGATGTAGAGCATCACGCAGGCTCAGACTCTGATGAGTCGCTCATATTTGAACGCTTTCTTCATCTCTCCATGGCCTCGCAGCCCTTCGACTGCGAAGTATCTTGCCTTGTTTGCCTCGTTTGAAAAAGAAGACAGCTGCGCTCGCTCTCGCCCCTCCCCCCACCCTTCCGCCACGTCACACCTCGCGCTCGTTTGCAACTTAGGTACCGCATCCAGCCTGCTGTGCTAATCGCAGCAAACGCGCCAGCATCTGCAACGATCCATCGAGTCTTCCATCATCGTAGAGCCGTCGTCATTCACCAGGCCGCTCGACCACTCGAGACAATACTTTATGGCAATCGCTTCGTGTCCACGACCCTTTTGGGGGGACGAAGACTTCACACAATGCTTTCGGGACAAGTAAGTCGGGTCTTCGCACATTCCACTCGTGAACATCCATCAGAGTGTCTGATCCAGCTCTGCGGCTGACCTTTGGGTCCGCGTGCCTCGGTCGCAGCTACATCAATCGGCTCTTGCCTTTGCTCGTAGTGAGCCTGTCTATGCTGGTATTGCTGGGCAGAAGTCTGGCATCTCAGTCGCGAAAACGGCGCTCACGTGGTGCTGTTGCAGGCCTTGACCCTGCAGCATCGTCATTCACCATCCAGAATGACCGGGCGCCCTATGGCCCCGAGGCGAATGCGACATCTTCGCGCATCAGCACTGGCATCTTCGCGCAGAAAGTACCCTTTCCAAAGAGGATTCTGTACTCGCTGCTGCCCTGGAACGCTTCCCGCCTGACACAATGGGCCCCCAAGCAGCACGTGGACGCCAAGGGAACCCAAATGGCGGCTGCTCAGCTGCTAGTCTGGCAAACTGAGAACGCGGTGGTGATCAACGAGGTCCATCGCTCCTCCACCAATGCAACCACACTAAAGCAACAACAGCTTGATCGCAAGTCGGAGCTAGCAAAAAGGGTCATCGAAAGCTTGGGAGGCGTGTTTGCTGCTGCTTTGTACGCTGCCGATATCTCCGCGCAAAGATGGGCGTGGGTGGTCTTGTGGGTGAGTCGCAAGCGGTGGGTGCCTCCGCTCAGCGGTCCGGCTGACCCCTCTTCCACTGACTTTGAACTATTTGCCACGACGTCTCAGAGCTACATTGCTCTGCTAGGAACGCTTTCGCTCGCGACGCGTCGCGCTCTCTTCGCGCACAAGGCCGTCCTAATACTCTTAGCATTCGCAGTCTCCATTCTCAATCTGCGTTCAAGAGTTCTTGATGAAGAGCGCAAAGCTTTGCCGGTGGCGCAAGTGATGGTGAGCGGACTTCTAGCGCTGCCTACACTGTTTGCTCCACTGCATGGAAAGCTTCCACGCAGACTCAAAGCGATTCATGCAACCATGACTGCGCGCAAAGATTTTGCAGAGCCCGGTACAGCGCTGCCGAGCCCGCGCTTAGACGCTCTGGATGAGGCACCTATTTCCGGGGTTGACGAGGAGACTCCTCTACTTGCCGCCGCGGCTCCGCAAGGCAGTTTGAGGCACGAACCACATGGACCCGAGCTGTCGAACGCTCGTCCAGAGCCTCGAGTGGAAGATGATAGACCAATACCAAGTGCCCCAGCTGAGCCGGTCCCATCACCAGAAAATCGCGCCAGTCTCTACTCTCGCGCCGCGTTTGGCTTCGTCACGCCCTCGATTGTACGTCACTACAAGGAGCAATTCACTCCGGAGACTGTCCCGGATCTTCCTCCCGCCGATCGTGCAGCAGCTTGCGTGGCAAGCTTTCGCGCTGGCGGCACCCGCGCAGATGCTGATGACCAAGATCACCAACAACTCGCGCCCAGCTCAGCGCCTTTGGTCTGGCGATTGCTTTCGCATTTCAAGGGTCAGCTCCTGTTGCAGCAGATTTTTGCGTTCATCGCTGCGGTAGCCACCTTGACCCCTCCTATCGGCCTGCGGCTCATTCTGAGCTACATTGCGGAGCGCGATGCAAGCAAGCGAGGCTCGCAAGAGCCACGAACGAGCTTTCACATGGCCCGTGCGTATTGGACCTCGCTGCATCGTTGAGAAATTACAGGAGCTGACGTATGCTGGGCCGTCAACAGTCCTGTTCGTGGCCTTTCTCGGTCTTGGACAGGTCACGGCATGCGTCACCAATTCGCAGGCTCTGTGGGTCGGGCGCCGCATCTGCATTCGCCTCAGAGCCATTCTCATCTTTGAAATCATCGCCAAAACACTGAGGCGACGAGAGCTAGCTGGAACCCGCAAAGTCGAGGGAGATGATGACAAGAAGAACCAAGGCGACGAAAGCGGCGATGATGGGAAAGGTCACGAGAAAGACTCGAATGAACCTGCCGATGCCGGCCAGGTTTCGAATCTTGTCTCAGTCGATGTGTTTAAGGTGAGTCCCGCATTGTACATGCATTGGTCAGCGATGTTTTACTGATGTCGAACGAGTCGATCACAGGTCAGCGAGATCGGAGCCTACCTCCACTTCCTTTTCCCGCAAGCACCTATTGAGCTTGGCTTGGCGTCCTATCTACTGATCCGCCTACTGGGTCCAAGTGCAGTCATTGGTCTGGGCGTTCTGCTGCTTAGCGTACCTCTTCAGACCTTGACGGCACGATGGTTCACGAGGGTCTCGGATGAGCTCTTGCGCGCAACAGACAAGCGTCTGAACTTGACAACAGAGGTACTCAACTGTATGAGAACCATCAAAATGTTCCACTGGGAGAGAGCTTTCGAACACAAACTCAACGAGACTCGAAATGCAGAGCTTAGAGTCTTGCTTAAGCGCGCTGTTGCGTGGCTTGCGAGTGCTTTGTCGTACTTCGGAGCGCCGATGCTCGTCACTTTGGCCACGTTGACAGTGCACACGCAAGTATTTCACAATCCACTCCCTGCAGAGACGGCCTTCACAGCCCTGGCACTATTCAACGCTCTTCGGAGTCCCATCGACACTCTGCCGGACATGATCGCCAATATCCTCTCTACCTTCGTGTCCTTACGTCGCATTGACCGATTTTTGGCGGAGCAGGAAACAAGCAAGTATGAGCAACTTTCACCTGAATACCCGGACGACCCCTCGCAAGGTTCTGGATCTCGGGTCGGATTTTCGAAGGCGCGCTTCACCTACGACTACGAGGCCGATTTTGACGAGCTCGACGAGGATGCACCTGTGCCCTTCTGCCTCGAAGTGGATGTTCAATTCCCCGAAGCTCTCAGTCTTGTTGTTGGACCTGTGGGGTCGGGCAAGACCACCTTGCTGAATGCGTTGCTCGGAGAATGTCGACAGCTAAGTGGAAGGGTCTACTGCCCTTGTCCTGTTGCCCGCGCTCTGGTGCGGCCCAATCCTCGAACCGGTCTCAGCGAGACCGTGGCGTACTGTCCGCAGACTCCTTGGCTCATAGGAACAACTGTGAGGGAGAATATCCTCTTTGGCAACAAGTTCAACGAGCAGAGATACGAAGCAGTCTTGAAAGCTTGCGCGCTCGAGGCAGATCTCAAAGTTCTGGAGTACCACGACCTGACCGAATGCGGCGAGCGTGGCGTGGTGAGTCATGGCGTTCTGTACAGCATCGTCTGTATCTCGACGCTCATCCTGCCCTTCCTTGAAACCTATGAAGGCTCTCTCCGGAGGGCAAAAAGCGAGAATCGTAAGTAGAGACAGAGAGAGGCCTTAGCTGACGTCGGATTAACGGAGCTGAGCGCTGAGATTCCCCACGTTCGACCAGGCGCTTGCTCGAGCACTCTACTCCGACGCTCGATATGTACTGATCGATGACGCGCTCTCAGCTGTTGACGCACATACCGCCAAATTCCTCTATCTTCACTGTTTGAAGGGGCCGCTCATGCAGGGTCGGACTGTCATCGTGAGTGATCGACCTCGAGTCGCAGAGACAAAGCAGTGTTTGCTGACTCCTCACCTGGCTCCTCCCCTTGAAGATGGTTACGCACGCTGTCGCTTTGTGCTTGCCTGGCGCATCGTTCGTCGTTGCCCTTGAAAATGGCCGCGTTCAAGCAGCGGGGAGCCCCGCGGAAGTGCGCGCTTCGGGCGCATTAGACGACGAGATCTCGAATGGGGGAGAGGCAGCGACTGAAGAAGGCGAGAAGGAGCAAACGATCGAGGAGCTCGATGAGGGCGTCCGTGCCGCAGAGCGCGCTGAAATCAGGAAGAAGCAGGCGATGAAGAAGTCTCACGTCAATGAAGAGACGTACGCCAAAGGAAGCATCGGCTTGGGATCTTACAAGCTTTACTTGCGTTCCTTTGCAAAGACCTTGACAGGGTGAGTGTTCTGAATTGAGGCCGTCGTTCAAGACTTCCTTTAAGCTGACAATTCCTTCCTCGCTCCAGTCTCGCCCTTTTTTGGATTGTCACAATCGTCGTCTTTGTCACCGTTAGGGCGACAGATGTCAGTGCCGCAGCGTGGCTACGTCGATGGGCAGCGCTATACAGCGGAGGCCAGACAGAGGCCACGAGCTCTGTGACTGCCGCATCTGCGACGCCTTGGCATAGTTTCTACTCGGCTCAACCGCTCATATTACCTCCGGTTAAAGCCCTTCAGAATGCCGCAAGTGCAGCAATGCAGCTACCCAGCTTGAACGCCGCACGAGCGCTCGCCGCGCCAGACCCGACAACATTGTCGCAACCATCGCAAGATCTGACGACATATTATCTCAGCATCTATGCGATTTTGATTGGATTGTATATTCTGCTCTGTCTCGTCAGAGATGCCTTAAGCCAATTGGGAGCGCTGTCAGCGTCTCGCGAGCTCCATCAGCGCTTGCTCTCCGCGATCCTCGCCGCGCCTCTTCAATTTTTTGACAAGACACCTGTAGGAAGGATTGTCAATCGTTTTTCAAAAGATATTGAGACCATCGACCAGGAAGTCGCCAGCACGCTGTGCTTCTTCGTCGACGTCGTATTGCAGGGAACCACAATCCTCGTGGTCGCCGTCTTTGCAGTCCCAGCTTTCATCGGCGCTGCTGCCCTGGTCGTCGCCACGACCTACTTCATCGGCAGGCTCTACTTGACCCCTTCTCGCGACCTGAAGCGTCTCGAGTCCATCTCCAGGTCTCCAATCTTTACCCTGGTCGGAGAGGTGCTCTCTGGCGCCGTCGTCATTCGAGCGTGGGGAGACGCGACTAGATTTACCCGCCACTGCTTGAGGCTTGTAGATAAGGTGAGCACACAGCCATCGGGTTTATCGACAGGGTCATTGACGATGGCTACGTTCTTTGTTGCTAGACAAACCGCCCCTTCTTCTTCCTGTGGTTGTGTAATCGCTGGCTCGCTGTCAGAGTTGACACAATGTCTGCGGTAGTAACCGTTGGCATTGCCGCTTTCCTTGTTGCCAATGAGCGAGTAGACGCAGCTCTGGCTGGCTTCACCCTTAGTTTCAGTATTCAAGTGAGCCCTGCTGCAATTCATGCTACCCACGCGCTTCACCTAGCTCACGCTCACGCTCCTTCGACAGCTTGTCGACGCAGTGCTTTGGATCTTGCGCATGGCTGTCGCAGCCGAGATCGAAGCCAATTCTGTTGAGCGGTTGGAAGAGTACATGAAGCTGGCGCCAGAGGAGCCTGCAGGCGCAGGTCGGGAACCCCCAGCTGCGTGGCCTACAGACAGCGCTCAAATCGTCATCGAGAATCTCTGCGCTCGATACGCGCCCGAGCTTAAGCGCGTTCTTGATGGTGTTTCTTTCCAAGTGAGGGCTGGAGAGAAAATTGGGATCGTGGGGCGCACAGGATCAGGCAAGAGCACCCTCATTCTGGCTCTTCTACGCTTCCTGGAACGCGAAAGGGGCAGCATCACTATCGAGGGCATCGATGTAAGCGACGTGCCACTCGCCACTCTCCGTGATCGCCTAACAGTGATCCCGCAAGACGCACAGCTCATCAGCGGTACCGTCCGCTTCAACCTCGACCCGATGAATCGCTGCGGTGACGCCGAAATATGGGCAGCACTGGAGCGCTGTCAGTTGGCATCTCGCAACACCTCTGCTGCGTCAAGGGCTGCAAGTCGCGCGGCGAGTAGGGCAGCAAGCCGTGCAGCATCGCCAGTGCGCGAGCCAGAGGATGGCGCATCAGAGGACGACGCCTCGACCACGGTGGTGACCAGTCTGGACATGAAGGTCAGCCAGGGAACCCTTAGTGCTGGTCAACGACAGCTCATGGCGCTAGCTCGTGGACTGCTCAAACTTCGTGACTCGCCGATCCTGTTCTTGGACGAATCGACAGCAAGTCTAGACGCTGCTTCGGATGCTGCTTTCCAGCGCACGATCCGCGAAGAGCAGGCGAGCCGGCGCCTCACAGTGCTGACTGTGGCTCATAGGCTCAAGACCATCATAGACTACTCCAAGGTGTTGGTCCTTGCCAATGGCAAAGTCTTGGAGTTCGATACCCCTGCAAATTTGCTGCGCAACGAGCACTCAGAGTTTAGAGCGCTATGCGAGAGGTCCGGAGAGATGGATCTCTTGAGAGACATGGCCTTCAATGCGGAGCGTGCTGAAACCACTTAGAATGCTGCTGTATAGACAATCAAACTCGCAGCACCAATGCTGATGATTTGTTAATGAATTGCACGACGTGGAGGAAAGGAGCGTGGCGTGCTTCGCGCTGCGCCGAAAGATTCAAAATAAACGCGGCGTGACATGGGCGGGTCTGGTATATTCGTGCCGCGAGATCTATGTTGAACGGATGGCAGGGAATGGGCCCTGGGTGGCCAGATGTCTTCAGTCGTGCACTGACACGAGAATGTCAAGTTTGTTGGGAGTCGAGTCCTGCTCCAGTGCCGGGTGCGTTGACGTCTGCTTGATATGTACCGTCCTGCACGGGGGCTTTGAGGGCGGATCCCGTGACTACCGAGTCCTGAGCTTGAATCTGAGTTTGAGCTGGGCCTGACGGCTGCGACTGCTCGTCGCGCTCCACGATTGCAGCTTCAAATAATTTTGGCAGTCTGGAATGGATCTTGACATACTTGTGCTTGACGTAGTGGTAGAAGAGAAAAGGGACGTGTACTCTTGCCACCTCTCGAAGCAGACTGCGTGGCGCTGCGCCTGGCTTGTCCGAATCGACTCTCTTGACGATCCATTGGGACTCTGCGTTGACATTCATAGGGGCGTTCCAGCGCGAGGTCATGCCGTCATCCCTGTACTCGAAGTGAGCGCTGAATTTGACTGTTGAAAACGCATTCAGTCGCTCGGTGACTGCATGGGCAAGGACAGCAACGAGCCGTGATGGTTATCGTCGTCAGCCTGCACTTCGATATCGGCTAATCCCTTGCATCTCGCGCTCCTCACTGTGGTACAGAGAGGCGTCGTTCGGATCCTGCCTTACTTCCACCATGTGGGAGGCCGTGTTGAGCATGGTAGGGGGATCGTGCAAGAATTGTATCACCTTGTCGAATTGCACCTCAATCTCTTCGGAATGCTCCCACCGGAAGACGACCATCTTGGAGGAGCGCGCTGTTTCTATTCTTTCTCGAAACGTATACTTATACGGGGCTGAGAATGGAGCTTCGAAGGTGTCTCCTGATGCCAAACTTGGACGGTCTGCCCATCAGTGCGCAACGAGGTAAACGCGTCCAACGATCGACAGCTGTGAGGTGTGTGCCCTTCGAGATGTCGCTCACAGTGCCTCTCCCCTTTCAAACATCGTAAAGCTTCGGGCTATGATGCACAATCCTTGTGTGTATAGCTAGGCGGTGATGGTGATTTGATACGTAGTTCGAGGATACTTTGACGCCGCCGCCTTCTCCCAGTTCCACACGAAAGATTCACGATTTGGCATGCGCCTACGTACTTTGATTCACGATTAATTGCCATGCACAATCACGCATCACGCATCGAATGAGCGCCGCTGCCTCCCGCGCGCGAGCGGAATAAACCGTTCGATGGCATTTGAGTGCGCGTTGTGTGTGCGTGCTGCATGCGAAGCAGGGGCGCGCATGATGTCAAGTCACGTGCATTGGGCCACACGACGTATTTTTGGATACAGCTGCTGTGTGGCTGGGGCAATGCATGCTGGCGGGGCCGCCCTTGATGGGTGGGTGGTGGGTGGTGGGTGCATGGGCCTCCCTCCGCATGCGCTAGGGTGCGGCCCTCCCGCCGCCGCCGTTGCAAGGCAGCCTGCTGACATGTGCAACACACACCATGCAGCTGGTGCAGTACTCTGTAACAGTCACGACTACTACTAGTAGTAGTAGAAGCTGACATCAAATGGGGTCAAATGCGCACAGCAGCTATACAATTTTGAAGTGACAGCAGACATGTTTGCGATAGTCGGGTGAAGCAGAGCAGAAATTTCAAGAGGTGGCCCGTGACGGTGGGCCACGATGACACAAATCGTGAGGTGCATCCCTTGCTTGGTCCTGATCGCGACGTGTGGCCGCGTTTTGCGAATGAGTATATGTATTTTAAATTGTGCTTGCAAAATGTGCTCGGGCCGGCTAGTACAGTGGGATGAGCCATCGACCTGCTGGAATTTCGACCCTTGAGCATAGGACTTTCGCTTCTGGTTGCATGACACCTCGCAATAGGGCTTGGTGCATCCCGGAGGGTTAGTCTTTTTGGTCCCTGCAGCAATTCGAACACCGTGCGGTGTCCACCGCCCACTCCACCACGTCATCGCCACTGGTATCACGAGTGTGAAGGTGCAAAGCGAGCAACAACCGATCAAACAAAGCGTCACTCACGACTCACGACCGCTCATCTAGCCCAGCTGTCTAAGTCTTCATCCGACGCGGAGGCCCTCCACACCACGCCAAGCCTACGCTCCCTCTTTGTCTACGTGAGCGCCCGGTACATGGATGCCGAGCTAAGTGCGGTTCGCGAAGGTTTGCGCAGCACCAGAGACTGTGTTCCTCGACAATCCCTAGTGCAACGAGAACGTCGTGGATACACAGCCAGTCGACCGCTCCGTATTCTCTCCCTGGTACAGGCTTTGGGCATTACGCGTTCCCAGGAGCACCTCCGTTTACAGCCTCTTCAACCATCCTCTCTGGCGCTTCGGAGCGTCCCGGAAGCTTCTTGCTCGCCCGCAGCCTTTTGGAAGCGCATTTTCACGAAATCTGATCATGTCGCGAGCGTCATCGACTGCTGATGACGCCTCAGGCAGCGAAGACGAGTTTGCGGAGGCGCAGCCCTCGCTAGCTGACGAACTTGCTGAGGATTCGCTTGTCAGGGTTGCTAATGGCGCAGAAGGGTCTGATCCGAAGCGCTCCTCAGGTGATGCCAAGCAGACAATCGATGCAGCGTCGAAAGTGCACCTGGGAAAGGATGCAAAACCTTCTGCTTTCCGAAGCCCTTCTCCAGTGAAGACCAATAGCCCGCCACGGGCCAAAGGCGCAGGGGTAGCTGCTCTCATGGAACGATTCCAAGGCGGAAGATCCACTCCTCCGTCAAGCGCACAGGCCAAGACGGCACCAAAACCTTCAGATGGAGAGCAACCCTCCTCCAGCGCGAGCTCGTCTGTCAAGCTCTCAGCCCCTACAGCCGTGGCACCACAAGAAATGAGCGACAGTGACGTTGAATCGCAAGTCATTGCAGACAAAGATGAGCTGCCGCCTTCTAAAGGCGCAACCTCGCTGTTGGATCCAGAAGAGACGATCAAGAACCCCTTTTCGAGCTCTAGTGGAGCTGCGACACCCATCGCACCTACCACGCCCGCTACGTCCACAGGTCCAGGCGCATTACAAAATGGCGCAGGAGAGGATGCCGCGGGTAGATCAACACCTACAAAGGAGTCTGCAGGTGGAAGTGGCAGCTCAGATCACTCAGTCACATCGAGCGCTCCTCCACAACGCTTCTCGACTGTCTCTGATGCTGGCCAAGCTTCCACGTCTCGATGGGCAGATGAAGCTGGAGTAGGCAGTGTCCCCACCGTCGGCTCCGACACTGCAGTGGCTCAGGGCGTTTCCACTTCGTCCGCGTCTGATCAGTCAGACGGCGCCGCAGAGACGCCGACAGGTCAGGAGGCGCGCTTCAGCAGGGTCAGCCTGACTAGCAGGGATGGAGATGCAAACGCTCCTCAACATTCGCGCAAAGCAAGCGATCGGCGAAAGACTGTCATGATGGGCGGCGTCTCCTTTGCACCAGAAGCTGGAAGCAGCGCGGCAAACACAGATGGCTCGGCGAGCTTCTTAGCACGGCAGACAGCTAGGATGAGTAGGGACGAAGAAGCAATAAGGAACAGCACAGACAGCGCGGAGAAGTTGAAAGAGAGCTTCGACAGGCTGCAGATGAGAGAGAAGAGGAAGAGCCTGCACGCGAAAAGCGATAGCTCCAGTCGGTCAAATGCTATCGAAGGAGGGACACAAAGCGCCGAAGCAGAGACCTCGAGCGCCGCCGTCTCGAATGAAGCCATTACGCCCTCGCGCTCTGGTGGCACCGATACCTGGGATGGTCCACCAGCAGAAGATCTTGGCGAAGAAGCCACAGATTGGGACTTTTGGGGCGGAGTCATGTCAAGTAAGTCTGCACAAGAAAGAGGCGTTTCGTCTCGTACAGCTGGCTGACAAACTGCCCGAACACTGCAAAAAGATTATCAAGAGGTCGCACAGACCCAGCCAAGGGAGCTTAGCCGCGCTATCCAAGCTGGCATACCTGCTGCATTGCGCGGGATGATGTGGCAGCTGATGAGCAGCAGCAAAAGCGAAGAGATGGAAATCGTCTACGCGTACTATCTCAAACAGACAACGCCACACGAGAAGAACATACGGAAAGACTTGGCACGTACCTTCCCCGAGCAAGAGTATTTCGCAGACGGCAAGGGAGTTGGACAAGAGAATCTCTTCAACGTCATCAAGGCCTACTCGCTCTTCGACGAAGAATGTGGCTACTGCCAAGGCATGCAATTCGTAGTTGGACCTCTGTTGCTTAACATGCCCGACGAAGAGGCCTTCTCCACGCTGGTTCGATTGATGAAGAGCTACGACCTGAGAGGGCACTTCATCGTGGGCATGCCGCGTTTACAGTTGCGCTTGTTCCAATTCGATAGGCTACTAGAGGAGCTCCTGCCTCTGCTGTATCGTCACTTGGTCCGTCAAGGTATCAAGAGCTCTATGTACGCGAGTTCTTGGTTCATGACTTGTGAGTCCGTGCTCTAGTATTGCTTGCGTTCAGATCGTAAGCGCTCATTCTCGACCGCTTTTGTCGATTGTCCACTCTTCAATCTGCTCTCGTCAAACAGTGTTGTAAGTCATCTGCTATCGCTCAGGCCTCTATTGGCGACTCGCGACTCACCTGCAATCACCTATTTTATTACATGCAGTGCCTATCGAATGCCACTCGGCATCATCTATCGAGTACTCGATTCGGTCTTCGCTGAGGGTATCGAAGCCCTCTTCCGCTTTGCGATTGCTTTGATGAAGAAGAACGAAGATCGCCTGCTCACTCTGGGCTTCGACGAAGCCATTCCGTTGCTGGCCGTCAACGTCGCAGATGTCTACAGAGTCAGTGGATGGGTCCTCTTGTTGACCACTGCCCTCTGAACTTCGCTCACTGACTTTCCAGAACCTCGCCATCCAACAGAGAGCAGACCCTCCAGGCTCAGAGCGCCTATCTGCGGGGAAAGCAGAGTATAGAGTCAACGAGTTTGTCAGGTGAGAGAGAGGCTCGTGGCAGCTGCGGTGCTCTGCATATCCTCTGAGACCCTGATTGAAATCTCTCTCGCCACATGTAGAGACGCTTTCCAAGTGCACATTACGCCTCTGATGTTGGACCAGTATGCGGCAGAATTTGAAGAGCAGGTCAAGGCTGCGAACGCGCATCGCAGGGAGGTAGAGGCCTTGAGGCTGGTCAATAGGAATTTGAGTGCCAAAGTCAAGGCCCTCGAAGAGCAGCTGACGCAGGTCAATGCAGAGCACGTCGACCTCGTCAAAGTGAGTCTTGCGCAGGCAATGTTGGATCTGCAGAGCATGGCCCATGCTGAGGTCACCTACTCCCTGTCACGCACTACTGCTAGAGCGTCGTCATGGCCAAGGTGAGTCAATTTCGCACAAATGCTCCATCAATTTCCGCTAATTCTCAATGTGCCTCATTACAGCTCGCAAAAGAGGAGATGGCCGAAGAGGTGAGTTGCGGAAGTCGGCTGGACGGTTTCGCCTTTTCTTACTCTGCAACCTGTTCACACGTCGCGGTCTACCTTGTGTAGCTGGTGCGATACAAGATGATGTGAGCACCCGGCCATAGTTCCGGCGACTCGTCGGATTGAAATGTTCGCAGGGTCACAGGCTGAATCTTGACTTGCCATTTTCTTTTGACCTAAGGTATGCGGAAGCTGCTCTGCTGGCTGATCAGTCGAGGGAGAATGGGCGATCACCCGGCTCGGAAAGGCCCCCTTCTCACCAAAATTGGCCTTCGGCTCGTCAAAGCAGCTCTTGATTCGGATGTCGACAAATCACTGTGAATTAGCGCAAACCAAGCATTGATGCATTTCTTTCCCAGCTCCAGCCTGAAAATGTTCAGAGCGAATTAGAAAGGCCGCAGTAGAGATGTGAAGGCTGACGACGAACTTCAAACACGTCGACCCCGAAGTGCAACTGACGAAAGACAAGTCAACCTCGAGACGTGCATCAGTCGGGATCCGCACGTTTGCACCGACACTTGCCGCGATGGGCGCTGGCATCGTAACACCCTTTTCTTTCTTGAGGGTTGTGCCTCGTGAAGGCAGTCCGACGCGCCAAGGTACGGCCCGGATCTTGTAGCGGTGATGGGTGTGGTGCGTATCAGGCGATGCAAAGGAGCACTCTCAAACTGTACGAGGGGTCCCGCTGGTCGAGAGGCGATAGAGAATCAAGAATGCTCTTCTGATCTGTTTCTGATGGAGATACCCGAGTCTTCTCGGATGCATCTCAATCCGCTTCGGCGCGCGAATATGGAGGGCAGCCGACGCAGCGGCTGTCTTCTTATGCATGGCAAGTCTTCGTCCCGTGATCGCGGCGCAGGCTGACAAGGGAGGAGGCGGCGGAGAGGAGGGAGGGATGTAATTGTTCATTTTTGGCATGTAAGATTGGGTCGAGACATGAGGCATTCTCATGCTATGTATGGCTGATGCTGGTGCGTGGTGGCGTCAGGAATTCGACGCATCATTGTAGCTATTGCAATGAGTTTTGAGCGCGAGAAAGATCTTTTGTCGCCGATCTTGATCTGCTGGCGTCGTACGTGAGCAAGCAGTATGGATGGGCAGCCTGCAACGGTAGCAAGGGAACTTACAAGCCCACATTTGCCCCCCCCCCCCCCCCCCCCCCCCCCCCCCCCCCCCCCCCCCCCCCCCCCCCCCCCCCCCCCAAGTCCCTGCCACCTACTTTCCTCCAATCAAGCCTCAGAGGTCGTGCTAGGTAAGGCTTGCTCTAAATGCGGGCACACGGTCATCGGGGAACTCTGTCAGGACGCGCCAATTTACGCGGTGCATGCCGCGAGGCCACGGTCCAGTTCCAACGTACGTCTAAATTCAGCCGCCACACATGCATTAATTGATACTTATATGTCTATATATCGATCATCGACGCCATATAGCCCGCTTCGGGGCTGACGAGAAGCACAAATGCGAATCATCCAAGAATCACCGCGCACGAATACATTATCCTATCCCGACCCATCGATATGTCTTGCCAAGATGCCGACCTGTCTCAAGACATTCTGAAGAGAAGCACCATAAAGGAGCATATGCACAGCGGCAATAATGATCGAGTACCACGGATGTCTCATCGCCATCTGTCCTGCCTCTTGACTTGCAGACATACGTGCTCCTCGATCACTTTTGGACCTATATATATGACTCACGACCATCCGGAACTGCAGACAAGGCGCGCATTTGCTTAATTGCGACTCATTGGCGCGGGTCTGCATGCAGGTGTAAACGAAGGACGGCATCGACGCCTGGCTTACTCGATCGGTCGACAGTCTGATCAGTCTCACGACCATCACGATTAGCCGACTGGCTTCGACAGCAACTATATTCTTGATTCATTCACGATTGGTGATTGTCCAATGAAGTACTTCAGGTACAATGTGATCGATCACGTGTGAGATGAAATGTGAATGCAACTCAAAATAACCTTGGTCAGTTCGCGCCACAACTCGCGATCCTTGCGCAGACTTGAGTGCCTTAGAGTGTAGATATAAGTCGCAGTCACTGAGTCTTGAGTCTTGAGTGTTGTGTCTCGGCAGATCTTGTAGACGAGAGGCAAGTCACGCGAGTCAGCATCGAGCTGCGACTCACGAGATCAATTTGCCCACATGCAGGCACAAAGCCGATCATTCACGATTGGAGCTGCTTGATCAAGACGATCGAGTCCAGGACGCAACCTCAACGCATGCGCTGGATGCACTGGGCTCACTCACCACCGACACCACTTCAATTTGAACGCACTCTAACTCGTGATCCACATTCAGATTTTATATTGTGATTGTCATGTATGTATGTACATGTGTGTAGATCATGGCGAAAATCGATACATCCCTGGCCGATGTTGCGCACGACTTGTCGATTCATTCGGGATTTCACGGTTCGGGTGTTCTGGTCTCAGTTGGAAGCGGTCGTGCATGCACAGATCGGCTGATTTGGTTAATCATGCTTTATTGCTCATCGCGATCGTAATTTACATTCAAGATATCAAAGGGATGTTGCGTGGACGTAAGTGCTGTGATGGGTGCGTTGTGGTACGGTACGGTGCGGCTGGTGCTGGTGCTGATAGTCTGACAGTGCTGCAACGACCCCCAATTCGTGCCGCCATTCGCATTTCTCTCGTCCATAGGTCAGGCACTTTCGCACGCGTCGATGACGATACAATGACTTGATTGTGATGACCAAGAATAGATGGATGTGCACGATCGTGAGGACATTTGTGTCGCAAGAGGAGGAGAGCAGTCCATGCATGCGCGCAACGATTTGAACGGAGCTGGCGTCTCCGCGGAGGGACGAAGAAGGAGCCCTTTTTGCAGGACGAAGAATCACGAATGAAGCATGTGCTGCTGGTGAATCGAATGGAGCGACTGCCCCCCTTTTGATGCAGGCGGAGCGATCGCGGAAGCAGAGCGGCGGAGCAGTCACGCGTGTGAGTCTCCCATCTGATGCTATGATTCAAGATGTTGTTTGCGACGCATCTGTCTAGCATCAACGGTTGCAATTTGAACAAGGTCTTGATTCAAGTTTTGATGCGCGTGACTTTGATTGAGCGAGATGATCTGACGGTCGCACGCGGCTGCAATTACAATTTGAATGTGCGGCGAGCGAATCAAGGGTGTGGCTCTATACCCGCACTTCGACTCGACTCCAGAAGACGTCTGCTGAAGCAGGTGAGTGGCGGCCGTCAAAGCAGCCAGGACGAGCGCTTGTATGGCCGTCGACGTGCGTACGTACAAGAGACCACCTTGAAGACTGACACCCGCCAGTCGGATGTTCTGGCTCGATCTCCATCAACCCTCAAGCATCAAGCATCATTGCCAACGCTGATATCATCTCGACAAGTCGACGCAATCACGCTAAGTTCATCGAAGACCAAGACAAGCATTCCGCAACTTCTCGAACCTACCGACAAGCGGGCAAGATGACGTGAGTCCAATCTTCATCGCGCGCTAAGCGGTGGCACAGGATTCGGCTGACAAGCAGGTTCCAACAGCTCTTACGTGGCTTGATCGCATTGCACAGTGACTCTGCAGATGATATGGTCGAGCAAGACTTGGCAAACCACCCCTTTGCTTCCTTGGACGACTTGAAAGAAGCCAAAGAAGGCGATCAGGCGTTACCAGCTATGGGGAAGGCGGAAGCTCCTCTGGAAGCCTCGGGCATTCCTGCAGATGCCTTTACCGACGATGGCATTCTTAAGAAGCCGTTGAACGCCTTTCGCATGTGGCTCAGGGATACTACTCGGAACCAGAGACTAGCGATGGCAGGTGAAGCGGGCTTCGAGCACAGTCACACGTTGACCTTGCAGAGTCGCGTCTTCAAAGAGTTGCTCGATCAGGACACCCGCAATGCCTATGCGGACCAAGCCCGGGCGCAGAAGTCTCTGTACAAAGAACGCGAGAGCATATTGAAGAGCGCCGGAATGCTTGATGCGCTGCGCCCTATGAGGAAGCGTCCCAGCAACGCCACAGCCGACTCGGCCAAATTTGCGGACGACGAGCGCGACAAGCAGTCTGACCAGCACGACTCCGAAGAAATCCTGATGGGCGATACGGCGCCCAAGAACCTTCCATTGGCCAAGCGCGGGAAAGGCTCGAAAGCGAGCAAGACTCCGACTGTCTTGAAGAGAGCGGTCAGATCCAATCCGTCCGCTCAGCTTGCTGGCAAACGCATCAAGATCAAAGGTCGCCCTTCCGGAAGGCCTGCTCCCACTGGCCTAGTCTGTTCGCAAGACCTCGAGCTACGAGTTCGCTCCAATGCTCTCGAAACGCCTCGAAATGACGAGGTAGCGATTGCGGATGCGCGAAGGCTATCTAGCTTAAGTGCGGCTGGCGTCTTTGTCAATCGTTCGAGTTGGTCACCGTCTGACCTGTCAACAAGCCAGACGACGATGCGTGGCAGCCAGCTTCCAGCCAGCAATCCTTGTTGGGGCCAGATCCCATGGGCCAACGACGGGACCAGTGGTTCCGCTTCTCCTGGCGATACGTCCATTATGGCTTATCCAACGCGAAACATTCGCCGAGCATCGTCTGAGCCCAGCTGCATGGCGTTCGAGTACATGTTTGCGGATGAGCCTCCAGAACCTTGTATCGACCTCGTTCCTGTGAGTACCAAGCAGGTGTCTTTGTCGCCGAAGTATTTCTGACGAGTAGACTGTCTTGTGCCTCCAGTCGCAGCCACTTGAGCAGAAAAAGCGACCACTCATAAAGAAGAAGAGACCGAACGATGGGACGTCGCCCCTTGAGCACATGCACGCTGCAGATATGTCTATGCAGTCCCAACTGCCGCATACCACGGACGATGGCGCACCACCTCTGCAACGCTTGATCGATCGTTACCAACGTCATCGCCAAGAATTTTCGGAGCAGGTCAGCGCAGCCAAAGAACACGGTTCCCCGATGGAGATGTCAGCGGCAAGCTCGTACCTTCCTTCGATCCCCATTGTTGGATCGGAGGACCTCATCCCCTCGACCAACATCATCGTCGACGATTGGTACCCGCCCACCTTTGAGGATCAAAGAGCAGAGGACTTTGAGCTGTTCGGACATCCTCGCCATGATGAAGACTTTTTCACTCCACACAACGACTTTGCCCTCGGTGCGAGGATGCGCTTCTCGCAGAGAGATCTCCAAGAAGGCTGTGGAGCTGGCGAGGAGATTGATCCCTTCTTAGCCTGGATGCCCGACTTGTCTACCACTCCAGAGAACGGCGACGCGGTGAGCGACATGCGTGGGGAGGATTCGCCGCTTGCTCAGAGCGCTTTTGCGCCGATTTGAGACGATCGGGGCCGCGCGAAGGGCGCAAAATGGATGCGTCAATCTGCTCCCTGCTTCAAATACGCCTCTTTTATCGTAGGCTTGATCGAAACACATCCGGCTTTCACGCCTTCTCATTTGAAAAGCCTGGCTGGTCTTACAACGCCCAAGTGCTCAAATTCTGACCCGCTCAAGAGAGCTTCCAGACCGTTCGTCTTTGTTGACACGCTCTTGTACCGATCCAATGTACTTACATGACTTGATAGCGCATCCCTGAAAAAATTTGTCCTCGGCGACGAGGATGACTGTGAAGAGAGAGGGCTACAGCGCGGCCGTCACCGTGAGCGACGGCACGCGACACCCACCGTGTACCATACAGCGGCAGACGCCAATCGTGAATTCACGTGCCGCCATGCCAAGTGCAGGCGCTTTCCAGCATGCGTGCGTCCGTGCTCAGCCGCGGGCTGCATGGAGGAAGCTGCGGGCAGACTACCAGAGCAGAGTCCTGAGTAGTCACGAGTGTGAGTGTACCGTACTGCAGCTGTCCACTCACCACCGCAACATGCATGCAACTCTCCATAGGCAGCTCACATCACAAGCTTCCACGTTCACCTGGACGCTTCCAGAATTCATTGAGACTGACCACCTCGCCCTCCATCATCTTCATTCATCAAAGCTAATAGGATTCTGAGCTCGATCTGACTTCGACAAGACTTGGCTTGCCTATCCAAGAGCGAGCATCAAGTGCGCAATCCTCTGCAAGCCTCGACCTTACCCCACGTTGCTGCTACCAGCAAGCTCCTACCCGGTAGCCCAGTCTCTATAACTTCTCCTCCTTCAAGCTTTGCTCATTTGCAGTCGCTTTTGATTCACGATGAGCGGAGCACAGAGCATTGTGGTGGGCGAGGATGCCCTCGCGCCAACGCTTCAAAATATTCTGGATCAAAAGACGCTCAAGTGGATCTTTTGCGGTGGAAAAGGCGGAGTGGGCAAGACGACGACATCTTGCAGTCTCGCTGTGCAGCTGGCCAAAGTCAGAGAGAGCGTGCTGCTCATCTCTACCGATCCCGCACACAACTTGTCCGATGCTTTTGGTCAAAAGTTTGGCAAAGAAGCTACCAAGGTCAAGGGTTTTGAGAATTTGAGCGCCATGGAAATCGACCCTGCTAGCAGCATCCAGGAGATGATCGAGCAGTGTGAGTGGGACGTGCCGGACAGTCCAGATGGAGCTGCGCTCTCAGCCTTGGCAAGCGGTTCACTCCTGCGCCTCGGACGAGCTCGAGCAGAGCCTCCGGTGATCCGCTCATGCTTATGCTAGTGCTCACTCTGCTCTGCTGCCTCACTTTTCTCAAACAGCCGATTCGCAAGGAGGCGCGATGGGATCGATGATGCAGGATCTGGCATTTGCCATCCCAGGTGTCGATGAAGCAATGGGCTTCGCCGAAATCATGAAGCACGTGAAGGGCATGGAGTACAGCGTCATCGTCTTCGACACCGCGCCCACAGGTCACACTTTGCGATTTCTTAGCTTCCCTACCGTTCTGGAAAAGGCTCTAGCGAAGTTCTCTACCTTGGGAAGAAGTCTCGGCCCAATGTTCAACCAGGTGCGTCCATGCACTAGAGCCGCAAGGTGCTGGATGATACTTGAAATGATGCTCATGTTGCGAGACTTTCATCGTTTCTCCAGATGACCAGCATGATGGGCGGTGGTGGTGCGGATCAGCAGGACATGTTCGCCAAGCTCGAATCTATGCGCGCAGTCATCAACGAGGTCAATACGCAGTTCAAAGATCCCGTAAGTGTGACACACCCACAGGTCTTTCAATGCACGCAAGTTGATTCTTGTCGGTATGACTCTGGCGCAGGAAAAAACAACCTTCGTCTGCGTTTGCATTGCGGAGTTCTTGAGTCTGTACGAGACGGAAAGATTGGTTCAGGAATTGACGCAGTACGAGATCGACACGCACACCATCGTCTGCAATCAGCTGCTCTTTCCAAAGAAAGGTGAGAATGGCAGCAAGCGGAGCTTGCACCCCAGCGAAGCGGCAATCCTTACGCCCTGCCCTTGTCTTGCTTCTCCAAAGACTCTAATTGCGATCACTGTCGCGTGAGAAAGGCCATGCAAGAAAAGTACATTGCAGAGATGATGGACTTGTACGCAGAAGATGTGAGTATCACCGATGCTTTGACGAGCCAACGACCAGCTCTTGGACGTCTTGCGACTGATAGCCTTCAACATCTCATTCCACCTCTGCAGTTCCACATTGTCCGGTGTCCACTCTTGACAGAAGAGGTCAGAGGTGTGGACAAGATCAAAAGCTTTAGCAAATTTTTGGTGGAGCCATACCAGCCCCCTCAAGAATAAGCAGTGAACACTGCCCTGCAGCGGCCCCGCTTGTTTCGCACAGTTAAGCTTTCAATGCATTCTGTCACCAGCTTAGACACGGTCATCGTAAGCATTTCTCGAGTTGTACAGGGATCTCACAGCTGAGCGTAATTGCCAGAGGAAGGGTGAGCAGGAACTTCGCTGACCTGAACAGAGGGACCTTGCTGTGGCAACCCATGCGCCACTGACGACGCCGCGGCCACGTCAGCCGGTGTGACATTGGCAGGCGCTTCGCGAGCGCGCTTGAGCAGATCGTTGACGGCAGCTACCTGCTTGCTAAGCGCCAGACGATCCGCGTACAGCTGCTTGCGGCCAGCCTCGACAGATCGCCTCTCCTGTTCCAACAAGCCTTCGAGCTCTTCAAAGTGCGACATTTTAATCTGCAAGGATGAGGAGAGTCTAGGTCAGCACTTGATGCACGTCAGACCGACCGGGCGTTGTGCAACTCACCTCCATCTTTCTCATCTGGGCCTCGATGATCTGTCCCACTAGGCGTTGGCACTCTCTTTCCTCGTGGCTGGCCAAAATGGAAGCTTTAGCAGCCGCAGCGCCAAGAGCTATAGCAGCCGCTTTCTCGACGGCGTTGCGCGGGATAGCTTGCGAATCTTTGGCCAAATCTTCCCTATCTTCCCGAGCTTGAGCTACAGCTGACTTGGCAGCATCTGTAATCTTGATGGATACGTCTGCTGTCTTGTCGGACGAGTCCACGTCCATGGCATTGTCGGCACTCGCGCCTGCAGCAGCTGGGGCTCCTGAGTCTTCTTTACTGCGCTCGTTCTGCGTTTTAGAGGCGCCGTCTGCGCCCCTGGCACCGTCAGCGGCTTGCGAATTCTGCGACCCATCCTTTGATGCGATGCGCTTCCGCATGCCATCCGTCAGCTCGCCTAGAGCGCTTTGGGCAGCGGCTGCAGCAACAGCAGGGCTCACAGCGCTGGCCAAGAAAGCAACCACGCTCATGACGGGGTTGTCAGTCTGAGCGAAAGGAATCGCTGCGTTCTTGAGATCGCGCACGTACTGCAGAGCACCTAGGTCTGATTGTGTGGTCTCGCGCGAAGCCTTTTGGGTGGCGTCAATGCCACTTGTAGGCTTACGAGGCGCTCCTCCGTCGAGGTAGGGATCCTCGATTGGCATTTGCAAGAAGCGCGTGATGCACTGTTCTCTACTACGCGTACCGACGTGACTCGCCACCTGTGCCCAATCGTCATCATACATTTCGAGACCCTCCAGTAGTCGCAGCACCTCTGCATCGCTCCAGTCGTCTTGACTCGGTGCTCCACCTTGCTTGAATGGTGAGTCGTCGATGCGAACGAAGTCGCCGCTGTACATCGAAGACGGGAAGCGACCTTCGAGATAACAGTTTGGGCAGAGCACGTATCCGCCTGCGCCTGGCCCACGAGAAGGAGCATGCACACTGTGATAACGGGACCTCGTACACTCGGTGCCACACGTGTCGCAGGAGTACGAGCTCGCTGCGCCTGCACCAGCTTTGAGAGCAGCGTCGGCTGCAGCTGCCAGCGATGAAGCTGTCTGTCCGTCCACAGGCACAGCTGCCTTCATGGTCGTCTGATAGACATTCCGTCTTAGCTCGAGGGTGAGGTCGGGTGCGCTAGGCTGAGCCGAACTGGATGCCTGAGGTTGTTGTGCGCCGCTCTCGCCATCGGCTAGCAGTGTGCGTGCAGGACGCGGCTTGGTGCCGGGGTGAGCGTGCTGAAGGCCTCGTGGAGTATCCACCGTAATACGGAAGTGGCCCGTGAAGGGAGGGCCTAGAGTGGCAGGCCTCGTGTCCGGATCCACTTGATAGTTGATGAGGCCCCACTGCTCGAGTAGAGCGTGTACCCGCATGATGGCGCACACGTCGCCTGCCAAATTGCGTCTGCAAGCTGTAAAGGTCAGATACTCGCTGGGATTGAGCCTGTACGTGTTGACCATAAAGTCACGGTAGTCCTTGTAGATACTTGGCGTCTTGCTTCGGTTCCTGCCATTGAAGAATTCTGGCAAGCTGCGCTTCTCTATGGAGTGAATCGACCCAAAGCTGAACCAGGTCGAGTAGGATGGAATGATCACTTCTTGCGTCTGCTCTGCCAGGTACATCCGAGCCAGATTGTCTGCTTCTGCTTGTTGTGCTTGACGATCGGCTGCATCGGCGCTCGCAGCAGCTGCTGCATCAGCCGCCGAGGGAACCTCCTCAACCTCAATTAATGGTAGGGAAGCTTCGCCCATTGTGACATCGCCGTCAGCAATGCTTGTATCTCCAGCTACTTGCACCGCGGGCGATGCGCCTTGAGACCGGCCAGGTGCAGCCTCAGGCGGCAGGTTGCCAATCGCACCTCCAGGAACAGGGTTGGATTCATAATTTTTGCCAGGCGCGGGACCGCTCGCTCCAGAAACGTCAACCGCAATGGCGCCAGACGGACGAGAAGCGACGAAGAGCCTGATGCGCTTGCTGCCTGGCGCTCCAGAGCCTTCTCCCTCACCTTCCTCAGTGACCTCATCTGGCAGACTTCGCTTGCGCGGCTTCTCGCTCTTGGCGTCCGAGATGCCCGCCTCTGCGTCGCCTAAGCCGACCTCTTCAGCGCGTGCCTTGGCTTCCTCTGCATCGTCCTTCTCATAGTCCTCTTCGTTCATGAGCTCGTTGTACTTGGCACTCTCCACGAGCCACTTGGTGCCCACCGTTCGTGCAAGCTCGGGGTTCTTTGGCGCTGGCTCTGGTTCTGGGGAAGAAAAGTCTTTTGCAGGGAGCCAGGTGTCGAATGAGTCGGGCCTGTACCACACATGAATCAAGGCTACCGCCTTTCCACTTGCAAGCGTCGTCCTAGCCAGGGTGCGGAAGTATTCGGAGGGCGCGGCAGCGCTAGCCGAGGGGGAGGAAGGGATGCTTTCGGGCGAGGAGAAAAGGATATGCGTGGCTGCTGAGCGATCGCTCGTCCATTCACCTAATCGCAAGAGAGCGGAGGCGAAAGAGGCCAAGCTTGAGCATGTACTACACTACACATCCAATCTTCGAGGTCAGTACTCACAGTCTAATTGTGTAGCAAGTTTTCGGTAAGCTACGATTTCGGCTTCGGATATTTCGGTCTCCCCAAAGACTGTGTGCTTTGGCAAGTGTCCCTTGGCTCTAAGCGCAGCTCTCACTTCCACCACGATCTGCCTCAACTTCCCCTGATTTGCTGCATCATCCACATTCCACGACTCCAGCGCTTTCGAGGCTGCACTGATGAGTGCAGCTTGCAGAATGCAGCTGAGTGGAGAGTCTTCTGCAGGTGGCAGGGACATCGAGGAGAGGGAAGCCGCAGGTAGGAACAAGGTAGCTGGAATCTTAGGCGGGTGCGGAAGTGCATTGCCGTTCTCGTCGGATGCTGTAGGTCGAGGTGCATCTGGACCCAAGACTTTGTGTTGGAAGCACTGCAAGTCGAAGGCAACAAGTGCGAGATCCTTGGCTGTGAGGTCTTGTGAGGAACCGGGCAGCTTTGCAGGGTAGCCGGATCCGCTCAGCGCTGATGTGACAGGACCGACCAGCGCCGCTAACTTGGAGATCGTGGATGCATCGTTCCACAACAGCGCGTCTGGAGCGCCTGTGACGCCCAAACTCATCTTGACGCGCTGTCAAGGATGTCGGAGAGATGAATCGCCCGAGACTGGGTCACTCCCAGCTGGATGGGATGCTCAGCGTGCTGGGCAGCCAGTGCTTCGAAGACTGGAGAGAGTTTGGTACAATGGTTCTCTCGAGATTCGTGACCTGTCAATTTGAGAAGCGCAAAAGCGGTCGCGTCCGAGAGCGTTGGCGTGAGATTTGTGCCAGTAGTCGTGTGGTCACGAATGATCGATGACCTTGCTCGCTGAGATGCTCGCATCAGAAGGCTTATAATTGTGCGACAAGTCACGATGGCGTGACGCGAAGCCCCCCGCCCGCGCGCGGGCGCGCGCGTCGTCTGCATGACCTGGAGCGCGACGCGAAGGGCGCGGTCGCAGGCAAGGATGTGAGTCGAGCGTCAGTCGACTAGCTGTAGGTCTAGATAGGTGCCACGTGGCATCAACTTTGGTCTGTTGCGCGCATTCTTGATTGACGATTGCAGCAGCATTCAAGGTTCTTCGCTGTTTCGTTCTAGCGATGGCATATTCACGATTCATCGTCTGCAATTGTGGATAGGGAGACTCTCAGCGCGCACATAAAGTCGGAACGCCAGCTTTGAAACTCACGAATGGTGTGCACTATCTCGACTTGAGCTCTAGGCCACTTCCACCTTTCCGGGACTCTTGGCTTGCTTGCCAGGAGCGGTCACAATTGAATCACGTGACCTCCGTCTTCTTGAGCAACCTGGCGCTCGTCTGAGCAAGTCGACATGATCGAGATGTGTCAGACTTGTGACTGGCTCTCAATTCAAGATCCACACAGTCTTGAGTTCCAGTGATGTTTGCTTCACATATTTGCAGAACGCTGACGATGAGTCTATGCGCATATCATGAGCACACGAAACATTCTCTCAAGAAATACCGCTGAATGTCGGAGTTCATTGAGTTTAGCGCGAAGGCGGGCGCGGTCGCAAGAAGCATCGCTAAGACGCATCATCGGGCACTGAGCGCGCTCCGCTCAAGCGCCCTTCGTGGGTCTTTCATCGTGTTCTCGGTCAGGCGATGCGCTGTGCCCGTGTATGTTCGCAAAGATCATGCTCTTTGCACCTCCTTCAGTCCATGCTGAAGAAATGTTGGGAGCGCCATTTCATTCACTTGATTCTGCCCCGGCCGCACGTGTCTCTGGACGGCTCGCGTCGATAGCTACGCAGCAAGCTGCTGGCTGCTCCATGCCATGGCGCCCCACGTTCCGCTGTTTCAGCCGCCGGAAACCCCGCCGCCCTGCCAAGCCTTCTTATTTTCGCTGCGGCACTTGGCCTCCGCGTTTACTTTACTTGCGACTGCACGTTTGCATGTACTCTACTCTGACCGGCCTGACCACGAGCTGTATGCAAAGAGCACAGGAACGGCATCAGCTGGGGGCTGCTTCGTGTCCCGTCGCGCTATCAGCCACGGAAGTCCGCGCTCCGCTGCAAGAGACCTCGTTGCGTTCTGTGTGCCCGCCTCATCAGCACCATCCCGGCACCACGTACCAATTTGTAGGCCATCTGTGGGGGGCTTGGTGAGCATCAGAGCGAGACGCAGAGCTTACGTGAATCTGGCATGGCGCGGTGTCGAAGAATGTTTCTTTTCGACGTGTCCTACCCCATATTCCTCACCGACCCAAGCCAGCTGCGTGACTTCGGTCACCGGTTGTGAATCGTTGCCCATGCAGGTGTATAGGTACAGTGCGTCGATTACCCAAGACTGTTTCTCTGGCAGTGTATACCTGTCCGACCGGCGCGTCTTGAGAAGCTATATAGAGTCGACTCGAGCGCTGCAGAAGAGCAAGGCCCGCTAGCATTTCAAATGTGGGCGGAGCGCTGACCCGTCGACTTTCTATACATATCGCCTGAGCCGGTCCGCACGGTATGACTGAGCCCGGCCGTGTCTCCTCAGCTCGAGAGCTTGCGCGTGTGCGTATGCAGTCCGCGCAGTGACGCTGCAGATCGCATGAATCATGCATGGCTGCCCAAATGCTGGCACCGCAAGAGTCTCATCAATGGGTCTCCTCATCTTGCGCCAACCCGCGGCATCGTCCCAGTCTCGAACTTGGTGCACCTGGACTCACGACGGAGGGAAAGTGCGACGTGCTGGGCTGACAGCTACAGTCACAGTCACGAGTGTGCAGAATTAGCCTCCCCGCCCGCCACGGACGCCCGACGCTGCTGTTCTACAGAATTGTTGGAGCATGAAACAGATTCATACGAACATCGTGCAGCAGCACACAGACGTTGCTGTTGCTGCAGGACCCGTTCGAGGACGGCGCTCAGGTCGATGGACTGGTCAGTTGACTGGCCGGAAACTTTTGGTCAATTCAGTCGTGAGTCACGACTGCTAAAGTCGTGAGTCGCTGAAGGTGCTGAACGGACCAAAGCAGACGACTTCGCAAGTTGCTCGCGCACAGCCGGCGGATGCTCACCTTCCCCTGCGCGCAGCGCTTTTTGATCTCCAAACATTTACCGGTCAATCAATCAAAGTGCCCCTCATCCTCATCCATCCTCTCTCTCGCCCTGTAAGCGTTTATTGCGTCTATCATCATTAGGGAACCATCCTTCTCCTTCGATACCTTGAAGCTGCTCTGAGCCTTGCACGTCCACTTATATCTGGATTCACATTGATCCTCGCACATCCGCACCCTCTTCCCGTCTCAGCCGGGCTGCACGTTCCCCCAAAACATTGGCGACAGAATGGCGCGCAACTCTCGTTCTATCGACATGAACGCCTTGAGGCCTGGCACTCCCGGATCCTTCGGCACAGGTGCCCGTACTCCTCACAGTACCTTCGAATCTTACGGGCACGGCTCCGCCACCCCCACAGCCGAGGATGGCCTCATGCAACACCAGCAAATGCAAGGGAGAGGTGGCGATGGCACGTACTACTTTGACAAGGAGGGAGGTGCTGGAACAGGCGCGGGAGTAGGCGCCGCAGCGGCCTCATCTGGTCGGGCTGCCCGCGCCGGCGGCCCACTCGGCTTCATCAAGCGCCACCCCTACATCACTGGTCTTCTCGCCTTGATCGCCCTCGTCGCCATCGGTGTCGGTGCGGGTGTTGGAGGCAGCATGGCTTCCAAGAATGCAGACGGTACAAGCAACGCAGCGACAAAAGGTAGCAACTCTGGCTCCTCTTCCGGCTCTGGTTCATCCGGCAAGGGTGGAAGCAGCGGCAGCACCAATGCCAACACCACCGACCCTAACGCTCCCGTCACACCGCTGCCCAGGTGGAATTTCACAGATCCCAACCAAAAGATGATCGGCGTCAACATTGGAAATTGGCTTGTGCTGGAACGTTGGTTGGATGAGGACTGGTTCACTCAGACGGCAGGTGACAACGCCTATGACGAGTGGGACTTTTCTCAAAGCCTTGGCAACAAGGCTCTGTCCACTTTGCAAGACCACTGGAACACTTGGGTAACAGAAGCCGAAATTGACACGCTGGTCGCGGCTGGTATCAACACGTGAGCATTTAGGTCGCTTGTACAATGTTGGGCATTCCGATCTTAATGCTGACATGTGCCGTGAATGTCTACTTGGCAGATTCCGTCTCAACGTCGGACATTGGGCTTTCATCCCGGCGGCGTCAGGCGAGCCCTACCTCGCCATGTCTGGGCAAAAGGAGCAGCTCGACAAGATGCTCGGCTGGCTCTACGACCGAAAAGTCTATGCCATCATCGACCTGCACGGAATGCCAGGATCTCAGAACGGGGACCAGTCCAGCGGACACCGAGGAAACATCGGCTGGTTCACCCAAGACAACGTTGGTCGCTCTTACGACACTGTCAATGCAGTCGTGGCGTGGCTCTCAAACCACAAGTACAAGTCTGTTGTGCACTCTGTGGGCATCATCAACGAACCTCAGTCGCACAATGACGACGACAGGCTTCAAATGCTCAGGAGTTACTATGAAGGCACTTACCAGATTTTGAGCAAGGCCGGACTCACAACTTTCTTCCACCACGCTTTTGTCAACAACCAGAAGCCGCTTGACTACTGGCGCGACTTTGCCACCGGCAAGGATCCCAACCTACTTGTCTACGAGGACCACCCTTACCCCGGTTACTTCCCACTGAACAAGGATGCTAGCTCGATTGTCAACACGTGAGTTGATGTCGCGTCTGGATGGCTTTTGCGTGCTCCATCTGACCATAGCCTGAACTGCTCCATAGTATTTGCGACCTTGCGCAACAATCTGTGGGCTATCCGGTCCCAGTGTCCTACATGGAGTGGAGCGCGGTCAACGGCGTCGAACAAGATGGGTTCACCCAGTCTTACTACAACACCCAGCTCTCCGCCTTTGCCTGGTCCGCCGGTTCTACATTCTGGACCTTCAAGGCAAAGCACAGCAGCAACCCGCGAGAGGCTATTGCAAGCTATTTGATGGATGAATACAGCCTCGTGACCTTGATCGCGAACGGAATCGTGGCCAAGACGGCAAACAAGGATCAATCGCTGAGCACGATCAAGGCTCTGCCTAACCAACAATGTGGCAACATTCCAGTTGCAAGCTGGTCCAACCCCTCCAAGACGGGTGCTGGCTACAGCGGTCGTCGTCGAGACATCTCTGAAGAGGCGGTCCCGCAACAGCACCTTGTTCGTCGCATGCGGAGCAAGCGCTCCATGAGCGCCTAAAAGCCTGTCGCGAACCACGACTGCGGCTCAGCGTGGGCAAGGCAGGCTTCGCAAAGCTTTTGAAGCCTGTTGGATAGCACCTTTCCCGCCGTATACGCCAGCACTGCCCTGAGACGCATCTTTCCTTCTTCCTCTGCATTTCAGTGCTTTTCGACTTTCTGCCTCACTCGTTCGCTCCCCGCATCATTTATTCTGATAGCTCTTCTTGGCACCTGCTCCCGCATCAGGGGGACGCTGTGCTCTACGGACTCTGTCGACTTGCCATCCACATTCACTCAGTCAATCGCCCGATCTCTCTCTCTGACATCCGCCTCGCAGTCCTCCTGGTACATTAAAGTCTAGCTTCCATGGCGCTGCAATCACGACGACATCTTGTCATTGCTACGAGATTGCCCGAGCTTGTGATTCCGATCTGTGTTGCCTCTGTGCGCTTTGGACTGAGGACAATATGCGATCTCCTGTCGCCGCTTTGCTGGCATGAGTATGGGAAACCTCAAGACTGTTCTGGAAGCTTGCTGTTGTAAGCTCCGCTCAGACACAACCCGCGATGAAATGGCCATTCAGCGTCGCGATTCACCCGAGCTTGTGGCCGTGAAGGCCAAGACGGGTTCGATGCTAGAGTTACGCAGCTGGACCTCCTGACTCCTCTTGCGAACACGTGCGGAAGACCTACCAGACAAAGTCAGATGCGCTCGGTGAGCGCACATGCCGCTATAAAATTGAGGGGCAGAACATGATCGAAAGGCAATCGCGTGCTCGGGATGGGTCCATGCAGTCGTGGTGGAGATTGCCCCGAACTGGAACACAACGCCGATTGATGAGCGTGAGGCTTGCGCTCCTGGTCGATTGATGGACTCTCGCGATTGGGCTCGATGTAGGCGGCTTAGCTTGCTCCTTGCTCTCGCTCGTTCAGTCTCGAAGTGCACCTTGCACCCCTTCCCGACAGCAGCGCTATATGGTACATGCATGCATAGGAAGGCCCACAATGACGAGTAAGCATGCGATGGCGACTGCTCGATCGCAGTCCCGCTGGTCGTCATTATGCTGGTGTAGCTTTTTGGAGCTGCGCCCAACATGCTCCTCTGCAGCGAGGATCAGCAGCAAGCAAAGGGGCGCGAGGTTCGGTTCACGATTCGACGAGCGAAGTCTTTGATGCTTCTCGTCATCAGTCAATTGTGATTATGGAGCATTACAGCTTCATGATAAGCAGCAGGGACTTCGGCACTCAATCACGAATACTCAGACTCGACTTTAGGCTCATTGACTTGGCGCAGACACTATTCCTGGCAGACAGACAAGACAAAGAAAGAAGCCATACAGTATGCATGCAGCTGAAGATGGCTGCGCTTGCGTGGCTTTGTGTTCGTGATCCTGCATGCACCGCAACGAGCTCCCGATATACCTTTCCTCGATTTGAGCCGATGTGGGCATGGACGGTCGTCTCGGATATCGTCGCAGAGGCGATTGGGCGAAGAAGGAGTCATTCTGGGACAGCTAGGATCTGGGAAAATATGGGCCTTTTCCGACGTCGAAGCTGGATGCTTGCTCCATCGTCTCACTTTCACGGAACATGTTCATTGAATGGGGGGGGGGGGGGGGTGAAAGCTGCATGGTGATCGCGGAGACGAGTCCCTGAGCGGTCTTTTTGACCGCGACGATAGAGCCACGAGAGTTCGCCGTCGGAGCGGGACACGATGGCGCCAGCTGTAGAGCTACTTGTTGTTTGTAGATCCCAAGAGGTTGTAGGGACTGCCCAGCACCATCACGCGTTTCGCGCCATTGGAACTTCTCTTTGGTCTGCCCTGCTGTCGACTCGCACAGAATCGCAGATCAACATTTGGAAGAGGACGTGATGCAGAATCCTTCAATCAAGAATCTTGAATCACAGGAAGGAATCATTCCAACCAAATTCAGGACTCCATTTTGGTCAGTCAATTGAGACCCGTACATCGACGATAGGCGTGAGCCTGAACACGTCTGCGCACATTACACGCGGGACGCTTGATTCTAAACTACTTGCGTACAATACCCGGCAGCGGGACATCTTCTTTGATTGACTGCTGCATGGACCAGACGGAGCAGGATGCGCTTTCTCGTGGAGATGAGCCAGCCGTGATTCCATGCATCGCCCTAGCTGGGCCGTCGAAGACAGGTCCACGCGCGACTGTTCAAACCACTTCAAGCTCAAGGTCGATCTTGAAACCGAAACCGAACTGGACCGACCCAGCAAGATTCGTCACTCGGTCTGCGCAAATTCACAGTCGTGGCGGATCTCCGCAAGAATAATACTCACATTTTGCGCCATCACTTTTGAGTCAAATCAGACTCAATGGCTTAATCCCGGCCGCCAATTAACAGTCGGTTCCGCTGAATCTAAGGGGTTCATTCCTGAATAATCTTGAATGTCAATCGACTCGCGCGCGTGGGGAGGTTGCGTGGGTTTATTGAAATCCTTCCTTAGCGCGCAACTTTGCGCACGCGAGCCACGAAGTGGTGGTGCGGTGCAACCGCGGAATTGCTGCATGCACGCTGCTGCAGCAGAGGCTGCATGTGCGTGTGCGCGCGGGCGCTTTGACCATCGCAAGAAGAAAGGACGGGTCGGTCCTGCTGTTGTCCTTCAAGTGCGCCGTTATACGCTCGGTACCGTTAGCATGGGAGCCCGTAGACAAATTGCCGCACCGCGCGCATGGCGGTGGATGAACGAATGGACTTGCAGCACGCCACCTGCAGCGTCCAGCATGCATTCGCACGCGCGCTCGGCCTTGATCTGCATGCAAGTTGGCGTACGGTACAGCAGTTGTCGTGATCAGCACCAGAAGCGCACGCGTGCAGCAAACCTCCTGATCCAATGCACCGCTCCTATCTCTTCATTAGAGTGATTATTTCTTTCGAATCAAATCTCGAATCGTGAAAGCAGGCGTCTGGCACGGGTATGCACAAGCAGCAGGTGAGAGAGCATGGGGGCAGCATCCAACAGGAGTACAGTAGAGTAGCGGTAGCAGTGCCTGTACATATACAGTATATCGCTCCGGTGCGCGCAGCGCGTACCTGATGCTTGCGCACCTGTCAATTGGTGCTGTCGACACACAGTCAGAAGAGAGCGTCAAAGCAGTGACTGCATGCGCGAAGACGAGAAACTTCCCCACGCCTGATCACTGATGGCTTTGCTCAGATCATTGCATGGGTCATGATGAGCTAGGTGATTCACATTGTCGCTTTCCACAACCCTTCCCGAAGCATGCGGTATACACGCTTTGATCCACCAAACACCACACTTTGCTTGGCAGATTGCCCCTTTGATCACGCTTTATACGATCAACTTCAAAAGTAGATGCTTGAACACCTCCAAATACGCCAAGGTACCACCGAGCTACCGCGGCCCAGCATCCCCATCGTGGAGCAGCTCTGCTCTGCAGAATCACAATAGCGGCATACGCGTCCGCTCCTTTGCGCAGGACTCTCATCGCGCGTGCGTATAGGGGTCAGGCAGGATCATCAAGGTCGCGGCATCGGGCTATTTGCCCTCGGTATTCACAATTTTGGCGTACCGTACAGGGGTATATGAAGGGGGCCGAGGACTGCCGTCAACATCCCGAACGATTTGTGAACGCTCGACTGTAGGGCTCTGACAGGATCAGCTACGAATCTGTGTCCACGATCCTACCTCGGCACAGTCTTCTTGCTGCGACAGGCTTGAGCTGAACCTCACTGCTCCAGCGACAGATCGGTCTCAACTGCTTCTGCATTAGCAAGTACTTCATTCCATCAGGCACTCCTTGCGGGGCCTACGACCATCCCGATCCTCCACGCATCGACCCGTCGTATGCAAAGCGAAGTTTAGAAAAGTGCCCTTCACCCATAGCCTGCAAGCACAATCACGAGTGGAAGCGGCATTCACGTCTAGCACATCGATCGTCCTTGAGGCCGCCGGCTGCGGTCCTGCAAACGACCACCTTTCGCACCTTCATCCCCAAAGCGCCTTGCTCGTTGCTTGGACCCCCCTTGCTCAGATTGGGCTTGAAGGGAGCGTCATGTCGCTGTCAAGCCCGAACAGCGAGCTTCCCGCGCTATCTACGCCCTTGAGCCCGCGCCCTCTAAATCGTCGCCCCGGATCGAGAGATAGCGCCGGAGGCTTTGCAGTCACTCGACCTGCTCCTCCCACACGACCTCCGCCTAGGGCCAGCCCGGCTTTGTCGCAACAAGTCTCAGGACAGACTTCCAGTCCCCGCATCGTCGTTCAAGATGATGCTCACCAGATGAGCCTACTGCGATGTGATGATGCGGAGGTCAGGAGAGCGGACGAACTCGAGGCTGGAGACTCCTCCGGCGATGGTAGTACGGAGCTTGCGCATGAAGCTCGGGGAGGAAGCGCCGATGCCAGGCCAGCCTCCGCCGCATCTACAGCCACCCTCTCACGAGCAGATATTCAGACGCCCTCCCTCAAAGGGCGAAGCAGACCTGACTCCAGCGCCGACACAGCCTACTCGGAAGACGCTGAATACACCGCGACAGCTTCCGAAGCGGGCACAGACTATGCAGGTAATATTGCGGACACATCGCTGGGATCCGATGCAAGTTTCAGGAGCTTTGCGGCAGGCCCAAGTTCGCCAAGTCCATCTGCTGGAAAGCGCGGGGGTGGAGCCGGAAGCAGGTCGCCCGGCCGTACGCCCAAACTGGGAGGCTTTGGTGTGGGCGTGGGCAACGGCAACGGAATAGTGCCGCACGTCGAGGGCATGAGGAGTCGAGCCACAGAACGTGCGCAAGAAGAAGAGGCGCTTGAGGAACTCGGCATACCCTCCAAAGTTTTCAGAAGAAGCAGGAGCGCGACAGAGGGATGGACGGGCACGCTCGGCGATGAGACTTGGGGCGCACACTTTTGGGTCGTGATCGAGCAACCTTCGGGCAAATCCTTCTTCGCTAATCCCGAGACCGGAGAGTGCGTCTGGGCAGTGCCCGCCGGTACCATTGTATTGCCGCCCAGCAAGGAAGGCCAGTGGTGGGAGCTGTTTGACGATAATCGCAAGCTGCCCTACTACTTTCAAACAAGCACGCGCGAGACGACCTGGCACAAGCCCGAGGGATTTGTCATCCCTCTCGCTGCCATTCAAGAGTCTTCCATGGGCAAAAGGTTCTCACGCATGGAGCTTGGCGAAGACTCGCTGGCAGCCCTTGCGGCCCTCCCGGAGGATTCGACGCAGCGTAAATTGAGACAAGCTGGAGGCTCGAGCGGTGGCACCTGGCCGAGCTCGAAAATCTCTGGCGCGCTGAGTGGGTTGTCCCATTCACAAGCGCAATCGAGTCCGATCAGGAGTCACACCCAGCCTCCACCTCCTGTGGACAGCCCCAATCTTAGTCAAGTCAAGTGGGGCATGCGTCTACGCTCGCATTCCGGTGGTGACGCTGCGAGAGCGGGTCCCTCGCGCCCACAGCGCACTCACTTCTCTTCTGGAGAAGAGCACAGCTCTGGCTTGTCCACCATCATTTCCTCTACTCATCTCAATTTGGCTTCCGGCAGCGAGAGCGGAGCTCCGCGAAAGAGGCCACCTCGAGCTGCCTCCCACGGAATGGGCCTTAGCACGGTTCAAAGTCAGAGGGATCGATCCATAGATCTAGCAACGCTTGACTCGGTGGAGATGCCGCGCGGCTATCGCCGTGAACGTGACCCTGCCAAGAGGATTGCCGCGGCGGCGGTAGCTGCTGCGGAGGACTCTCATGAAGCGGCAAAAGGTCGGGCAGCAGCTACTGGCCAATTCAGGTTGTCTTCTGCCATCGAGACCCGGCGATTGTCGACTGGCGAGCATCGTGTGCTGCCCACCGCTATACGCAACGAGCTTCTGAGCTTCGAAGGCTTTGCCAGGCAGCGGTTCTCGCGACACCGCACAGGTCTTTTCGGACTACGCAAAGTCTCGATGGGCAAAATGTCGCGATGGCAGCGCAACCCCATTTCTGCTCCTCTGGTACCTCTAGAAGACCCCGTAGAGAAGCGAGATGCGGTCAGGATCTTCAAAGTCATGCTGCGCGTCTTTGGAGATCGGGAACAGGCCGTGTTCTGGCCACGCGTGCCGGAGCCAGTGAACATTGGTTACAATACAGTGCCTGATAGGCCTCGCCTGCTCAGCGGAACTACGCCCCTTCCACCCGGTTCGACGCTAATTGGTGATCAGCACTTCTCGCCGTACGCGCGCGCCGTCTCGCCTGCGTCATTCCATGCTGCAGATCTCTGTGGCGTCGCGGCATTGACGGCAGTCACGGACAAGCAGCGAAGCTCAGCTACTCCCGAGAGGAAGGGCCTCAGCGTAGGTTTAGCCAGCGGCATGACGCCAAATGGTGCCAGCAAGGCAGTTTCATCGGGTCCTTCTGTCGTGGAGGAGGAGAGATGGTTGCTTGAACGGGGCATTTTGGGAAGCGGCGCATTGCGCGACGAGATCCTACTGCAGTGTATGAAGCAGTTATCGGGCAATCCAACGCGAGACTCCACAATCAGAGGCTGGCAGCTGCTAGGCGTGCTGCTGACGTGCTTCCCGCCAGGCTCCAGCGAGGTCGCTGAGCTCCTGCGAGTCTTCATCGAAGAAGCTGTGCGGCTAAGTCCATCTAACCCTGCACTTTCATCCAAAGCAAACGGAGAAGCGGCAGCAGACGATGAGGTAATCCTGGGAGTACTCGCTTTGCACTGTAAAAGGAGGTATGAATCCGCAAAGCAGAGAGGGGCCAAAGGCCGAGTACCAAGCATCCACGAAGTCCAATATGAAATGGACGCCGCTTTTGCGCCCAGCGTATTTGGCCAAAGCTTGCAGATCGTCATGCAGAGGCAGGCAGATGCTTATCCGTCTGCTCAAGTGCCAGTCATGTAAGTTTTGCTCGAGCAGAATCTCGATGTGACATGGAAAATTGACTCCAACCTCTCATGCACCGCCCCGCGCACAGCCTGGCGTTCCTTTGCGACGCGATGCTTGCGATGGACAGGTCGCCAGATCTGTTCCGCGCTCCAGGCGATGCCGAGAGGGTGACGCTCCTTCGTTTACGGATCGATCGAGGCCACTACAGTCTCAATGGACTCGTCAATGACGGAAAGGAGGATGTCGCCGTTCTGGCCTCGGTCTTGAAGCTGTTCTGCAGGGAATTGGAGCCCCCTCTGATCCCGTACGACTTGTAAGTTGACGTCATATTTTCACGGTCCTTCGAAGCAACGAGCCTTACTCTCGCGACCCCGCTCTCAGGTACTTCAACGCCCTCAAAGCTGCTGACAGCTCGACTCGAAGTGTTGAGTTGGTTGCACGTCTACCAAAGATCAACCTGCGCGTTCTGGCCTACATTATCAGTTTTCTGCAAGTGAGTCTGGTCGAGACTTGGTGGTATTGTGGCGCGTTGAAGCTGACTGACCGGCCTCTGATATGGTCCGATCTCAGCTGATACTCAAAGATGACGAGAATGAGTCGAGCCCAGAAATCCTGGCAACCATCTTTGCTCCTAACCTCATGCGGGACCCGACTGCTAGGTCTTTGCAAGAGGCATCCACGAATAGTCGTCTGGAGACCAAATTCGTTCAGCAACTTCTGCAGCATCTGCATTGTTCATCTTTGGATCCTTCGTTCAACCCCGTCCACGGAGAAGGACCGGAGGCGGGCGTGGCGGTCATCGGCAGACCATACACCGGTAGCCCTGTGTCTCAGGAAGAGCGGGCGTCGAGATTGCGAGCCTCTCAGCAGCCCATCTTGAACGGATCTGGCCTAGATGAGAATCTTTTGAATACGCCAAGCAAGCCACCCCGATCTCGCAAGAGCTCATTTGCTCGTCTAGCCGCCTTGGGCTCTCCTCATCTCTCGCGCTCATCTCACCCGCCCTCGTCACCGGACAACAGCAGTGTCGGTCACAGTCATAGCTCTGGAAGTGGCAAATTGAGCAGCTCCTCGCCTAGCAGCTACGAGAATGCCACGAACGGAAGCAAGAAGAGCTTTGGCCGGAAACAACCTTCCGAATCGGATCGGTGGAAGCCAGTTCCTCCTTCGCGTCTTGCTGCTTAATATGTCATCTTTGCTTCTTTAATGCATACAAGTCTATCTCTAGCACCACCTATATTCGCCTTGCAGCCTTGTGGACTCAGTTTAGACCAGCATCTCTTGTTCTAATCGGTTCGCATGACACATGTTACTACCAAGTTCGATGTGTTCAAAGTTGCTGCAAGTCATGCTCCTGAACGGCCAGATCATGAATTGTGACCCTGCCTGGGCCTTCCCAGGCCTGTGGGTCCAACGCCTCTGTTGGCTCGACCGAGTAGAACGGAAGCCTGTGGGCCAGACAGAGTGTCGTTGCCTGAAGGAATGCTTACCGTACGAGGTCCGCCAGCGCCAAGGCCCGACAAACCTGCTCCTCCTGGTGCGTGCAAAGTTGCATGCAGAGCCGTCTGCCTTGAGGTGTACGCATCGTTTGCCGGTGAACCACTTGGTGCCCAACTGCCGGAGAACTGTTGCGGAGGCAGCATCCCCGGCTGAAGATTGTAGGGCAGACCGGCTTCCAGAGGCCTAGCCAAAGGGGCTGCACGCATGGTCGAGCCTCGTATGTAGTCACCTCGTGGTTCTCTCAGATGTGTCCCGTTCCAACCAAGGATTGGGGAATGTGCAGCTTGTGTACCAGAGACACGTCCTGCCTGACGCGTGGGAGATTTGGGTCTCAGCTCGTCGATTTGTGCGTCGAAGGGTAGCAACGACTGGTCCACGGCATGATTGGGGTCCCCGGAGACAGACTCGAGGTTCACGGAGGCTTGCCAAGAAGCCCGATCGAAAGGTAGCGGTGGCGGCTGCACATAATCGTCTGGGGCAGGACCAGCTCCACGGACGCCTGCAGCACATGCATTCAGGCCTCTCTCAGCCTCAGCCCAGCCAGGCTGATCAGGCCCAACACGGTCGCCGATAGAGATCCACCCCCTGCGCAAACCGCGATTGTCGCCGAATAATTGTAATCTTCTTGTGCCTAGACAAAAGTGTTCGGCGAGAGCGACTAGCTCCGGAGGCTTTTTGCGGACGTCGATGAGCTTGTCTTCCTTTGAGGTGCCGTGACTGGCGGATGTAGAACTCTCCTTGACCTCACCGGGCCACAGGATGACATCGGTATCAACGTTGCAGTGGACGAAATGATGGTCCCTGCTTCGTCTCACCGTACCTCGTATGCCCATCAGACAGTGCTGAGCGGTGCGGGTAAAAGCGGTCGTAGCTGCTGGCTCGCTCTGCCTAGCTTGCTCCGAGTCGGCGCGCACCCAGACGATATCCTCGCACCGACGATAACCCCACTTCGCGAGTATTTCGCGTCCGCGCTCCAGCCCATCACCTGCTCCTGATCCTACCCAGATGAAAATGAAGCTTCAAACGGAAGCGCAGAAAATTTGTCAGCCTCGTGGCATGATTCGTTCGCGACGTGACGAGGCACAAACCTTTCCTTGGCTGCAAAGGCAGGCACTGGCAGACTCGCGATCTGTGACCAGTCCCACGCAGCAGAGCCAGCACCGGTCGGATCATCCCACTCGTACGTTTCGAGTGGCGCATCAATGACAATGACATCGAAGCGCAACTGTCCGAGGAAATCGGGAGATAGAATGTCGATGGTCTGTCTCCGATTGCCGCCTGGATTGTCAGACTCGATTACCGTATCTCGCAAGTCTGCTTGAATGTAGTAGGGTGGTGGAGAATGTCGCGCCAAAGATTCGCCTTTAAGATGCAGGAGCTTCTCGAGTCGCGGGTATCTATCAATCAGACGAGGCAGAGCTGCCCTCAGATACCTTGCCTCAAGTCAGCACACTTCCAATGAGCAGCTCACTCTTGGAAACGAGATGCCAAATCTGGATTGCGTACGCTGCTGCCCGGCAATTTTCCACATCCAGTGTCCACGAAACGCTGAGAGCTGTCGTTCCTGATGGTGATTTCGGCAGGAATCTGGACACGGGTTCGGCATCATCAAACTTCAGCCTGTGCTCTGCGCAGATCTCGTTTACTTTTCTGTGCAGATCGAAAGCGGCTTACAAAGTTTGGACCCAGACCGCCCGGCAGGCCAATTAGATCCGCTTGCGACAATTCGCGAGGCTCAGATGACGCTACATCAGCGTCTTGCTGCCCTCCAACCTGTTGGACAAGGTGCCAGCGCGGATGGCCCCGCGCTCTCAGCTTCCCCTTGAGGCCATGCGACACGCCGATATGCCATGCTCCTTCCTTTTCATCTACATCGGGCGGCGGTCGAAGTTTAGGCTGCGGGTCAGCTGTATGCGCAGCATCGAGGGTGGACTGTGCATCATTTCCAAAGTGCTTGCTCAGGACGTGGGCATGACGAGCCCATACGTCGGATTGTAGATTGCGATAGCTTGTGGAGGGGTCAGGTGCGCGACCTTGTGGAGCAACAGAGAGAGCCATAGCGAGTTTTGAAGCCCGACCTACCAACTCGATGTCTTGTTCTGAGATGTGGCGGGCGCCGACATCTGACTTTTGTGTTTGACTCTTGACTGTGAAGCAGGCTTACACGGGGGAAGTGAAAGCATACGCATGAGTCAGAGGCTGCGAATGGTAGGACCAAGTCCCGCCCCGCAACGGAGCTCTGCGCTCCATAATGCAATCTTGAAATTCACGGCTCATGCGCCGCTAGTCAGTGAGGGGGCGGCTCAACCATGCAACCACAGCGGTCTCGAACAATCTACCACGACGTCGAGCGTGTTTGCGCGTACCGGTGCGTGCTCTCGCTCGCCAGCGCGCCAAACACGCAGCATCAGCAACCGCGCGGCTAGAAGACGATGCTTGCAGCAATTAAGGCCTGCATGAGGGACCGAGCATGCACTTGAGCACTCACGACTCGGACGCGTCCAAATGGTGGAAAGGATTGGGCACAGCAGCATGCAGCAGCAGCAGCTGCTGCAGCACCAAGTTATAGCCTTGCGGTATCCGTTCGCGAAGGTTTGTAGTTGACTGAGGAGCCGTGCGCGCGTTCGGCTGGCTTGGCCATACAGCAGCTATACCAGCCTACAGCTGCTGGTGGACGTGCCTTGCAATGCGGCAGCGCTCGCTACGTCTGTAGTCAAGACGCGGCGACTGCTTGATGGTGCGTGCTAGCCTAGCTGGCCGCGCGAGTCAAGCCATATGCTGACGTCCTATAGCTGTCGCTGCGTGCGTCCGCCGCGCGGCTGGATGCTTCACTGGTGACTGAACGACAAGGCTTGGGATCGTCACACTTCGTCTCACCCTCATCTTCCGTCACTCTCACTTCCGCTACTCGTGTGCAGACCCATCTCATCTCGATCTCGTCTGCCATTCACCGCATTTCACGACAAGACACCGAATCCGTCTTTGATCCATCAACTTGATACTTTGGCTCAACACCGGCCAAAAGGACGCACGAGTCCGCCTTCCCGACCAAGTCCCATCCTCAGCCCATCGACCAGGCTTCGTACGAGCAAAGATGAACTCGAGAACACGTCGCGCAGCCAAGAAGGGAGTCTCCTTCTGCCTCATGGTGGTGGGAGCGTCCGGTACAGGAAAGACGACCTTTGTCAACACCCTGTGCGAGTCTGACGTTCTAGGCCATAAGATCTCTGATCAGCCGGACACTGCGCACATCGAGGAGGGAATTCGTATCAAGCCTGTCAACGTTGGTGAGTCTCATGAGCCGCGAATAGGTGCGGATACGACGGAATCGTGGTATTAGCAAGCAGCCAGCAGTAAAAGGCCAGAGGACTGGGGCCTAAAAACGTTGCACGGCAACGCGGCTGATATGGAGAAGGTACGGTGCTTGCGCATGTGCGGCCACCTTCCGCGGTCTTGACCTACTTAATGCTTGCCCCATCGGAGGAGCTGGGCGTGAGGCGGGAATACTTGAACTGACCCGGTGTTCGATCGTTTGACTCTACCTCGCGCAGAGCTGGAAGAGGATGGTATGCGCATTGGCTTGACTATCGTTGATACACCCGGTTTCGGCGAGAACATCGACAACGAGTACGCGTAAGTGGCAGCAAATGAGCTGCACTATTGAGCAGCTAGCTGTGAGGTCGAGTGTAGGCAAGACTGATGCGAAGTTGCCCTCCCACCCTTCAAAATGTCATCAGTTTTCAGGAGATCGTTGGATTCCTCGACAGACAGTACGATGACATTCTGGCCGAGGAGAGCCGTATCAAGCGTAACCCCCGCTTCAGAGACAATCGTGTCCACGCTCTGCTCTACTTCATCACCCCCACTGGTCACAGTCTACGAGAGATGGACATTGAGCTCATGCGACGACTCAGCCCCAGGGTCAACGTCATTCCCGTCATCGGAAAGGCTGACACCATGACTCATGAGGAGCGCAAGGACTTCAAGCGACGTGTAAGTGCTACCTTGCCGATGCGCGAGAGTCAAGCATACCGAGTCCAAGTGCTGAGACAATCACGTACTCCGACTCGCCTTCAGGTGATGGAAGACATCGAGCACTACGGAATTCCCGTCTACAACTTCCCCTACGATGTCGAGGAGGATGATGAGGAGACCATCGCCGACAACTCCGAGCTCCGAGCTTTGATGCCCTTCGCCGTCATCGGATCCGAAGAGGAGGTCGTCATCAGCGGTCAGCCCGTTCGGGCTCGCACATACCCTTGGGGCATCGTCGAGGTCGACAACCCCAAGCATTCGGACTTTGCCCGCTTGAGGTCTGCTTTGCTCAGGTGAGTCAACATTGAGTCTCAGCAATTAGCGTTGCTCGAGCTGATCAAGCGTTCTTTGCTACCGAGTGCAGCACCCATTTGACCGATCTCAAGGAAATCACCCACGACTTCCTGTACGAGAACTACCGTACCGAGAAGGTGAGTCCGCGCCATACTCCTCAAGGTCGCCGGAACCGATACTGACGGAGCTCGCATATGTCGCTTCGCAGCTCTCGCGTACTGTTCACTCTGATTATGCCGACACGGCGATGCCAGCGGACGAGCTGGCAAATCAGAGCGTCCGTCTCAAGGAGGAGCAATTGCGCAAGGAGGAGGTGAGTACGGGCATCCTAGCGCGAAACCGGGAAAGACCTCTGACACCATGACACTTGCTCCCTCATCGCTCATCGGGACGCTCTGCAGGAGAAACTGCGCGAGATTGAATTGCGCGTGCAGCGCGAGATTCAAGAGAAGAGGCAAGAGCTCGTTGCTCGTGAAGAGTCTTTGAAGGCTTTGGAAACCAGACTGGCAACGAATTAGAGCGACAAGATGTGTCTTGGCGCTCTTGCTTCACGTCGAGGACGTGGTGCTCCCAAATTTGTCCAGAATTGTTCTCAAAGAAAGTTGTCACTGTACTCTCGATTTCCATCCTTTTCTTTTACTCTCTTTCAGTTGAGCGTCAATTTCTCTCTTCACCTGCTTTCCCCTGCTGGCGAGTTGGGTTCATTAACACTGAAATTCTGCGTGGGTTGCTTGGTTTGGGTTCAAATCAAACGAGGAGCACGCCCCAATGTACCTTGCCTAAATTCTGAACGCATTTGTTCTTCGTGCTCCCATCGTGACGTAGTTTGAGTGCCAGATAGCCGACGGAACACGTATGGCTCGACCAGAGCGAAAAGCAGCCACTCTCACTGTCCAAGTACAGAAAGCGCCCAAGACGAATCGAGGACGATGACGCGTCGCACTTGCCCGCTGTGGTCGCTGTACAACTCGCTGTCGCACGTGCGCTATCAAGTCATTCGATTCTGAGAATCGGGTCATAAGTCAGATCTAGAGGAGTATTGTATAGACAAGGTACAAGGAAAAGCCAACGCGATGATGGTGCTAGAGAGGCAGGGGGTCGTTAGAGAGATGAGCGGTGCTGCGACGTGCGGGGAAGTGAAGCAGCTCGTAAAGCCTGCGTCTCCGTTGTCATCTGTACAAGTCGTCAAAGTGCCCGGTGTGGCACTCGGAGCGCTGAAGCTGGCAATGTGGAGAGGTGCGCCGTTAGATGAGGGTGGCAAAGACGTCGTTGGCGTCTTTGTCGAAGAAAGCCTCGTTGGGCGGTGCGTTGACCTGCAAAAAAAAGGTACGATCCATTCTTTTAGCAAGTTGGTTCGCCGTTGCTCAATTCCAGCCAAGGTACCGAGCGATACGTCGGCTTTCATACGCTACTCACGTTCTTTCCAAAGGTGAAGCCAGCCCACATGCCACGCCCGCCAGCGCTGCCCTCCTTGACCGCATCCACATTCTTCGCCTTCTCAAAGACCTCCTTGTATTTGGCCATGTCTTCTGAGCCTTCGTTGAAATCGTCAAAGTAACCAGTATCCGTTTCGCCTTCCAGTTGCGGCAAGAAGGGCGGGTTGACCTCTCTCAGCTTCGTAAAGTCCAGAGGCGCAAAGAATGGATGGGCTTGCACAGCTGCTAAGGTGCTGAGACGCTCCTTGGGCCCAGCAATCAAACTTGGCAGGTTGGGTACAGACGAGAATCCACTGTGAGCTCGCAGAACTCTGCTCGTGTCGGATTCAATATGCCTCACCTTGTCATCACGTTCCACTCAACGTCGTTCAGGTTGAATTGTAAATCCTGGGGCTTCGTGTAGACTGGACGACGCAAGCACTGTTGCCAATTCTTCAGGTTGGCCCAAGTCTCATCGGGCGATCCTCCAGAGAAAGGCGGGAAGCTGCATCTAAACTCCTGCAGGTGCCAAGCAAGTTGTAAAAGGCGAGATACCTCTCGTCAGCAGTCAGATGTGATCAAAGCCTGCCGAAAACCATCTGGAGATCCAAGCGCTGGCACTCACAAAGAGGATGCAGCCGAGAGACCAGTAGTCTACGCCTACACCATAGTCTTTGCCGCGCAGAACTTCCGGCGCCATGTAGTCCGGACTACCGACAATGGAATCAGCGTGCTGCACGTTCTGAGCTCTCATCTGTTTGTACAGGGAAGAGCGCTCGTGAGGTGTGCGGTAGACCAGGTCCACGTCTTTGACGGCGTCGAGCTGTTCCGGGCATATCGCAGCCATAAGAAAGTCAGCGGAACGTGATTCAGACCACATTTGCTTCAAGCTGTCAAAGTCACACTCACTCGGCCTCGCATGCTGTCGAGTCGACCGGGGTTGATTGCACCAGCGGCTAGACCAAAGTCAGTCAGCTTGATGTGGCCAGTGGCATCCACAAGGAAGTTCTAAGATGCGAATAGGGCAAGGCCAACCGACTGAACATCACTGTAGGCACTCGCGTTTGGACGCGCATCAACTCACCTCGGGCTTAAGATCACGATGAATGTAGCCTAGCTTGTGAAGCTCATTGCAAGCCACAAACATCTCGCTCATGTAGAAGCGAGCACATTCCAACTGAAGCACACCGCTATTGTTAAGCAGAGTGCGGAAGTCACCTCCAGGCACGTACTCCTGTGGCCAGACGGACAAGATGTGCGCATAAATCGGAATTTTTGGGTGAGCAAACGTCTCGAAACGAGCTGAGGCTGGCCGTCGGCGTGCTCACCATGGCCAGGAAGACGTGTTCCTTATTTTGAAATGCATAGAGCAGACGGACAAGCCAAGGCGTGTTCGTCGCCGTCAGAATGTCTCTCTCGGTGAGCACATGTCGTACTTCGTCCATCTTGACCAGCACACGTTTCCTGAGCCTTTTGAGCGCGCAAACTTGTCCTGTGTCCTTCTTCCTAGCTAAGAATACCTCCCCGTATCCGCCCTGTCCAACCTGAGCGATGATGTGGAAACTGTCGAGTCTGAGCTTCGTTCTGCGTTTGCGGAGCAGCGCTCTCTCTCTGCCCAAGTACGAAGCTGCTTCGGAGGAGCCGGTCATCTCGAGGGGGCCTGGGTGAGCGGCTTTGAATGCGGTCGTGCGAGCTCGGCGATTGGAGAGGTAGCGCAAAGACTCGAAGTAGTTGTTCAGGAAGACTATGCATCACGGGATAAGTTTTGGAAGAGAGTATATGCGGGCGTCAGACATCTCCGCTGCTCGATCGTACCGCGATTCTGGGAAGATGATTCACAACAAGCCGGCTCTCACGCTTCGCTGCTGCCGAGAGACGACGCAGCTCGACTTTAGCGGCCGATACTCACACATTTGAGCAACATTGGCCTTCCTCTTGACCTCTGGCTTGTTGAGCAGATCCATTTCCCACGCTTGAAGGCCCTCTCCCCTCTTCCAGCTCCTCCAACTGTTCTTTGACTCATTGTCATTGGCGCCGTTCTGAGGGTCAGGACTAGGCATGCCCCCATGCGCGATTCTCGATGCATTGCCAACTCCCGCAACAGAAGCCGCCGATGCTGCCGCTGCTGCTGCTTTGACTTTGGCAGCGGGCGACGGTGGGGCTTTGCTCGTCTCCGTCGCTCCAGACTTGGTGAATACTTTGCCATTCAAAGCTGGGGAGGTGGGAGGCAAGGAGGTGTTGGAGTTGGATGAGGGAAGCAACACGCGCGTTGCTGGAGCGCCCACCATGTTGGAGAAAGAGATTCCGGTGGTGTCCGCAAGGGTGGAGGTTGAAGGCGTGAGTGGAGCGTCCAGTCGGCGAAAGTGCGAGAAGGATGAATGGTGTGCTGGCCAGCGCAAAGTCTAGCTCAGTGCGCTCGTTGTGATGGTGGAGAGGCGGACTTGCGAGTGCCAAATTGGCGTGGATTTGTTGGCAGCAGGCTCTCAGCTGAGTATTGCGCTAGCTGAAGCCAACACACGTCAGACTGATGCTCGAATGCTAGTCAAGTATATGATAGACGCAATGGGAGGGAGGATGAAGCAGGCGTCGGGAGAGGCGACTAGCGCTACCGTAGCGGCCCAGAGCCAAGATGTTAGGAGAGGAAAAGTTGGGCTCGCGTCTATCTTGTCTAGTGTGCTTGTGGGGCAAAAGAGGACGATCGACACGACCATGCCAGAGCTCGTGAGGTGAGGCATATCGATCTCCCACATTGCCGAGCGGACTACCAACGTGGAATCACCAATCATCACAGCGCAATGGCGAATCTACGAAATCGTGCGGATGCGTGCCACACCCGCGTCTGCGTCCGCCCAACTTCGACGCTCAGACCTGTACGGTATGCATCATGGCTGTTGGCTGTTGTTGTGCGCCCTGCGTGCACGCGTTTTGTGTTGATTTGCTCTCTGCTCTTACCGCGCGCCGTGCACGCGAATCGCGCGCGCACAGCAGGTGTTGGACTTTGTTGATCACGTGGCTACAGACTCTGGATCACGTGTTTGTGCTGCAAAAAGTCCCCGCCCCCTCCGATATATGCTCGATTCAGTCAGATTTTAAGTTCTGCAGCTTGAGCGACCAACTCGACTAGTCCTTTCGCTGGGAATGTAACGTCCTCATGTCCTTCACACGCCCCGCTGATCGGCTGGTCTTTTTCAACATCAAGGAAGTTCAATGCACCGCAACTTGCGAAACGGACAAGCTCTGCAAGCACGCATGTAGGCTGCCAATCAACGGAGAGGCGCAACACCCAACACCTCGCCCGATCATGGACATTCCCCTCTCCTCCGATTGTTTGGATGTCTCTTTTCATCCTCAAGCAGACACGTCTCTCATAGCTGCCTCACTCGTATCGGGGAAAGTCCAGTTGCTAGATTACAGCCCATCCGAGCGAACAAGCGTACCAAAGGGCAAGGCAGCGGCGGGGCATGATGCAAAGCTGGATGAAGCAGACGACTCAGACGAGGATGAAGAGGCGTCAAGCTCAGCGAGCGGCAGCAGCAGCACATGGCCTCATGGCAAGAAAAGCCACACCAAGCTATGGGCTACCAGACCGACCAACAAGTCATGCAGAGGTGCAGCGTTCGATGAGCAGGGCGATTCAGTTTGGGTAATCTCCAAGGATGGCAGCTTGTCCAGGCTAGACACCGAAACAGGCAGTGTGGTGCAGCAATGGAAGGAAGCGCACTCGTGGGTGGAGGCAATGCGCTTGGCGCGATTTCTGCATGTCTCGATCTGGCAAGGTGTGTCAGACGGCTCTGACTCTCATTTGCTCACCTCGCAGGGCGGCTCCTTCTCGCATTCTTCCCGTGTCCTCCTCGCTGCTTGCTACTGGCGATGATGACGGCGTAGTGGCGCTCTGGGATCCACGTCGCCCGCCCAAGAATGCTCTGTCCGGATCGAGCTCGAGCGTCAAGCCGAGCAAGAACACTAGCGAAGCAGCCCAATCTTGCCTCTCAGCCGGGGCTGTTCGAAGCTATTCTCACCACTTCGATTGGATTACTTGCATGATACACGTTGCAGATCTTACTCCGCCAAAGGAGTTGAAGAAAAGACCAGACGAGATCAGAAAGGCACAAAAGAGGGAGGCTAAAAAGGTCAAGAGGAGGCAACTGAGAGGTCTGGGCGCCAAGGAGGACGAGAGCGCGGAGAAGCTGGGGAGGGAGAGATTAGTGGTCACCAGGTGAGCGAAACTTCTTTGTGTGCCTTGATTCACGAGAGACGCAAAAAGCTGACTGAAGCCTCGCTGCTACCTTCTGATCGCAGCGGCGATGGCACCTTGTCCGTCATCGACCCGCGTGTTGGGCCCTCTGCCGTGGAAGTCAGTGAAGATCAAGAAGACGAGCTGTTGGGCGTCGCTGCTATCAAGCGGTGAGTACAGCGCGACGCAAGGTGCCAGCCCTTTGACACATGAAACATCAAAGCTGATGTATATATCCTTGCTCCGTTCAGCGGAAACAAGCTTGTGGTGGGGACACAGCTGGGGATGCTGTCCGTTTGGGCCCCGTCCCGCGGCTTACTGGATCACGTGGATCGCATCCCCGGGCATCCACAATCTGTCGACGCCTTGTGCATGCTGGATCAAGACACGGTTCTGACCGGTTCTTCGGACGGACTGATACGGGTGGTCCAAGTGCTGCCCAACAAGTTGCTGGGAGTGGTCGCGGATCATAATGGGCTTCCCGTGGAGAGGATAGCGAGAAAGGAAGGATGGGTAGCTAGTGTGGGACACGGACCAGAGATCAAGTTGACGGATGTCGGGAGCCTGCTGGAACCTGCATCTGATGAGGATGAGGATGAAGGAGCTAGCTCCTCGGATGAAGGAGACAAACAGGATACCGGAGAAGAACACTTTGCTGCTGCGCTAGGAGATTTGAGTTCCTCTTTTGCTGCGGACGCGCTTCCTAGAGCAAAGAAGCAAACAGACGCTCCTCCTCACGATGGCGCTGACGCTGAGTCTGATATCGACGACGAAGAAGAGGCGGGCGACCCTGACGCAGAAGATGCTTCAGAAGATGAAGCGGCAGTCGAAAGACCGAGCAAACGCAGCAAGACGCAGTCTGCAAGCGGCAAGGCAGCGCAATCGCGTCAAGCAGCGGACGACGATTTCTTTGCCGGATTCTGAACAACACGCGACGCCGACGACTTTGCATAGGTGTGGTGTTGCATCGCCTGTCGGGCTTCGGCTCCTCGACTCGACCTCAAGATCTCAGAAGAGCTGCAGTTATCGTGCTTGAGCGTCGTGCTCTCTGCACAGTGCGTCACGATGTCGATTCGACTGCACCACTACTCGTACTCTGCGCTCATGCGCAGCCCTGAGCTCGTCTGACGTTTGTCTGGCTTGTCGACACTGTGTAAGACTTGCGCACGTCGTCGAGTCGGGGCCTAGGTGGTCCGATCTTTACATGACTTGCATGCAGTGCGCGAATCTTGCACAAGAGTGTTGCAGGCGAGGGAGAAAAGAGGTGCTCGAGGAAAGCTCACCGTAGCGGCGAGCACCTCCGATAGATGCAAGGACGCCAAGACGCAGACGCAAAGGGCGCATGGACGGTATAGATGGGGTCGGAAAGGCGAGGGGGATAACAAGTTGAGCATTTCGAGTTTGCAGACTGTGCAAGCAGGTGTCAGTGGGGCTTGGACGTCCTCGCAATGTATGTACATGTGGTCAAGAAAACATCTCCGTCCTTCGAGAAGCGGACTGAAGACAGCCACGAGCCCGGGGTGACGGGCGGACACAAATGTCGAAATGGCAAGGCAAGCAAGCCGCAAGGAATCGGAAGAGCCCGAATCAAGCCTGACTGTTGTCCTTCTCGAAAGCTTGCATGACACGCTGTCGAGAGGACAAGGGGATGGAAGATCCGCTTGCATCAGTAGCGTTAGCTCCTCTGTTGCGCTTGAAAGGGTTGAACCTGGCAGGCTTGCTAGCTCCAGATCCGGCCTTGTAGCCGCCGTAGCTGTCCTCCTTCTTCGTCTTGCGGTAGCCGCAGCAGACGGTAATGGCGCTGAAGAGCGACAGAGGAATCGAGATGAGCGTTAGGTAGAACGAGGGGCTGTGAAAACGACATGAGAATCAGTAAACGGAGCAAACGTGCTCCATCGCAATCACACATCAGACATACCCTGGCATGACAGACGCGTCGGGAGAGATGCGCTGCAGTCGCTGACGCGTGTAGATGAAGAGGGCACTGTGTGCGGCAAACGTGAACGCAAGACCCACGCGTCAGTAATGATCCGAGGCTGTTGGCAACGTTGCAAATGGAAACTTGGCTCACATTTGAATGGCGAAAGCGATGAGCGCGAGCACGGCAGTGAGCAGCCAAATCAGAGAAGCGACTAGCTGAACGATTAGGTGAGGAGGGAAAGAGAGGACAAATGCGATGATGGCTGTGGCAGTGATGCGTATTGCCGGAGCAAGATGAGCATGGCGCCGCGGCGAAGATCGCGTTTGGACAGCAGCACTCACAGAAGACGAATGCGACTACGACAACCACCAGACCTCGGGTCCAGGAAGGACCAATCTCAGTCGAGCGGTAGGCGGATTGATCTTCGTTTGCAATGTCCGTGCCGTTGGAGCCCAAGTTCAAAGTAACATTGTATGCATGCTACAAAGACAATGCGTAGCAGATCAATTGCATGTCCTTCTGAGCTTGCCCTTCAAAGCCCAACGCAGTATTACGCCTGCAGCACTCACCTGGTTGTCGCTGCAGTAGGAGAAGCCACCCTCGCCTGTCCCTTTAGTACAGTAGCCCCAATTGCCAAGCTGTTAGATCAATGAAAGGCAGCTCAGATCAGCGTGAGCCCAGAGTGTGCGCTCGTGGGGAAGCGGAAAGCTATCCATCTCTGTGAGTAGGCCAGCTGATGGAGCATGCGGATATTATTTCGTCCAACTGTTGATTCCCTCCTCGCCTAGGGCTCTGGACGGCAGGCCGAATCACTTCTCTTCCCTTGCAGGACCGCCTATATGCCCTGCTCCCTCGCCCTGCACGCGTTGTACTCCAAGCTGACCATGTTCAACGATTCGCTGACACCAGAGATTGCTCCAGTCACAGTGTATCCGCAGCTGCTTAGCGACCGTCCCCACTCACGCGGATCGAGCTGAGCTGTCTCTGCTGATTCGCATTGCTAGCGCTGTCGGTGGCATTGTTGAGGTTCGTACCCTGCACCACGTAGAATGGAGAGCTGTTGGCTCCCTCCAGAGGAGTGCTGATGGTGGACAGCAAGAGCAGAGCAAAAGCCAAGAAGCCCGTGACCAGCGCGGGAACGCAGAATGCTCTTCTGCCCATGATAGGAGTTTCTCTTGGTGTGGGAGTGTAACTTGATTGTGCTGGCAAGCAATGCTCGATAGCCTTGTAAGTGCTGATTTGCGCGTTGACGTCGAGAGTGATGGTCTGTCAAAGGGACGACAGCAAGTGTGAAAGAGCGTGCGCGGAGGGGGCGGAGTGACAATGAAGATGAAGATCGACGAACAGAGATGCGCTGCGCTGCTGCAGCAGAAATCACAAGACAACAATCACGAATGGAGCACGCGGAGCGGGCGAGGCAGTTGAATGCGACCGCGTGATGACCGCTGCTGCATGCATGCATGCTGCTTGCGCACCCGAGCGGAACGACGCTCGTCGGCTGCTGCTGCTTAATGCGCTGCGCTATACAGCTGCTGCATAAGGCGCATGCACGCCCTCGCCGTCGCTCACGGTGTACGCCTTATAGACTCGTGACTGTTGTATACAGCAGCGATCGATCGAAGCCAAGGCCCGCCCGCCATGGCGGACTTTTCGACGCGAAGCGGCATGATGCAGCAGCAGCAGCAGCAGCGGCAGAGGCGCGACGAGTCAGTCGGTGGACACTCAACTCACACTCACGACTGCCAGACATGCACCTCGTTTGCGCGCACGTGGTCATCAGCGTCGTGCGTAAACGATGCGAGCGCAGCTCACTCGACTCATCAGATTCACGACTCAATCGCTTGACTTGCAAGATACACTCGCGACTTGATCGCTCAGCCACACACAAGGATCTGCTCAAGCTGCTGAAGAGAAGATGCGGTGCATGCATGCTGATTGTGCCCGTTGGGGGATGATGCTTGGCTGATCTCCGCGCACTCTGCGCGCGGCTTCTTTGTCGGCAACATCGCTGCAAAGCATCGGCGTGGTGCGGTGCAAGCAGCCGGTGCTGTGTCGAGCGCCGGCGTCATTCTCAAACTACGAACTTCTAGCCTGTGATTGCCTAGCTGCTGCCATGCAAATATCATGGCGGGAGACAATCGTGAATGGAAGGAAGTCTTGAGGTGGAAGCCAGCACGAAACGAGGTCGCGCGAGGCGGTGCAACATCATGCGGAGTCTGCGCTAAGCGACCTTCTTCTGCGCATATATGCGCCTTTCGCGCGCCTATTCGGGTACCCGTGCCACGTGATCAAATAGCTTCCCACCCTCATCAAAACCGAAGTTCAGCATTCTACTTTGATTTGGCATGTACAAGTGCGATCTTATCATGAGCAATAGGGGGTTCCACCCAACTTTGAGTGGAGGCTGGATAAATAGGGAAAGCGTCTAGCAGACATGCTTATTCAAAAATCACGAGACCTTGATCTGTGGCTGTATCTAGTCATTGAATCGTGACTTGAGCTGGATCGTGGTTGGAGCAATTGGGAGGTGGCAGAAGGGTGCAGCTACATACGTGGTAGTCACAACATTTAATTCAAAATTGTTTTCGATCGATAAGTCGCGTGAATCAGAATCAGAATCTGAATCTTGAATCGTGAATCACGAATCGAGCTTTTGGGCGGCGGTCAAGGTGCGCGGGTACGCATACTAACCCCGACATGAAGCAAGCGCGCGTGCGCGCGCAATTCACGCGTGCTGCACGAGTGCGGGATGATCATTCACGGATTCAGTCCCATGTGCATGCCACTAAATCGTGCGTGTCCACATATTTCCACACTTTACCTACACGGTGGATTCCAAAACCGAGCAAAGTCGATCGACCTCATGCAGGCCTGACTGACCGACCGAAGCTCTCAACCGGCGATCGTGATCGCTCCAGAGGCAGCTCCGGCGGTCCTTGTCTAAGCCAGCGAGCGGTCTTTGATCTGCCTCAAAGTCGAGCGCTCCATCCACTTCACTCGTACACGCTCAGTGCGCTTTCGATTCTTCCAAACATGGCTCCTCGGCCCGTCATTGTCATCACGGGCGCCAATTCTGGTGTGGGCTACGGCACAGCCCAAAGGCTTCTGGTCCAGCTCTCGCAAGCCATTCCTTCCGACACGTTGCCAGATTGGACTCTCAAATCTTCCTCATGGGCTGGAATCGCCTCGACTAGCAACGATGAGCAGCTCAATCCTCCTTCTCCTTTCGCTGCGCCGGATGGATGCGTGCTGATCTTGGCGTGTAGGAACCCCATCAAGGCGCACGCAGCTAGGAGGAACCTCGAAGGTCTGCTCAGAGCGTTGGCGGAGCTGCCAGACGACTCGCCTGCCCCGAGAGAAGCGCCAAAGGAGAAGAGAGGCATCGATGAGGATGCGGATGCCGCTATCGCTGCTCAGGCCGCTCAAGCTCAAGGCAGGCGGAAAAAACGAGCAACAGATGCGATCGCCAAGCATGCGGCTGATACTGCTGCGGCAGCTGCTGCCGAAAGTGGAGACGAGGGGGATCATCTAGGCCCAATCGCTCCTGCTTTGGACTCGTTCGACTCATCGACGAGCTTTACTTCAGCTTACGACTCGCTTACCCGAACCGGCTCCACGTCAAAAGCTTCCTCGAGTAGCACCCCCGCATTCAGGAGAGATCCGACGAGAGATGTGCACGGAGCCTCTTTGAGTCTATTCAGCAGGGAGGCCAAAGCGAGAGGAGAGTACAGACGAAGATTCTGCCAGGGGACCTCGATCGAATTCGTCCCGCTAGATCTGGGCAGCATGGCAAGCGCGCTCAATTGCGCCAGCGAAATCCAGAGGAGGTGAGCATCGCTGCGACGCTGCTATTGTTCGCACTTTCGCGAAGCATGCGCTGACTGTGCTAAACGCGACAGGCATGGCTATGTGACGCACGTCATCCTCAATGCTGGCAGCGCCGCTTGGACCGGTCTGAATTGGCCCTTGGCGGTTTGGATGATCGTGACTAGGCTGCATGTAGCTGTCACTTGGCCCAAGTACAAAATGCAGAGATCCGGTGATCGAGGTGCAGACGGCTACGGCTGGGTTTGGCAAGCCAACGTCGGCGCGCATTACATTCTCGTGAGTGCTGCAGCAAGCGAAACTCCGTTGCGTGGTTGAGCGAAGAAAGGATCCTCATACTCGGACGCCTGCTTTATCTACTCACTCGTCTGAGGAGCACAGACTCGAGCTTTGCTGCCCGCCTTGAGAGCGACGCCATTTGCTACACCATCAAGAATCATATGGACCGGCTCGATCGAAGCGTATGCGCGTTACTACGATCCAGCAGACTGGCAGTGTCTAGATGCTGCGCATTCTCCCTGGCCCTACGAATCCACCAAATATCAGTGCGAACTGGCTGGCATCGGTCTTGGCGAAGCTTTGAATCGGCAAAGGATGAGCACCGTGCCTAGTACGCCTCTGAGCGACTCGCAAGACACGTCTTACGGGTCCGTCCTGGTCGGCGAAGCCAAGACGCAGAGGAGAGAGTTGGAGCCAAAGAGCTTCGTGGTGCACCCTGGCGTAGTTGCGAGCAGCATCTTTGCGGAATACCTCAACGTGTTCATGGCTGCATGCATGGCATTCGCTTTCTACCTGGTGCGTCTCACAGTCCAAGCTTGGCATGGATTGCTGGAAGTAGTGAGAACGTATTGCTGATGTTCTTGGCCTTGATGGCGCTTCTTTTAACCAGGCTCGCTGGACATTTTCACCTCATCACCCCATCGAAGGCTACAAGGGAGCCGTAGCAGCCTCGCACGTCGCTCTAGCTCCTTCACACCTGCTCGACACTAGCGCGCGGTACGGCTCACGAGCGACGTTCTGGGGACAAGAGTATGTGCATGCTGGACGGGTCGATGGGTGGGATGTGGCCAAGCTCAGAATGGGAGCGAAAGCAAGGCAAGAGGTGGAGCAGGCAGCTGCGGGCCAAGCTGTTCGACTGAAAGCGAGGGAATTGATACAAAAATTGGAAGGTGTGGCGAGGGATGTGTGGAGGCAGGCGAGGAATGGAGAGATTGCTCCGCTCAGCCTGCTTGCACTGCACCCGGACCAATTTGAGCCGCAAAATGATCTCGTTCCGCTGCCGTCTAAGGGATTGGATGTAAGAAGACGCAAAGGGGAACAAGAGGATGAAAAGGATAGGGATTGGGAAAAAGTCGAAAGCGAGCTGTGATTTGTATGCTGATCGGGAGACATCGGCGGCCAAGGCGCAAAGAAATGTACGACGATAATCCATCAAATACCCCCATTGCCCCCCTCGCATGCCTTGTCGCTCGCCGCAGGCCGCAGGTAGCCTGAAGAAGCGACGGTGTGCTTTGCGAGATCGCAGGGTGAGAAGCTCGAATGTGCATCGTTGAGAAGCGAAGCTGTTCCTATAGGTATGCATTTGCAGCATCGGCCTCATTTCCGTATCTTGCGTCTCTAGACGGAAGAAAGTCCGAACTACATGGAGGTCTTGCACGGCACGCACCAGAACAGCCCAACTTTGGCAGCGTTGCTGCCAGCCCTTACTCGCACCATGCAAGGCCGAATCAAGCATGTGAATGCAAGGCGGTTTGATGTTCTGTCTAAGCGCTCCCTCAGTTGCTTTGGCAAGCAGAGCAATCGATGACTCGATCGAACACCTGACTTAAAGGCACGCCGTATGTGCACTCATTTACACATGTGGCAGCGAAGCGGTGAGCGAAGGTGCGCAGTGCGCAGTCAGTCAGTCAGTCAGTCAGCAGGAAGGTGCTGCTGATGCAGCATGGCCGCGCGGTGTGGTGCAGCAGCATCGTGGCGGAGTTGAATGAATTAATAGCGCGCGCGTCGTCGCGTAACCGCGCTGCAACATTCGACACAGCCACGACACGGCGCACACGATGCGCTGCTGCGCTTTTTATTTTTAGGTCGACGTGCAATCAGTTGCCTACTTTCTCTCTTCCCTTTGCGATTCACGGACCGCACCAAGTGCATGGGTAGAGGTGCGCTTCGTGATGACTCGATGGACATGGGTTCGCAGCTGGGCGTCCACTGCCTGCAAACAGCAGCATGCGACAGGCTGCATTCATATGGACCATGGACGAGCGTCTAGTGCGGAGGCAGGGCAAGACGAAAAGGGTGCGACGCAGATGATCACAGTCAAGAGTGTCAGGTCGAGTCACGCCGAAGGGAACACCGAGACGAGGTCGGTTTGTTGGTAAAGCTCAAAAGGCGGCCTCTTTCTTGCATCGTCAACATTTCCCGCTCACTGGGATCACACAACAAAACGTACTCGGTCGAGACTCGACCGCATCGCTTCGCCTCTTCACTACACTACTGCGACAAGCTCAGCATTCAGCACAAATACCTCGAGAACACTCCCCATCCTTTTCAGGCGCAACAAGCGGAAGTGCTGCTCAGCTCGCTTCAGCTTTTCTCGAGTCACTCTTCTCACACAAGTCGTCAGCCGCTAGCTCCCAAACCGCACCAAGAGACATGGACCAAGGTGCAGTCTCTGCTCTCAGCTCGGCCACCTCCAGCGTCGCACCACTGGGTCGAAGCGCCTTTGCATCCCTCTTGACTCAGCTGCGTCAAAAGCGCAGTGCCTTGCCACAAGCTCTGGCTTTGGCAGCCATCTTTCAAGCCGAGGGGCTTTTCAGGTTCCTCAAGACGTATCTGTACAACTTTGTCGCCAATCGCCTCTTCTTTCAGGCTCACATCGATGGACATGGATGGAGCTGGTTGACACGATGGATCGATGCTCAGCCTACTGCCAAGGAATTGCGCAGCTTCAAGATCGACGACGTCAGGCCCAAGTCCGATGAAGCGCCAGCTCGCGTCGTCTCTACCCAGCCGCAATGCAGCAAGGTGTGGTTGCTAGTTGACAGGAGCAGCGGCATCTCCACGCCCGTCACCGTCCACACCTTGCTGCGCTTCGCTCTAGCAAAGCTCTGCGGCTTGCTGTCCAGAACCTCGGTGCCCACGACGCTCATATCGTACGAGCTTGAGAGGACGTACGAAGGAAATTCTAGTTCACCTTCTCACTTTACTCGCATTCAAATGTTGACGCGCCACCGTCAACATTTCGAAGAGCTGCTGTGCACCATTCGAGGTGAGGATGAGGTGGCGCGTTCAGATCTGACGATGGTGTACGAGGTCGTGGATGACGAGTGGGAAGAGGCTTGCGATATCCCTCTCAAGCCTTGGCATTCTGTCATCTTGGCCGAGGGCAAAGCCGAAGCTTTGCTAGAGGATGTCCAGTCATTCGTCGCTTCGGCGCCGTGGTACGAAAAGCACGGCTTGCCTCACAGGCGCGGCATTCTGCTCTACGGCCCTCCCGGCACAGGCAAGACCAGCGTCGCGACGGCATTGGCGGGCAAGCTAAAGTACGATTTGCACACCATCAATCTGTCTGGTCTTACCGATGCTACCTTTGCTCGACTAGTGAGGTGCACCTACAGCGCTGTCCTTCTTTTGGAAGACATCGATTCCATCTTTACGGCCGACAGGCAGAGTTCGGATGAAAGGAGCCAAGTCACCTTTTCTGGTCTCTTGAACGCTCTGGACGGAGTGTTGGCTTCCACAAAGGGTCTCATTGTGCTCGCCTCTACAAATCACATCGAAAGGATTGATCCGGCATTGATAAGACCTGGACGTTTCGACTTGCGCATGTTCGTCGGCAATGCCACGTATCAACAAGCTCAAGCCCTCTTTCTCAACATCTACACCGACCTAGATACCCGAGCAGACTTTTTGCAGCAGCTCGAGCAAGCGCGGCAAGGCGAGGCCTGTACTGCGTCAGCATGCGAAGATGCCGAAGCGATTGCGATTTCGGACGAAGCACAGAAGCCGCTCGTCAAGGATGCTTGGACTTTGAGTCTCAGCAGACCCATCACTCCTCCCGTAACTCCTCCCAGTAAGCTGATGGAATACGACGAGGAGGTGGATGGTGCTGGTGCAGATCAAGTCGCAGCATGCATCGATCCGCCCGTGGTCGAATTCGACGTTTGCTCGACAGCGAACAAGGCAGGACGCACCGTGCAGGACGCGGTCGGCGCAAAGGTGTACGGCTCCTCTCTATGGTCTCAATCGCTCGACTTCGCTTCGCGCATTCCGGAACCTACGCATATGAAGGCCACTGCAGCAGGAGAGGCGGACACAGTCACGGGCGTGGGCATGGCTGCGCTTCAGGGCTTTCTTGTTCGAAGGAGGGATAGACCTGAGGCGGCAGTAGCTGACGTGGAAAGCTGGATCATCGGCGGCATGTCCTCTGATGATTCTGGGCCGGTAGTCAGTTTGTGACTCTATGCTCGACTCATCCCTTGCTCTCTATATTGTACACCCCAAATTCAGCTTTGGGTCCAAACAACAACCTGTATTTGTATCACATCAGCATTTTCGAATTGTATTCTCTTCTCGCCTCGTCTTGATTGGTGTTCGAATGCGAGTGCATTTGCCTTTCTGTCGGACGAGCTTCTATGCTGTAGTCTTGCGACTCGCGCTGGCAGCCGCCTCGTAAGCACCGTGCGGCACCGCTCTCGCCTCTTTGATAAGTGCAGCAAATTTGGCAGCGTGCGAAGCGGCTGGAACCTTCTCGAGTGCGATGAGCGCTCGGAAGATGGACCTTTGCATTTCACCGGCGCGCTCAATGTCTTGCTTGGATGCTGCATCTTTAGGCTTCAGCTTGAGCGTGGATGTGATTGGCGTCGCGATCGCATCCAAGTCTGTTTACCAAGAGCACGCTCATTGACGTCAGTTCGCAATCCCGCACATCTGTCAGTGCCGAGGCTTACACGCACATGGAGAGAGCTGCAGGCGAGCCACATCAGAAAGGCGGATCAGAATCAAGTAGCAGAGCACTTTGATACCGTCCTCGTCACTGAGACCGGCAATGACGCGATCCATGTCTGAGGAAATATGACTCAACATGTGAGCCTTTCATGCGCTAGCGTACGCCGAAGAAAGACTCACATTCGGGCAAGCTTATCCTAGTAAAGCTAGTATCCAGCAGCGTCAGCATGGTCTCGTACGCAGTCTACAGGTGGGAGACAAAAACAATTGCGGCTCAGTGATTGGGCAAGGTGGGTCATCTTTCCTTGAGTCTGGACTGACCTTTCGCAGGTCTAAGCCATCGTCGTGGGTGACAATAAAGGGACCCATCGTCACTTTGCGCAGAAGTTCGGGCCTGGGCAAGGTCTCCTTGTAAAGCAAAGGCAGCAGCACCACCAGCTGGTCAGAAATGAGCGAAGGCTTGTTGTGTGCTGCAGAGTTGAGAGCGAACACCGCATGCCGGCGGACCTCAAGACTCTCATCTTGCATGAGACCCAGGAAGTCGACCAAGGTTGACGCCAGCTGCTCGTCGAAAGTGGCACTTGCCTCGAGGAGAGTGTAGCGAATAGCCGCGATGGACGAAGCTCGCACTCCTGGGTTTGGATCATGGATGCGGGTGTGAAGTTGCGGCAGGTAGGCGCGAGGATCGGTGAGGGTCAAGCGCGCCAGGCATTCCGAGATGATGTTCCGCGTTGCTTCGTCTGCCGACTGAGACTGCTCAAGCAAGGGCGTCCACACTCGACCGAGACTTCCGGCAAGGGGGCCTTGGTCAGCGTGCGTGATAAGCTCTCGCAAAGACTGCAAAGCCAAAAGTTGACGCTTGCTGTCGGACGTAGCGCTGATCTGCTGCAAAATGCTTGGTAGCAGGGTCTCAGGATTGGCCACGGCAAGACTGCCGATGGCAAGCGCAGCGGCAGCCTTGACGTCGTCGGATTGATGCACGTAAAGGCTTGTGATCAGCTCGAGAAGGGATGCGTCGCCAGAGAGATCCTTTGAACGGCCGACCTCGCCGATCAGGCGCAAACTGAAGCAAAGCTCAGATTCCCTCGAAGAAGATAGATCCGAGGACAACGCACTTCGAGCGGATTGGACGACCGCTGATGCCTGATCGGGCGCGTAGCGAGTGACAGCGCCGACGCAGCGAGCGATCGTCGTCGTCGTCGTCTGATGTTGAGCCACGTCCGCTTTCTTGCTTGTCGTACGAGCGGCCAACAAAGCTTGGATCGTTGAAGCAGCAACTTGAGAATTGGCGCGAGTGTAAGTCCCCAAGAAGCTTGTGACGGCCTCGAGGGGCGCGCCTTGCATCAATGGGGAGCGGACTGAGTGGAGAAGTGCCGGGATGAGCTCGCTGTCCACCACCCCCTGAGTTGCAGAGTCGTTGCTGTGAGCCACCACCAAGCTGACGACTGCGAGAGCGACGGGCAGCAAGTTGAAGTCCGCTGACTCTCCGACAATGGGCGTAACTTCCCTCACAATCTCTTGTTTACGGGGTCCGTCTAGCTTATCGCCAAACTTGCGCAACAAGGCTGCTAAGGTGTCGAATGCAGCCAGATTGAGAGCAAGATTTGGCTTGCGAAGGAGGGGCACTACTTCATTGATGGCTGCTGACACAAATGATTCCACTTGAGTTCCCGTAGCACCAGGGCTTGAGGCGACTTGCCCCACCGCCTTGACGGAGGAGTACCGTGTGAGTTCATTTTGCAGACCCTGCAAGAGCTGCGTGAATGCTGCTGTACGAAGATCTGCGAGATCGTCCCCTGCTCTCGCAACGAGGTCACCGATTGTCTCGATTCCACGATCTCTGATCTCTTGATCTGAATCGGCTCGAGAAAGCCGAGCAAGGACTGCATTCGCGAGAGGCTCGAGAGCCTTACCTGACGAGCCGGAGGGGGCCGAGCCGTCCGGCCGTAGTACTGCAACAAGCTGTCTGACGACGGCAAATGCCTCTACAACGTCTCGCTGGATCTTGTCGTCGATTGCAGAAATGACGACAGGCACGACGCGAGGTAGGGATGCCTCGAAAGCTCGAGATTCGTGCCACTGAAACACGAGACGGAAGAAGCCAAGTACCTCTCCTCTCAGATTAGCAGCGCTGCCGGCCGTGTAGTCTGTGCCCTTCAGCGCCTTCTCAGTGGGCTCAATGAGCGACGACAGATGGGCGTCAAGTCCGCCTTGCAGGACCAGGACGAGCTCTCGAAGCAGAGCGTAGCATGCAAAACGAGTGGACACCGACTTTGAATTGATCTCCTTGGACATAGCTTTGGCGATCGCAGGCTCAAGCTTGCGCAGCTGCGACCGGGGGCTAGACGCGCAAGACGCGGCTACTTCGGTGAGCTCCTGGGCGGGGCGTGATCAAGAACAAGAAGACTCACTGCAAAGCGTGGCTCTCGTCCGTCTCCATTGCGTCTCTCTTGCGCTTCAACGCTCCCGGACTCTGTACAAGCACCTCGGTAGCCTGAGCAGTCCCGTCGTACAGTTGCAGCTGACGCAGCAGCGTTTTGAAAGTTTGCAGGATCTCTAGCCTGACGCCTTCTTCACGCTCCGCAAAACGGACCACAAGCACGGGTGCAATTGAGCTGGCAAAGTCGGTGAGCTGCTCGGGTCGCGTCATGATCGCAGCTGCTAAGACCTTAGCCGATGCACGACGAGCCTTCCACGATAGATCGTCGTCATCAGAGTAACTACAAACCACGTTGGCGTCAGAGTATCAGCTAGGTAAGCGACAGCGAATACACGAACAGAACTCACTCTTCGTCGAGGACCTCGTCGTCGTCGTCGTCGAACGTCTCGTCTTCATCGACTTCCATGTCCCCATCATCTCCATCAAATCCAGCATAATTCTGTGGTGTATCCAAGTTCGCATGTGAGGGCCGTGCACTTCACCCATCCGAGCGACCGTGGGACTACATACCGGATCATGCTGCAGCAGCTTCAAGGCTTCATCGATGATGCCTCGAACGAACGGCGTGCTTTCCGAGGGACACTGCTGAAGGACGGCTTCCATGCACTGCAAACAAGCCTCGCGCAGTTCATCATCATCGACTTGCGTAGCCGCAATGACGCGCGGCATGAGCTCTGGAAGTCTTCTACCGATGCGTTTCGGGCAAGTCTTGGCGAGACTGCCAACGAGCTGCACCATGGTCTTCTGACTTTCCGTCAGTTGAGCTTTGCTCGGGCCCTGCGTCGTGTCGAGAACAGTGATGATGGCGGTCGCTATGCCGGTGAAGACCTCTGATTTGCTGTGGGCGCCCAACGCCGACAAGGCAGTCACCGCTCGTTTGCGGACCGCCGCTCGATCGTGAGATAAGCGTGTGACTAGCACTTGCAGCGCTCGCTGCTGCAATGTCGCATCCGAAGCTGCGATGCTTGGCAGTCTGGTGAAAAGGTCTCCGAGCAGCTCTGTACTGTCAATCAGAAGCTCTTGAGAAGCTGAGGGCTGCAAGTATGTCATTGCCAGAGATCAGCATGCCAGCCATCTGACCTGAGCGCACACACACTCCAAGAAGTGTGGTTGACTCACCTCAGCAATCTGGTGGAGCAACTTGGGCGCCAGCTTCGAGCCTGCGATTCCGGCAGTCTCGGAGTCTGCAGGCAGCTCCGCCAACACAGTTTTGAGCCCTTTGCGTTGCGACAATCACGATCAGCCTTTCGGTATCCATCGAACTCGAAAGCGCCCCAGATATGATGCTCACCGAGCGCAGCTATGTCGCGTTGCTCCTCCTCTTTGGCTGAAATGTACTCCACCAGCCTATCAACAATGATCTGAATTTGCGCTGGCTTCACGCGACTTGTGAGAACGCCGAGACTGCAAGACGAATGCGGATGAGGACAAGTAAGTACCAAGCCGCTACCTCACTCAGCCGGCATCGCTCGCATACACTCACCACCTCACGGCCATGTTCTTAACCTCTGCATTCTTGTCCTTCATTAGATCAAGCGTAGTCGTGACTGTCTTTGACTCCAGCGTAGAATCCATCTGCAAGAAGACGTCCCTTTTCAACTCAGTGATAAGGTCCGATAGCGCCATATAACTGCGAGAGACCGAGCAGAAAGCACTTCAGTCCGAGTCTGTGCGAATAGTCTGATTTAGCGCTGCCACCTCACCGAAAGTCGGCATCGTTGGATTTTGACTGTCAGAGGTGTGGGCCCATTCAGCCAGTGCATTGCGTGCTCAAGGAGAAGGTATCCTTTGGCCCACCTTGTCTAGCAGGGCAGCGATACCCTGCGAGCTGCGAGAACTCATGTCAGAAAAGCGGAGCTCTCGGCCCGCTAGTGGCGCGAAGCGAGCACAGACGAGCGTTCAAATGTGGGTGCGAAGCTGGGTGGGTAATCAGGAGCGATGTTGGAGAACACAATGCAGGCGACTAGATGGGCGATCGAGTTGCTGAGTAGAGATGTATGGTAGACGAGGGTACCGAGGTTCTCAGACGTGAAGGGCTAATAGGGAAGTGGTCAGTGAGAGCCCAACGCATGCGAAGATTCGTGATTACGCTTTCAGCCAAGCTGATGAGTGGATCGCGCGCAGCCCCGCGCCTGTGCTTTCTTGCGCCGCCGCGAGTCGAGAGTGATCTGACCGCGCGGTCATCATCAAGCTCACATCTGCGTTGTCGCGCAATGCGCACCGCTCGTGACTGCACACACCGAAGCCATGCTTGATGGCCAGCAAGAGCGCGTCCATCATGTTCAACAGTCACGATTTAAATTACTCTGGACCATCAAGAGCTTCAGCACATTCGCAGCTGCCTTCCAGCGACAAGGCGATCTGCGGTTTCGACTCAAAATGGTGAAGGTGTCGTACTACTATGTTACAGTCTTGAGTGGCGCACTCGTAAGATTTCCCCAAAAATCGTGCGCTCAAATCAAGGGTTTGGCTTTTGGTTAGACCCATCATCAACCACGCTCGCACCCTCACCCGCGCCTCCTCCCGAGCCCTCGTCCGATTCGATCTCGATAGTAGTACCTCCCTGGCCATCCGAGGCCTTCGTGCCTGTACGTACCCGCCCGCCGTGAGCACGCACCATCTCTTCCACAGTCCGCGCCTCGTTTGAATCTTTGAACCAGCCAAGATGGTCCGCAATGAGGTGCCTGCGACATCATGAGCAGATTGAGAGTGAGTTGCCAATCCACGGCTCTCATCCGAAACGGCAACAATAGCCCACCTATTTTTGCATCCCGGGCACTCGACGATCACAATGCCCTTTTGATATGCTCTGGCCGTGAATTCGTGCGCACTCCTATGTCCACAATTGGGGACGGTGCACGTAAAAGACAAGGCGAGCTTCCTCTCGATCTGCCCGACCTTGTACTGCGAGTCACCTCCTACATCTAGTCGAGGAGCTGAGGTGTGCATCATCCGGCGCTCGTCAGGACTGCGAAGACTTCCGGCCGCACTTTGCAGGAAAGTCCTTGGATGCCGTGACACGATGTGTGAGGGCACTGGATGAGGGTTGGGCGGTGCTAAACCGGCTAACCGCATGAATGCATGAGTCAGACCTGCCCACAGCTGCAAAGAAGAAAGCAGCACTATCAGCACGCCGCGTCGCCCTGCTCGCGACCCCGTCGTGTCCCGTGCGCGATTGCGCCGAAGCGGGCTGTCCTACTCACTTTTCGGCCAACAGCGGGCTCGATGCGTTCAACCACGTGCAAGTTGATTTGACCCAGATGATCGAACTCGTAGCGGAACCGAAGCGTGTACGATTGCGGTTGTCCAGTGACCCTGAGTTTGCCAGAGTAGGTGATCCGCGCCAGAATAGCATGCTTGGTAGTGGACGCTTGCTTGGTGGCGTTCGAGCTCGAGTCGTGCTGAGCGACTGCTGCCGGCAGACTTGCCATCGCAGCCGAGCAAGGTTTCCCGCTCCCGTCCACAAGCTTGATTCTCTCCAGATCAACTCTGCCCTCGGCGAAGATTGCGCTTAGAGCGTGTCGAAGAACATGGGCGCTGGCCAAGTATAGCCCTCTACCGCTGAAACCGAGGTTCGCAGCAGCAGCTGCTGCATCTGCGGCGGAGCCTGGCTCATCGTCGTGCTCGGGTGAAGGCAAGAAGCGGAAATGAATGTTGTTGCTAAAGACGGGACCTAAAGCTGCTGATCTTTCCGCTTGACTCGCGCTCGAGTGGTCGTAGTCTGCTATGCCTATCCGCAATAAGTCTGGCAAAGTAGCGCGTAAGAGGTCGAGTGCCCTGCCCAATCGGAGTCGGTACTCCTCCGGACTGATCGGACCCGCAGGAGGGTGCTGTGGAGATGTGAAGAATGGCGGATCGTCTCTGTGGACATTGCTTGGTGCAAAGGTCAGGGGCAGCAAAGGGGCTGCCGAAGGTGAGTGGGTTTGAAGCAGCTTCCCGGGCCCTGATGCAGTGGCGCGTGCAACCCTACCTGAGCACGCTAGATTGACTGGGGTGCGTGACGGCCTCGAAGTGGGTTCTGAGCTTGGGAACACCCTAACACTGCGCGCAGCGACCAGTCTCGGAGTGGACCCTGTGGCGAAGGTGGCCAATTTTCTCGTGGAAGCCGCCATGGCTGTTGATCACTTTCAGATGCCTCCCGGGCTTGGCAGCACGCGCACGATGAGTTTGGCGCGACGAAGGAAATTGCGAAAATGTGTGCGCGTTTTCCATGTAAGGGGGTGATGATGATCACCACTTGGTGCGCCTTGATGGGAAGTGTCTTAATGTGAGCGGCATCGATGTCCACTCTCGATTTCATGGCTCGAAGAGAATCACGAATCAAGATCGACTTGCAGAGTCACGAGTTGAGCTGAGCTGCTGTGCGCTCCCACGTGACGAGCTTTTGCGTTGCCTTCCCGCGGCCTCCGCGGACTTTGTGGACGCAAATCGCGGATGCTGCAGGCGAGCGCGCGTGAGTCTGTGAGTCGTGGGTGCCGCGCAATGCTGGGGCGCGCGGTGACGTAGACTGCATGTTGTCCGCGCACTTATTGTGACTTGACTGTACCGCGTACCGGTATATTCATCCAGACTCACAGACTCACTTCCGCGGTACGTAACCCTAAGTTGAGCGTGAATTGTTGGGGCCTCGAACGCGTTCCGAGCGCGGGGCTTGGACCAGCCCATCAGCGTGCCAGCGTCCCTCGATGCCTGAACTGGGTCGCAGACGTGCGCTCCTCAGCATTAACCATTGAGTGATCCACAAGTCATCGCGCGAGCTTGCGCTTCGGCGTCCTCGCATCTATGTCAAGTCAGGTTGGTGCGAGTCTTTTAGTAATTGAATCACACATTTGTCATGTGGGGGCCAGCGGGTGCGGGAATTCTTGGTTGAGTTTGAGTCACCAATCGTCTTGGGCGTAGCTGCCATCAGCCCGCTGTCCGAAAGAAACGGCCCGGCTTGTCATCAGCCAAGCTGGATGGGGAGCGTGCGGCTGCTGCTGCCTCTTGATGGCTCGCGTAGGCTTGATTTGTGATCAACTTGAATGTCGTAATTTAAGGCGCTGTGAGATCTATCGATCGACTAGCTGTTTATTGCGGGGAAGCAAAAAGGTGATCGGCGGACGTCGCGGCGGCTGGCTGCATCTGCACAGCATTCACCAGCAGCATGCATTCACAGCATTCAGAACTTGACCGCGCATATCACACAGCCTGGATTCCGACTGATGCCCAACGCTGACGCGCTTCCCCTTGGATACCGTCCTTACCCACCTCATCACCCGACGTGCGAACCGCTCACGGAGCTCTCCGCTACAGCAGCATTCATCAGTCATACTCCACCCTTTGGATCATCCACGTCCCCTGTTCAACACCCAAGGCTTCGACTGATATCACTCTCATCACACCAGGCGACATCTTTTCTGCGAGGACTCGCACTGAAAGACTCCGAGTCGCAGGCTATGTTCCAGTCACAGCCAGGCAGCGCCAACGCAAAGCGTGGTAGAGAGCGCATCTGGCCTGGTGTTCCCTTGTTCATGCGAAGAACGGGAAAGTCCAACACGACATCGGTTGACAGCAATGACAAGCTCCCAGGAAGCAGCTCGGACTCCAAGTCTTCGCCGTCACCTCCCCTGCCGCACTCCATAGGCATTGCCACTCTGCGCCCTCACGAACGCACCGCGTCCTGGCGAAACCTACTCTCGCCGCGCTCACCCGGCGTGGAGGTGCCAGAGCTTCACTCTCTGCTGACCGAGGTCTTTGAGAATCCGGATGATGTCGCTGCATTTGCGGATGCCCTTAGAGACGATGCGGGCAAGACGGAGCACGCGCACGAGCTCGGCCCGCTGACAGCCGACGAGCTGGCGCCTACTGCCGAAGACGACTATCCTGGAGCGACGACCCTCAAATCGCCAGGACTGGACGAGTCGACGAGCAAGAATGAATCCAGCGCTGAGATTAGCTCTCACTCCCAACATCGTCAGAACAGTCATCAAAGGAAAATCGGCAAGATTTCAGCGACTTCTGATTTTGCACCTGTGAGGGAAAAGACGTCGCACAAAGCTTCCAAGAAGCACGACTCGGGCTCGCGTCAGGGCCCAGTCTACGCCGTGCTGCGATTCCCCCTTTTGGTGGCCGTATGGCTGGCGATCATTGTGCAATTCCTGCTCTACGTGCTAGTCCGGCAGTGCGTGAACGTGATCGAGTACCTATCAGCTTGGCGAGGAGAGCGAGGAAGACTTCGTCGCAAGCTCAGAGCGTCACGCTCGTGGGAGGAGTGGACGACTACGGCCAAGGAGATGGACGAGTTTGGAGGTTTTGGCGAATGGAGGTACGAGGATGCCAGTGGGCTGTACGACTGGAGGTTGGTCAAGAAGGTCACCGCAAGCCTCAAAGGTGAGTGACAATGCGAAGAGTCTTGCAGCCTCCCTGATCATTGATGTTCTGCGATTTCCAATCAAGCCTTTCGAGAGCGAGACGATGCCGAGAACCTGCTTGGCGTGTTGGATTTGTGCATTCGTGAGTGCAAGATGGTAGCTTACACAATCACAATCACGACAGTGGAATCCTGATGCACGGGCGACCCTTCAGGAAACAACTTTGCCGGCATCGAAAACTTCAGGTTGTACAGTGAGACATACTTTGGCACTAAGTTCGCGATAGAGGCCTACCTTCAGGAGGCAGAGCGAGGCCTTGAATACGTGCGAACAACAGAAAAGGTCAGTGATCGCCTTATTCTGCTCACCTTTTGATCGCACATCGCTGACTTTGAGACTCTCGTTCCGTGCTTCAGCTTGCGATCGAGCACAAACGACAGTTCTATCGCAACGCTGCCAAAAATTTGGGCAAAAGCGCACTGTGTCTTTCAGGCGGAGGATCGTTCGGGTACTGTGAGTATTTACGTGGCTCGAAAGCTTGCTTTCAGGCTCACATGTCCACACCCCAAACGCAGACCACATTGGGCTAGTTCGAGCTTTGCTTGATGCCGATTTACTACCTTCTATAATCACCGGTACCTCTGCCGGTGGTCTTATCGCCGCTTTAGCTTGTACGCGAACCAAGGATGAGCTAAAGCACATCTTGGTGCCTGCGCTTGCTGATCGCATCACAGCCTGCGAAGAGTCCATCACCATTTGGGGTCCCAGAGCTTGGCGCACGGGTGCGCGATTCGATCTTGTGCCCTGGGCTGAGAAGGCTCAATACTTCACGATGGGCTCCTTGACTTTTCTGGAAGCATACAAGCGCACCGGCAAAATTCTCAACATCAGCGTAGTCCCGGTGAGTAGCTGGAAAAGACTTCGTCCGTGATCGACGCTGCTTCAAAAGCCACTGATGCCGTCTCTTCCTGCTGATGCTAGGCTGATCGCCATTCACCAACGATTCTTCTGAACATCATTTCTGCACCGCACTGCATCATTTGGTCTGCGCTGTTGGCTTCCGCTGCTGTGCCAGGTCAGTCTCGACGCGTTGCGCTTCCTCCATGCAAGCGCTGATCTGTCTTCACTTGGACTATGCAGGTATCCTCAATCCTGTGTGTCTGATGTCCAAGGATCCTAAGACTGGGCAAGCGAAACCATGGAATTGGGGTCAGTAGCACTCGTGCAACACTTTCGTGAAATCCCAGCTTACTGACTCGTCCATATTGCACATTGCAGGTCATCGATTCAAAGATGGCAGTCTGCGCGTCGATATACCCCTTCAAGATCTGCACGCCCTTTACAATGTCAACTATCCTATCGTGTCTCAAGTCAACCCGCATGTGCATCTGTTCTTCTATAGTCCGCAAGGTGAGACGTCGTCAGCACTCTCGCTCGAGCTAGCTCCCCATACTGACCCTTGTGACTGCTGCAGGTGCACCTGGACGGCCAGTCGCGCATCGCAAGGGCAAGGGATGGCGTGGTGGCTTCCTCCTAAGTGCTGCTGAGCATGTTCTTAAGCTGCACCTTTCGGTCAACTTCAAGGTAGTCCGTGATTTGGATCTCATGCCTACCATCCTGGGCGCCGACTGGTCTCAAGTCTTCCTGCAGCGCTTTGCTGGTGCCGTCACTATTGTGAGCTCCCGGTGCAACATTGCGCTGGAGAGTATGCACACGCTGACACCATGGACACGCTTGTCTCCCAGTGGCCGCGAACCCGCGCTTGGGACTGGGTACGGATTCTTAGCGACCCAGACCGCAAGGAGCTAGCCCGGATGATGCAGATTGGCCGGACAGTAACATTCCCGAAGCTGGTGAGCATATCAAGGCTGGACCGTGCAATCGTTTATGTGCTGAACTCGACCTCGTTTGGGGTTCCTCATAGCACATGATATCAAACCGGCGGCGCCTGGAGGCGGCTGTAGAGCAGGGTAGACTGGAAGTCCGAAGAGCTGTGCGGCAACGCGCTGCTGAGCAGAGAACGCCTGCGGCTGCTGAAGCGGGATTGTCCACCTCCGCGGACAAGGCGAGGCTCTCGGATGAAAGCGCCAACGACCCGGGTGACTTCTTCCTTAGCAAGAAGCTGTCTGATGGAGCGCGGCCCAGACTCTTCCCTCGTCTGAGCAGTTATGCGTCTGCTCAGCTGAGCGATGAGGGCAATGCCACGCCGACTGACGTGGAAACGCCTGGGGAATTTCTGCCGCGCCGTTCGCGCCTGCGATCAGCCAACGATGCGGACGTCAGGCAATTTGGCGGCTCCAAGACCAGTCGCAAGGGGCTCTTGTGGCTGCGTGGCAAAGGCAATGTTGACGAGGATGGAGATGACGCAACGCCGGCTTCAGTGACGAACAAAGCACACTCAGGAGTCGTGGAGAATGACTTCGCCAACAAGCCTCTCACCGCTGCGGCGCTCAGCCCGCGTGGATCTACGCACGCCAAGAAATGGCGACGCGGATCAATGCGCTCAGGTGATCATCAAAATGGCTTTTTCGACGAAGGCGAAAGCAACAGTTCCAGTGAAGAAGACGAGGACTCGTAATTATCCCTCTTGTACATCAGGCATCGAGCCTCAGATTCCTTGCAAACGACACCTGCCGACGATTAACAGAACAGGGGACAGCAATGAGATGATTGCGATTGACTAAAGAGGCAAGGAAATGTGACAAAGGTATTGGTGTTTAGTATGCAGGAACATAAGACGAAAGTTGGACAAGCTCAGTTCTCCTTGCCGGCACGAGCGCGGTTGGCAGCCTCCTTAGGTGTGCGGAGCACGTCGAATGGGGAGAGGATGGCAACAGTGTTGTCGTCGCTCACGGCCTTGGCGTCGGCCTTGATGACGACGGCGTAGGTGCGGCCACCCTGGACCTCGGCGGGGACAGTCACCTTTCCGCCCTGGATCTTGGCCAAGGCGGTGGTGCCTGCAGCGGTGATGAAGGCGACGGACTGGCCATCCTTGACACCGTCGCCCTTGACGCCGACGGTAGCGCCGGTGGTGGGCGTGGTGCTCCAAGATGCGGCAGGGAAAGCCTTGACGGGCAGAGCGGGGTTGCTGTCGGGGCACTTCTTGATGAAGGGGGCGGCCAAGCTGTAGACTTGCGAGAAGGAAGTCAGAGGGGTGTCGTAGGCTGCGCCGGCGGGGTCACCGTCAGCTCTGCCCTTGCGAGCAGCTGCTTGAGCCCAAGCGGAGTGACGAGCCTCGGTAGTCAGAACGGTGGCGGCGGCCGTGAGGTAGGCTGGGGAGGTGATGTTTTGTGCTGCGCCGGCGTACGCGCTGACTCCAACACCCTCGAGGACAACGCTGGTCTGGACGAATTTGTTGACATCGCCGTTGACGCCGCTGTGACATCGGATGATGGACGGCACATCAGTCTACAACGGTTCACCACGCGTCACGTCAAGCAGTGCGGATGCACTCAACTCACAAGTCGTATGTGCAAGGCTTGGTAGCCTTGTCTCCGAGGGCCTGGCTCAAGAACTTGACGTGGCTAGCCTCGTGACCTCCGATCTGGAGGAAGCTGTGGGAAAGATTGCGAAGCGGTTTCAGCGACGAGATTTCCGCACAGAGCCCACAGGTGGCAGACTCACCGAGCGTGGACAAAGGTGTCGTAACCAGCAGCGGAGAAGGCTTGGAGAGACGGCAGCTCCTTGTAGAAAGCGTTCTCAAGATGCTCGAGGGTAAGAGCGTAGTTGAGGATGACGTCGTCAATGTTGGCCTGTCCAGGCTCGGCGCGACGCTCGATGGAGGCGGGTGCGGCAACGGCAGCAGCTGCCAGCGCGAGGAAAGCAAGGAACTTGGATGCGACCATTTTGATGACTGTATGGAGATGACTAGGTGAGGTTGGATGAGGCTTGAAGTGGAAGGATAGCTGGTGGGGGGAGGGAATTGATGGGACTAGTTGGGGAAAGGCGAGCTTCTAAGTGTCTGCTTTATATCCCTCATAGCAAGCACATAGACAGCTGGGAAGGGCGCCCACGATTGCTCGGCTTCTCCTCCACAAAGCCCCACACAACCATACGATGCACTCTGAGAGAGGTGGAGCTGTGGTGGTCATTGCATGCGGCTTCTGGAGGTAGCACACAGTCGCGGGGGCTTTCGGCATTTCTCCTGGGTCGACGCCGGATATTGCTCGACATGGCACATTGGCAGTTCAGCTTGAGCAGTGCGCTCTTCGGCGGGCAAGAAGACTTTCTGTTTGCTTGCTCTGGACCCTGGGTAAGCATGCGTCATGCGGTGAGCGCTGAATATCAGGCCATCCTGGCGCACGCAGTCGGCAGTCAAAAGTATGCATCATATGATGAGATGAACTCTTGCTGTGACGCGATATGAGCTGTTGCTGTGATCAAATTAAGCGCTGCAGCTCTGCAACGTGCCTCGATCACTTCAGTAGTTTCTCGATGAGCAAAGTCGCATACCAGTAGCCGGAGTGGAGCGTCTTGGCAGCTTCGGAAGATTCCTTTGGGACCAAAAGGTATCTGATCTGACTGATTGCATTAAAGTTGGGCCACCTTTTGCGTTGATGCACGAGTGCTGTGAACGAGCGCGCGCCACCTCCTGCCGGCCAGGGCTCCTGAGAGGGAGTGTGTCCAATCACGGATGAGGAGCGCCTCCTGTTGCGGTCGCTTAGTGTGGGGCTTGGCCCGGCAGCAAATCAACTCCTCAAGTGTCCTCTCAATGCCTCCGGCGCTCAGTCACACGTGTGCAAGGCTACCCTACCCGTGCCGCGCCCCGACGTGTGAAGCACAAGGTCACAAGTCCTTGCGGACCATCGGGCGGCCATGCACAACCGTAGGGTGGGTGGGTGGCTTAATGCTCACCTTGGGCTTGGGCCCGCGATGATTCTCCTTTGCCCGCTCACCAAATAAGCTGCCGTTAGTGCGACAAAGCGCAAGTCTCGAGCCCGCCAAATCTAATGGCTGCCTCCTGCTGGGCGTCGAGCGGGATTAGGCAGCACGGACCCACGGCACCCACACTGTCCCAAACAGATCTCTCATAAGCGACCGTCAGATATGGTGTGTACTGTACAAAAGCACATATTCACGCCCCTCGCCACACCCCGTGACTGCCATGCGTGCACCAGAGCGCTCTCCGAAGAGAAGAGATTGATGCCGCGAGAATCATCCATCGTGGATACCATCCATCCACAACCCTTTCTGGTCGCGCTAGGTGCGATGCGGTATCAGATATTCGCGACAGCCCCGCTCGTGAGCACACGTTTCGTCCAAGTCGGGGGGGGGAGGGGGCTGCATATCCAGGTAGGCACGCGCAATCAACTACAGGCGCTGTGCCTGACAGACTGCAGGCAATGCGAGTCGTGAGTATCGTGGTCGGTCTGTCGTTGCCGATCGAGTCTGAGTGAGTGGTACGTTGCATGAATCGTGCCATGAGCAGGTACAACGTAAATCACGAATGTGGTTGTTGCTCTTTTTGATCGACTGCAGTGCAGTGCAGTGCAGTGCAGCTGCCTTGCGCCGAGCGAGACGCGCAAGCAAGCTATACTCACACTCACACTGTACCTACCGTCACCCCGTAGTCCCAAAACGGTGCCGCGCTTAGCTTTTTGCTCCCAGCCGAGCGCATGCATATGGGCCGCACGCGCCCGAGTACAGAAAACAGGCCATTTGTGATCAGTCAGTCCACCGCGTGATGAGGGTGAGCGGCGCGCATCATTCGGTCCACGCATCCACATCTGGAATGCAGCTGCTCCGCTTGCAGGGAGGGGCCTAGACCGTTGCGTCTTCGTCATGACCTACCTGCCATGGCCCTTTGCGCAGCTGCTGCATGGGCGATGACGAGAATCGAGAATAGAAGGAAGGCAACATCCAATCTGCGAATCATTGCACGTCATCGGCATGCTTTGGTGGATGGGGAATTTTGATTGGAAGACTGAAATGAGCCCATCTTGCCCACTTCAGAGACCAGGCGATCGTATCATTCTCGGCAAGCTTGCCATCGCCGAGCCTTTGGATCAACCGTTGTAGATTAACATTGCATTGGGGTATTAATTTGCAAAGGGTGCACAGCGGCGGTGCCAAGCCTCGCCGGTGCGCAGCACAACGACGGCTTTGTCCACCTGCTCATCATAAATCTCATCTCTCCACGGCCGAATGCCGTCCACATCGCGGCTAGAGGATGGAGGGCTATCGCTGTCAAAGCCCTTCGTCCACCTTGGAGTGCTAAGCCGTCTTGGTCTGTCCACACGCGAGACCGCGCTGATGTCCAAGTCTCCCTCCATCGACCTCTGTCTTTGACGACCATCTTCATCTGAGAATCCTAATCTTGGCGTGGGCAGAGCAGAGAAGCTCTCGCTTGGGTCCGTCGCCATGCTAGACACAGACATAGAGCGAGAAATACTGGCAAAGGAGGGCAGCGCGTGCCCTGCGCCGGCAGGCTGACCGGTGAAGTAGCCTCCTGGTTCGTCATCCCCTAGAGGTCTGGCAACGCCCTTGCCCTTGTCTGGCCTTGGTGACACAGCTGGCTGGAGTAGAGGACTAGCGGGTCGAGACGGAATCGTATCCAGATTCGGCACGCTCGACTTTCTACGCATTCGCGTGACGGTAGGTGACGGCGACGTTTCCATGTCGCGACTAGCAGCGTCTGCAGCTCGGCCTCCGATCTTGCTCGCGTCTTCGTCTGCAAAGAGCGGACCACCACACCGATTGCATGTCTGCGATACGGCCTTAGGCCTCCAGCCTCGTCTACGCTGACGAGTCAAGCTGGACAGCACTGTAAAGACGTCGCGATCAAATAAGCGATTGGTGATGTCAAGCAGCTCTATCCTGAGCTGATAGGCGTCCAGCATACCCTCCAGCACCGTGCGCACTTCGGCGTACATCCGCCCAGACGATTCATCGCCGTCTAAGGTCTCTGACGACTCTAGCGCAAGCTTTCTGAAGAGGTCCGGGAATGAGATGGCGTCCGCAGAGGTTGACGACACCAGAGAGGACAGCGCATCGCGGACGAGTGCGCGGCAAAATCTCATTGCAGCGGTCGGCTGCTGAGCGCTGTCTGGTCCTGCGGCGACCGCGGCGACCCCGTGCATCAGCCCCATCAACGACTGAAGGAGGTGAAGCCATGCATCCTTGAATGAGATTGCTGAAGAAGTTGACTGGTGCACTGTCGAGTGCGTGTCGACTCGCTTGCAGAAGTCGACGACCTGATCGACGAGACGACGCAGCTTCTCTGCGCTGCTCGAAGCCTCGAGGCTCAAGGAAGCATCCGACTGACTGGCATCGTCGGCTCGAAGGCCCACCGCTTCCAACGCCACAAAGCGATCAAGAGCCTGGAAAGCTTGCTTGCGCTCCCCTAATTCGCAAAGAGCCCAGAAGACGGCATCGTAGCACTCGCGCTCCTCGCCGATTTCGACGACTCGTCTCAAGTCGAAGTACTCTGCATTTTGAATGGAGAGGCTCCGAACGAGAGCGCCGGGTTCAAGGTCGGCTACAAGAGAGACGAAGAGATGCCTCGCGGATTGATCAAGATGAGCTGAATCCAAAGAGGCGTCTGCACTAGACGCTGTCTGGCCTGGATCCGCTGCAAGACCTGCAAAGCTCCGGAGATACTCCAACTGCGCCGTCTGGTCCGCATGCAATCTGGCCAGTACCTCTCCGTGTCGTTCGCAGCAAAAGCGGTCCACAAGACTCGCCGTCCCAGACGGACTCTTGTGTGCCAGGCGGGGAGCCGCATCAAGGAGTAGCTGCTGCAGACTGGCGTCTAGGCCTGCTTTGCCGCTGGATAGCGCTGCGCTGGACAGCACAGCGTTTAGCTGTCCAAACACCTCGTTTCCAGCACATGGGTCCTGCAGGAACATGGTGACCAGCTTGTCCCATTTGCCTGCACTTCGATAAGCTTTTTGCAGCACTCGCACAAAGCCTGCCTGCTCAAAGAGTGCCAATAGCGACTCGGTCTGTTCTATCTTGTATAGCGACAAAAGGCACTCGACCCCCAGCTGGCGATCTTCCCGAGTTTCGCCGTCCATGCTTGTCGACAGGATAGTCAACAGACGCGCGACTTGATCGGCCCGAAGTCGAATGAATTGAGGATACTTTGGGGCATTGCGCGCCACAAAAAGACAGCAAAAGGTGACCGCCGTTTCGGAAAGCTTGGGCACTTCATCAGAGCGACGGCTGGCCTCGGTGTACGGATCGAGGGCGTGACCTCCTTCCGCTCGATTTGTGTCGATGATTTCCAGCAGGACAGAGATCAGCAATTGGCGAGTGACATTATCTCCAGAGTGAGCGAGTGAGTTGTCTTCGGTCTCATCCCCATCAAGGAAAGAATCCTCGAAAGCAACGTCAAGCGCATCGAGGAAAGCCTCAGCGTCGAAGTCCAAAAACAAGCGAAGGTAGGGATATGTGGGTTCGTGCCTTTCCTCTTGAGTGAAGACGAGTTGTCCTCCGGGTCCAGGTGGCCAAGCGACGCAGCGTCCGGAAAACAGAAAGGAATAGAGCGTCCTCTTTGCCGAGACACTTCTCGCCTCGGCGAGAGGCTCTTGACTGGGGTATGATCTCCCCGCGAGGATCACGGACAAATACGAGAAGATTTTGTACGCGTCGTCCTCATTTGCTGTGAGCATCTGCTCGGCTACGTCTTCGCTACTTTGCCGCTCCTTGTTTGTCGCCTTAAGCACGCCCATGAGCTCCACGATGGGAGCGACGTAGTCGTCCATGACCGAGTTGTAGACGTAAATCAAAGCATCCCAAAGACGTTGTTGCAGGCAGAGCGATAATGCCTGATCGATATCGAGGCAAGCGGGGTCGACGTGCCATATGATCCTCTCTGCTAGGTCGTACTCTTCTCGCAACTGTCGGAAGGCGACCAAGCGCTGCACCACTGGGATTGGCAGAACACGTATGCGTCCCGTAACAATGAACAGCTCAAGTTGCTCTGCAAATATAGACTCTATGCCGTTGTCAGCGTAGGCATCGTAGATTTCGCCAAAGAGGAGGTCTAGATCTTCGATGGAGACACAGGCTTCAGCGCAGGAAGCTGCGAGTTGTTGAAATTGCTCGGTCCTGTCCACCCCGCGACCATCCGGCGTGACGTGTGTCGAGTCGGTCAGTCTCTCTGGCGAGAAGGCGTATTGCACAGAAGCACGCATGAGCTCTCTGAGTTTGCCGCCAACTACACTTTGGCGCGCATACACATCATCTGGCAGTCCCAAGGCTTGCTGGCCCCTGGCACCAGTGTAGAAGGCAGTGGCAAGGTCGACAGCTCCAAGAAAGTCTCCTTTTGAGACAAAGCTTAAGAGGTGGTCTGCCCAAGACAAAGCTGTACCCGCGACGACTTCGCGCGTGGTGAGAATGAACACCTGACCCTTGTAGGACCTCATGCTGTGCGCCGCTGAAGGTGCAAGTGACCGCGAGCCTCCGTCAGCAAGCTCTGCCTTCGAGCGCAGCTCAGATGAACCTGCTACGCGCCATTCGCGCAAGACAAGAGGCGGTATGACCTCCGTCAAATGCTGTGATGCCACGCATTGTTTTCGTGCGAGCGAGAAGAGCTGCAGGTCACCCGACGATCCGAGCACGAACAAATGCTCGCGCGACAGCCACTGCAAGGCTATGATAGTCTCGTGGTGCGTGTATGTCGTCTCGTCTGCGAATTGGAGCTCTGTCTTGGACACCGTCGAGCCATTGGTGCTTGCTGCAGCTGTTGCATTGCCAGCTATCACATATACCGGGCGTAATGCGGTCACGAAGAGATGGTTCCCAAAGCTATGCGCAAGGAGGGGGTCCGAAGGGGAAGGTGCAATGGGGACTCCGTCCTGACTTTCGCCTGTCGCTGGATACCAAGTCACCATGCTAGCCAAAGCATCTCGGTCTGAATTGAGCCAGGCTGGTTTTGACTTCGCCTCGGCTTCGTGATTCGGCGCAGTACCAAGTCCGGGCGAATCGGCTCGGTACGGACGGCCATCGAAGGCCGGCGAGTTCAGAATGGAGCCTCCGTCCAAATGGCGTGCTTGCGAGTCCTTTGTAGAATCCAACTCCCGCTCTCCCGCGCTTGCACCTGGCGAGGGAGCTGTGCGTCGATACCAAGTCCTTGCAGTCGGTTTCAAAGAGACGATGACGAGCTTCGAGGGTGTCACAAGGGCGACAAAGCTGAATTGATCTGCAAAGTGCGAAATCGGGCCAAGGGGAAGTGCTGACATTCCTAAGATAGTCGAGCGAGGGTTCACTGGAACGTGGGAAGCGTCGGGCCCAAGAGACTTCGTCATTCGCGCTTCCGGATATCTGCCCAATATCCGAAGCGTGTCATTCGAGGACACGCCCAAAATTTTCCCAAGGGAGTGGTAGAAAGCAAGCCCATGCTCATCTGCACTGACAATGGCCGTGTGCCTTAGTCCCACAAAGGACAAGTGCAGTATGCGAGAGTTAATCAGATGACCCTCCTTGCGCCCAGAGAATACATCACCAGCTTGGACAGGCGATACATGACGCGCTAGCGAAGTCGGTCGCGCCAAGTCGTACAGCATGAGTTGACCAGAACCGTGACCGACGGCCACGTACGTATGATCTGATGAGATCGCTAGCGCTGTGACGGGGCCAGCAGAGCGTGCTGTATCCGGCAGAGGAGCGATCAGTATTCCCTGCGATTTTGCATGAGTTACGTTGCCGCGTTGCTGATCAGGCTCACCTTGTTCATGATCCAAGAACGTCTGACCCCCGCTTGGGTGCCCATGCACTACGACAGTCCCATCCGCGCGTCCGACAGCTATCAGCCCACCGCCCACAGCCAATACTGAGCCCGGCTTAAGCGAAGCTCCGGTGCGATCTACACCGTTCCGCATCTGCCTAGCCGGCATCGTAGCAAGATGCGGCGAGAGTTTGCGAATGGCGGACCATCTGTAGGGTGGCAGATCAGCGTTGGGCGCAACAGCGCGGCACCGGCGGGGAGCACATGACAAATCGCTTGCATCTGAGGGTCCCACTCCTGTCGAAGAATGAAGGGAACGCTGCAGTTCTGCTTCGCCATCGGCTTCAATGAGCGGTCCTATGGACTGGAGTGGGCCGAGAGAAGAGGTTCCGTATGGGAATGCCATTCGTCTACGTTTCTTCCCTGTTCTTGAAGATCCCTGAGATATGGATGAAGCGCTCGAGGAAGGAACGTGCATGCCGGAGTCCCTAGTCTCGTCATATGTGCCTGCCATCATTGAGGCAGATACGCTGCCCGTGCTCGACAGGCGAAGACTGCCGGGTCGTGAAGGGCCAGCGTCGTCGTTGTGGCGCGATCCAAGGCCCAGCCCTGCAGCTCTCAGTCTCGACAAGGTTGGGTATCCAGCTGGTCTCACCCTGCGGGTGGAGTGAGTCCAAGAGGTGTCCCCTTGAGCAGAGTCCACCGTGATGTCCGGTAGCATGAAGCTTTCGTCGGCGGTTCCTGCTTGTCTAGTCGATCCTGGATAGGTGAAGGCTTCTTCTTCTGATTCAAAGGCCACATCCGAGCCTCCCTCGCCATTGCGCGTAGTGTTCAGTTGGGCTAGCTCACCCGGCAAGGCCTCGTCGTCGCTCCCTAGAGCATCTTTCAAACGGTCAGCGTAGCTTTGAACAGGACGCAAAGCTGCTTCATTCACGTCCGCATCACTGTTTTCTTCTCCATCCGCGTCTTCGCTGCTCCCGAACAGCTGCTTGCGGCGATCGGTGCCGCTGTAGAAGAACTCCTCTTCGTCCTCGTCGCCTTCCGACTGCAATTGGCCATTTGGTTGACCATTGACGACGACCTTTCCCTTCTCTGAGCGCGCATGTCCGTTGACGAGGCCCCCTTGGCCGGGTAGTGACGACTCCGAAGTATCGTGAGCCTCGTCACCCTCGTCATCATCCATGAAAGCCGCGAGGCGCTGCTCGTAGGACAGCTGCTCATCGCGTGGGGAACTGCTCCGCGACATTGCTCATCGAGGCCATCCGCGAATTGGCGCAGTGAATGTATGCAGCCAAGCGACAGTGAAAGTGGTGATCGAGGAGTAGGGAATCACCAAGTGATGAGGGCCAGCATGGTCGTGCGCATGAAACTTGGATGGTTGTCGGTTTTGCCTGGGAGCGACAGAGCCAGGAGAGTAATGTCGTTGGGCTTTGTGACCTCGTTGCCATCAGTGCGTTTTGGACGAAGGGGCTGGCAAGGAAGAGATGGTGCTGTCTATTTCCAGCAGAGACGTGCTCCACACGCACCGATCGCCCTTCTTCCAATGAAGTGTCAATGCCCGCTATGTTCACTCAGACCAAAACGGATGACTTGACTGATGAGCGAGCGAGCGGTTGAGCCAAGTAAGTTGCTGCTGCAGGTGCTGCTGCGTCTGCATGGCCGTGATTTCGGCGCTCGGGCGCGGCGCAATCGGCGAGACAGAGCCACAGATCGTCATGACACGTGACTTTGCGTTGGACCCCGGCTCTTATCCTCCGGTCGTCTTTCCACGTGGTGCTCGTTTTGCACTCAATCACGAATTTGTCATCACTCTCGGATGACCCCAGCCGCTTGTTCTCTGGCTGTCACAGCTAGCCCAAGACATTCGTGATTTGGCATCATGAATTGACGATTGCCGTGAACATGAGCATGACACTCACAGCTTACCTTGCCGCGAGTGATCGATTAGCCTGCAGTCGTCGAGTCAAGAGTCACCAGCAGGGATCTTCTTGACTGCCAGCACGCCTGAGGAGGCGTTCACGATTGTGAATCACAAGACAATCTGAATGTGAATCACGGATGTGAATGACGCAGCAGGCTCGCGTACAGTACGTACGTGCCGCGAAGTTTGATCGGCTTCGCGCACATTCACAAATTTGTGGCTGTCCACAGGCGACCGAGTGACAGCAGCTATGGCCACTCCGAGTCGTGAGTACAGTACACCTACCGCGTGTATCGATAGCTAGCTGATGCTCTGGAGCTGTGCTGTGCTGTGCTGTGCGCACCACGCATCTCTCAATTGCTGCGCACCTGATGCGTGAGAGCGCTGCTGCATGCCTATGCGAGTCGTCGTCGTGACGGCCGCGAGCGCGCCGCCCGCCGCCCGCCGCCGCGCCTGCCATAAATCATCCCGCGCGGCGACTGTGCAAGAATTTGTGAGCGTCTATACTGTAGCATGCATGCATATGCAGCAGCAGCACACTCTGACTCAAATTGCACCAGCAGCAAAACGCAAGACCGCGGTCGCCGCGCGCGCACGAGCACGAAATTCGAACTCTCGATGAGCGCAAAGACGCGCAGCGCAGCTAGCAGATTCGTGCAAGAGGCCAAGGCGGGCGCGGTGGCAGTGGCATTGGCAGTGGCAGTGGCAGTGGCAGTGGCAGTGGCACCAGCCATACTCCGGTGATGGGAAGCTAGCTATAGGCTGGCAGCGGGCCATGTCCACCCTACGGTCAAGTCACGGTTGTGATCGAGTGAGCATCAGCAGCTACGGTATACTGTAGCTGCCTGCTGGCGTGCGCGTGCGTGTGCGTGCGTGCGTTTTTGCTGGTTGCACTAACGCCCTCTGAGAATCCTCATCCTATCAATCAACTTCCAACCTTGCAAAGCATCGCTCGTCCCCAAAGCGCCAGCAAGTGCACCTTTCTCATCCTACTGCTCTGCGGAACTTTTACAACTCATTGCCCAGCATGGCTGCTCAACTCCAAGTCATCCAGCAAAAGGCTGAGTACTTTGTCTCCCAGGTGCGCGTCCTTCCAGGCTTATCTCTGCTGTCGCGACACTCCGCGAAAGTCGGGCGGAGGTCACGGCAGGCCAAGCGCGAGCGCCAAATTTGCCCATACTAACACATCTTCGTCCTTCGCACTCTCTGCGACGTCTTTTCGACCATCCTACCGCTAGGTTGACAAAGAGGTGCGTACATTGCTCAGTGTGGAGCTCTCGATGCTCACGGGGGAGCGTTCGGGGTGCGGATCGCGCACGCGAGGGTTGCGAGACTGTCGGGATAGGAGCGAGCGCAAATTCTACGATGCTGAAGCTGCGATCATGGCATGCTCTGCATTGTGAAGCTCGACACTCACTACTCGTCAAGTCTTCCTGGGCTGTCTGCTGACGCAGCTTTCTTTCCCCTGCGTTCTCATTGGTGCCTGTCTGCAGCTCTCCAAGTACCCCCAGCTCGTCAGGCTCGAGCAAACTGTGCCCGTGCCCAAGGCTTACGCTGCCATTGGTGGCTTCGGTCTGTTCACTTTGGTGCGTAAGCGCAAGGTGCTTTCGGGTCGCCGTCCCCAACAGACTCACATCCTTGTACTCTGTCATTTGTCCCGTCTACAGTTTGTGTTCTTTAACATGTGAGCTGCGCTTCGCGTGACAAGGAAAGTTCGGTCCACATTCGGATGGTCTGACGCCTCTTTCGCCATGCAAACAGCTTCGCCGGCTTCTTGACCAACTTGGTTGGCTTCGTCCTTCCCGCCTACTTCTCAATGAAGGCTTTGGAGTCCCCTCAGCCTCAGGATGATGTTCAGTGGTGCGTGACGACATGACAGGCGAAGTTGGGGGTGTATATGTGTGCATCTTCGTCTAATGCTGCGTTATCCCCTTTACAGGCTCACTTACTGGGTCGTCTTCGGCTTCTTCAACTTCATCGAGTCTTTCGTTGACTTGATGTGAGTAGGTCCTGGTGCACAAGAGGCCAAATTCGGGTTGCAGAGCTGACGAAGATGTCCAATGAACACGTGTCTTTCGTATGCGTTGCAGTCTCTACGTAAGTGTAGTCCGCGTGCCGCACGCGCTTCGCCCCACCGTGCACAGCTGACCAGGCCTGAGGCACTTCGCATTGCCAACTCCCAATCTTGCGTCATACAGTGGTGAGTTTGTGTAGTGATGGCCTCTGTGGCTGAAGGCTCTGTGTGAGCAGGTCCTGACATGGCGCAATTCTCCAACATCCTTAGGTTCCCCTTTTACTACACCTTCAAGACCTTTGCTATTGTCTGGCTCATGCTGCCTCAGACACAGGTGCGTAATTCGAGTCGCATTTTTAATTGCCCACTCTTGCAGACAGATCCCGAAGGGCGGAGCTTCTGTATCGCGAGACCACCTATCACAGTTGGGCTATGCAAGCCGGCGCGTCCGGCACCAAGGTGCTGACATCCATCATTTTTAACACTGCTTGCACAGGGAGCCAAGTTGATCTACCACCGCGCCTTGCGTCCCCTCCTCGCGCAGACTGGCTCACGCTCCGCCGCTGCACCAGTAGCGCCCACTGCTGCTGACGTCAACTAAATCTGACGCACGCGGCTGCGAATGTAGAGCAACTCGAGATGCATTGCCCTGCGTTCTCACATTCAGTGGCGGTATTAGAGTGACGGAGCGCAAGGTCTTTCCAGCTGGCAGGTATTGTTCGACATTACTGTGCGCATCAGCCGCCTTCCAGCGAAGCCTTAGAAGAGGAAACGGATCACGGCCGCGGTTTGCAACCAGCCAACTTTTCTGGGGGTCAAGGCTCGCGTGGGTGGCTGCATGATGCTCCACGCGTCACCTGCTGCGCTCCTCGTTCTACCCGCTTCCTTCTGAACCCGATGCCACGTCATCTCTCGCGACCTCGACCTGAACAACACCAAATCCCCCTTCCGACTCAATTTCTCTTTCCGTCGAGAGAAGTCGCTGCGCTTTCTACGTGTTGGGCATTCCATCGTAAATGCGCTCCTGGTTTCTCTTTTGGCCATTCTCATCCACGTCTTGTCCCCTCAACCCCGCCTGCTCGTCCCCCCCTTTCCATTTCTGAAATGCAAAATGAACGCGACTCGCGACTGACATCACGCGCTCGGGGGAAGGCGAGAGGAGAAATGTGCCGAGCGCATCATGTGCATGACGCGTACCGATATCGTGTGCAACAATGATGAGCCGATCGACGTGTGTGTCAAACAAGGTTTGTTTAGAACGTCACGTCTGTATGGATCGATTTTCTTGATACACGCGAGAGAGTCTGCAATAATGAAAAAGTGGAGGGATGTCAACACGAGAGGTGCAAATGCAAGCAAGGGCAACGTCCCGTGACGTCGGAGATTGCACAATGATCAACAAAGGGCGCCAATCTTGATATAGAGGG